CTTAACGCAAAATGTATGCGGAACTCCACATCCGATGACTCCACGCACTCACGTTGCAGCTCTCAAGCGACTCAACACAATCTTGAAGCACTACCGGTTAAAGGTGATACCAAATGACATTCTGAAGACACTGCAACACACAGTGTATGGATCGCCAAAGAAGCGATGGTGGAAGCCGTGGAAGAAGGGAGAGAACAAGTTTGAGAACGGTGGGTATTGAGAGGAACGGTACTTTTTACAAACCTTGGTGCTTATGTGAAGAGTTTACTATGGTAGCACCTTCCTCTATACTTAAATCCCCCCATGGTACGCTCTGTGGACTTCGCCTCTGTTTCGCGTGATACAGGGGCGAATCCGGTCAATGCCAGGCGATTACCTATTATAGTTCATGAATGCGTCAAGTTCATTAGAACACATGGTATGCTTGTGCGGCTATGTAAATACAGAATGTACAAGGCTAACTGTGTCCCTTGCAGGACTTAAAACTACAGGCATTTTTCGCGTCAACGGATCCGAACGCCGTATGGCGCAGCTTGCTGTTCATTTTGATTCCCCACCTACATACGGCCTTGGAAGGTGAGCAAATGTGATTTTGACAAGATGTACGCGGCATTGTTACCTCAACTCGCTCCCCTGTCTCAGCTCATTCGAAGGATACACGGTATACGACGTAGCAGATTTTCTTAAAAAATATCTCCGAGGTGTACCTGAACCCCTGTTCACGACTGAATTATACCCACAATTTCTAAAGTGTCTAGGTGTGTATATTAGCCAATGCGCGCATCTGATCGCATTCTGACCAATTCTTCTGTGGTTTAGATGTTCCCGCCGAAGGGGGCACCCGAATTCGAGCCTTCCGGCTGTTATTGCTACTTTTGCCCCCTACTCACCTAGTACTGTTGGAAACTTTACTGGAACTCTTTGGACTGATAGTGCAGCATTCAGCGGCGAACCAAATGAGTGCTCACTCACTGGCTAGGATTTTCTCCCCGAACGTCCTTCGTCCAAAGGGTCAAAAGCAACCACTCGAAGAATATGAACGATGCTCCTGCGTGATGGAACTCTTGATTGATCATTGGGATCACTTCATTGTCACACCTTGTACGGTTCGACCCTTTCAAATGCTCGACTTGACTTACGCTAGTGTGAGGGAGTTTTTGGGGATCTCGAACTTGGACGGGTTTCCCGGGATACCGCAAATGTCAGGGCAAACGCTAAATGAGAATGGGTTTTCAACTACACCGTCAATTGAAAATGAAGAAGCGGAAAACTCGATTGGCAAGGGTGCTGTCGATAGCAAGCGGATGGTGGCTGTTGACACTGCGCCAAATATACCTCTTGCGAAAGCCGTGGACTCAGATTGTGATTCGGGGATAGTTTCAGAATCTGGAACGGTAAACATAACGCTGGTCCGAAGGGTTCGAACGGCTCCGACAAAGCGCACTCGAGGCGTCCCAGAGAACGTTACAGGTACGACGACAAACACTGTGTTTCCCCTTCACTATAGCGTAGAAACTCACCGTTCGCTCCATCATAAGCAGACCCTAAGCAGAACGCGGTGCTGCGGAACATTCCTGAAGACCGCTCGTCGGTTGTAGTATTTCCTGGTCGGCCACCCAAAAAACTGCGAGGAATAGGGTCAATGACACATCTTCGACGAAGGACGCTCGCGACCGACCCATCTTCATTATTTGCAGGTACTGCCGTTGATTATTGTGTATTGCTTTTAACCGTCGTGCCAACTCATTCGTGTGACACTTAGATCCGGGCGACGATAGTAGCAACAATCAGGCCCAGGAACTGGAGATGCTCCGTAGAGCAAACGAGGAGCTAACAGCACACTTAGAGGCTGTTTTGTCTCATATTTAGTACACTCCGGGAGCGTAGAATATTCCTAGTATCTTTTATTTCTGTCATATTTGTTTACTTCTTAACGTGTAGTATAGTGGTGATGTAGAAAAATGGGTAGGTGGATGTGCATCTGGAGCAGAGCCATGCTTTGCGTGCATAGATCGCTATGATTGTTGCGACAAAAATACAGCATGTCAGATTCTATACATATCCGACGGGGGTGCGTTTTATGATAACAGCAGGACGGGAGTGGGGTTGCCAAACATCTGATTCGATATCTTTGCACATGTCCACAGCATTACGAGACTACATCTTGAGCGGTTTCAGACCCAGAGCCGCTCTCATCTTATTTGTCTCCTCCACACTCAGGGACTCTGATGCGCCTCCACCTCCTTCCTTTCCGGCTTTTTTAGGTTCACCAGCCTGAACCGCTGTTTTCTTGAACAATGCATTAACCTTCTTTGAAGACACCGATGGCTTCTTTTTGATGCCTTCGGGTACCGCCCGACTTTCTTCATTGTCTTCTCGTTCCCGTGAGCGGCGTTCCTCCGGACTACCGCGACTGCGATCATCACGACGGTATCGCTCACCCTCCCTGCTCCCCCGGTGATAGTCGCTGTATCTATCTCGACGGTCGCGACTCCTTTCCCGGCTCCTGCTACGATCGCGGCGTGAGGGACGGTATCTGTCACGCGAGGTTTCACGATTGCGGCGGTGTGTGGAGCGGCTTCTTGATCGCGTCCGTGACCTAGACCGGGACCGATCTCGATCTCGATCGCGACTTGAACGTTTGGACGAATATCTGTCCCGTCTTCGACTGCGACTGCGACTATGGCTACGACTACTACTGTGACTCCTTCGATCTCTTCTGCGATCTCGATCTTTAGAATCTCTATATGAATCTCTGTGATCATGACGTTCCCGCGAGCTAGTTCGCAATTTGCGATCGCCCTCCGTCCTTCTCGACTGGTCCATTTTTTCTCCCTCAGATGTAATCTCTCCCTCAGAGTCCTCAGCAATCTCTTCGTCCTCCAAATCCTCCTCCAAGGGACTTAGACGAGGTTCCAGATCCCCATTCTCTTCTAAAATATGTCGCTTGGTTATACGAGGTAGGATGGTATCACATACGCGCTCTGAACGCAAAAGGTCGTCCACAAACTCGTCAACATGGGTTAATTCGAATTCTCCCGCTAAGGATTCAAAGGTAAATCAGTTGAACAAAAGAAAAATCAAGTATGTTGCATGAAACGTACAAATGTTCCTTCGTCGCAATTTCCGATAATCGAGAAGTAATGGTTCCAGGTACTGATATATTTCCACAGCGGTTCCCGTCAATCGTAAATAAAACGCCCCTAAAGCTCGCAAATATCTTTTACAGAGATTAGTCACTTGTTAGTCAAATGGTGATGAAAAAAACACCCAAAACAAAACTGCTTACTTGTAGTCCTCATTCTGTATGTACAATCTCACAATTTCCTTTTCAGGCTGCAGCTGGAGCATCTTGAGCGCCAAGCACAGGAACTCTGTGGGTTTCTGGTTTCCGTATTGTCCCCCTATAGAGGTCAAGTTCACTGCCTTGTCAATGAGTGTTTCGGCCGTGAGCGCGAAACATGATTCTTTCCAGTAGAGTGAATCGTAAATTCGGGTCCGAATGATTTTTTCAATAAGAAACTGCGGATTTGTGCCATGGATGTTTTGGGCTTCTGTTGCCGTTCGGTTCGCCATTTTGTCGTGAATGGCACGCCCTCAGAGTGATCTACGGGATACCCAACGATTCGTGATTAACGCTGATGGTGTTGGGCTTGTTGCTGTGGCAACAGATGACAACGTCCAGATCGACAGCGAGATTTGCTATCACCTTTGCAAACCATTCCATCAAACAAACACTATGGGACAAAAGAACCCGGCAGCAAACTTTTTCAAGGTCTGTAATGGGTATGATACAATCTTCCTTGTATGCTGGCTGACAAGTTTGGTATGGTCACGTAGCCCCTTCCCCGCGCACCACCTTCGTTTTACGGAAAAGCGTTTGCCATTGGTTTTGCAATTGGAGCAGCTCTAGAGTTTGCAGTGATTAAAGCGGGATACTGTACGCTGATCTTTTTGAGTCCATTATCTGACTCGCTTCTAATTAATGTCTGTGCTTCAATCTTGTAGACGATATCATGCGAAACTCAGAGGCACGAAAGGTAGCAAAAGACCGCATGGAAATGGAAGAAGCCGAAAGGAAATTGGACGAAATGCTCAAAGCGAAACAGCATTGATACCATACTATTTCCTTTTCTAATAGTCCAATCTCCTTATATGTATATAGAGCAATACCATACTGTAAATATCAATAGAGATTTATCAACCCTATGTACAGCAACCACTCGCGTCAATTTCAGGACGAATTATGTACAAAACTAAGGACCCGTTGAAGTGTCGCTTGAGGGACTTTGTCCAACTGGCGGCTACCCGCCAGCTCTAACACCTTTTCGCGCAATCCTGATATTTTCGTCATTCGCAAGGACTGCCTTATTATTTCCATGTCGTTCACCGATGGCCAGTCCCGGTAAATGCGGTACGCCTTTGCCACTGATAATACGTTATCAGGAACAGATGCATCGCCTTCGGCATCGAGATGATGTAGTACATCCTCGAAGGATACTCCACTTCCCAGTGTATTGCCCTTTGACGCTTCCAATTCCCGAAAGAATATTTCTAGTTCAGCTTTCACTTGGTTCAGAAAGGCAGGAGGCAGAAGTGGGCGTGCTAGAGCCTTGGATAACCGTCCCCCAGCCTGCGACCCAGCCATCTCATAAAATTCCAAAATAAGTTTAAGGTTCCACATGGCGGTCGGGTTTAGCTCTTCTGACAAGTTCCGCATGAGTTTGTCAATCCACAGATATGGTCGTATGAGTTCAGGTCGATCCAGTTTTATGCACTCGTGGAGCACCATTGAAAAAAAGCGCGACCTCTCCGGAGACGGGTCTGGGCAAACGTATTGGGCAAAGGCACACAATTCGGGTGCCGTTTCGACCGCCTTCAGTAGAGATGTTGTATCTGAAATACCAGCTGAACTAGCGTTGAAGAGCGACATGTTCTCTGGGGAATGTGATCCTTTGGGATCCTTTGGTTTTCAGTAAGGTCAGATATCTGCCATCATCGTGAAGAACATGAAACCAAGGTAGTACCTCCATGTAGCTAAGGTGTCCAATCCTCCTCTGCATAACCATGGCGCGCTCCTTGATCAGTATGTCCTTATGGATGGGATTCGATGCGACCATCAACGTATTGGGCCAATAACGAGGACTATCCGTTCGAATCGAGTGAATATCAGAATACGACGGCAGCAAGCATGGAGTCACCATCACGATTTCACGGATACCGCCAGCCACGGTTTCATCGAACACATTCACATTAACTGGGACACAGCAGAGCTCCTTTTTCTGTACGTCCTGCGTGACAAGGCAGCGAGGTTCAACAGCCAGTGCCCACAGATGTCGAAATGCTTGGAGATGTGCTCGGTTGTCATCAGGGGTAAGGGGATACCGCGGGAAGAGGGAGCAAACCAGAGCGGCTACCGCGATATTCGACGTTCCGAGGGTGCAAGTACCCCCTCCCAAGAAGAGGAAGCCCAACGCCATGTTAGTGGCCATGTGGTTTCCGTAACTAACGTCCCCTCCCGAACGGTCATGCAGCTTCCGTAGTATGCGCAAAACTTTCACGTTACCGCTACCCGCGACCACTAAGCTTAACGATGTAACGATGACGTCTAAGCAGCTTCGGGCAATGGTTCTATTCAACTTTTGAGAAAATGTAGTGGCTAACAATAAAAGCGCATGAGCCCACTGAAGCGACAGCCGGGAAAATGAATGCACTCTGGATTTTACCTGGTGCATTACTAAGTGTAATCATCTGTTCCAATTGGACCAATAGAGTTTTGAATGCGTTCATATTGTTAGACCCAGCGTATTTGAGCCCGATGCTGAAACAAGCACCAGCAACGATATTCCAAGAGGCTTGCAGGTACATATCTGCGTCACCAGTAGAAAGGTCGTCACTGCCATCCAGGATAAATTGCGGAGTTTGACTTGAAATCCACTCGCCAGATGGCTCGATTTGGTCCCACAGAATCAGGTTCCGGCTCAGAATACGCAAAAGAAGTATATCCGGTCGGACCTTCTTCAAAACGAAAGCTGTCTGTGGAACTTTCAGCCTATCTGCGACGGAAGTGTCATTCGTTTTCAAGTACATTAACCCCAGCGCAATAGTGGCACTGGCTACGATGTATGGCTGACTTGTTCCCAGCGCATATTTGAGCATACGCTTGCCTAATCGGATGTCGGCTATACCTGCAGCTTGGACCGAATTGATACGGCCAAGCGTGATCAATCCCTTGAATCATTGGAGAAAATCAGTTGAGACCTGCGAAGCCTATCCTACCATGTGAACGGATTCATACCAGGGACAGTCCGCAAGCAAGAGCACAATTTTCCTTATGTATGTACGGAAGATTGTTTTCCATTGATTCCATCGTCTGTAAAAGGTAAAGCATCTTCTCCGTATGCAGTCGAGCCAACGATTCCAAGTATAGTAGTCCAACACTAAGAATGGCAGCGGGCTTCACCTCAAGCCCAGAGGGTGTTCCAGGAATATCATCCGACGGCTCGATGTGCGAATAGCACAAACGCGTGTGCCTCATGTCTTGATCTCCTTTATGAGTGGCCGCCAAACCAAGAAGTAGAGCGATGGCGGTGAACTCATGTTTCAGATTCATGTAGTCGATAAGATCGTACAAGTTCATCTTTCGCAGATTCCCGAGAAGACCCAGTCCTAATAAAAAGCCAGCGTGCTTGCCATCGAGACTGCGCTTTCCCTCCTCTTCCTTTGCAGGTGTGTTAAAAACGATCCACGCTCCGTTGTTGTGCTTCCAATTGGGGACCACTGACAGTCCGGCTGCTACTCCATTATGAAAGGATGGCCAGTCCAGAAGACTCGGAGTTCCTTTTGCGACTTCCATATGCACAACAGAATTCATAGGAGGCAGCCTGGCTGCAACAACGAGGTCCGGGATTGGAAATGCTTCTGTAGGTATGGGGGACACTAGACCGAACGTAAGAAGAGCTCTTCCAGTCGGTAAAGCCAGCACTCGCTGTGCCAGAATCTGAAGATGCTTTTGCTGCTCCAGCGTCCAATCTTTATCGCTGCAAGAGACGGGGTTAATATGAGAAATATCCAAGCGGTGAGCCCAACAAGTATTTCGTACTCAGACGTGTCTATGTCAAGTTTATACGATGAAGGTGTGGCTGACTGGAGCATACGTCGAACCTCTTCTATTCGCCGATCTTTCATGAAGCGCAACTTTGTGATTTCAGTGAGGACTGCTTCCGTTCCGTCTGTTGTGTTCACATCGGAGGATGCCGGGGGAGATTCGAATCCTTTTGGCTACAGGCGACTATTAGATAAAGACGACGCTAAAAAACGTCATACACTTCAACTTGCCTCTTTAGCATCGCTCTCTGACACTTGCAGCTTGGTACCAAATTGTTCAGCTAGATCTTCTCGTCCTGTCGTTCAATGCGTAATTTGAACATGAGCATCAGCGACCCTAACGGAGGAATCAAGGGGATGCATAAGACGGAACTTACCAATAAAATTGTATGCTTCTGCCGTCCAATCGCCTGGTGGATCTTCCCTGCATTCCTCCAACGCCTGCAGTATAGGAAGGGACACGCCCAGGGGCAAACTAGCCATGTCCTTTTTCGAAAGTCCTTGCCTGAGCATTTCTAATACCAATCCTTCCGCTGCAGACGATTTGGACGTGGTCATTGCGCAAAATAGAGCGCTAATTTGATGGAAAAGCGTTGAACGTATGAGTCCGCTCGGGCTACGACAGCCATTGGAAGGTAAACCGGAGAAGTATTCGAGCGGAGTTAAGGTTTTCACATTCCTCAACGTATTCAGAATCCACGATGCCATGCTAAAGGGTGCTAGGGGACGGGCGATGTTGTTTTGCACTGTTGCAAGGTCGTTAGACGGTTCACAATGTTTCCACCACGTGGTGTGATTGTTACCCACCGTCAATCATTACGATGCCCTCAGGCTTGATTCCATCCATTTGATAGTGGAAGCTGTAGTCCTTCCATCCCAGGCAGCGTGCAATCTGCAGCAACAGTTGCCCCAGTCGTCTCCATGCGCTCTCATATAGAATACTAAGTTTCATATCCTCGTACACCAAATGAAGGACGATGACAATTGCTGGGAGAAAGAGAATGAAATTTGGCCCAGTATGGTAATGCTCAAAAAGAGCCTTCGATTTTGTAAAAGATATCTGCATAGTGGAGGCGGTAGGTTTCGGATAAGACTGAAGAAACTTCTGAGCCAGCTTTTTCTGCCACGGTGTATCAGCTTTATACCGATTCAGCCATACAAGATGCTTGTGCGGACCAGGTTCGAGGACACTGGGAATGCTGCCGTCATCCATCTCAATAGTCTTGTGGCAAAAAGAGAAGAATACGGTGAGCCAGTCGATCCACTCATCATTTGACCGCAGGTTTTCCCACTTCAAAGTAGGACCACCCTGGAATGCGAGCCATCGATGATAAAATTCCTCGAACATGGGCACAGGCAGAGCGTAGGACAGCGCTTCAACGCACCGAGCGACCAGTTCAGATGTCGGCTCGCCATCCAACATCACTCGGTATGATTTCCCATTTGAAAGTACCATATTTACTCGATTATCCACTGGATCTTTTAAATCAATAACTCGACTGGCGCGAGAGGGTGAACGTAACGTCTGTCGCCCATCTACTCTTCTGGGTGAATCGCGCGAGTCATCGGTTCTTGGCCGGTCAGGTATTTCTCCGCTGCGTCGACGTTTTCCTGTTAAGCCAGTATCGTCTGCTTCCTGGAAGTCCGATGGCACTGTACATTTTAGTGAGGTTGTATACCCGGTCCACAGGGTAAGGCTGCTGTCGGGATGCAGTATCAACGTATCAAAATGACTCGGTCTAGTGGCACGCAGCGGTACCGCTGAAAGTGCCGGAATATCCAGGAAAAGGTCAAAGATGAACTGCTCATCATTGGCAGTCTGTACAGTCATCGCCGTCAGGCGACGAGTGGACTTGATCGCATCCTGGAACTCTGTCTCATCCGTCGCATGAGGACTCAAAAACCAAATGATGGGATCACCTCTGTGATTCTCCGTTACGAAAACAACCTCGGCTCGATGTGGAATCCGGCTGCAAATGTACTAGCCAAGTTAATTGAGGACGAAGCCCGAGATTCCACTCTCCGAATACCCACCGGTTGCCCGCCTGCAAGTTATCTGACCAAACTAGCCGCATGGTGACGGCCGGTTTCAGTGCTGTCTGTACATACGAGCGAGGATCTAGACAGTCAAGTGGGTTGCTCGTATCCCCCAGATGATCCAATTTATGATTATAAATCCATATATTGTGATTGCGTTGACTGCCGTCAAATGTAACTATGAAGGGGTTCTGTTGACGATGACTTTGCACAAATAACACATCCCAGTTCACGTTCTCATCAGGGTTTGACTTGGAATCTGTTGGGTAATGGATGACTGCGGCCGATCCAGTCGGCGTGTTAACGTCCATCGGCCTAAAGTTGTCCAGGGGATGTGCTAGGCTATACAATATGGGTGCATCCGTATTATCGCCATGTTCCCGTTTGCGTTGCACAAGAATGCCCAGATTGAGAGGCCATGCTCGTTCGATGCGATAAGGGATTGGAATATCAACCGACTCTCCGTCAGTGAAATGGAGCGTGGCTGATTGCTCAAAAACAATTACAAGAGCCCGTTGTGTGACCTTTTCAAACTGACCAGACTTGATTGCGTCAATGGTTGAAGTCTTTGACGGAAGGACGTCTTGTAAAAGGAAATCAGCGTAGAACGCTTGCAGAACGGGTTTTCGGTTGAATCTGTCGTTTGTATAGCTCACAGTGTTGAATGGCCCCCGACTGGTGAATACCGTCCACCCAGCAATGGCAACTTCACTGTCGTAACTATATCTGCCCGCGCCAGAGGACAGTAAAGTATACCGTATCGGACTGTCATCCTCGACATAGGGATGAACTTGTGCGGCCTTTTCCGCGTAAGGAACAAATCTTTCCAAAACTTTGAATTCCATTGGAGGCCCAGCTATGAACCTTGCAGACAGAGAAGATGCATAGCAGCCCGCTGTATTTCGCGAGGGCGATCTGGGAAAATTGTCGACGAGATCGCACTGCCAACAACTTCCACCATCCGACTTGAGCACGTGACCCTTACCAGCGAAATGCATTCCCATTCAACCCAAACGAACGGTTGGGCAACGGCAGCAACGGGGTCGCTCGTTTAACCATTTCATTTGTTTGACTTTTGCATTTCGCTCAGTCCATTTCGGCCAAGGACGAGGGCTTTGGGAGGAAACTGGGATTGAGTTTGACTTATTTTGCATAAGCTGGCCGACGGTGTTTTCGACAACGAACTGCAAACCACTTCATCTAGCCGCAAGACGCGCCCCATCGTAGTGTCAAGTTGTTTGTCGATAATTTGGACCAGATCTTCAAAAAGAATACAAAAGCAACTATGGCAGCACCACCACCTCCCAACTATGGAGCCCAGCGTCCTCCAATGATGAATAACCCGAACATGAATCCGCATCAGGTCCGCCCAGGTCAAGGTCTTCCTGGCGGCCCCAATGTCCACCCTGGCTTTCCAGGAGGACCGGGAGGTGCTCCACCTTTGCCTGCCGGACAGCCCGGTGTGGGTCAACCATATGGTAAGGTTTGGTGATTTAAGCAGCAGCTCGTTCTCGGCGGCTTTATCTTATACCTTCAACGCGGCACAGGCCAACATATTCCACCGAACCGCGCTGGAACACCTCAAGGATACCCTCCTCAACAGCCTGGAATGCAACCGCAGCCGGGAGGCCCACAGCCAACAGGATTCAATTATGGAAATTACCCGCAGCCTAATCGCCCTGCTCCAAATTACCGTCCTCCAACTGGTCCAGGACACGCAGATGGAATGCCCCCAGCTCCCAGTCCATCGATGGGACAAATGCCGCCCATGGGAAATGTGGCCCCCATTCAACGACCTGGGATGCCTCCTCCGCTTCGACCTCTGACTGGTCACGCAGCAGGCGTTCCAGGTAGTCCGATGACCGAGTCTCCGACCGCGAGACTTCCACCCAATTTCATTCCGCCAATCAGTGGTACACCGCCGCCACCCGGACCAGGCGTTGCTCCCCCTGGAACGCGTGCGGGAAGGCGTGCATATCCTACTGCCGATCCATACTCGAACCCATCAGCGATGAGTCCTATGGGTGGTCCGTCACTTGATCCTTTTTCAGCTCAACTTCCTTCTCCAGAGTATGGGCGACCAGGGACACCCGCAACGGGAGTGCCTCCGTCTCCACTGCCAGCCCAGGCTCCGCAGTTCTTTAATCCTGGTCAAGCAGGTGGACAGCAGGCATCCGTCCCTACCTTTGGCGCTCAACCGGCCGGTCCGCCTGCACCAACGTTTGGGTCGCAACCACAGGGTCAATGGGCGAGCGGACAGGGTATGGGCAGTAGCAGCACGTTCAGTAGTCAGTCAGATCTGGCCCAGGTGACTGGTAGTTTCGGAAACCTTTCAATTGGCGGTCAGGTAAGACGGTAGCGGATTCAAATTATCTGATGAACTTGGCCTTACACCAAACTTGACAATCGTAGTCAAGAGGGGGGCCGACGTCCGTCAATTTACTTCAGGGCCCGCCAAACGTGCAAGAGTTTGATGGTCCTGCACCCACTCCCTGGATCTCTCCAGAGGTAACTACTCAGATGCCGTCCTAGTTACAACTCTCGGTTGATGTATTATTTGGCAGTCCTCTGTCTCGCAAGCTCCTACTTCGAATTCAGATCCTAAGTATAAGAGGTGTACCATCAATGCCATTCCTCAAACAATACAGTTGATGAACAAATGCAAGATTCCATTTGGCTTGTTGGTTACCCCGTACAGGCATTTGTTGGACGGAGAGGTAAGTTCGTCTTCCGTTAAGAAAACCGTGCTCTACCGAAGCTTATTCCTGTCCTTAGGACCCGGTGCCAGTAATCAATCCACCGCAGATTGTTCGTTGTCGGCGCTGCCGGACCTACATCAATCCCTGGGTGCAATTCGTTGAGCAAGGCAGTCGTTGGAAATGTAATTTGTGCTTTCTCACCAATGAAGGTATGTGATATGTTACCCGGCAAGAGGCGTCACTTTCGAAAACATGCCAGCTTCACGAACTGATAAATAATCTTGTTACTAGTACCATCATTTTTCGATTGGGATCCGGAGACAAGAGGGCATGTCGATCGCTTGCAGCGTCCAGAATTGACACATGCGGTGGTAGAATTCATCGCACCTCAGGAATATATGGTATATCAATGAGTTACTGTTTGTCGGGGATCCACCGTTCTGAACCTACTGTAACTTTTAGGTTCGGCCGCCTCAACCGGTAGTGATGTTGTTTGTGATAGATGTGTCGTACGCCGCTGTACAATCGGGTGCGTTTTTACCTCTTCTTGTGGAGCGTAGTTAATGACACTAAGAGTATCTCAATAGGAATGCTGGCTACAGCGGCAAGAACCATCCTGGATACTCTGGACTCGGTGCCAAATACGGATAACCGCACCAAAGTGGGCTTCATAACCGTCGATAGTGCACTGCATTTTTATAATCTGAGTGTGAGTAAGACTGGAAGACCTTTTTTCTTGTGAAGATTGGACTAAAGATTCTGTTACAGCCCAACCTTGCCGAACCTCAAATGCTGGTTGTGTCGGATTTGGATGATACATTCTTGCCCATGCCGTATGATCTATTGGTGTCTTTAACGGAATCGCGATCGGTGATCGAAATGCTATTACAACGGATTGGAGACATGTTCAAAAACACACAAAACGTGGGCAACGTCCTCGGTCGCGCTCTGCAAGCAGCACATAAGATGATTGTACGGTTACCGTCGATCTTGTCTTGATGTGGACTCTTTGACTAATTTCTGGCATATCAAAGAGTCCAATTGGTGGAAAGATTATCGTTCTTCAATCTACATTGCCGAACCAGAATGAAGGGGCATTGAAGGCGCGCGAAGACCCCAAACTTTTGGGAACACCAAAGGTCCGTAACATGTGTGATGCGACATCTTTGCAAAGGTTGACAATAGGTGTTGTGTGCAGGAGGTTTCACTCTTGCAGCCACAAACAGGTTTCTATAAGAACCTTGCCGTATCCTGCTCGCCCACACAAGTAAGCATCGATGTGTTCCTTTTCAGTGCGCAGTACGCAGACATCGCTACCCTAAGTGAGTTCAGTGCTTGGAACATCTAGGCCAGCATAGTGCTTACCTTGTCCATCAGGCGGATGCGCCAAGTTCACAGGAGGGTCGGTTTACTACTATCCTGCCTTCAATGCCGCTCGGTCCGAGGATGCTATGAAGTTTGCACACGAATTCTCTCACTTCCTATCACGACCAATTGGATTGGAGGCTGTGATGCGAGTTCGAGCATCGAAAGGAATTCGCATGACGGCATTCCATGGAAACTTCTTCCTTCGGTCAACGGACCTCTTGTCATTACCAAATGTCAACCCGGATAACTCGTATGCTGTGGAAATGACTCTACAAGAGAACCTAACAACGTCACTGGCATGCTTTCAAACTGCTTTGTTACACACTAGTAGTAACGGTGAGTAGATGCAAATGATGTATTAGACGAGCTTCCTGCTGACCACATAAACCTTATGCTATAGGAGAACGGCGAATCAGGGTCATCACGTTAGCGGTTCCCGTAACAAATAACTTGGCTGATGTGTTTGCCTCCACCGACCAGTTTGCAGTTGCATCTCTGCTATCAAAGAAAGGTAAGTTCAACAACTAGTGGGATATGGTATGTGATCTGATGTTAATGATGTCGTTTGATAGCCGTCGAGCGAGCTCTGACGTCGAAAATCGAGGATGCGCGAGAAGCTCTGATGTACAAACTTGATGACATTATGGGCGCTTATAAATCGTCCTTCACCACGTCGGGACAAGCTGTGCAGTTGCTCATGCCAGATAACCTGAAGCTACTTCCCTTGTTAACGTTGGGATTGCTGAAGAATGCAAGTACAGTGGCCTTATTTCTCAATGCTGTCAGGGTGCTAATTTGATTACATTTTGGTCAACAGACGGCCTTCCGTTCCACAAGCACGGTACCGAGCGACCTGCGTTCATACATTATGGCAATGCTGTACGTTCTTCCTCCAGAGATGTCCATGGTGCAGATTCATCCCAGATTTTGGGCTTTGCATGCCCTGGATCAACAGGTTGGTGACAGATAGTTGTATTGACGTCGAAGATTCTGTCATGTCCGAAACTTGGCTAATGCATCTACCATATTATAGGCTGGGTTACCTGGTGCGGATGGGCGAATTGTGAAACCCCCGTCGCTCAACTTGAGCAGCGAGAAGCTGGAACGACATGGCCTGTACCTCTTGGAGAACGGATTCGAGATTTTCATTTGGGTAGGACGCGCAGTCGCGCCTGAACTGGTACAAATGCTTTTCGATAGGCCAGCATACGACGCAATTACTGCTGGAAAGGTATAACGTTCATTTCAATGGATGATGGAGGATTACACGTGTCTGATTCTCTTCATCGTGGCAGACTACCTTGCCAACATTGCAAAATGATTTCAATGTACGAGTCAACAACCTTATCGGCAAAATACGCGAGGTCCGAATTCAAATGATGACAACCTATCCACAATTGTACGTGGTCAAAGAAGATGGAGAACCATCTCTTCGTATGTGGTTCCTATCGCAGCTGATTGAAGATCGCATCGATGCAAGTTACTCGTATCCCCAATTCTTGGGTGTTTTGCGGGAACGGTTAGGAAAGGTTGGCACTGCATGATCGCAATAGATTATATCTTTACTGCTCCAGAGTCTTTTCATCGTTTGCCCCGACCAAGCCTATAAAAGCTTGTATACTTTGCTTCTCCACAGTGTGCTCGTCGTTGAAGCCAAACCTTGATGCCAACAAAAAAAAAAAGAAACTCTCATCATAGTCGGTAATGAATCTGCATTTGGACAAATTGCATCCAGACATGACGTGAGTCACACAACCGCCTCCATTTGAACTTTTGCTTGGAGGTCCCGCGTCCATCGGTGGAGGATACTCACACAAGATGGCAGAAACACCCGAGCTCATATTGTCAACAGAAGGGAGCACGGATCTGCCCCATGAGGACTCAACTATTGGTATGAGCAGCGAAGATTTAGACCGCGGTTATCCACTAGATCTTGCAGCAGAGAGCCACGTTGTCACTGCCAGAGGATTGCTCACCACCGGTACCCACATAACCGGAAGCGAGCATTGCGGACACACGCCGGCAGATGAGTTAGCTCCCGCCTTGAGTTTCGAGGACTTGACAGCGGGAAGCTACACAGACTTTACTGGAATTGAGCAAGCGTACGAGGTGGACTCTGAGAACCTAATGGAGCGACCAACTCCGAGTCCTCCACCGCAACGGGTTGCCTTGCTGCCCTTTCTACTAGTGGCTGAGGAGTATCCGGACGATCTACTCAATGGTCTGAGTGAAATTTCCCAATACTGTGTTTATAAGAACTTTGTAACGGCGGATACCATGTTGGAAGCAGAAAACGTCGAACGTATAGCTGTGCGGTAAATATTTGAATGACAGTTCCGCTATGGCCTCATTAACTGAGTCCTGGACATAATTTCGGACAGCTTCCAATATGATGAGCAGCTCAACCCCGGTTCAGTGAATGTCCGGCCCTCTCACATGAACCATCGGCAATTACCACCAGACGAAAAGTTCGCCATTGTTGTTTCGTATAAGAGAAAAAGCGAAGGTGCTCCGTAACATGTTCTGGATCACGCAAGACCGTTCGACTCATCGCGATTTTAAAACATACAATATAGCCTTTCGAGCTCTGGGTCGCATGCTTGGAGTGTTGTTCGATATCCGGGAGCCGTCGGACTTGGCCACGGTGATGAGTTGGGATGAAACAGCTCAATTTCAGACGCTCGGGTATGAAGGAGATTTGTAATGTGTATACAAGTCACTAATACCGTATACGCTCGCCAGAGTGATGATTGATTGCAGTCGATCCGCAGTCCTAACCATGCAGACGGTGATGTACCTGTTACGGACTTGTGCATTACTGGGAATGAACACTTTCCAGTTGTATACCGAAGATACCTATCAGGTATGGGTTAGTTTCTTTGTGCTGGTATGTCTCCAAGTAACATTATTTCTGCAGATTGAGGACGAACCATTTTTTGGTTATTTGCGAGGTACATCCGACGTCGCGCTGGACTAAGAATGATATACGTCAACTAAATCTATAATGACGCAGGGGGATTCTCGCAGGAGGACCGAGCTTTGATTGATAACTACGCATCAAACTTTGGTATAGAGGTAAATGGGTTCGTTACTGCTCATCACACTTCTTTGGGTACTTAGCACGTATTGCGAAAGGTCTTCCCGTGCATACAAACTTTGGGACACCTTGGTCAAATCCTGCAGTGGCCGAGGTTCGCAGGGGTGAGAGAGTACGTGAAACCCTTGCTTATGATTTCGATGGCGCCAACGCGTACTAACTTTTATGGTTCGCTAGCACGCATGAGGTTATCTTACCAGGCTCAGAAGAAACATACCAGCTGATCGAGAAGATGGTCGATGCTGCATCTAAGCCACTGCAATCGAAACGGATTCATATTGGGATGGATGAGGTACGAGCGTAAAACAAGTATCACCACTAGCAAGAAACTGACATTCCGTATGAAGGCACATGGGGTTGGCGAAGGTCGATATAAGCAGATTTTCGGTGAAAAAGATAGTAGTGAGGTCTTCTTGGCGCATTTGCAGAGAGTGGAAAAGATATGCAAAGACCGTGGTTTGAAGCCAATGGTTTGGTCTGATAGTGAGTATCCTTGTTGTATGATTACTTGTCTTGGACGCGTCCACTGAAAAACTATTCTGATCATTACAGTGCTCTTCACTTTGGGTATGTATCGTTTGTAAGGATACCCTTCCATTGGGGGATTTCCATTTAACAGCTTGTCTAGCCGCCAAGAACAATTCCTTACAGAGTTATTACGAGACCTCGGACTTACCTCAGGAAATGAAGCACAACATGCCCGATGATTTGGATCTCGTCTATTGGGATTACTATCATGTAAGGGGGTAATTAGTTGATTGGGTCTGGGCGACCAGTGTAGGCTCATCGTCAAATTGAAGGTGCAAACAGATGCGTATTCGCGAAAGATTCAACAACATCGGGATCTTGGATTTGATCCCTGGGTAGCTGGAGGCATTTGGTAAGAACCAATGCGTCGGAAATTCAAATGATGTTACAGTCTCGCTAACACCATAGAAGGTCGTGGAACCGGTTTTATAGTGCGCTGCCATTTACATTTGCAGCATCGGATGCTTGCCTAAAAGCCTGTAAACGTGACAAGGTTAAAAATGTTTTCGTGACAACGTGGTAGGTAAGGTGACCTTTATACCGCAAGGGTATCAGAGGGGTTTTCCGCTAAGGGACTCGTAGGGGAGACGATGGGAATGAGTGTGATATTCTGTCGGCACTTCCTGGATTTGTCTATTATTCGGAACATTGTTATACGGCGAATGAAGACATTGATTGGAGTCTGTTCCGGAGAAATTTTGCGGGCATATGTGGAGGAAATCTCGATGATTGGGTACGTACCGCCTACCCTGTCGTGCCTCTCCCAGATAGCTGAATGCGGGCGATCCTAGATATATGCATCCAAAATCGATCTACCTCTGGAGACAATTGACCGAACGCGCTTTCCGGTATGCAGTAATCGATGTTTGTGTTGGTACTGTTGATATTGGCGTTGATCTAGACTGTTTGCAATGTAGCCGAATGTCTCAAAGTGGCTGCTGTGGAATGATCCTTTCTACGGCTTCTTCTCGCCACAGTATGCTGGCGTAGATTTGGGATTGCATTATCAAGAGGTGCGAAACTACCTTTTTGTGCCGAATCTGGGAGCTCTCGTCTGATGAATTTCGAAACCGATATTCTAGATTGCCCAGCATCTGGCAACCGTGTCTTCTGGAGAGCAATTGCTCTTGTACCCTTTGAACGAACGCCTGGCGTTTCCAGCCAGAATCGCGGATGTTTTAAGATTGAAAGCGAACTTACGACAAGGATTAGTCGCTGCATACAAGTCTCAGAACCCTAAGAAAGAATTGTACGAATTCGTGCAGGGCCCCGTACGAGAATTGCGACGTGCGGTGGATCGTTTGTGGAAGCACCATCGCGATCAGATATGGCTTTCCACCTACCGGCCTTTTGGGCTTGAAATCATCGAACTGCGTTATGGAGGCTTAAGGACCCGTTTAGAGACTTTGGAGGATAGAATCTTGGCTTTTTGTGGTGTGGAAAGTGATGTTTTTCAGACCGCGAGGGCGACTGTAGGAATGGGGGGAAGTACCCGTGCCGACCTTTCTGAGCTTGATGCTGAGCTACGGGAAGTCTACGCAGGAATTGGGTTGGAGATCGTGGTGGATTTCGCACGAGCTTATACACCATCGCGCGCCCTCGGTACTGGCTAATGCGGGAGGTCACTTTACTACAATGACACAATCGATGTATTGGAATGTACAAAGGATCATATATAAAGTAGGCTATTCACATAAGCATTTCCCCGCGGACAAAGTCACTTGAAATCGCAATAGTTTTCCATGCCAGTCTGAACTCTAACACTATCAACCCTTCTCCTTCATTATACCAGTCTTTGCCCTTTCTCCAAAGCGTCCAGCCGGTTGCTGGATAAGCGTAAGGCAAGAGAGGTGATATGTAGCGAATGAAATCTCACTCCAAGCTTCATCGGCCCTGCAAAGTGCCCAGCAAAAGCATCGGATAACAATTACACAAAGGAGGCAACAGTTAACCAAATCAATGCACAAGTGCACCATGCCCAAAATTCCAGACTGGTGGACAATTCAGGCATTTCATAACATGATTATCCAGCTAACATGACGGCATTATTCAAAAGTAGCTGGATATCTTTCCAAATACGGAAACCAGAATCCACAGCGGTAGTTAGAAAACGAGGTTGGGCGGAATAGTACCCTCCCTCAATTCTCCTCGGCAGTGCGCTATCCTGCTTGTAAAGGTGTCGTACGTGCGACACTGTTGACTCGCACCAAACAACATTTGTCAAGAAGACATCCCAAGCCCACTCTTCGAGAAGAGGTTCGTCAAAATGTCTAATAATCGGCATGTCGAATGTGGAACTCGAGAGCAGGTTGAGATGACGGGTCAGAGTTTACAAGCCACGCTTTGTCCGAACATTACGTTGTTCGGACGTTGTTTGCCAATACGCCATTAGGCATATCATTCTTTTCAACGTCATGCTTGCATCGTCGTCGGATCTGCCTAAGCTGATCGTGGCGAGACTACGGACTGCAGAAGGCCCAGTGTCGCTCAATGAACTCAAGAAGGCCTTCGCAAGTGCTGATGAACCGGAGGATGCTGTAGCAAATGCGATCAACAAACTTTTATCAGATGGCGAAATGTACGCCAACATGCAGAGCTTCGATATGCACACGCGCATCTAACCATCAGGTCTCCACATAGCAAGCACAGAAATATAACTGGCGCAACAGAATCCTCGCCGGATGTGGATATATATTGGATACCCATTACTTGTGAACATGCTTCTATACAACCTCCTTCTCATTCGACACCGCGAAAGAGCCAACCCACCGCTACTCCGCGAACGTAAGCATAGGATGTTGTGCACAGTCCTACGACAGTGTTAAAAAGGACAGTTTTTAGGCCTGAAGTTGACATAGTTCAGCAGGCCGCATATAAGGTATATACCTGCATTGGTTGATTTCATCCAGGTGTTCGAGGTTGACGAGATACTTTGCTTCTAGGAAACACTAAAGACGGATGTTGCCAATCTACGTCAGAGGATAGCTGAACTAACGGAGGAAGGGCGATCGTTAGAAAGTGCTTTAAGGTGGGGGACCAAGAGGGCCACAGCAATATTTGCCCTCCTCTTTGCTGACCATGACCAAGACCTGGCGTAGATGTTGAGGAAATGCTCAATTCTCATATCAAGCTTTTGCATGAGTACAACGAAATCAAGGATGTGGGGTAAGGAACATTTGTGGAACTTGGATCATCATTCGTAGTGTTATTCACGATTTGTTCATCATTCACGGCTTACCCACCTTAAAACGTTTCAGTCAAATGCTTATAGGAAAGTGTGCAGAACAAAATGGTACGACAACACGTAGCATGTATGGAGAATTTGGCCTAGACCCAGACGATTGAGTGTTTCGGAACGGGTACATAGCGACATGCCTATCTGACAAGCCTATATTATATATTCTTTGTACATGCAAAAATATTCATTGTTTATCGTAGTCAAGTCCGCTTTTTGCGAAGCGAGCCGGCCATTGAAAGTGTTGACAGTCTCAACATCAGGATTCGATCATCATCAACAGGCTGTGTTCCTCTACTGGTTCCCACACTATAGACTAGGTTTACATGCTCTGCAAAAATACAGCTAAAACCTCGCAATGTTTTCTATCCATCAGATAAATGTTCGTGCATATCTGGACTGGCGGGAGGAGACTTCCATGCGGTCACGTGAATTCCCGATCAACCCATCCCAGCGCTCCCAAAAGTTAACGGATCCTGAAGAGATCTTGCACCATGTCGCTTTCAGCAGAAAAAGTTAAAAAGGCCAAGGAGCATTTACTCAAGGCACTCAAAGAAGAGAATTCAAAGGTGCGCAAGCGTTTTTGCATACCGAAGTTCTACATTTTGTTGGGGGGCTCAATTTTTGCACTTTGAAAACCCCACAATTTATTGATTTGTCGTTCTGAAGACGGTAGATGACTTGCTGGAGTATCTGAAAGGCGTTACAGCATCAACGGAGCTTTTGAAGGTATATTCTGTAGTCAATCAACGGTGCGTTGCCACGCGACAATAACCATCCAAATTGTCTATGCGAATAGGCGACCGGAATAGGAGTTACCGTCAATTCTATACGAAAGAATACCTCCACCACCGAAAACCAAAAGAATGCTGCGAAATTGCTAGTTTCAAAGTGGAAAGATGACGTGGCATCTAGCAACGGAACCCCCAAAAAAGCGACCAACGGATCGACGAGGCCTGTAATGAAAGGTTAGTCTGCTGGATAGTATCCCTTGCATCACTCTTCTTACAACATACACTAATGCTTAATCTAGTTGACACATCGACTAACTCAAATCCGTCATCGCGGCGGTCATCCGAGGCTGGGACACCCCACTCTGCGGATAGGGCAGAGAGGACGATCGAGGGGGATAACCTTTCATTCAAGTCAACGGGGGACAAAGTTCGAGATAAGTGTATCGGGTTGCTATACTCTGCCCTCACACTAGATGTAGATATTGGTAAGTCACATTCAAATTGCGCCCTATACGGTTTCAAAAGAAACTGACAGGTTGTTGTTCAGATGGTGAAGGAGTACTACCAAAAGCCATAAAAATCGAAGACGTAACATATATCGAGAATGGTGGCGCGACGGGCGCCTACAAAAGTCGCATTCGCTCCCTTTGCTTCAATTTGAAGGATAAGAACAACCCAGATCTTCGTGACCGCATCCTGCAGGGTAAAATAGCGGCTGAGCGCTTTGCCAAAATGACAACTGAAGAGATGGCCTCGGCGGACAGGAAGAAGGAAGTTGAGAAGGCATTAAAGGAATCGCTAGAGGAGGCAGTGTCGGCAACGGACAATCAGTCGGAGACTGATATGTTCCAATGCGGCAAATGCAAGCAGAGGAAGACCAAATACTATCAAATGCAGACACGTAGTGCTGACGAACCTATGACCACGTTCGTGACCTGCGTGGTGTGTGGAAACAAGTGGAAATTCTGTTGAGGGTCAAACACTGAGCAATGTGATCGTGTTGACGTAGTAGAAAATGGCTTGCATGGTGGACGTTGGTCGATTTTCATGGGGGGAATGTACATATTTGTTGAACTAGCTTCAAGGTTGTCTAGAGACGCTGCTCTGAATGGATAGGGACCGTTGAAGAAAGAACCCATGCTATCGTCCCAGAGGCGGCAGCACGTAATTGGTTATGATATTGTCAAAAAATCGCAATCCTTCAACTGTGTCGTCTCTACATATCAATCCTCTACTTTCGGTCAACTGAGAACATGGTAGAACGTCAGTTAAATCCCATAAAACGACAAAAATACGCAGTTACAGTCAGGCATACGCACTAGTAATTGCTCCACAGCCAGCACGACGGACACTTGTTCCAAAGGCGCCAAATCGACGGCCTTCAAGCCATCCTTTGCACCTTTTACGTGTGCGTGAACCCTCCGCGCTGTCTCTTCATCACTGTGAGTGGCAGCTTGAACGACCAGTAATCCGCTGTCAAACTGCCGGATTCGATATGGTAGCTGCAAGGTCTCAAACTGATTGCAGCATTTCCGCAAGTCCTGCGGTGAGATTAATGCTACGATAGACGAGATCCACACGTCAGGTTTGTTTCGACGAGAACCCCTCAGACCGACGTTCTTTAACGTACCGACCCCTCGGGCTCTATTGAACAAGCAATAGACATCGGTCAGGGCTATCATGCCACCGCCAGTGTGCTTCTTGAGGACTTTTTCCAGGAACTCGGCCAGCTGCCTCGCTAGTTCATTAATGTACAAGTCACCAGCGGCTTCCCTGGAAATGATCAAGATATCCAGTCAAAACAAAGTCATCATGGTGGGAAAGTAAAACGCACGCTACCTTGTGACAGGACTGTGAATGCCCAAGTCTACAAGGTATGAACGGAAGGTAGCCATTGCCGACGAGTCATCTCCGCCAGCTGCGGCTCCTTGGGCAAGCTTTGTGCTGATAGACTCGGCAAGCTTGACCTATAAAGTGACTTAAGATAAGCTGGGCCCAGCGGAATATAATCATAGATGTTCATACCATATCTGCTGCCTTGGCCATCAAAGCGTTCAGGTCACTGAAGGCTTCATCAAGCGTATTCCCCATAAGTTGATTGGACTGTTCAACTGATCGCATGATGCTGGCTGCGGATTGTTCGAGTCAGCATGGTGATTGGATAACTGGAAATAGACGGCATACCAATGCCACCGACGTTTGGGCCCTGGGTAGGTTGAGAGATAACGGGTCTCGCTGGTACATCCTTGGGCGCGTCATTCTGGAAACGATAGGAACGTCATTGATTGCACTGACTGGCGAACACGGACCTGGCCTCCTTCTTACCTCCCAAGCGCGCGCGGAAACGGCTGACTTGAGAGCCTTTAGAAATTCAGACATTCCTCCCCCACGAAATGAAAGTTTTATCACAGCATAGTTTTCGCCGTCTTCGGCAGGTGACGAATTGCCGGAATCGGACGCCACGTCCTTGTGCATTTGGTTCTTGATACCCTTGTTCGGCTTTTCATTGTTCAAGTCATCTCTACAACTCAACGGAGGTGTAGATGTGGCAACTAATTGTGGGGAGTTGTCGTGTGCTTGTGGACGCTCCAAATCATTGGCGTGTTCTGTATCTGGCAGCAAAGCATCACATAGTTCACAATTTTTTAAATACGGGTGATTGAGGAATGTGCAGGCAGGGCAGCCTTTCTGCGGCCGTCGTGTTGGAGATACTGAAGCCGCACGGTTTGATGAACTGTGAGGTATTGCTTCTTTTGCTAGCGGCGGTGTCGCTGATTTCTGCAGGTTTGGATACGAGTAGGCGGAAGAGGCAGAGGATGAGGATGGGGGGACTTCTGAGGACCGCAATGATGGTTGTGGCTGTTCTCGCTTTGTCTGATGGACACCACAGAGTTCGCATTTCGAAATGGAGCTTGTATTTGAATGTTGACATATTTCACATATCCAAGTAGAAACTTTGGCTGGAACGGGCGGTGGGGTATTGTGATTGACTGGGAGACTTGAATTCTCTAAAGGCTTCTTTGGTCGGTCAAGAAGAGGTGCCAATGATAATGTGATTTTCGGAGAGGAAGCCTTCCATATGCCACCCTGGGTACTAGACAGGTTAGACATGGTTTCAAAGGTTAAAGAAAACTGCCTGATTTTGCTCTACCTTTGAATCAACACTTTTGACGGCTGTCAAGGGCAGTTGCAGACCGTTTCCACGCGTCTCATCAACCCAAAGCAGTCGGTGTGTTGTTACAAAGGCAATACCCGTATCGAACTCGTGCAATCGTACCTTCCTAACAGATAGACATTCAGCTATCAGAAAGCATTGGTGGACCCTAACAGTAGCGCCCACTGAAAGGTTACTACAATAATTACCCTTCGTAAAGTCCAACATCTTTTTGCATAACTGATATGGTCTCTTGTGAGGAGAGAATGGGACGGCCTGACGCCGTCAACTCGAGTTCCGAAAAGTGGTCCATCAAGCGCAAGATCGTTTGCGTCGTCGGGCAAAACGTCAACACTTTCTGGCTGCGCGGTGAGCGCGACTAAGCATGGCCTATGACTAAGCACTAAGCGTGGCACAGCTCCACCGATTGCTTTGTCAGATTATCTCAACCTGCATTTGAAGTGAGAGACTTCGTTTGTTGACTTTTTCCTCGTCGACCATGGAGCGATCACCAGCGACTTCCAATCTTTCCCAAGTGAAGCACATTATTCTCGTTTTGTCGGGCAAAGGAGGCGTGGGAAAGAGTACGGTATCAACTGAGCTCGCCCTTTCCCTTGTCGAACTGGGGAAGAAAGTTGGTGTTCTCGATATTGACCTTACGGGTCCCAGCATTCCTCGTATGTTTGGGCTCGATGGACAACAAGTACATCAAGCGTCGACAGGGTATGTTTGATAGTCACTTTATGGTATATGCTGTTTATTAACTTCAATGTGAACAGATGGATTCCAGTATATGCCGACGAAACGAAACGCCTCGCGGTCATGTCGCTGGGTTTTTTGCTACAAAATAAAGACGATGCGGTAGTATGGAGAGGACCGAAGAAAACAGGTACTTGGCTATGCTGCGTGTTCACGCTTCTATTATGGAACCTAACAACATGTATTCGTTAGCAATGATCAAGCAGTTTTTGGAAGATGTGGCGTGGGGCGAACTGGATTATCTTCTGATAGATACACCACCAGGAACTTCTGATGAGCATATTTCGGTTGCCGAGAACTTGCGGCAGTATAATCCAGACGGAGCCGTTGTTGTAACAACACCCCAAGCCGTTTCTCTCGCAGATGTGCGAAAAGAGTTAAATTTTTGTCGCAAAGTTAAGATTCCGGTTTTAGGCGTAGTAGAAAACATGAGTGGATTTGTGTGCCCGCATTGCGCGGTAAGTACCTAACCGAAGGAATAACTTTTTATGCCATCACCTTACACAGCGCCTGCCTTGCATAGGAATGTTCAGATTTGTTTTCAAAGGGCGGGGGTGAAGCAATGGCAGAGGAGTTCAAGGTGGATTTCCTAGGACGAGTACCCATTGATCCGACGTTGACGACATTGATCGAAGCCGAGGGTGGCAGCTTCGTCAATCGTTTCACTCAATCCTCCCTGTATCCGATATTTCAAAAGATTACGGAAAAGGTCACTGACAAGTGCGAATCTTCCTCGTAATGCGATACATTGTTCGCCTTAGTTTGAGAGTATTGGAAGTATTCGTATTCATGATCATAGTCGTGGGTAGAGGTACATGGTAGCTACAACACCTATTGCATTTTGATGGACGGACCAACCCGAGGCAATGTAACAACCATTCAGCTCCAGAGTTTACCCGACTTGAATTGTTTACTGGTCTGATGTTTCAATGTATTTACAGCAATATATAGATGACAGAAAATTAAATAAAAAGCAGCTTCGTCTATGTCAGGACCGTCTTTCTTTTAACAGCCTGTTCAATCATCATCGCCAGTTTCCGATCTTTCTTTGCGATGATGCTTGTCGCACGTCCCTTCGCACCATTTCGTGCAGTTCTCCCCACCCGGTGCAGATAGTCGATGGCTGTCTGTGGAAAGTCATATAAAATCACATGTCCAACATTTGTCGTATCTAGCCCGCGTGATGCTATATCGGTGGCGACTGCAATCATAGGTTTGCCGACATGGTCACCTTCTTCGTCCCCCTTTGACGGAGCTTGAGCAAATCGTGCCAAAGCCTTGGTCCTCTCCTTCACATCAACGGTGCTAGATATATCGACAGCATCATACTCCTTTCTCCTCAGGAAATCCGCCAGGTCCCCGCAGCTTCGTCTGGTATTACAGAAAATGATGATTCGACTATCATCAACCACTGCCCGCTTCAATACATCCAAACACATTTGTTGCTTTGTGGTTGAACCATCAATCCGTAAGAACGCCTGGCGCAGCCGCGGTAAAGTTCTGTGCAACGATGGCGTGGTGATACGCGTGATGTTGGGGAAGTCGCGATCTAAGATCCGTACTACTGTGCGCGGTAAAGTAGCGGAAACAAAGACGAATTGACACGGCCGTTTCAGCTCCGATGCAAACGCTCGTGCCGGTGCCAATACTTTCTTTAGCTCTGAACCAAAACCCTCATCGAACATAGTGTCTGCCTCATCTACCACCACATGCCTAGTTTGTGAAAGAGAAACCCCTTCAGATTCCATAAGATGTATTAGCGCTCCAGGTGTCGTAATGAGAACATCTACTGGTGCGGTGGCGACCATTGACTCTGACACGTGTCGCGGAATGGCAGAATGCACCCCAACAACTCGCAAACGAGCGATATGGCTTATTTCCTTTGCTATTTTGGTGACTTGTCCAACCAGCTCTCGTGACGGTACGATCACAACGGCCCTTGGTCTACGAATCTTGCGGATGGATGATAAACCCGAGGTGGCACTCACTGTCCTTCCATCTGCCGTAATTGCCTCGATAATATCTACGGAAGACTCTCTTTGACTTTTGTCTGCCAATGCCGAATCCTCCTCTTCTTGTTTTAACTGATTCATCACAGGTACGAGGTACGCCAAGGTTTTTCCACTACCAGTTTCCGCGGCGCATAAAATAGGATTATAAGGGTTCTCCAATGCTTGCGGAATGCAGAGAGCTTGCACCTCGGTAGGTCGAACATGCCCAAGGCCTTCCGTAAGGGCTTTTACAATTTCTGGGCGCAGGCCCATCGTTTCAAACCGACTTTGGCGAATGCGGTCCTTAAGAACAGCTAATGATTCTGGCCGGGCAGTGTCGTATTGTGTACTCGCGAGAGCAAATTTGGCCGTATGGCGAGCCACCTTTGCGGCCTCCTCCTCTTTGGCGAGCTGTGCTCGTTTGCTTTGAGCAGTTTCTATGCGTCGTCGTGGGCCAGGTGTTCGCCGGCCCACTTGCACAGCAGTTGCTTGACGTTCTCCAATTTTTCCGCCACTCTTAACCTCAGGCTTTGGCGGTTTTTTAGCGGCAGCTTGCTTTGGTTGGCCGTGTTTAAAAGTGGCTAATCGTAGTCGTGGGGGGAGTGCAAGTCCGGGGATTCTAGTCTGCTTTCCTGCTCTCTTTCTTTTCGCTGTCTTGGCTGTTTTGCCCTTACCCTTACCGATTCCACCTAGTTTCTTTTGCCGTGGATACTTTGTTGAAAAGGTGAATTGATTCGAGGAACGGGTGGATCCTGTACCATAACTACGAGCAGGAACCAAGAAGGAAAACTGTAAACACAGGCATTGACCATGATGAAAGTCCAACTGTCTGGATGCACGCTGCAGTGCAATCTTATTAGCCAGTGGACGTACGCAGGCTCGGCCTGCTGTCGATAGTGTTGCCCGGAGCATAGTGAGGCAGATGAATGCAGGAAACGAGGATCGCTGGTCCATTGGAAACTTGTTCTTGCTTTAGCTGTTATTGCCATGGCAGCAAGCTGTGTCACCAATGAGTAACAGCGACAGCAGGCATCGCCGCCGTCAACAGTTTTTGGGACCCATCTGCAAAACCCTTCTTTCCCATTTGCAACTGTTTTGTTGCACTGCTACCTTCCCGAGTTTTGGTTATTTCGCTACCTCACAAATTACTTCGCGCTCCCAAATATATATCATAAACCTTGAACCGACCAACATCAAACTACTCGGGCAGACCGTGTAACCATCTTGGAAAATGGCGGTGAGTGATGAGGCATCGAACCAGCGCAACAACTACCCTAGCTTAGAGCCGACCAGGTTCTGACGTATTATTTGACATTTTGTTTCATAGAGCTTATTTGGACTGGGCTCTTCTGCCGACATTGAGGTCGTTTTAAATGATGAGGATAAGCGAAAACTTGTCGAAGTAAAGGTGGATAAGGACAAGAAAGCAAAGTATCCTCTGTATTTCGATGGTGAATCGGTTAGCGGGAAGGTATTGAATGGAAGTGATACAGTCCCTTGATCTACTTTTCACACATACATCAATGCCGTAGGTACAGATCCGCGTTCGGGACGGCAAGAAGGTGGAACATCAAGGAATAAAAATCGAATGGGTCGGGCATATAGGTACGATCTTGCTACTTTGTGGCTGTTGTGGGGTTCTTGCTATCCTCCATCACCTCTAACAGCCTTGGAATACAGAATTATTCTATGACAGAGGAAATCACTATGAGTTCTCATCTCTGGCACAAGAATTAGCTGCTCCTGGAGAGCTACGGTCGAGCGCAACATATGATTTCGAGTTCAAAAATGTAGAAAAGCAGTATGAAAGCTACTTTGGGATTAATGTGAAACTAAGGTCGATCATTTTCATCAATCAACATCATTAATGATTGGGACCTGACAAAAACTGAAAATTCCGCCAGGTACTTTGTCAGGGTGACCGTGTCTCGCCGTCTCTCCGATATCATAAAAGAGAAGGATGTTTGGGTATATTCCTACCGAATGCCACCCGAAGTGAACAATTCGATTAAGATGGAGGTCGGCATCGAAGATTGCCTTCATATTGAATTTGAATATAATAAATCCAAGTGAGTGTATGGACTTCAGACAAGATTCATCCACTTGTATTGCTGACTATATCATCCTTGTGAAGGTACCACCTGCGGGATGTCATCGTTGGCAAGATTTATTTCTTATTGGTTCGAATTAAGATAAAGTACATGGAATTGTCCATCATTCGACGGGAAACCACAGGCGCAGGTACTGCGGTTTGGATATCGCCAGTTTGTTTGCGTGTCTATAACTCTAGTCAACTCAGCACCAAATCAGTACAATGAAAGCGAAACAGTCACCAAGTTTGAGATTATGGACGGTGCTCCAGTGAGAGGTGTGTTACTTTCGCAGATCCGAAAGAGTTGTCAAGGCTTACTAATTGTATCATGCATTTCTCAGGCGAAACGATTCCCATTCGACTTTTTCTGAGCGGATTTGAACTAACACCGACATACCGAGATGTAAATAAAAAGTTCTCAACGCGATATTACCTGAACTTGGTTCTGGTAGACGAGGAGAACCGAAGATATTTCAAGCAACAAGAGGTGCGTATGCAGATCTCGCGTCTGAGCCAGGATCGTTTCCTCATTGCTCGTTTCTGTTACTTTTAAGATTACGCTCTATCGACTAAAGGGTAAATATTGCAATTTGGATTATGTTTGCTATTTGATTCTCATCATCGTTCACGCTTTGGAATGCAGAGGATTCAGAAGAGTAAGTGTTACTGGGTTTGTATGCAATATCTCGGGAGTTTCTGATATTGAACTCTCAACCAGGCAAAACGAGATTGCCGGGGGCGCATCAGCAGCGGGGCTAAGCACGTACACGGGACGACGATAGCCGTTCAAATCCCTTCCGTGGTCATAATTACTGCCTCCATGGAGCCAGATAGACATTTTAATGTGATCCGCTTCGCCCAGCAATTCGCGCTCATTAAATCAGATCCCGTGCACAGCGAGATTCTTAATGGTGATAATCGTTATGGAATAACGCAAAGAAGGGGCGATCTTGTGTATCCTTATGTGACTAATATCATTCTGCTAATGAGAGGTTCACCCAAAATTGCATATAATTCTTTTACTTCTTCTTTGGCTTCGCTGTACACTGGCGTTTCCTGAAAAGATACATTTTGCCTCAGCAATCTCCCTTGAACGATCCGTAAAATGTTTTTTAAACGCACCCCAAAAGAGGATATCTTGCCATCGTTAAATGCCATCAAACCCCAAAGATCATCGTCCGTGATGCTGTTGAGTGCTCGGGTCTTCAGCTCTACTAACTGGTGTGGTCCAACATTGCCAGATGCTTGCTGATCAATGACGTCCTCAGGCGATTGTGCTAGGATTCCCACTTTGTATTTCTCGAGGAGCGGAGTGGCGTGCTCGACTGTTACCCATTTGTAGGTACCCTTCGCAACAAACATGTGAGCGTTCAGCAAGACACCTTTACTTTCGAATGGTCAAAACATACCGGGCATAGCAGTTCCGAAGGCTTGTATCCAGCCTTATACCGCATTTTCTGGCAGGTATGTATATAATAGCCTAACACCCAGAAAAACTTGAGCAACTATCGGGCGGTGCAACTCGAAAAAGACCGAACCAGAAGTACTAGCCGGCCTCATGTAGTACCTACCCATATAATAATATTTACATTCGGGCAACCGTTCCCGCAAAGACCACGTCAATCCAATCTCCCTTAATGCACTATAGGTTCCTAATGACAGAAACCCGTAATCTGGATCATACATTAAGTAGACAGACGAAACACAATATGGGAGAATATCGAGGACACCAACAGCAACAAGTTTGCCGTCAATGTAATATTTTTGGTGAAATGTGCCGTAGCCGGGGGTATGAGGAGTCGCTGGTGGCTCAAACTGAGGACTCAAACATGAGATTCCAAGTAACATCAAAAGAGAATTGTTCATGCGGTGCATTTACCATCAGAGGAGAGTCCACCAAGAATCGCTTGTATTTCTCTGGTGAAAGTTTCTCGGGACGGTCCTTGTGAATGGATATTTGGTATTTTCGAAACAGATTAAATGTTTCTTCCTCGAATGTTGCGCGGGTGAGAATAATCTGGTGCATCGTCAGAGTCAGAAACCACAAATGGTCAAAATTGTTATTGGAATGGCTATCTTTCTTTCTCTACCTTGATGTTATGGCTTTGGGTGTGATCGGTCGGGGCTTCAGCTTGGCGGAGGAGACTCAGTATATCTTGGGGAGGTGGAGGTGCGTGCTTTGGTTTTGGTGGTTTTGCTTGTTTTGCGGTCGATTTATGGGATTCGTGCTTTGGCGGCTGTTTGGGTAAAGGTTCAAGTTCTGTGGTGGATGTTTTGGCTCTGGGATAATACAATACGCTGATGAGATATAGATTTGAGAGTTCCTTGACCCTCAGTCGAATGGTACCTCTTTGAAGGGTGAGTGGTGATCGCTACGTTGCCTGTATCCTCAACATTAGATCGCAGAGGTTTTTCTGCGAGCGTCGTGGGAGCATCTGGAGGTTCGCGTGCTGGTTCTTCCAGCCTTTCTCCCACAACTGGCTCCTCGACATCCATCTGATCCTCGTCGTCCAGCTTGTCATTGGACTTTTGCCCTCGACCCTCACTCACAAACTTGCGCATTTTCTTCACCACTTTTTTTTGTCCCTTGCTACATTTGAACTTTGATACGTCCAGTCGGATCGTGAGTAGTGGGCAGCATGTCTCGGCGAGTTCGGGCTTGTAGAGGTATTTGCCTGACCGACGCCAGCCTCGATCGATCAGGTCTTGATAATCACGGCAGGACATTGCATACGCCCACATTCCAAAGGTAATGGAGGTGTCTTCATTGGAATGACAGTAGCCACAGCTCGATGTATTGCGACCGGTTACCGCAATGAATGAGGGCTGTCGGTGTGTCATGACCTATTTTGGTGATGAAAGAGAATTCCTTTGAGAGGCAACAGACCGCGTCGTGTCAGCAAAACTCTGGGGCGATATACAAATGTAATGAACTTTTTTATTTACAACGGACATCCAAAAAGTCTATCCACCTGTATAAGTGAGATTTTCTACCTGATTTCCCACTTTCAACGTAACATATGCATCAGTACCATATCCATCCATTGAGCACACCTCAATATCCCCTCCCCAATAATTTGCATAGACCTTGCTCATGGGCAAACCCAACCCAAGCTTTAAACCGGTCGGAACTACATGATGCTCTGACTCTTCCACCTTTGCAGCAAGCCGCGGAACGTGAGCAAAATTTAGAAACTTGCGTTTTGACGGATGGGAATAGGACCATAGATGTGACAGTGCATCGCGCCGGATACCGCCACCTTGGTCCGAGATACGGAAGGTGATCAGAGAGTCGGCGGATCCAATCGTGGCGCGGATGGAGGGCAGCTTTGTAACTGCGTCTGCTGTTGATGATGATGAGGGTACAGAGGAAGAAGTGTACGACGACGATGGCCCTGTCATGTCAAGATGTTCGGGTGTTGGTATCATGGGATCTCTTGCAGTCCCTCGCACGTTTCTCAATGCTGCATTGGCAGCCCACGCCTCCCCCAACCGTGGTGCATTACCTGAACTTGTTCTATAAGGTCTTGTATCGTCTTCTCGGTGTAATTCGGGCTCCGCTCCAGAGTCTTTGGTGGCTTGCACGAGAACTTCCGGAGCATGTTTTTCCAAGGTGGCCCACATACTGTTCTTGAGCAGCTCGAAAATGATGTACTCGATCTGATCTGGGATGTACGTAAACGTGGCGTCCAAGTGGCCATCCACCGCTACCTCCGGGGGTGTGACACCAAAAGCCTCCTCGAAAACTCTACTCGCCAGATTTGAGCACCTTTGCACAACATCTTGAGCTCTACATCTCGTATTGACAATTCCAATGTAGTGCGGTTCTTGACTTTCCCGTCCGTCAAATACTGCAGACAAAGTGATGTGTTGTTCCGCAAGGACCCGTCGCCCTATCCGTGATCTCAGCATTTCATTCATGAATCGATCTGCTTCACGTGCAGCAAGATGCACTCCCGATTCCGCTACCCCCATAGCCAGCCGAGGGATGGCGACCAGATGAGTGTCCAACATATGCTCGACAGTATCGCAAAACTCCCGGTTTTGTTCTAGCGTGGTGATTTGCGGGATAGATCGGAATGTCTCGAACGCCTCCCAGTAAAGCTTATATATGTGTTCGATGTGAGGATTCGTACCGACAATGAATGGTAGATGCTGAAAGTCGCTATAACCAAGGCATCACAAATTGAGTATGGGATCCTCACTAGAAAGTGGTAGATGGATCACTTTACGATATGAATACTTACAAGATCCGATGTGCCAATCTCACAGGCAACTCCGCCCGGACATAGTTGGCACTCTTCAACAGCTTTTCCTCCGTCAAAGTGCGTCCAAACACTGTCAGTTGCCGCAGTGTCACGCGTTTCGTCTCTTGCGATGCATATTGCTCCAAGATTCTATTGTGATAGAAATTGGGTTGAGAGGTATATCTCCGCCTTCTTGGTGAGCTGACATTTTGCTTGGATGCAGCACATGGACAGCGCCTCCCCAGTAGGAACGCATGCGGTGTCTTGTCCAGCATTCGGGCAACTGCGAACGGGGGTGTGGAGGAAATATCGCTGGGATGACGCTTTAATTGGAAGTACTTGCTGGGTGAAAGGTCCTTTACCCCCTGATAGGTTTCTTCATATGCCTCGTAGGGACGGTGACGGCAAGAGTAGATTGGCAGATACTAAAATTGAGGAGATGGCAAGATGGAAATCGTCGTCCTTTCCAACCAACTTGATCATGTGATAAGATCAAGATGAGATACGGCCACTTGCTGCGCAGCTGAGTCATCCACGACATGAACAATCTACAAAATAAACAAACGGAAATTCCTGCGACATTTCCTTCCTTGTATCGTCTGTCACAAAGGGAAACTCCTTTGTCGCCAGAGGCCCTGGCGGATCTCCAGCAGGTAAACCATCAGTTTTGTTCCGTTTTGTCAAAAAGGGATGTCGGTTGGGTGTTGCGTGAAGCGCAGTTGTAACCGCCCATGTTCAGGTATTTCGAAGAGCAGACAAGGGCCATAAAGGATGGCTATCCAAAGATGACTTTAAGGTTGCTATGGTCGGTTTGTTGGGATATAAACCGTCAAAGGTATGGTAAATCAATGGTTTCTTTGCAAGATAGTGCTAGATCTATATTCCGCTCCTCAGTTCGAGTTAGAACGCGCTAGGAGCAATGTCAACTTTGAAAAGCACGGTAATTGACTGCTGTGACATCGAGTCATGAAACGGATTCGCTTAACGCTTTCTCTCAAAAATAAAATAATAATTGGAAAAGAAATGACATTGGAAAGATTTATCAGCCTGCGGCGGAACTCCTCATCAACCGATCTAGATGAAACCATTCGTCAATGCTTTCTTACAGCCGACATTAGCTGTCATGGATATATCTCCCGATCGGACCTGCATTCCATCTTCTCTCAAGTCGCTCCTTCGATCCCCACTCACGTCATCGATGATGCCTTTGCTGTAGTAGATATGGATGGCGATGGAAAAGTGGGGTACCGGGACTTTGAAAAGTTGATGAAATATGAGTGCTAGGTTTTTGTTTTTAAATAATTGAGCTACAGCAAGGCAAAAAAAAATTGACAAAGACCGAGATCCTAGCAGATAGTCAAGCTGGGTGGAGATGTCAGCGCTAACCATTCTACTCTATTCTCTCTGCTGCTTCCCTAGTCGCCTCTTTTCTAGTTTTACCACACGCTTCACAGAAGAGCTAGACTTTGCTACTTCAGCTTCCTCTTTCTTCACCACGTGCCCATCCGCGTCATATTCATATTCTGGCGGGAGCTTCAGCGTTCCATTGTTTAGCTTCCAAGCCCGGTGTATAATGCGTACTACACCAAACACCACGATGACGAACCCAATGGTGTATGACAAGTAGTGCCGTGGATCACTTAGCCGCGTATAGGAGAACATGTCGAGAAGTGGGAGTGGTGGCAGTTGGTCTTTTAGCTCAGTGTCCAGTTTGGGAGTGTCCTTTTTCCGTAGAGAAGAAGGGCGAGTTCAGTCATGACCACCTTTGAATGGACCATTACGACGGACATCCCCCGGCATACCTTTATCTTATCAGGTCCTGCGGAACCATTCGTTTGTTCAGCCACCTTGTCCTCCTTGGCCTGCTTTTGATGCATGGCCCTAAACTCATCCACGGCCGCCACGCTCTCTGAAAGCCTGTTCAATGTGTTAAACAGAGCTACCACTTCGCCGCGTGTTAATCGGTAGAGCATTGGACTGAATGGAGGGCAAACAGGACATTAGAGGGCAGAGTCAATAATAAATGTCACGAAATAGCCACATACTTGTCATCATATGAGAAAAGGATCTTTAGGGCGGTTCCTAAGCCTATAAGAGAAAGGATGCTTAGGCGTGAAAGAAGAGCACAAACGCAATTAGAATTCACGTTGCATACCTGATATTTGCAGCTTTCCCCACAGTCGACATTTCTCGCACCCAACACAATCCATAATCTGCGAAATGTTTCTAAAATGCGTCTTAAATTCCTCTTTGAGAAGCATGGATCCCGAATCCACAAAAAGCGTTTTTTCGTCAAACGTCGGTCCACATGCGACAGCCTTGTCAGCAACTTGTTCAACAAGATCCTAGAACAAAATTCTTTGGTGAGTCTTAATGTGGGAAAAAGTTCTCAAGATGCATATTACCTCAATCCTATGCGTATCCGCTCCGCTACCGGTACAGAATTGGTGAACTTGATGGTTTCGCAAGTACGGCGCTAGTTTCGCAACAGCTCGGACCATCATAGTATATGTGAAGTATAGGTTCTGAACTCGGTCGGGATGGTTCCCGACTCGATCCGAAAAACATGTGAGATTACGAATCTGTTGGCCAATTGGTTAAGCTGCGTTCTCATGAACTACTATGATCTTTCGTGGACGTACCCACTCTCCGCTCTTACGATCCAACCATTGATCGCAAATATGCGTTGATATGGATGCATGAAGTCCTGTCAAAACATAAATGTCAGACACAATAATTGCATGGTGCGTCCACAACGTCTACACATACCCGACAAGAGTCGATAAAAGACCCTCTTTTCCATGCAGGTATTTTCAAGTTCCTTTCTTCTATTGGTCAACGTTCCCTCCAGGTTATTTTCAAAGAGGTTGAAACAGTTTTCCCGATATATAGCCCCCCAAATCCGTGCAGCTGATTCTCCTCCGTATCCAGTGAAGCGCTCCGGGTTCTTGAGGAGATTAATGTAACAGCCCTCTATTAAGGGCAGCCAACGGCAATGGTCAATCGCACTACCACGACTCTGGAATTGTTTTGCATCTCCCCTACCAGCGGAAAAATCATCCTCTACCGCACAAAAATCGGCTTCTGACCACTGACAGCTCTTAGACATTAGGGAAAACCCATTATCTAACGGGGATTGGTCAACTGAGGAGAGAGCGGAGGTCTTCCAGTGTTCGGGAATTTCAGACTATACGATTCCGTCAGCGTGTGACGTCCAGCGTAGGAGGACATGCAACTACGTACCTCATCAGCCTCGACAACGGAGCAGTCACGGAGAATGCAAAGTGGATTCTCCTGCCAAAACGGACAATCTTTGTGAAGGTTCGTCTGCATCCATCCGCAGAGTTAGTTGTTGTACGTATCCACCCACAGTGCATTTTGAATATATGTATACCTTCCAATATCTAAAAAATGAGGTAGTCACCAACTCTGCCAAGAGCGGGGAAAGCTCACTGTTCACTTTCTGGATGGTTCGAAACTCACAGCAGGCATCGCTTATGGGACCTGAAGGCTGAATGTCCACATGGTAAACAAGAGATCATCTACGATAGATTTATCACATTCTAGCACTTACACTGCAATAGGGTTGCACTTTGTCTTCCAATGAGGCCGATAGTTGGTCAATTTCGCGCGATATATCCGACTTGACTGAAGTCAGTGCCAACGGTATACACGCAAGAACTGCGGTCAAGGTCCAGGCAGTAGCTGTTCGAAGTAACATTTTCAAGGAAAGTATATGGGGCGGGGTAGCTGTGCAAAACAGAAACAGTAGTCATTAGGACGTTTTGGCTTTTATGACCGCAAACCAGCTCGCCAAACTTGCGACTTTTTTACGCACGACGACCATGTAGTTCCCTTGCAGCCTATTTCAAGCAATTGCCCATCCAACTCACCTCTAAAACCATGTGCAAATCATGACCAAAAACTGCTTAATGCATAAAGCTGCTTATTCCACCGCTAAACCCGTACGCGTACGTGTCTTGATCGAGAGGAATGAGCCAATCAGCAAGTGATACGTAATGGGTTTGGGCTTTTGAACTCAGAACGTTGACGTTTTTGGACGGGAGACTTTGGACATTTTCCATTGTTTTTTTTGTTGACAAAGATGAAGAGATTTATCGTTACGATACAGATACTTTGGCTGTTCTCGATTTTGGCGGTTGATGCCCAGCGCAACAGGGACAAGGTCCTATTACGCGAAGTACAGGTTTGTAAACAAGAGTCGTGCTCTTGAAATATGGTGTGCGCTAACAAAAGTGGTTGTAGGTGTTGACTTTATACAAGGGACAATACACGACTGGAAGACGTTCCAATCCCGTTCCGCAGATTAAGTGCGTTGGTGGAAATGCGTGCAGGGATATCCAGCCTGAAGTTATTCAATGTCGACAGGTGAGCTCTTTCATGGACAATAGAAGCCATTTGGAGATGTCTGCAAGGTCAAAAAGGATCGTTGGGCGATGCAACTGGGCGCAAAACGATATTGGTGTGCTAACCCATCCATGATACTTTTTCTACGGTGTCAAGGTTGGATGGGATGGCCGAGAAGCTCAGTGGGAGTGCAAAGCGGAACTGGAAGACATGTACAGGCTTGGCAAAACCATTGTAAACTGCGAAGGGTATGATTATCCGGATGACCCATACATTCTTGCTGGTAGGAAGACGTATCCGATTTGATATCTGAAAACCATCGTATTTGACCATGTTTTCTCTTTAGGATCGTGCGGCGTCGAATACGACCTGCATCGGACGGCAAAATACCGGGCTCAAACCGGTACCAATCACCGACAGGATCAGACCGCTCCTCCGCCGCTATTTACGGGAGGGCTACTCTCATGGCTGCTCAACAGCTCTCTGACATCCTGGATAACAAACAACCCGCTCACATCGTGGGTCCATCGCTTCCCGTTCTCGATCTTGTTTGGTTCGTCGAGCTCTTCTTTTCGTCGAGAAGATTGTGAGTTTGATATGTACGCAGTCGATGACAGCTCTCGGCCAAAGGTGGAAAAAGCGTATTGATGGAAATTGTGGGTTTGTAGCCTCTTTCGGACATTCTACAATTACGGGCTGGAACATGGCGCACGTCGTTTGGTATATTGTATTAGGGCTCTTTATTTATAGGTGAGACAATCAAGACGTGTTGCTGTTATGGTGATAAGATTGCTAAAGTCTGTTATTGACAGTGTGTTGAAATCATGTTTGGGTGGCGGAAGTCGGAGCGGGTCTGGTAGGAGTTCGCAGAGTACCTATGGTGATGGTCCGGGAGGAGGATCGGGTGGGGGTGGTGGAGGTGGTCCTTCGGGTAGGTTGCTAAAGGTTACTGTATCACCTCCATATGTAATATCAATGCTTTGTTATAGCGCCGCCATACGAGCCTCCGCCGCCTTATTCACCGCAATCTGACAATAGCGCGCACTCTACGAACCGTCCAGGTTTCTGGTCTGGTTTAGGACTTGGCGGACTGCTCGGTTCGAGAATGTCGGCGAATCGAAACTATTCAAGAACAAGATACCCAAATGCTTATGATGAGCCGACTTCATCCTCTTCTTCTTCTCCTTCTTCGTCTTCATGGTCTCGCCCTTCGACATCGTCTTCATCGTCGTCCTCACAGCGGCGAACGACTACTGGATATGGGGGAACTAAAAGGCGATAAAGTTGTGTAGATGAATTAGAGCCGGTTAATGCCATAGCCATTATGTTGTCAAATGCATTTTGCCTCTTGTAAGCTATTTTTAGGAACTCTGTAGCTATTTTTATCTCTTGCCGACCAGGCGAAAGTGAGGGTTCAGGAAATTTCATTTCTCAAGAGGGCACCAAGTGCGCAGCGCATCGCTCTGCCTTGGTAAACTTCGTCCGTCGTCGTCTGTTGCGCCGTTTCCCTTTGCCAGTTGCGCATCAAAAAAAGGTCAAAAAGGTGAGAGATGACGCGGTGTCGGAGTTGGCGATGGCTAAGCAAAAGATTACAAAAGGGGGGCCCAAGCGCAAGTTGAATTGGAGGGGGGGTGTTTTTTTTTTTTGTTTTTATTGGTTTTGGGGCAATGCATCTTGCGTTTTAGACGATGAGTAGAGGTGGTCTTTAACTGATAGAGCGGGCAGCTTTAGCTAGACTTTACTGGGGCGGAAGGTGTCCCCAATCTTGGCATTGAGCAAAAGGAAACACACTACAAACTTTTGGGCCTTGAGACGGGTCGTTCAGTGGAGAGCGAATGACAGATTTTGCAGTCAACTAATTACAAGCCCGTTTTTATTTGTTCAACAAAGACGGCCGAGGGATGGCAGACAGTATCGCCCTCCGGAAGAGCGTGGACTCTACTCGCAGCAAAGTTTCACGGCTCACCATTCTCTCCCGCAAAACCGCATGTGCGAATTCCCCTACAAGAAAGAGCCCCTTTCGAATACAGTTCTCCCCTTCCACACCCGGCTCCATTGTAGGGTTACCCACCACTATCGTGCCGACCATTGCAGTCGCTGCCGAACCCGTCTATGTAAAAAGGGAAGCCGCATCCTTGGCGCTTGCTGCGGACCCTAGCTATGCGCAAGCGCTGGTCAGAACCCACTATGTGAGAGAGCTTGTTGACCAAGTACGACTGGCAAAGGGGGAAAGAAGAGACAAAGTAGAGATTTTTCTGTTGAAGGTGGTTGAAAAGGTAGGGGCGTGGTAGATTATTGCCATTGCATCCATTCTGATTCTGATACACATGCTGCGCATCGTCCAGGAGCTCGAACGTGCATGTCTGCACGCTATCCATAGAACGGCGCTTTTGGAGCGAGAGCTAACGGATATGAAGGGGAGACTCGCACAATTGGTAGGGATGATCTCGAACCTCATGTTTGTTTCATTGTTTTTAATGTACTTGTGCGCAGTCATCACCTTTTAAACACAATGCTCGGGAAATGTACCTCATCCGGCCCTTTCTTCATGACTATGTTCGAGAAAACAAACAGATGGTCAAAGACTATGGGTTACCAATGATCTACTTGAGGAATGAGGATGGCGAAGGGAATCGGGCTGGGAAGGATGCTGCATTTGAGGAATACTTTGTAAAGTTGAAAGAGCAGGCCAAGACATTGGTGAGTGGTGTATGAGTACTTGCAGTAGCCAGCCGTCGGACAGAATTCTGATTTTTTTTTGTTTCCATACATAGGCCCAAACTGGACGGAACAAGTTTCTCAGTGAATCACTCAAGCTCTTGATAAAGGTAAAGCCATCTTAAGCAGCTTTGAAGTCATGTTCCTCTTTTTGAGCCAGAAAACTTTTTCTCTCGTTAGCTTGAAGCGGAATTTTATCTTTTGGAATGTTTTATCGAACGCTCTTTTAGCGAGTTGCAATGTTACATGCGACTCATTGAGAGTCTGACTCAGAATCAGTGAGTTCCAATAACATGACTTTTTAACTAATCTTTGACATTTAACGCCCCCTTTCCATCCGTTTTTCAGAGACGCGGCAGTCCTGCAAGCGGCCCTGTTTCTCCGTCTTCGCAATGCTTGTACGTGGCTAGGCTCTGCTCGGACATCTCTGACGGTAAAAACCATTCAATTGCATCCATTCATTGTCATACCAAAAGAGCCAACACTTGTTTTAACAGGAGTTGGCGTCCTCGCTTGTTCCAGATATGGAAGACTATCAATGTTCGATATGTCTAAGTGTCATGTACAAGCCCGTCTTTTTGTCTAGCTGCAAGCACCGGTTCTGCCGCGAGTGCTTGCACCAGCATGAACGCTTTAGCGCGTTCTGGGCGTACATGTACTGGATTGATGTGCAATGTCCAATGTGTAGAGGAAGTTATGCGCTCCGATCCAAGACACCAGATAAGGCAATGGACAAGTATGTCAAAAGTGTATGCAACTTTGCTTGAAACGTTTGCTAAGCACGTTGGTCGTTTTCAGTTTTATCAAACTCTACTTTCCGGTTGAGTACGCGGAAAAGAGGCGTGAAGCGTTCAAGAAGCGCTTGCAACGCAAAATATTGACATTAATGCGAAAGAACTTGTTATGGCGTCCAGAACGATATTGGGAATGAGATGGAGAGCTGATATATAGGCGTGTACATATTTAAACGTATTCTTTTTTTTTCATATATATATATATGTGTGTGTGTGTATGTGTATACATAACATTGATATGTAGATATTGTTAGTGTTTTGTTTCGAGTTGGGTACGGGAACTCGTTTGGATAGACAAGAGAATGTTTACCATGAGGAGACAAGTCATAAGAGTTCCAAAGCCAAGTTCTCGCAGCACGTTGTTCACGTCACAGATCCAATCGTGTCCATTATGACTGCAAGGTCCCTTTTTGCAAGGGGACAATTGTGTGTCGACAAGAGGAATTTGACACACAAAAAGCTGTGGCCTGATGACACCACACCTTGTAGCAAGACAAGCAAAGCAAGCAGCAAGCAAGCAGCAAGCAAGCAAGTGTGCAAACATTGTGTATTGCCAAATAACAAACAATACAAGAATCCATTCCCAAAACAACTTAAAACACTATATATCACGTGGATACCTATTAATTGGCCGCTCGATTGGAACGGAGCAAGTTTAAGGTTGTGCCACTTTACCGCTTTCTTTGAACGCCCCATCGTTTTATAAAAGTTGTTTAATGTGGTTTTTTCTTTATAAAAAGGACTTCTACTCCCCCCCCCCTCGCCTTTTAACGAACCCACAAGCGTTCAACTTGCAAAACAAAAAACGTACGCAAACATGGGCAAGGCTTTCAACACTCCCATCCCGCAGAAACCGTCGTCCTCAGTCTTTTCCATCTCAAAGCTCGCCTATGTGGCATGTTTCCTGGGTGGTCTTCTTCTTGGATGTCAACAATACAACAAGTTTACGCAACAACAGCAAGAATCCTTGCAAGAAGTAGTAAAACCTGTTGCGCAGGTGGACGCTTGGGACACTCGGCGGTACTACCCAGAAGACTTTGAAAAGCACTTTGGGCTGCGCTTGATCCATCAGCTCGAGGTACCAGACTCCCTCAAAAAGTACGTGGATGCCCACGATATCCGCAAGGACCCTACCTACTCTCAGAATATTGAACTCAGCGAAGCGTACGCTCGCGTCTATGGTCCTTTCCTCGACCACGTTCACGACGATGATCGTAGGATTTACGTGAAATGGGCCGGTCCAGAGAAGCACTTTGGTGTCTTTGCCGACACTTACCTTCCTCCCAACGCCTTTATTGCAGAATACTCTGGGATCTTGACGAATTCCTCGTTTTCCACTGATTACGAATGGGATTACTACAGTCACGATATCGTGGACGACAATGGAAACGTCCTCAAATTGGGTGTCGATTCCCAACTGGTTGGCAACATTGCCCGGTTCGTGAATCACGACGATGATCCAAACTGTGGCATCGTCTACGTGCCTTGGAGGAACAGGTGGAGGTTGGTGTACGTTGCCAACAAGGCCATTTTCCCTGGCGAAGAGTTGAGTATTTCCTATGGACCTAATTACTGGGAGTCGCGCTCGGAGGTAGTCAAGGTTTAGATGATGGGCTTTTTTTTTTGTAGAGAAAATATGGGGACATTAACAAGAGAGACTGTATAGGTAGTTTATGTTTTTTAGCTACATCCTCTCTGTGTGTATTGTACATTTGCTCGTATATTGTATAGGATCCTGCACATAGGAGAAACTTTTTGTTTACGCAATTTGATGGCCATTGTCGCCAAGATTTCAAACAGTGCAATTGAATTTTGAGCTTGCAATGTTCATGTCCCCAGTTGGTGCTCAACCCGAAAGAGCGGCTTTTGTCAAAAAAGTTGTCTTGATAGATCGCAAGCTGAAAATCATTTTGCTGGATTTTGGTGACTTTAGAGCTCATCTTTTGCAAATGATGTCGACCATCTCTTGGTTGCAAGTTATGACCTTGTCAGTTACATGTCACTATAATCATTCATGTGAAAGTATTTACGCTCTCTTGCATATGCCCTAGTTTTCTAAACACGCACTGGCAGGGCTTACTTTCGCGTCTGCCCACTCATTGATCTCGATCATTAGGCCCTGCCCGTTCAATGTCGTTCTCGATATGTCGTTCTCGCAAAACATTTAAAAAGATTGACAATTTCCCCTTGGTCCCTCTCTTCATCCTTTGCACGTAAATTCACACCAGTACAATAATCTTCCCTTCTACGCTGATCATCCCATCCAACATGCAAATCACCAGTTTCCTTGCATTGGCCATCTCTCTGGCTGCTCTAGGAGTCGTAAAAGCGGTTCCAGCTCCCCAAGGCGACAACATCATTTCACAAATTGCCTCGGCGATTGCCACCCTCGAAGCTGGATTCACGGCCACCACCACCACCGTTGCAGCAACGACCGTCGCAACGACTCTGGCCGATGTTGGCACGAAAACTGTTTCTCCAGCAACCATCGCACCCGTCCTTCCTTCTCCAAGTGGTGCCCCCGTTCTCCCTCCCATCTGCCGTCGAGCCGGATGCAACGGTGAACTATGCGTTACCAACTCTCGTGATGCCGTCTTGACGCCCTGCGTTTGGCGGCCGGAATTTGCATGCTATGCCACCGCACAGTGCGGTTACAATGCGACGAGGAGGGCATGCGCGTGGAGGCAAACCAAGTCCCTCAAGGAATGTCTGTCAAATGGTACTACGGCTACACTGTGAGCTTCCCGACTAGGATCGTGAATAATGTACAGCTATATGTAAAATGTCAGTGTTCATAATAATATATGAGTTAACAGTTTTTTACAGTAATAACTCTGCTTGTGAACCCGGGTTCGATTTGGACTTGTTAAAAAAAAAGTGATTAACTGGGTAATCATCACATTCACAAGGTGCAACTTTATTATTTATTGAAGGTATAATAAGAAATAAGACAAATAGAGTACGGAGAAATCCGCGCTAAACCAAAACGACGACATAACTAGAAGAGGTATCAGAAAGTCTAGATTTTAGATCATTAGGATGGCAGCCATTGCCGCGAAAGCTACGCTCATGCCAAGCACTTGTTTGCCATTGCGCATGGCCGAATTGGACAAGAGCGCCGCATCACTTGTGTATGCGGAATCCACCGTGATTTCAGGATCCCAAGCGACCTTGCTGGCGTGCACATGGCTGTCATCCAAAGAGGTGACCTTGAAAACGATCAACTTGGCCGTCTCCATACCACCAGTTGGGTCCCCACCATGTCCATCGGAATCTTCGGGAGCTCTTGCAAACGAATCATTAGAAAGAGCCATGGTGAGTGGGGCAGCGACGACTGATCCAGGGAAGCGAGAATTGTTTTTGAACACATCCAGAGTAGAGTTCCAAGAGAACGCTCCTGTAGCACCAAGAGAGATTTGATCACCATCTTGCTGGCACTCTGATTTGGAGTAAATGACCTTGATGATGGCCAGCGTGGAATTTTGGTAAATGTACGGAAAGTTTTCAACTTCCAATCCGTATTTGACTTGGTTGGGACGCATTTGGGATTTTGTTCCAGGGACTGTCAAGTTATTGGCGGCAATAAATGTCGAAAGTGTCACCAATGCGCCGGAAGGATCCGAGTAAGTCGTGCTAATCTCATTGAGGGTCGCATTCTGACCGCTGGGTAGCGACACACTCTTCGTGCTACGTTCAAGAGGACTCCAGTGTTGCCCAGCGAGGTCAATAGCGGATTGACTGTGGCGCCAGGTGATAGTGTCATTGACTTCCACCACCCGAAGCAGCCCAACCATAAAGGTATATTTGAACTGTGAATCGCCTGATGAAATGCTGTGAGCACATGTCTCAATGAGCAAAAGACCATCATTAAGAAAAGACTTCTTACCATCAGTATCCTTGTCAAACATAAATGTACGGATGCGCGGGAACCCAGAGGTGGACATTGAGTACGAAAACGATTTGGTATTAGCAAGGTTGGACCGTACACTAAACTTTTTGGGAGTTTCCGTAAAGGTCAACGACCGTTTCGGATGCTTGTCATCCTCCTTGTCATCAGAATACTGTGTCCCGTTATGATATTGCGTCCCGTTGTTATTGGCGAGCTCAGTATTGTTGAATTGGTTCATAGGATTGGCGGGTCTTGCCAGAGCAGACCCCAAAAGAAGAGACAGGAGAGCTATGCGGCTGATGGCTACCATGTTGCTGTTGCGTACGAGGTATCAAGACAAAATGTGGAATGAGAATGAGAGTTGTGTGTTTGATATGGTGGGATATGTCACAAGTGCTAGCCATTTTATAAACCGCAAAAGACATCAATGAAGATTTCCAAATAAAATCTTGGTTTCTCGGCGCCAAGTTGAAAGGAAGGATATTTGGCAAAAAGAGACTTGCGTCTTGGCCAACAAACACAGACAGCTCTCGTTATGAAAGATATTCGAGACTCCTTTTTATTTGATAAAAGATTCCAAAATAGCGACCAAACATGTACTTGAGGGTACGAACTCTGCTGGGGGAGCCAAGAATAAACAAAAAAAAATCGGGCACTCAACCATGGACAAGAAAGTAAACAAAAACCTCCGCTCGGCTTACGAGATACATTCACGTGACCGTGGCTGAGTCAGAATGGGGTTGAAATCAAGTTGAACGCCGTTTCGCTTCCTTTTCCTTCGACCGGCGTGCCAGAAAACCCATTTTGCTTTTGGGGTTGGAAAAGAAATCCCGCACGGATCCCGCGCACATTCTTGTTTGTATTGGATGCAACGTAGACGATATCATCTGTCATCATTTGGACACCCGAGTATCTGAGCCGAGAGTGACAGCGATCATCCGTCTTTCAAGACCCGCAACACGAACAATTGTGACGTTCAAAGTCGACTGGAACAAGTTACACGCACCGTGGATTGAACAATGGCATCACAACCGCTATCCAAACGGACCGCACCTTTGGAGCTCCGTCACCTGTCCGCCACTAAACTCTTGGATCCTTCTGACCTGCGCATCTCGACCGACTTGGGAAATGAAGGCGATATGAGCGAGGAGAACATCCCCAATTACGACGGCGATTGGAATAATGAGCCTACTTCTGCAGAATACAAAAGGGAACGAGCTAATGGGCGGCCGCGCAGCTATCACAGTCCCATAAAACAGGATGACGCAGAAAATGAAGAAGGGGAAAACGTTCATCCGGAGACGATCGGAGAGCAAGAAAATGGCTCGACGGATGAGATCTCAGTCAACCAGTCGGTGCAAACCGCCGCAGCACGAGCTGCTGAACATTCTTCCCCAAAACTATCGTCTTCACCACCACCAAAATATCCTCCTGCTGAACCGCCAAATCCATATCGACCGCAAGTTGGCCCGGCAGTCTACAAGCAGCTGCAACTGGATGATGAACATGAAGATCACGATATAGTAATTCACCAAGAGTCTGACCTGGATATACATTCCCCAGGGGTAGACGAGCTGCATAGTTGGGGCAGACGAGGCGGACGAGACGCCCAGGAGGGCTGGCTCTATAGAAAATGGAAAGGAGTCCTAGAAATGATGTGCATGGCCGTCCCATGCGCACCATAATTATGTCTTGTGTTCTGGATATGGTTGCAAGGCCATTTTGTACCCTAGTTGTGATTTGTAAATATATGATCAAGAAATCATTTGATATCTAATTGCTGACTTTGAACCCTAAGGGTCTGCTTACGTAAGTGGACCTTGCTGATTGTCCGCCCTTCAAGCGCTTTTGACGATCGTTTGCGGGGAATTCTTTGACGGAGGTTTTGTGAGTCATTTGAGCTTAAAATACGCCGATTCCGACTAGATCTTGTTTGATATGTTTGTCCAAAGTCATCATGATAACTTCGGTCTCCCGAGACTCCCCATTCATTCATCCCGAATCTTACCTGTTAAAACACTACTCAAGGCCACCACCAGAGGTCATCAGAGAACAGATATACAAGGATCAGCATGCAAAAGAGGCACATGACGCTGGAAAAAAGTGGGCAACCTTTGCCCGAAATACCCGCTCAGCAGGGAGTGTGCCGTCTTGGTTGAAGCATCCACACAAAACTCACAAGCACGAACCTGACGAAGAAGATGCAGGAACTCATGTCACCAAACAGAAACGATTACAAAGTTGGAGTGCACATCCGGACGATGACAGTGTTATTGTGGATGCAGCCAAACTCTTCCATGTCACATCTCGATTTCTACAAAAGTATGAACCGACTAATGAAGAAACGAGGCCTGATGACTTGGATGAATTTAGCCAGACAGATGGGATCAACCTGTATGCCGGATGGGATAAAGACGATCCGGATGAGGTGGAGGATAGCAAAGTTGGTGCGTCAAAGCCCACATCAGCCCACTCTACAAAAGCAACGGGACAGCTGGTGAGAACCGAAAGTGGAAAGGAAGACCGAACAGACCAAGCTATCAGATTTGAGCCTCCACTCGCTGACCCTGACGCAGCACACGAAGCGTTCATGCGCTGCGTGAAATCATGTATCATACGAGGAAAAGATGCAGAAAGTGTGCGCAAGACACCAACCTCTTCTCGGCCGGTATCCGGAACACACCTCTCACGGCGCTCAAGCGTGTCCGAAAAGCTGGTTCGGAGCCGCACTATATCTGCATCAGCACCATCGATTTCAAGAACAGATCGAATCTCGGCGTTGGCGAGACCAAAATCAAGACTTGGCACTGGGGACATGTCAGTAGGTGCGATTGATTCCTCCGGTCGTGGGAGACAAGGACCAAAACCCACCAGCGCATCATCACCCTCACGTCCATTGTCAACAGCCACAACCACCCGATCGCCGTCCTCGCTTTCTGCAAGGAAACGATCTCCTACATTAACTCCCGAACAAGCAGAAATGGTCCACCGGTACACGTTAGCTTCCAAAGATAAAATAAACCCTCGACCTGCTACCTTGGCGGATTGGCACCGTGAGCAGGTAATGCCGTAATTTTTCAATATGCAAAGCCAAGTTAGTTTGATGCCAAGTTATATTTTGATTATAGGCAGCCAAGGGCGTGATATGGGATCCCTCAGCCTTCTCAGTTCAGCGCTTCATCCGAGATTTTATCAACATACAAAAAGCATCGGCAGAAGCCTTGCGCATGCGTAAGAATATACTCCAACCATCCGCAGCTTCCGCGAGACCATCTGTACATGTTGATCCTAACCACCGAAGAACGGCGTTACCAACGACATTTGACTCACGCCGTAGTGGCTTCAATAATCATGATCGGTCGGAACACCAAGCAGCTGTGTCCATTCTTCGAAAGTCCAGGTTCGAACGAACCGGAGACGACATCAAGCAATTATACAGATATATGCGGAGAATCAAAGCGTTCGCAAAGCTAAGCGACTTTATTTTGAATCAATTATGTGCTGTCGTACATTTCCAAGCGTTTGCCAAGGACAGAGCTGTCTTTAGACAAGGTGCGTGATCTGCGTGAGGAAAGTTCAGCTGGTTTAGCTCTCATTGGGCTTCATGTCGCTTTTGAACATACAGGTGAAATCGGAACGGCATGGTACATTATTCTAACTGGTAGTGTCGTGGTTCAAGTCTCTAGCACGTCCCGGATAGAGGATAGTGTGCCGGTGACCCGTTTATATGCAGGGTGAGTCTGGAGTGATAGGACCAGTTGCCTAGTCTAGTAGTTAACATCTACACACAAACCAGTGAAGGTTTTGGCGACGTGGCGTTAACAAATGACAGGCCCAGGGGTGCGACGATCATTACAGCAGAACCCTGCGAACTGATATATATTGAAAAAGAAGATTACAAAGCCTTTTCGTTCATACACGAGAAAGAAATCAAGGAGAAGATGATGTTTTTGCGTAAAGTTTCGTTATTCCGAGATTGGGCTGCTCCATCATTGAGATCTGTTGCGCAAATCATGAACTGGAGGAAACATTTGCCTGGATCCGTTATTTTACAAGAAGGTAAATGTCATGCATACAATCCTGTTTAAACCTTGTCCTCTTCTTTCAGTTTCCAACTGACACCATTTTACGGTTCAGGTGCTCCAGTGGATGAGTTTTTTATTATTCGCACCGGCAGCTGCACAGTCCATCGAAACCTTCCCGCCACCGACCTGGCTTCGTCTCACCCTCGTCCGCTTACGGTTCAGGTCGGAATTGTGCCGACATTATCCTACTTTGGGTCAGAGGGTGTCACACAAGACCTCTCCTCCCAGACGCCCGCCATTTCCCGCTACACTATCCGTGCCTCCCATGAGGGCATCGTGGAAACTGCTGTGATGACTATCTACGATGCACGAACAAACTTTCGGAGTGCGGTCGAAGATGTTCAATTCCCCGGTCACAATGACGACAGCGAACTGATAAGGTTGTACGAAGAGAAGATTGCAAAGAAGAAATGGGACAAGATGAGGAAGGGGATCGTGCGAGGTTTGATCAAAGAGTGGAGTGGGGACCCCACCGCCAGTAACGATTATTCAATCTTGAAGAATGAGCCAGGAGAGAAACGGGGAAAGACCTGGAGAGTCTAAAGATTTGCCTCTGGCGGTTCTTGGGGTTGAAGGTTGAACATAGAGAGCAGTGATAGTTGTATATACGGATGCATGTCGAAATACATAGGTTATGCCATGTGTATTAGGAGCTTCTAAGCATGTGATGTACATCGCAGCTTGTGATTTCATCGGGTAACATCTGCATAACTTACACCCTCCACACTTCCTCCCCGCATTGTCCTCGTTACATTCTGTTCAAATAGCCGTCGGTTTGATCGTAGCACCTCTGCCGCCTCTGCCGGATGGTATAACGATCAGCTTATGAGATGAGGAGCTATCCATCCATTCACTCCAACCTTTGTTGAGCGGGTCATCAGCATTCGGTTCCAAAAACAGGTACTGCAATCCCACCATCACTGCGCTGATGTTCAAAACCGGTTTCCAATCTTCTCGCAAAATGTTGAGACAAACATTTCCCTCCAGGTCAATATTTGGATGATATATCTGCCCGTAAAACATGGTCAGTATTACAGTGAATACCAATGACAGAATCGGATCGCACCTTTTGTGTGCATAGGACCTTTGGTGGCTCGTGTGGGTAGTTGGTGTTGACTTTGAAGGTGAATCGAAAGATACCGCCCTTGTAGAATCCTGTACTCATAATTCTACGTCAATATTTCCCGAATACTCAGATTCTCTCAAGAGACTAGATGCCCACCTTCGTCTGGTCGGATAGTTAGCTGAAAGTTGAACACATCGTTCGGATCTGGGAATGACATTGTCATTGTACTTGGCAGTTTGTCCAGTTCACCCAAGTCTACATATTTCAATTTAAGCACATCAGTATATTTATTCTTTGTAATACATAATAGCCAACTTGAATGTTACCCTTTTGCAATCGGATTTGGGCTGCAGTCGTCTTGGGTTTTTTGGGCCCACCTTCACCCCCACCCTCCGCCTTCTTTTTCTTTAAAGACATAATATTGAGCATGTTGGAAGCTTTGCGATGGGGTTATCAGGAGAGAGTTTGAAGCCAAAAAAATCTCGAGATTTTCAACGTTGGGCAGTCGACGTAATGGCCAAAGGTTAAGAAATTGGATGTGACTTTGTCCCAAAGACCAGCGTTTGGACCGCGCAAGGCCAATTATGACCCGTTTTGGAAAGAGATTGCATTCCAACCGATTTGCTTACGTTTGCGAGCGGACCTTCCTCGTTTTATCTCGTATTGTTTCTTGTTGCTTTCCAGGAATAGCGCACCAGGTGGAGATAGCAGATGCATAATGCTGTCTGCTATAATGTTATGATGTTAATTTGATTGGATATACTCTAGAATGGTGTGATGGTATTGAACAGGCGAGATGCCTGTATGAGGGGCACTCTAGATCTCCATCCTCGACCTTTGTGTCGATGCAAGTACAGGAAAAGCATTAGGTAACGAAGGTGTACAGAGAATACATATTCTACACCTATCTTGTTCTGCATCAACTGTGAAGGACATTTCCTCGAACAAAGTTCCACATGCATCTGCCTTTAACTATAATGTAACACATCCAAGTTTCTAGGTAGGAGGCAGCAATAGCTCCTTTTAATCGTCATTTCTGTTTTTACTGGCCCCAACCGTTCCTCCGCCACACCGTTCAGGAGAGGGACAAGGTGACCGAGCAGTCCTTGAAAAAAGTCATCAACTGACTCCCTCAAAAAAGCAAGCGACAAATCATATTCATCGTTTAAAAACCTTTCAATATGCCTGCTCCTCCCGTGCTAGCTAACCCGCAGCTCTCTGATCCCCAACCGCAACATTATAGTCAGCAACCGCACACTCCTACTCGCACCAACGTCCTTCAGCTTCCACAAATAACCAAAGAATTGGCTTCGCTGGAACGCTCCGTGGCGGAGGCCAAAGCGGCATCTCTAAAAGAAGAGCGGACGTTGGTGGACGCCCAACGTCTTGCTATCCAGGAAATAGAGCGTACTGCTCAGGAGGAGGAACAATTTCTAGAAGGTGTGGAACTGGAGCGAGGTGAAGAGGAGCAGGAAGTTTTATTGCACGGTGCAGTGGATGAGTTGATGCGGCATGGAGTGACCGACGTAGCCGGACGACTACCAATGGGATTAGGACAAATGAACCAGAACAAGGTGGACGACGCTGGTAAACAGGCATGGCAACAGCAAACGTCGCAGATGTACCGTACTTCTGGCCATCTCCCACAGCGCTTTGAAAAGCCTGGTAATGCATCAGTATATCATTCCACTTCATTCTCTTCAATACTGAACATTCTTCTCATCTTTGCAGCCCTCTGGCGATACGAAATACAACGGTCACATCCCCTGTATACCACGACAGCCGGCGATTACGGCAAATTTCATCCTACCGTTCATGAAATGCCGACAGCGTTTCATGGCCAATCATCGAAATTTTCAAAGGTACGTGCGGAGAATCATCACCCATTGGACATGCTGACTCAACCATATTTCTTGACCTCCAGCATTTAAATCAAGCAGGTCCTTACCGCAATTGCTCCCTCAACATCAAATAAACAAACATGTATTCGGCATTTAATAGAATAAAGAAAGAAAGACTTCACAGCTCAATACATACATAAAAGCTCGCTACTATTTACAAACTGTCCATGAGTGGCTCATTCCATTTTAAACCTTTTTCGGAAATATCTCTGCGACAAAATCGTGGTCGCTATTCCCAAGACAGTGAGTATGCAACCGATGCCCAGTTGCAGGGCCTCGTAATTTGTCGATGCTACTTTGAACAACCTCATACGGATGCCATTGGTGGCCCTAAATCAACACGGATCATTCGATTAGCAAGGAGAGCGTGCAACAACCTTTTCGCTTGGTACTTACGCAGTGCCAAACTTGCTTTGAGTCCATGACGGCTTTGTGGGATCCACTACTTCAAAAACAGCCTTCTGATAATTCTTCTCAATTCCCGTTCCATAAGCCCAATGAAACCGAGCAAACCCCTGTGTACATTTGCCCACCGACGTCCCATTTGCCAACTTGCTGTAGGACATACAGGCGTAATCGGTCTGTCGTAAGGTCGCGCTTAGACTCAAGCAAAAAAAAGCAGCGGCTTTCATCTTTACTTACTGGACATTGGTCGTCGCGAATACATGGGCTAGTCCTCTCAGTTGCTGTCAAATTTGTCATTATTCGATTGATTAAGAATGGCATCACGTTTGTGTCGTAGTTGAACGTTCCCGAGTATGCTGTATCGGTGAGCGGGGGGCCCAAGACCTCCAACGTGTCAATTACTAGAATAGAGTCCATTCAATTAGCTCCTTTGAACACGTCAATACCAGCAAAGGAGACGGAGCGTTACATTGCGGGTACAGTTCGGCGACCAACGAACACGTCAAGTTCCTCGTGAAACAGTTCATTAGTTCCGCAACCTTGATTGAAGGGTGCGTTGAGCTGAGCACTCAAGCATAATAAAGCATGCATAGAGATGCCTACCAGCGTGCAGTTTGCAGACACAATCAGCGGTACTGTGGTATTACCGCTAGCGGAAGCGAAAACTGATCGGGCGGTCTTGTTCGCAAGAGCACACATGAGTGCGACATTGTCGGCATCCCATAAGGATCCATCGTCAAATTCCGAATTATAGTATCTATTGCAACAATTGGTAAATTTTGAAGCTGAAAGTGAAAAGTCGGGAGGGGAGTACAAACCTATTCGAATATCTGTCACGAAAATCTCCAAAAACAACAGCAGGTATATTCTTTTTTGCCAAGAACGCCATTGCACTTGATGGGGGTAATCTGAAATTCACCCCATCACCTGCTGCGGGTACCGTATTGACATTCAGCGGCGACGATCCATTGAACCCCGGAGCAGCAGTGGTGCCAGCAAACATGTTCATTAATGCTGTCGTCTGAGGATTCACTTCGTCGACATGCATGAATATGGTTGGGTTCGGAGGTAGATTGGGAACATCGATTCCGCCTACGGAATCGAATTCGATGATAGATTCGATGTTGTTAAATTGAATGGAGGTGAAATCCAGATCGTAAAAGCACGGGTTGGTGCAGTTAGCCAAAGCGAGCGGACAAGAAGGAGTGGCCGTCTCGCCTCGCTCCTTGCAGACAAGCGGTCTTGTGATGTCCTGAACAAAGCGCTGTGACCCCGCAAAACCCCAAGTCTCGGCATCGAAAAAAGTAAACAAGATATGCTTCGCCAAAGGTACGGCCTCAGGGGACTTGAAATACTATGGCGCCCATGTCAACAAGGACGTCTCTATGCGCTCGAAAGAGTGTCCTTACCTGGCTCAATGCATCCGCCGTCGCCAGCGCTGTTACTAATCCAGTCTTTGGTGACCTGGCCCCAATCGCCATGGTAGGCAATTTTGAACCAATTCCAAAGTCAGAAATAAACGATTTGCTATCTATTTTTGCGGATACCACTATGAGTGGCTTATTATCATTCAAGGTATTATTGCTGTCAAGGACCTTCGAGAAAGTGGACCACACTGACAAACCACCGATGGGATCGCACCAACCTAGGAAGTCGGGGGAAGAATTCATATCCGCCCCACCGTATTCAAATACCCTACCAACTACATACCTCTTTGAAGGCAGACAGCAGAGTTCCCAGCGGCCCACATAAAAGCGTCAAACTCGACAGCATAAAGCGGATAAGAGACATAGCCGCCCCGGGCATTTGCCTCTACAGCCTACACATGGATGAGATGCATGATCGCCACAAAGCAAGCTGCCAAGAATTACCTCTTTCAGTGGGGTAATACTACGCAAATTTGATCCATCCTGCGAAATTCCAAAAATTGGAAAGTCAAAATCTTGGAACGAGAGCGAGTTTCCCTAATAGTTCACAGGCCAATTAGCGTCTAACATCTTTTAACGTTCAAGAAACCATAGCCATACATCTGGGTTCCACTGGTGCCAGGAACTAGGAGGTTGATTTGAATAGAGTCCGAACTGGCAATTGGGGCATGTTGAGTCACTGGACCAAGTAGCTGGGTCAGGATACCCAAATCCGTCTTTGACCAGGATAATTCCAGCCATCTTTTTTGAATTTCGTAATTTAGCTACGTTGGACCTGTTCAGGAAAATGGAGCCGTTTAATTTGCTATTTCACGGTGGGTGTAAGGCACTACCAACACACGCACGGCGTAAATACGAGATATGGCATGACAATGGCGTAATCCCTCGATGGAGCATCCTTGATGAAGGCGTCGAGATCGTTGTTGTTATTAATCTGATACAAGATTCCAGTGGTGCCTTTCTTCGCTATAGGATCGTGAGTCGACCGTCGCTCTGCCAGTCAACGCTCCCTGCCGTGATACTTACTCTGGCAACCGACAGTCCCGCTGGCATGCAAGAGTCTGAGACAGCTACTGACGGGTACACCTTGGTACATTGCGTCCGCAAGATGGGCATTCTGGGCCGCAACTGAACAGGTTCCTGCGAGATATACCGACGGTTCATGTTTAAAATGACATGAAATAGGTTGGCCTTCCCATCCCAACGGCTCCCAACCTTACCAACAAGTGTCAAAGCCAGTACCAGTGCAGCTAGGAGAGACCGACCGTCCAAAAGACGGAATTTGGCGGGTCGTCGCCCGCTTGTTCTCCCATGCATTATCTTGGGTGCATGTAGGAGCAAACTTGAGAATATCGGCAAACCACCACCCACCACAAGAAAGGCACACGATATTGTTGCACCTCAGTATTTCAATGTCAAGACTTTTATCGGAATGCAAGATGACTTTGGCGGCTGTTGAAGGGATCTGAGGACCTTGCACATTGCGGCTTACTCGATTTCGAACATTCGCTTTGGATATATATGGTTAAATTACAGTCGTCATGGTTGCTGACCAGATCTCCGCGCCAGTTGCCAGTTTATAGTGTTTGCGAAATTTCAAAGTTTTTGAGGAAGGATGGCCTTAGTGGCTAGGTGCAATTGGTTTGTTGGTCGCGGGAGCGAGTTGTCGGGGGTGATAGGACCTCTGTTTGTGCGATTGGGACAGCATGGAAGAAGGTCTGATACCGGCAAGGTGACGAGGTCGCCAATTGCACGCCATGTGGCAAGTGGAAGAGCAACGCTATGTCGTCAGTGTTCAAGAAAGTGGGGCTCCATAGAGCTCAATTCTCAAAGGCGCCCCTACTCCTCGGTATGTGTGGACATCTATCACATCCGCTACTATGCTTGTAAACACGCTCAATATCGTTGTATATGTGCTTTTTGATATGCTACAGAAAGCAAATGTACTAGACTTGTCAGAGTTCCCACCAGAAAAAGTGCGCAACTTTAGGTTAGTTGTCCCATGCAAAACGATTCTCATAAGAACATATTTGAGCCAACACTTTTGAAACTGTTGCAGCATCATAGCACATATTGGTAACTAGTTTACTTGCATGCACATGGACGTGCGGTTTGTAAGACTCAGCCTCTCGCTTTCTTCTTGGAAAGACCATGGAAAGAGTACGCTGGCGGATCGACTACTAGAGAAAACCGGTAAAGGGGATTTGAGAAAGACGAGTAGCGCCTTTTGTTTGAAGCTCATTTCGTGCTACATGTAGGAACGATATCAAAGGATGCTCTCAACAAGCAGTTTCTGGATAAACTCAAAGTTGAGCGGGAGCGTGGAATTACCGTAAAAGCTCAGGTCCGTGGGATATCAAAAACGATGACTATTATCAAAGCCAGCTCGTCATGACTCTGAACCTGGAAATGCAGACAGCATCCATGTTTTATACCCATAATGGAGAGAAGTACCTTCTTAATCTCATCGACACGCCAGGGCATGTCGATTTCAGCTATGAGGTTTCGCGATCCCTGGCGGCATGTCAAGGGTAACGTCCACTCCGCTGTACCATTGCTTCACATCACCGCATGTATCACTAATGTCATTTAGGACTCTACTGCTAGTTGACGCATGCCAGGGTATCCAAGCCCAAACTGTCGCCAATTTCTTTCTCGCCTTTGGAGAAGACTTATTCATCGTCCCCGTCATTAACAAAGTCGACCTGCCTTCCGCCGATCCCGAAAAAGTATCGCGCCAAATAGAAGCCGCTTTCGAATTGGATACAACCAACATTTTGTCCATATCAGCCAAAACCGGTCTTGGTGTTGAAAAAGTCTTGGTTGACATTGTTAATCAAATACCCCCGCCCGTGGGTGACCGCTCCGCACCCTTCCGTGCACTCCTTTTCGATAATTGGTATGACCAGTATGTTGGGGTTGTCTGCTTGATTGCGGTTCGCGACGGCACATTGAAAAAGGGAGACAAGCTTGTATCAGCACATACTGGCAACACGTACGACGTCACAGATCTTGGAATCATGTACCCCGAACAACAAACTACCACATCCCTCCATGCGGGACATGTAGGGTACGTCATTCTGGGTATGAAAACCACCCGTGATGCGCAGATTGGAGATACATTCTACAAGGAAGGTTCACCGGTTAAAGCCTTTCCTGGGTTCCAACCAGCAAAGAGCATGGTGTTTGCGGGATTGTACCCTATGGACGCGGCAGATTACACTAAACTCCAAGAAGCGCTAGATCGCCTGACACTGAACGATGCAAGCGTCAGTGTAGCGCGTGAATCAAGTTCCGCATTGGGACAAGGGTTTCGTCTTGGTTTCCTGGGCACATTACATATGGATGTCTTTCGAGAGCGATTGGAGGAAGAGTACGAGGCGACGGTCATTAACACGTCGCCGACTGTGCCCTATATTGTACGATACACGAATGGACAAGAAAAGGTCGTACGCAATCCGGCAGAGTTTCCCGAACTTGACGAACATCCAAAAATTGCTGCCTTTTTGGAACCGATGGTTGCAGGGACCCTTATCTTCCCGTCACAGTACCTAGGAACCATGATGGATTTGTGTGGGGTATGCAAAATGTCTACTTTGATTCATCTCCTCGAGTTCTAGCTGACGTGAATTCTGCCAAATAGTCCCATAGAGGTGAACAACAGGATTACACTTATATTGACGACAATCGCGTAATGATGAGATATAAACTCCCCATGTCGGAAATCCTTACTGATTTCTACGATCAGCTCAAATCTCGAACGTCAGGATACGCTAGGTAACATTTTTTTTTCCAAACCAACCCATTGCATTCCATATTCCCAAAATTTCGCTAACGGTTGCTATGAAGTTTCGATTACGAAGAAATCGGATTCGAAGCATCTGATTTGGTCAAGGTAACGCTTCACATATTACAATCCTCTATCGAACGGTGCTAATGATCCCATAGGTAAACATTCTCCTCAACTCTAAACCCGTCGATGCACTTGCGACTATCGTACATCGATCCCATGCCGAACGTGTCGCAAAAGAATGGGCCAAGCGTCTCAAAAATGTCATGAGCAAGTGAGTCATCTTTTTGAGATGCTTGTGCAATTCGGATACTAATGTCGTGGGTTTTAGACAATTGTTTGAAATCATTATTCAAGCTTCTGTTAATAATCGGATCGTGTGCCGAGAATCGTAAGTTGCGAATGAAATTGCTTGGGTTAATCAAATTGATAAACTCTAGTTGCTTTTGAAACAATAGTATTAGCGCCGTCCGCAAAGATGTCACAGCTAAATGCGTAAGTTTCTTTTTTGCTTTGCTATTACGCCACCTCGATGTTTGATCTAACAGGCAAATTCTAGTACGGAGGAGATATTACGCGTAAAATGAAGCTCCTAGAACGTCAAAAGGCGGGTAAAAAGCGGTTGAAAACAGTAGCAGGGGGAGTGCAGCTCCCCCAAGAGGCCTTCTTAACGTTGATGAAGGGATCAAGTGGGAAACAAAAGTGAAAGGCTACAGTAGATGGCGAGGCATAACATGTATTTATCTTCTTTTTTTTTTCTTTGTGTATATCGGCATAGTTATTTATCTGTGACGGAAATCTTGATTCATAGAAAACATACAAGTCGTTTCAAAGGGTTCTTTTCTTTTATAAACTTGTCAAAATGTAAAAAGTTGCTATGTAAAAAAGTAAAAGGAACATCCCCTTCCCGCGGGAACCTTACACCTATCTACAGACCACCCAACAAAGTTGTACATGCCTGTCCAGTTAAGTGTACATGTCCATTAATCCTCCCGTTCGTTCTTGTCAGCCAGGGTGGCAGTAGAATCCCCCCTCCCTACATGAACCGTCTCAACATCTGGTGCTGGGTGGTGGACTACCCGCAAAGGCCACCCAAGCACCTTCCTAACAGCCAATTCCACAAACACGGCAAGAGCGACACCAACCATCGAAGCCACCAACGCAATGATAAAAGGCGGCCAGTCATAGACCAAATAAAAGTATTGCCGGACACCGTCGGCAAAGTTGCCCATTTTTATCGCCCCATACGTCGCGACGGAAAAGAACGAAAAGATGCATCCAAACAAGACCGACCGACCATGGACGTATCCTTCCAACGGTCGGACAAGCCCCAATAGCAACGGTAACGTCGATGTGGACGTGACCATATTCGTAATCAAATACAATTGATTGATGTTATATCCTTGCAAGGCCACGACAACGATCGGGATATTGATGAGGACCACCGAAGACCGGGCAGCCCATAATGGAAAGCGGGGGAGACCGAGTGTCATGGCAAGGGAAACGACGGTATCCGTTAACGCATTCTGGAACGAATCAACGGCGGATTCGTTCATTGTTACAGCAATCAGGACAACAAGGATCACAATCCATGTATCGTTGGTAGTTCCGCCCTTTGTGATCAAATCAAAGAACGCGAGATTGGAGTCGGCACCAATGTATCCAACCCATCCGGCCAGGAACCCGCCAAAGCCAAAGAGGAAAGCGACTGTGGTGGCCATGCAGGCTCCAATCGCCGCGCCGCGGCGGAGTGTACGTGCATCAGCGGAAGCCCACACGCGTTGCCTGCAGTTAACTGGAGCTTAGAATATATAAACGGATCCGAGATAAACGCACGCAAAACACTACCAAACAGCATCCGAATAAAAGGTCGCTGCCGTCAAGGACACACCCATTGTCACAATCGACGACCAACCCGCATAGTTTGCATCCAAGTTTGGCGGCAACGGAGGGCGAGGGTCCGGTAACCGAAACGTCACAGCAATGTACACCATCGTAACACTCAACAGCAAAAGCGAAAACATGCCCTGGAATTGGTCCGTGACAATCGATACGTACAGACCACCTGCTGCTGTGTACAACATGGTCACGACTCCGACAATGATGATGGGAATGAGACGGTTCAGGCCGAGGACCGAGGCAAAGAGGGCGCCTACGGCTGTATATTCAGCGGTGAGATCTGTGATGCAAACAAGAAATTGTTAGGCCCAGGTTAGACCTTGCTGTACCGCCTAGCTGACTCACTAATGGCCATGTTGAGGAGCACGACGAGGGTGACATATATCTGCGTAGTGCGACCAAACCGGCGTCTAGCAAAATCTCCCCATGACATGATCTGGGGGTGCCTATCCCGAATATGTTGTCCAACATGCGCAACCTGTACGACGAGTTTCAATCAGATTTACACAAAAAGTCATAGTTGCCAAAATAAATGGCTTACGAACCAGGACAAGCGGAACACCAATCGCGACGGCATAGCAAATCAATCCAATGTACCCAGCACCATATGTTGGATCCGCCGTATAAGCCGGTAACGAAAATACCACCCTATCCACAGACACATTAGTACACGCACGCACATCAAAATCAATCCCTTTCAACAACAACACATACCAAGACCCAGTCGCACTCGCAAAAAAACTCCAAGCAATACGACCCGTCGACACAGACTTTCGCGCAGTCAAGAAAAACTCTGTATCCTCTTTTTTACCCTTTTTCGATCGCCATCGCGCAATTCCCAAAGCCAGACATGCGAAAAAGAGGACGCATATGATAGAGAGTGGGAGGGCGACGTTTTGGAGTGTGGACCCCATGGCGGGCGGGGAGTGTAGATGTTCGAGCAGGCGACCGTCGTTAAACCCGTACTCGTCGTCGTCGTCGTCTCGTTGTTTGTTGGCGGCGGCAGCGGCGGCGGGTGTCCCGCGGGAAATCGGCGAGTCGTCGTTCCCCTTTTTATGCTTCCCCCTACCCGCCCTCTCCAAAAAAAAAAAAAAAGCAGAGCCGATGGGCGTTCACCTCCGATGCCTACTAAGCCTCCCATGGGAGACGCCCATGTTTTTATTCGTGGGAGGGCGTTCTCATGTGAGTCCACGACTTTCTTTCAATCGAACCAAGAATCGAACCCCTCCTTCATGACAATGGTTCATGACAAAACGAATGGACAAAAGGTCTTGCTTGCCAACGTCCAAACGATGGAAATAAAGGTCACTGCCGTTCCATGTCGCCATCCATCGAAAGCTTCCCTAGCAAGTGTATTCTGCCCGTCCCACACTTCAAACAATATTATACAAGACAACAGAAACTAACCACCATTACATACATCCATCATCTAAGCAGCCCCATAGAAAAAAAAGAAATCCGTCTCAGCCAAGTGTTGACATGTCTATGAGACATGTAGTAGTGTCAATCATTTTCCTGATATCGCTTCTTTTTCCATATCACGTATTCATCAAATAGGACCGGCCCTGGAACAAGAATATTGGAGTTATACCACCAGCGAGAGACAAGAATGACAACTTACAAGCACTATTCTCATCATAGTCATGCAGATTTTCTGCCACCGTTGTGGAGAATTCAAGAAAACTCTTCCATTGGTCCTTATTTATGACTTTGACCGGTCGCTCCTCGTCCAGGAATTCGAGAAAGCGGGTAATATGGGCAAATCTATCGGATGGCATGAGGATTTGCCACATGCCCTTGGCTGTTTCGCAAGGAAAGAGAACGGGGTCAGTAGACAGTCCGCACGCTCTGGTAACGAGTCACCATACCGTGCTACCAGTCAAAAGAGGATAGTTAGATGATTGCATGCAACCAAAAAGACAAGGATGATGCCTTACATCTATGCTCAAGCTCTTTTGATCACTCTCTTTTGCGAAACCAAACGCAAACATGTACAAGTCTTTAAATTCTTCAGGTCTATCGCTTATCCCTCGGAAATGGTCGAGATACTTGATCAGTTTTGCTGTCGAATCGGCACTAGACGTCATATTAGTCTGATGTTGATGGAATGCGAATACTCAATCCGACCCGGTACATACCCCAGGCTCTTCATCCCATGTAGCCATTCGTCCTTTTTAAAGTATCCCATTGTCTGCGCTCCGAGCTTCCATGCAATCACTAATACCTCAATCTAAATCAAGATAAGTAATATGATCAACCGCATTGACTCTCAACCTATCTGACGAGCGCAGATCTACCCACCGTTGCAGCATCTACCCCCAGATCTTGACAAAATCGCATCACTCCATCTGGCCCTATAACTCCCGGCTCGTCCGTATCTTTAGATCGAAAAGCGTTTGACTAAAAATATTGAAAGACCCAAAAGCCAATTCTTTTCCTTACCTTCATACTCGCTAAACCATTTAGCACATCGTATCGCACTAAAGTGTTTTGGTGCATCTTGGTCCTGGTCCGCACATGTCAGAAAATACCCGCAAAAAAGGAATGTACACATTGATCGTACCAGTGCCAGCTCTGACGAAGCAGTCTTTCCTGTACTTGCTCTAAATACAGATTGAGCAGTGACCAAAAGAATGTGAGCAAGTTGACAATTGTCAGCATGACGGGACCAAAGAAAAATATTCACAATGAGAAAAACATTTACCTTGACCGACTCGCACGGCCCGTCCCAGTCTTTGTTTTTTTCCTAGGTGACACCTTACTTGTCGTTGTCGTCGTGCTTGCTCGCTTTTTGGGTGGCATGTCGTAATGCTGGCGTGTTTGGCAATTGTGGGAAAACGGAAAAAGATGACAGACGAGTTCCCAAATGGGTGGGCAGTGGCACCAACGTCACTACTTGAGTGTAATTTTTACGCTGCTCTGTCGTGTTTAGCAGGAAAAAGGAGGTTATTCAATGCAAAATGTTGCTCAAAGATCAGTTGCAAAAGAATCCTAAAACGACGACGACGACGAAGATGAGTCCACAAGTTGTAGCTTGACTGTGCCACTCCTCGAAGGCAAAGGCGAAATGACAATGGGCGGGCAATGCCGCGCACGCTCTCCATCAAGCCCATTTCCCGTTGGTGATGAAAATGCTCAACCTTTGGACAACCTTTTGGAACATGATGTTTATTTATCCTTCCAATATTAGTGTCAGTAACTAATAACTAAAAACTATACATTGTTTTACACGCTCATAGATGTCCACCATTTACGACGGAACAATTAGACAAAACTAACCGAGGCAACTACAAAAAAGACTAACCTGTACAAAAGACACACACAACTACAAAAAGCATTCCACTAATTAACATACAAGACAATCTTGCCCCATCGCCCTCTCACCAACAGTCCCCAGTCCGTCTCTCCATAGACTTGGATGAGCATGCCGCATTCATCCTTGTACCATAAAGTCAGATCCCTTCGCGATCGTCCGTCCAACTTGGCCCTAACGTTCCTAACCACGTCTTCAAATCTCGTTGACTCTTCCACTCTCCATGCAATCGTCTCATCATCACCAATGTGCAACTTTATTTTAACTGATCCGTCTGCTCCATTTCCACGAGATCGTGAGATGGTTTGTCCCGGTCGAGCGATGGTCTGGAACGAGTTGTATTCGGATATCAAGTCCATGAGGGTGGAACTGACGTCAAACTTTACATCGACGGGCGTGGATACATCTCCCTTTCGTAACATGAAGAATCGGTTGAGTGCAGGCGAGTGTTCAATCGGTGGAGGGAGGAGGACAAGGTCCGACAAGTAATTATCCAGAGCTAATTTTCGTCGTTCCTTTTCGGCGGGCGAAACGGGCGGTGCAGGTTGTTGGGGCTTTGCAGAAGGTGGTGGTGGTGGTAAAAAGGGAATGACACGCGGATGATTGGGTTTGCGACCCGATTCAACAGAGAATTGTGTCAATAGAGCGACATGGAGAGCCCAGAAATCATCAAACACTCTAAACAAGACGTGCTTGGTCGAGTCGTCGAGATGCAGTTCCACAGTGTACTGGAATCGTCCGTCTGGTAGCAACGTATCGGCTTGGACATGAGCAGACACAATTTTTGGCAGTTGACGGCCAATACCGGGGTTATAGAATTGCGCTTGTTTGTCCTGATGTTGTGGTGTATTGGGGCTTGTGGGAGACGGTAGGGAAGCGTGCATATTGGACCGTGGCGGCGGTTGAGCTGATGCCATTGAGGTGGATGGATGCGATGATGATCGTGATGGAAAGCGAGAATAAGAGTCATGAGACATGGAGGATGAGGACGAGTGTGATGATGAATCATAGTCTACCGATCTTGGATCTGAGACTGTGGAATAGCTGGATTCGTGTTTACGGTCATCGTCGTAGACGGTAGTCGCAGTGGAGAGATGATAGGAGCGGTGGTGCGATTCCTGTGGCCGCTCCTCCCGTTGCACAGGGTAATACGTTGGCTGCGACGAGTTTGCTGCTGCCTTGACCTTTTCGAGCGCCTCAAAGTGTGCAATTGGCACCAAGCCGCGGACCCGCGCGACAGGGTTGACAACTTCATAGTAATGAGCATCGACTTCGTCAAGGACCTACAAAAAAAGCACAAGAGCGGAGTAAGATGTTAGCTGAGCCGCTCGTTTTTCCCGCGCTTCAAGTGCTTAGGTAGCGCGTCCAAGCGTTGCAAACTTACATAAAAAAAGTCACCAACGTCAAAGCCGAGCTCGTTGACGAAGCGAGGTCTGTAAGGTCTCGTTGCCTTGATGACCTTTTTAGGAGGAAGATTATACACATTGTCAGAGTGTGATGATCCTCTTGTTGGAGCGAGAGGTGATTGAACAATGTGGTTGTGGTGGTGTGGTTGAGAGCGCTGTTGTCCTTGATATCCTCCTCCTCCACCACCACCTCCAAAGAGCGTCGAGAGCATCGTTAAGTGATAGGTAGGTAGAGCGATAAAAAAACAAAATAAAAAAGAAAACGAACGAAAACGAAACGAAATGGAAGCGGGCAGAAAGCAAACTACAAGCACAAGCACAATGCAAGCACAATGAACTTTTGGGTTTCAAAGAAGGAGGCGTATGTCACGTGATATGACATTGGGGGTGGAGAGATAAGACTTGATATTTCATGCATGCAATTTATGAATGTTATGGCCATATGTGTGTGCTTGTATGTGTGTGCTTGTATTGATGTGTGTGGTGTGTGTGCGTAGTTGGTGAGTGGGATTTGGAATAATGGACTTTGTTGAGCATTGAATGGAATTGCAGCCATTGGTACAAAAGCACACAAGTCATGAGGTCGATTGTTCAGATGGTCCCACCCGTGGCCGTTGGCGGTCGTTTGGCGGCCGTTTGGCGGCCGTTGTCAACCGTCGGTAACCGTCGGTAGCCATTGGCGCTCATGGTGAACATTGGGTGAAATGACCGTTCTGGTCGTTGGCAGTCGTTGGCAGCCGTTGGCAGCCGTGGGCGGCCGTTGGTGCTCATGGAGACCCATGGGCAAGGGTGGACTTGTACGCCATAAAAATGATCCTACTTGAGGGGATTATGTGGTTTTGAAAACTTTGCCACTGTCAGACGTGACTTTGCCACAGTGGACGACATGCCCTCATTTTTTTGGTGCTCCAAACGGCTTTTGCACCAATAACCCAAATTGACGGTTATTATGACAAGATGGGTAGATATGCGCAGGTCATTTCTGCCAATGACGATAGCGAATGTATACCACCTCCTTGTCGGAATGTGTGCGTTGTCCTCCTTGTCGACAAAGGATATGCGCGTGCAAGGACGTGAGAGGCGCGGTCTTTTCAATGCGCGGCTTTCAGAATTGTTTGCTACTGAAAGCTTAAAGTTTTTGGTACAATTTAATCCATGTAGGCGACGATCGGAAGCAAACCATGCTGCAAAAGGCGCGGTGAACCAGATATCATGCTGAGGCGGCTATGCAGCGAATTTCCTGCTTTCGTACGGATCGTGATGGTAAATTACATACTCCCCCCGATCATGGCATATTCTCTAATTGTACTGCCAGCAACCTCAAATAAGCACTGCGCAGCATTGTTAGCGCGACTGCCCTGGGGGGATCCTGCGGAACAGCCAACAGATTTACAATTGTATCGTCGCTGCTATACACATTGGAATGTCCAGATCGTGGGCCAAACGCAAAAAGTGCGCAAAACATGTCGATAACCAGAGACTATTTTTGCAATCACGCGCACACAACGTTCATTGTTTGTTCTTTCGAACCTTGTTTTTTCGTGTTCGTCGTGATGTGGGAGGCATCAAGGTCCTTTTAGCCGGAGCATGCTACCATTACTTGCCCCACAATGGGATGTCAACAAAAGTAAATCCTCCGGCTACAGAAAAGAAAACTGTAGAGTTAGCGGGAGCATGCTACCATCATTGGTCCGCACAATGGGTGTCGATAAAAGCAAACCCCTCAGCTACAGCAAAGTACGCTGCGGAGGAGAAAACTATCAGTCCTCCTCCGCCTCCCCCGCCTCCCCCGCCTCCCCTGCCTCTTGCTCAATTGCTCAATTTGCAGAGTTCTATAAGTACGTGTTCCCGCTCTTGACGCCATTCATGCAACCGGAGCAGCAAGTGATTCGAATCCGCGGCTGGAAAGCAATAACTTGTCTCATCGCGATCTTTGCTCTTACTGTTTACCTCACTCGGTCCTTCCTCTACCATGTATTTCCACCGCGTTCTGTTGGCCACATTGGCGCTCGGTAGTGTCGCGTCTGCGAACCCGGTGCCAAAGATTGAGAACGGCCCCGGCCGCGAGCTTGAACATGTCAAGCGGGACGGAACACTGGATTCTTATGCTTGTGAAGCTCAGCTGTCTGGAATCAGCTGTAGCATTCAGAACCCGGGATTGAGACTGAATACATGTTGTAGCGTTGGTCTCGCCTTTGTAGTTGCTGGCGGGGTTGTCGGTGGTATTGGTGCATTCCTTTACTGGACGGCAAAGAACCACGAAAGGTGGTCACGCGTCGTGGGCGGTGAAGATGGCAGCCAGAACAATACTCACCACGCGAAGCGGGCCGAGGAACTGGCAAAAATGCTCGAGGACATTAACCTATACCTGTCGGAACAAAGTAGCTTCAAGGCACTGACTGATGGGAACAGCACCACGGTTGCCCAAGCTATCGCCATCGAACCCGGCAGAGGAGTCCTCTTTGGAGAGGTCGAGGTCGACCCGAACGACACGGGTAAAAGCAAGCGTCATCCTGTACCATGGGGTGCACACTATGTATGGGCCAACATATGGTGGTACAACTCGGACCCTCCCATCAGCCAAGGCGGTGCTGAAGCCGCCATCCGTCGTGCTAGTGAAGAGTTGCGCAACCGGGGTATGGCTGCAGGCGGCTTTGATATCCGTAATCCATGCAACTGGAACGACAAAATGGCCGACTTTTCCCTTATTGAGACGAACGACAAAAACCATGTCGACCACTTTTCCATGTGGGACAAGAATCCTTTCTAAACAAGACCTCTTTTGTGTTGCTGACGATAAATATAGATGTTGGCTGCAGTTACATATCGATATACACTCTTATAGAATGGCATTCTGTTACCTTGTCTGAATAAAGAATCTCATAAAATAAAACAAAGTTTCGTTCAAGGTCATTAATAAGCTGTCCACTATATTATGTAATTAGTCCCCAATTCGGAGATCACCGGAGCACTCGCGTAACTAAGCCTCTCTACTCAGCCTCAGATGATTTTTGACGATTTTGGGTTTTCAAACGACGGCATAAAGGGGGTGACATTTTCCTTGGGGGGGCATTTCCCATTTTACCTTCATTTCAACTCGCGCATTTGTCCATTTGACAGCGCTCCCTTGTTCGAAAACCCAGTTGGAGAATGGTCCACGGAAGGAGGACGAGAGGGTGGACCGCGGCTGCGCTGGCTGTTGCCGTGTCGTTCCTTGCTACCTCGCCACCAAATGTCGATGCTTTGGAAGTGGGCTTGCCTCGGGGCAGTTTTATGATGGCCCACGGACCCGGCTCGATTAAAATATGGGGTGGATCGAAAACGAGCTCCTTTAGTAAGTTGTCTGTTTCTTTGCTCTCGTCTTGCCGCGTTCCAATATTAACGTGCCATTTCGCGCTCCTCAGACCAGACCCTTCTCCCTTACAACCGCCAACTTGCAGAGACGGACGTCACGGTCTACTATACAGACTCGAAATTCAATGTCTCCACGAGGCCTATTACGCCGTACATGGCAGCAAGCATGTCCATGACATGCACCGATTATCAAGATAAGCGGGCTTGCATTGCGGGCATGTCCATGTTACAAGACGCGACGGACGGAACAGTTTTAACAATGCTCAATCCTAATAATTTTGCGGACCAAAATGTGACTGCAATTGGTGCCATGACTCCACGATGGAGTATGTGCGGGGGTCTGTTGGGGGACAAGTGGTATCTGTTTGGTGGTCGTGGAGCTGCCACCAATACCAGTAAGTTGAACTACTCTCTATCTTAATCAAAGCCAGCCTTAGCACTCACTCAATAATGACCACGTCCAGCGTATTTTGATGATTTTTTTGTTATCAACTTGGCAACTAAAACCCTCGAGTCAACCGTTACTGCTCCTGCTGTAAAGCGGGGCAGTGCTTGCATGGCACCTGCTGACTCTACCTCTCTTGTGCTCTACGGTGGAGGCGGAGCAGACGGCGTGTATGACGATACTTGGATTTACAATGCCAATACCAACCAGTGGCGGAACATCACAACTGATGCCAAGGCCAAGGGTCGATACCCTGAAGCTCGGTTCGCTGCAGAGTGTGTATTCATAAATGGCAACCTGTACATGTTTGGGGGAGCAAAGATCTTTAACCAGGCCACGAACGAGATTTGGAGATTTGACGTCCCGAGCCTTTCGTGGCAGTTGGTATTCCCGCCGCTCAATGGTGGCTCATCGACTAGTATCGTCAACCAAGCCTCGCCAAGGTACTATCCAGCAGTCCTCGGCATAGGGGATCTGTTGGTAGTCTTTGGAGGCCGTGATCTGGAGGGAGATGCCCGCGCTTCAGATGATCCAAACATGTACTTTTTTGACGTTAAGCAGAGCAAATGGGTTGACGATGCAACGGCCTTTGCTGCCCTCAAAGGTTCCGCAAATCAAAATAACGGCGGTGGCGGAGGCGGCGGAGGCGATGGCGGAAGCAGCAAAACACCTATTATCGCCGGTGTTGCGGGTGGTGCAGTTGCGCTGCTATTGGCCATCGGTGGATTCGTAATGTACAAACGTCGACGACCAGCAGCATCAAAACCAGTTAACCTGGAGTATGCGGTTGTTCAAGCCAACAAACCCAACGACGTTGTACAGGGTTCTGGTCAGCCGCCCCGACCTCCTTCTCCGTCAGTACCGCCTGCTTCGCAGTTGGGAGCTTCCGCGCGACCATTATCGCAGGAGACGATTGTCGTACCTCCTCTGGTGCCTGGCCAGACATCCCCGGCAGCTGCCCAAGACTATTATATGACATCTACCCCTGCTCAACTGTATGGATCCGCTGCGGCCCTTCGTCCAGAGAACTATCAGACACCATCACCCTTACCTGCTAATGAGCCGTATCAGCCCGGCCCCGCTCAATACGACCGGCCCCACTCGACTGCACAATTGGCTTCCCATCAGTCGTACCAGCCTACCCCAGGGTCCTATGAGCAGGCCAGGTTGCCCCACTCTGAACACTATGAGCGTCCCGTTTCTCCCTATGGAGATTTATCTCAGAGGCGCGCGTCTTTGGATAGGGTTATGACACAGAGTAGTCCCCCTCCTTATTCGTTTCCTATGACGGATGCCCTGCACACTGCAGTTGTGCGAGATGTAACCCTTCCCGTTGGACCAGCAAAGGGTGATAAGATTGTCCCTGTTGACGAATCGGAAGGCCTCCTGCACATTGGCAAGATTGGGTTCCAACCCAGGGCTGGAGGAAATAGCGACGAGATTGCCATCTCTCCTGGAGATATTCTTTACGTCAAGTGGGTTTCCTTACCTATCGTCATATTCTGCTTGTATTCCGACTAACATTACATTCTTTTAGGGAGCTATTCCGAGACGGGTGGGCATTGGGATGGAATTCTACCAAAGGCACCAGCGGATTCTTTCCGTATAATTGCGTAGAGAAGTCTGGTTAGATATAAACCTTATTAGATGTCTGCTCATGTGTTTGTATGCCATATATTTTGATAAATTTGTGTAGAAAGATTATAAACAAAAGAACGCAAGTTGGACCCTCAACACGTGACACGATCATGACGATCCAAAAATCACCGACACGCTTTAAGCGCTTTTTGGGTCAACAAAGACGGGTGGATGATCAAAAAGATGGAGGGCGAGGAAGGACAGAACTTTTCCGTTGATGATTTAAACAAGCGTGCGAATGCTTTTGCTGAGACGAACAATACTGAGGGTGTTCCTCTGCCACCATCTTATCCAGCTTCTGAGGACACAGGCAGTGAAGGTACGAGAACGCCATCAGAATACACTCCAGCTAGTACAAGGCCAGCGTCACCTGTGCCAGGATATGCGACTCTGGATGGAAACCAAGGTTGGGCGGAACCTGCACCTGCGGATGAAGATGAGGGAGACGACGGGGATGTGGAAACTCTCGAATCGGAAACGCCCTCAACATCCCGCGAATCCTCAGTTCCAACGACTTCTTCCATGGAAGTCGACAGTCCCTTTTTGAGACATGCCCAATTAACGGCTGTTGATCCGATGACTACGGGAAGTACTCCGCGGGACTCCCCGCAGCCTGAACCCCAGCTCACGAGCCAACCCATTCAACAAACGTTTACTTTTGGGGGCAGTTTTGGAGGTTTTGCGGCTAACACGAGCTCGTCACAGCCATCGGTGCCCGTCGGAGGTAGCCAACCCATGACCACGGACGGGGTGTCAACCATGCAAACGGTACCTCCACCGGCAGCTGTGCCATCTTTTGGGAGTTCGGGAGGTTTCTCATGGGGTGGTCAACAAGCTGCGGTACCAACCACACTAGCCAAGCCACCCGCGCAAACTACGTCTTTCTTTGGTACGCCAGCTGTGAGTAAATCTCCAAGCAAACCTGCAGAAACCGGGTCGTTTTTGGCCAAACCTGCAACTGAGGCCGAGACTCCAGCATCTAAACCAACATTTTCATTCGGTGCTCCCCCGGAGTCTGCGGGTGCCAGCGTAAATGATAAACCTGCCTTCAATTTTCCCACCTTTGGGACCCCCACGCCGTTTTCGGGAGCTCTTGGGACACGTCACCAGCAAAACCCACATTTTCATTTGGTGGAGCTGCTCCATCTGCACTACCTGTGAACACGGACGCACCTATGAAGCCCACGCCGTTTTCGGGAGCTCTTGGGACCACGTCACCAGCAAAATCCACATTTTCATTTGGTGGAGCTGCTCCATCTGCACTACCTGTGAACACGGACGCACCTATGAAGCCCACGCCGTTTTCGGGAGCTCTTGGGACCACGTCACCAGCAAAGTCCACATTTTCATTTGGTGGAGCTGCTCCATCTGCATTCCCTGTGAACACGGACGCACCTATGAAACTACCCCAAAACGGCTTCAGCTCGAATGCTGTGCAGCTACCTACGCCCAACACAATGGGCGAAGGATACGCAAGTGGTAACTCGACTGAAAGTGGAACCTCGGGCCGGCGACTGGCGAAACCAAAAGGTCGATTCAAACGTGCTGGGTTAGATGGCGCTCAGCCTGCTTCCCCTGCCTTTGGACCTACTCCCACGGGAGGCGCATCAGGATTTTCTCAGCCGACGGGCACCGAGTCTACCTGGTCAAACCCAATACTTACTACAACACCATTGACAAAGACGGTGGCTCCCTCATTTACAGCCCAGGTATGCGTAAAACTCTGCATGTGGTTCGTGATACGATGTGATGCTAATCTGAGCTTGGATTTGTGATAGGCCCCAGTTCCTACCAACGGTCGGACGACTGCTCCAAGCAGTAGCTCAAAGACTCCAACCGCACCTGGAAAATCTACCAGAGATGAAATCATCAGAAACCGCCAAAAGATTCGAGTTCTCAACGAGCAGTTCTTGGCACACGCTTCAGCGTCCGTTAAAGCGGACCCGATGGTCGATTTGGCGCCGACGATGGAAAGCTACCTGTCCTTTTTGAAAGGCATCATGGAGGAATTCAAAGAACTTGTAAAGAAATTTGATTCAGAGTCTCAGACAAGCGTGGGTGTGTCACGGAAACGTCAAGGCGAAGCGTTGGAAAAGGACAATGTCGACTTTGGGGGATCACACAAACGACGGGGTGACGATTTAGAGAAAGAGAATGTAGACCTTGAAAGCGGGTCTCGGAAGCGTCGGGGTGATGATTTTGAAAAAGAGGGGAACAACACTGCTCCCGCTTTCAAAAAGGTGCCTCAAATTTCGTTTGGATTGTCTCAGCCCACTGGGACGACGGTCGCTGCTCCGCCGCCGCCCTCGTCATCCTCTGCAGGAGGATTTGGGTCTATTCCTGCAACTATGGGAGCACTGTTCACAGCTCCAGCCGCCACCGTAGCCCCGCCTCCCAATGAGCCTCAGTCACAGGCGACACCCAAAGTCCCGCAGTTCTCGTTTGGAGGCTTTCAGCCAACGGGAACGGGTGCCACTTCTGCAGCGCCTCCGGCGTCGTTTGGGAATTTCGGGTCTGCTGCAACGACTTCCAGTGCAGCTCCAACATTCAATGCTCCTGCCCCCGCAGGATTTTCGTTTTTCGGTAACACCCAATCCTCCGCGACTCCGGGACCAGTCTCCTTCATCCCACCGCCGCAAACCCCATCAAACCCGTCCAATGATACCACTGAGGATGCTGACGACGATGAAGCTAACAAAGAGGAACAAATCGGTGATGCTCTGATGCGAGGCCAGGGTGAAGAGCAAGAACGCACGGTCCACGAAGTCCGAGCCAAAGTCTTTTCCTTTGACAAAGAGACTTCCCAATGGAAACCAGCTGGTGTGGGGCAACTCAGAGTCAATAAGCACATTGAGACTGGCAAGGCAAGACTGTTACATCGGGCGGATGGCAGCGGACGTGTTCTGTTAAATGCGGCAGTGTATGAGGGAATGAAATTTACTCTCAAGGCGAATAATTTAAGCTTTGCTATTGTGTTGGAAGGAGGCGTGATGCAGCAGACGTTGGTTAGAGTTAAAGCTGAGAGCAATGCCACTGCGTTGTTGGAGGCTATTGAGCGCGCGCGAAAGTAACATGGATTTGACGAGTTGCGGCGTTTTTAACAGCAACATGGAGTCGAGTGAGTTGCGATTCCTTTTGCTAGGCAGTGATAATCTTTTGGCCACCCATTGGAGGGTAGGCTAGGATATTTTTTGTTTTTGTATACATCCCTGGTATTTACAAAACGAGTCTGCACTTTGCAACATTCTCCAAATCTTTGAAACCAAAAACTGGAACAGACTGGCTGTATGAATACAAATTGTCTGGGGTGATGTTCACTATTTTACAAACCAAAAAAAACTGGGTCCTTAAATCTCTTTGGCATGCACACCTGTTCCACCCAATGTCACCGACTCGTTCAACTTTTTCACAAAAGCATCGCCAAACGCAGAAGCCGAGGACGGATTTTGCCCCGACACCAACTCCCTATCCACTGTCACTTTACTCCCCATTGGGAAAGTCTCTTCGCACTTTAAGCCAGCCTTCTCCAACTCATCCACCAACTTGTACGGAAGTGTACCCCACCACATAATTTCATTCAACTTGTCCTCTGTATTCGAGTATGCAGTGACTTTGTACCCCGAATAGGGACACCCCTCTTCCGTCTTTGTAGACAATAGCGCAGCAGGTCCATGACAGATTGCCCCAGTAGGTTTAGCCATCCGATGAAAATGACCCAAAATCCTCGCCAACTCCTTATCATTATGCAAATCCTGCATGGGCGCATGTCCACCTGGAATAAACACACCGACAAAGGTACTCAGATCGTCGTCCGTAAGGGAAGCAAATGGACGAGGAGACGCAAAGTTTGATTCAATCTTCATTTTGTCAATGAGTGCGTGTTCTCGTTCTCGTTCTTTGTAGTTGCCCAGAAACCAAATCAAGAGTTCGGATATAGGGTCTTGAACTGGATGCGTTCCAGTTGGATTGGCAAACTGTATGTACAGTTAGACCAAAATGACTCTTTTTGAATTGATGGACTTACAGATACAGAAACTTTCTTGAATAACTCACCACAACATCGTACCCCGCTTCCAAAATCTTCATCAAAGGATGTCCCAACTCGGACAAAAAGTATCCTGTTTTCTGATCCTTGCCTTCCTTGAGGTGAATCGTGTTTGCTCCCGAAAGGATGATGAGGACTTTGCCTTTTGATGCAGTTTGAGCCATGCTTTTGAAATTAGTGCGCTTTTTGGTTTTTGTTGTCTTTTGGATTTGGTTCAAAATGGGGATTGTTGATAAGTTTGGGAGGACGGAAAACGATCCTTTTTAAATAAAGCATGTTTAAGCAAGAACAAGGCGTCGCATTGACGTCACGGACAAACAGGACGGGTGGCTGGTTCAGAGTCAAAAGGGATGGATGTGAGTGGAGATGACTAGCCTTTTACTTTTTGGGAAGGGGACTCTGCGTTTAAACGACATTTTCAGCTTTCCGCTGAGGCCCTTCTTGTGTGTGTGTGTGCGTGTGTGCTTTTGGGGGCGAGCGTCGATGGATTTCCTTGACCAGCAAGTTGATTTCACGGCGGAATGACGTGAGGCTCGATCATGAATGCACTCTAATCGGGAGACCCAACTTTCAAGAAATGGTCAAGACTAATAAACGCCTATATTTAAGCCATAAGCCAGTGCAATAATGCTGCAAATACGCCTGTACAGATTCTACATATCTACAAATGATTCGAAATGCAAAAAAAAAATAATCAAGGACACCGCGGCCCAAACCCAAACTTGCTCTCTAGCGCTATATCACTGTCTAACCCCACACGCGAATCCCGGCTCTTTTGGTCCCGCTTGTCATTTACACCTAAATTTTACATCTAAGGATTAAGTTCTTCCTGTGTCCAACTACCATCCTTCATCGCTTCATACAGCATCCGAACTGGTGGTGCGACCGTGTTAGGCGTCCAATGCTCGACCCTTACGGCTTTCATGACCAAAAGACAGAAATTGTCCAATGCGCCGTTATGCACGCATCGGAGCTCTTCTTCCTTGGACAATTGACCACCGTTTGTTGCAGCCCTTCCGTTGCCATTTACGAATCCACTCAAAGCACCAAACAGTCCAGTGGCCACGCCAGCATTTTCGTCCATAGCGTCCAGGCGTGTGTACTTGTAGCCAGTGTCAATACCCGTTGCACCCGTGAGGCGAACTGTTGGGGCCCGATATACGGAGCTACCGTCTTTTGGAAGGGAGTGTTTGGATTCACCTGGGGCAGGCCAGGTGAAAGATGCTCGGAAAATGGGAGAGAGCCGCTTCCATTGTCGTAGGCGCTCTTGCTCCCAGAATTCGTCCGGATGTATATCAGAGTCGCCAATCGTGACCCGCCGTGGTGGGGCTCCAAATCTATGCGACATTGTTGGGGCTGCAACCATATACAGCCTGCCAGAGATGGTGAAGGATTCTCCAGTCTTGGGCATTTGCCTGTACGTAAAAAGCAGCTAATCAGCAACTATTGTAGTCGTCCGTAGAAATCATTGGCTCCAATAATTACCAAAATATCTCGTGCGTTTGCGATCCTTTTACTACCGCCATCAGCTCTGCATTACGTGTTGCCGCCGAGAATAATAACACTTTGGGATCTGCCCGCAGAAAGTCTTGGAAAACGAGTCGCTGAATTTTGGGCACTCCGTTCGATTTTGCAGAGGCTATTTGAACGTACACTAGAAAGAATCGGTGGTGGTTGGTCAATCTTGAATCGCGTGAAAGCTCTTTTTCCCGTTTACATTGACCAATCTATGGCATCCCTTTTGGGAGGTGGTCGCCACAGCTATAAATTCTTTTTATTCGGGCGTCAAACCTTACCTGGCTCGTTTTTTGTCTGATCATAGTTCTTCTTGTAGCTCCGAACCAACACGGGGTTCCACGCGGGAACGTCGTTATTGCCAGCAAGCATGACCGTTCGTTACGCAACAATTTCCTGCTCAGCGAGAACTCGCTCTTTGTGATAAGCAGCCTGGAGAAGAAAATGGATGCGACTTGACAGCAACCTCAAATCCGTTTCCTTCCCTTTCCGCCAGAGAAAGAGGCCGTGGCGTCCAAAAGCTCGTTTGAATTCAATTTCATTTTGTGCCGCGCTGACATAAGCAAACTCAGACGGGGGGAAAGCAACAGCAGAAAAGGAAACGCCAGACGTTCAAAACTAAAATATACATTTAACAACGGCCTTTTACATCTAAGCAGGGATTTGCAAGAGTTGCATTTTGGTAGTGGTGCCTGGAAAGCAAGTAGTGTGAATATAAAAAGGTTGCACTTGCTCACTTTAGCGAAAGTAGTTGGTATAGTATACCTTCCAAGAATCCAATGTGCTGACCGGACGTCACAACTGCAACTTGCCCTGGTTGACACAAACCCAGCTCCACGGCATACTCTGCAATAACCGTGTTAGAGTGGCACGACTGTGACAGTTCGATACATTATTGGACCATACTTAGTGTATCAGGAATCACAGTATCCGCAGTTCCTGTGTGGTAGTAGGGAACCAGCCCAAAGTTCACATTCAGTTGTCGTGCCGTTTGCGGAATCAGAGTGGCCGCCACCACTGGAATCTGTGGGCGGTACTTGGCAACCAAACGGGCAGTTCCTCCAAGCTCCGTAATGCAGACAATGATGGCAGCATCCACTTGCCGAGCTGCAAGAACCGCAGAAGAAGCGATACTCTCCGACACAGGGATAGGCTTTGGAATACTGCGCATGGTTTTGACTTGATACTCCAAGTAGTTGGTATTCTTTTCGGCCTGGTAGGCTATTCTGCGCATCGAGTCTACGGATTCCAAAACGTATTCACCGATTGCAGTTTCACCAGAGAGGACCAATCCATCCACGCCATCCATAACCGCGTTGGCCTAAGTTTTACCATTAGCGCGGGTTGCCGTGTTGTAGCGCGTAGGTACCAGGATACTTACTACATCTGATTTACGCAATTAGACAAATGACAGTTCTTCGCGTTAGAAATCTCTATATGAACAATGCTCAGGTCAAGTCCTTACCGGCTGCTTCAGATCTGGAAAATACACATTATATAAGTAAATAGGATCCTAAATAGAGTATTCCTAGAGTAATGCCTTACCGTGATGGTCTGGGATTGGTTCTCATCGATTCAAGCATTTGGTTCGCCACCAGGATCGGCTTGCCTGCCACATTCGCCTTGAATGGACGCAAGGATAAGCATCATGTTTGATTCACACACGCAGCCCTTGGGTCCATAGCACTAACCATACTAATCATCTTCTTTTGGGCAACAGTCACCAAGTCCACATCAACCTCTGCGCCAAGATAACCACGATCGATGACAATCCCGTCGGCCATTTTCAAAATACTTTCAAAGTTGTCCATGCCCCGTTTGTTCTCGATCTTCGCCAAAAGCTTTACCTTGTGATTGCCGAGCAGCAATCTAAGGCAACGTTCAGTGAGCGACCAATTCAGGTGGCATCATACATCAACCATTCTGACCTCACTTCCTCCACATCGTCAATGTTCCGAATACATGAAACAGATATAAAGTCCACATTCTGCGCCATTGCGTACGAAATATCGGCCTTATCCTTGTCACTAACGGCTGGAAGGTCCTCAATGACATGACTTGGGAAGTTGATACCCTTATTTTCCCCCAAGATTCCTGTATTGCAGAGTACATCACCTCGCTGAGCGACAGATACGCTATAAAAGATGTAAATGTTCAACATACCGGTGTTGTCCACCTTGCACCGAATCGAATCCTCCAAACGTTCCACGACGGTAAATGACAGCAGTCCGTCGTCAATGTACATCTTGTCTCCCACTTTTACTAGCTCTTTCGTGTAGCTTGTAGAAATCTAGAAAAATTTCATATCAGACTTGGGCATGCCATTGGTCCGGAACATGTTGGCGTAGGTACCCTTGTGTTATCCCCCAAAAGGTCTGCATCATTCACAAAATAAAAGTCGTCGCCAGCTATTAACTGCACAGGCTCGCCATTCACCAATCTTCCACTCCTATATCATAGATCAGCCGATATTTGTTGATCGATGAGCATTCACTATCAGCAACACGGTATTGTACTATCCACACCCAACCCCAAGACACAAACCTAACTTTGGGCCCATTGATATCCAGCCAGGTTGCCACCTCAGCGGTACTTCCACTCTCCTGAAGATAAGTTCGAATATCGCTAATCACTTGTGTCGCAAACTCTTGAGTACAGTGACTCAGGTTCAACCGAGCAATGTTCATGCCGGCCTCCACGAGCTTCCCAATCATTTCTTTTGAGCATGACGCTGTTTCCACGGCATACCAATTAGTCTAAGCAAAACAAGGGCGAGCAGCAGTTGCATGCTTTAGGTTTACCTGGACCGATAGTGCAGACCACCTTTGTCCGCAAAATGTCGGACGAGTTGGCTACAGAGAGAATAGTTACGATGACCGCGCCATCAAACACAAGAAAAACGCTTCCTTACCATCCAAGTGTGCTGGATGAATGCGTCTGGAGAAGGCGACCATGATGGTATGTGAAATTGAACTACGATGCAAAAGTTTGGAGAGAGAATAACAATAATGCTGTTGAGCCAGGCGTATCCCAGCGATCGATGACGATGCCACTGGGCACGTGCCACACCGCGATTTCATGAAGATATCGATGGCCAATGCTTTTGATCAACACATAATATAATTCATCGAAAATACAAAAACGAACTATGCAAGCATATATTTCAATCCCTTGACAAGAGATATACCATGAACAAACAACGACGAGACGTCGGTATCCGAGTTTCAGTCGATCTTCACATTTCTGTAGATGCGACGGATGAATCTCTCAGCCGCTAAATGTCCAACGGTACCCAGCAAGATGAGAAGACCAAAGCAGACTAGGCCAGTATAGCCAAAGTACCACGAGGTTTGGAAATATCCGTACATCCTGTAATTGAGAATTGCGATTAGCTTGTGCTTTGGAGCATTGACACAAATTGGGTGTACATCTACTCACTTGGTCCTGTAAACGAAATAGTAAATGGAATATAAAAACACGTACACAGCCGAAAACCCGCTTGACATAAAGGACGTCCAATGCCACCGGTGATCCTCCGAATTCAACAGTAGATCTAAAACGGGTCGATTTTGGTTTAGCTTAATTCAACGACTACCATAACATGAGTCCCTACATGTTGACACGATCGAAACACATGCTGTAACAACGATCAACATGACGAAAACCAGCTGGATAACTCATCAGAAAGAGGAGCATAGATAAAGAGTCATATTCATATCTTACCAGCATAAATCCGTATACATAGTATATCTTGATCGACCAGAATGACTGCACAATATGCCTGTTAGCATCATCGTTTACCGCAGGAGCAGCACAACATGAGAGCAAGCTCACCTGGAACACAAAGTAAATTTCGATGAAGATGGAACCAAATGGGAACAATCCTGCCAACGCCACCAGTACAGGGGGCTCCGCGTACCTACACAAGAGAGAGAGAGGGTCGATAAAAGAATTCCACCAGCTGTAGTAAATGTGACAACTACAATACCATAACTTATCCGGAATTGGGCGGGGTATAGGATTTACGCGGCACGGGAAGTCTGGTGCTTTTCTAAAGTTTCGGCCGATAACGTAGCCGACTAACGTCAAGGGAAAGATTAAGAACAACCATATTGCCAAGATCGCCATCTGGAATGACATCGTCATTAGTCAGGTCCTATTGAACACGCAAGCCAACAAAGCTTTGGAACCGACGCTCACCATTGTGCCAAATGGGATAGCTCGAGATGAGGTGATTGAGATGGCCGCGAAGTTGACGATAAACGCAACAAGTGACACTGTTCCAGGCCACAGCGTCGCTGTCATTAACATCGTGCTCACCCAATTCTTCCCTAAGCAATTGCATACGGTAAGCAAAACAAGTAATCGATTTCACGACATGATTATCCACGAAATGCACCTCCATATTTGTTGTAAAACGACCCGCTTGAATATCCGCTCAACATGGACGTCAAGGCATAAATAAATATGGTAGCTGTCAACATCGTTGCGCGCCTACCGTAGAGCACCTGCTGTTAGAGTATTTCATTATGGTAAGAAGCTTCTGTTTACCACGTACTCCAGGTATAGATCGCCAAGAATGGTATACAGGATCACGCAGATGGAAAGAACGCAGAGTTGTACACCTGTTCCGATAAAGGCCGAAAGTAGCGCAAGCCGGGTTGGGGCGCGGAAGACATCTCCATGAACGAGTTTCCATCCATACTCATCACCCAAGTCGCGGTCCTAGCGACGCAGAAAACGCTCAGTTCTTAACATCATCTTCTGTTCCACTGATGCTCGGGCGCGTTACCTACAAGATCTAAGAGCCCTTCCTCTCTGTCATACCGCGCGTAGTCGCGTCGCAGAGTGCGGAGTAGAATGATGCTGACCAATCCGGACAAGAAGATAACCATCATAAATGAGTTGAAGATGGAAAACCAATGAATCTGCCCAAGGAATTAGATTAGAAACGAGGAGTGAGAAAGAGCAAGCAGTTTCCCCATGTACCTTGTGTTCAAAGAAATCCTGATCAAGATATCTATTGAAGCGTGTTGCAAACGATTGTGTGGTTGGGATAAATTCAACAGAGTAGGTAAACGGCACCGTCAATTCGGTGGATGTGTCGGTTTTTGCGGGCAAGGGGAACTTTTTGCTGCTGGTCATATTGTACTCAATGATCTAAGGAAATATTAGCCACTCGGTCCTTTTATACATCTCGTGTAATTTCGCGCGTTACCTTATCGTCGTTGTATGCTATTCTAAAGCTTTTGTGCGTAAACAAATACATGTTTTCTCCCTCAATTGTCCCTACGTAATCTAGAAACCAGATTAGACTGTCGACAAAGGGGCATCATCGTAGGATACAGTAAGGCACATACCCCATGCAGGCAAATCGTCCAGAAACATTTGATACCAATATTTATTAAGAATGGCGTGTCGGAAAAGCCGCACATCATCCGCATTCAGCTTCCTAGTGCACATCTTCCCTTTGTTGTTGTTCTCTGTAACCAATATTTAAAATCAATTTTGAGCAAGAATCACACTATTTGCACGACGCATTCATTTACCTCGAAACTTGATATCTAGTCCAGAGTTCACTAGCTGAACTCCAAGTAGCGCCTCGCCTACGGAAGACTAGTCAGTTCTGGGCCGTCCTGATGTTGGGCTACCGCATGTGAAAATTTCAAAGACAAACCCAGTGTTTCATGATGATGGTGGATTTCGGTTGAGCCCAGACAGAAAGGCAAGAAAAGAAATTCATATGCTAGAAACTGAACGCTTAGATATATCGAGTGGTTAAGGGAGAGTGAATATCAAAGCACATACTTTCTTGTAAGTTGTCATATGGACTTGTACGAGATATAATAAACGCAGGTTAACATGAAAATTCCGCGAAAGGATCATATCTTACAACCCGTACCCAACTGTGTTCATCCAGACGACAACCTCTTCCCCTTTTTCATACTGGACCAGCAGTGAGTGGCACCGTCTCGAAATTTTAAAGTCTACCACAAATGCTTTACCTTGTGTGAATGCTCATCCGCATGTGCCCCCGCTGCTATTGAGAGCAGGACTATAGCTACTAGCAACCTGGCTTTGCGCATCATCTTCTGTGAGATGCTGCAACGGAGAGCAAATCGCAGCGTTTGCCGAATGCGCAGCACGATGACTCATGCACGTGACCGTAACTGTGCTATTTCAACCTTCTTGCGATCAAAGGCAAGAAAAGAACTAGTGTACAAAACACCTTTCGCCACATCCTCATCTACGCCCTCCCATCCAGTACCATGCTTACAGACGTGAACGTCACCGCAAGCGACGCCCCCGCCAAGCTCTCCAGAAAAGCCAGAAGAGCTCTGCAAAAGTCTCCAGCCTCGCCCGAGTCGTCTACTACAACCGCACAAAACTCCGAAATTAATCTTCTCGCAATCACAGAAGATGAACCCGATGCAAGATCTTCAGAGGCAAAGAGCCCATATGTTGAGGTCATCAATAAGAAGCTGCGCGCATTGAAGAAAAAGCTGGTAAGCCGCGCTTTGGACCTGTTCACACCAGATCTGTACTTTCCCTAAATCTCCATTATAAAGACCAAGGTGGAGAAGTATGAGCAGTTGGAAAAGAAAGACCTCAACCAGGACCAAATCCAAGCTCTCGAAAGGAAGCCGGAAGTGGTTTCAGCGGTGAAAGAGTTGGAAGATGTTGTCAAACAGATTACTGTGACAGAGGCAGAAGAATCCAAAATTCAGCAGGAGAAACAACAAGCATTCGAACAGACGGCGCAATTGCGGGTTGAACGAGCAGTGCAAGAAGTGAAGGTTAGTGGTCGTTAATCAGGTTTATGAATCATGATATTAAAACAAGAGCATAGGCTGCGTCCTCACGCACCACACGGGAGATACTGCAACTCTTCTATGTCCTGAACATCGCCTTACCAAATATTGTTACTTCAAATCTTCCAATCACAGACGAGCAATATAATGCGCTGGCGTATTTCCGTGCAGTCATCACCGGCGTGGGACTTGAGCAGGGGGACAGGTAAGGGAGCAACTTCACAAGGCAGGTGTCTCTGGTTGTGACTCAAGCCCTTTCGCAGTACCGAAGACTTTTTACAATCTGCTGAGGCCAATTTGCATAAATATTTGGAACGTCAAGAGGAGCCTTTTGTACATGGGGTCACTTACAGTCAGCTAGCGGCGGTAGTGGACACAATTCTTAACCCGCCTGCCCCGCCGAAGTTTGGAACCGAGAACTTCGAGGACGCTATCCTAGAAGAACCGACTGCGGAGGACGCGGGACTTCCAGAGGAAGAACGAGACCACGGTACCGGGCATTCAATCGCTTCCAACCTTGGTACCATCAGTTTCTTCAATCCCAGTGAAGTCTTGGGTAAGTGTAACCAAGAGTCGTGTAGAAACAATTTGCTTGATATGATGCTTCACAACCGATTAGTCTTGAAGACGCAAACTGGTTAAAACATGCCTGTGACTGATCAAAGCAAAGCTGGACCAAAGCACCGATGGGCTATATTGGCTTGTTATTAAAATCCCAACGTCCACTTAGGTATTACGACTGAAACCACAGAGATTTCCACGGAAGAGAACGGGATCAAGACTGATCTCATAGTGGAAACCATTACTGTGGTCACTCCAGAAGCTCAAAAGCCAGCTGCGTCCGAAAAGGCGGAGCCGGCTGCAAGTGGAGAGGTGCAGGGCGAGGAAGGCGGTGTGGGGATAACTCAAGGCGAGCAGGAAGAGGGTGAGGGTGCAGCAGTACCATCTCAGGAGGGCCAGCATCAAGGCAGGCAGCACAGAGGACGTGGGCGTGGAGGTTTCCGTGGGCGTGGCCGAGGTCGTGGAGGCCAAGGTGGGTACCAAGGCCGCGGTGGCTTCCGTGGACGTGGCCGAGGCGGACCTCGTGAACACCAATCAAGGCCGCAGCCCCAGTAGTTTAGCCAAAAGGAAACAACGCGTTCTACGCAAACGTTTCATTTCTGAGGCGGTATAATACAAGCAGCATATGCACACATTTCGTCTTATGTCTACTTCCATGTCGGTCGAGACTATTTTTTGTTCAACATGTCATTGAATTCGTTCATTATTTTTCGCATTCGCTCAGCGTCCTTGTAAAAGCCAGCCTTTTCACACACTTTGTGCAAATGCTGTACTTTCCCTAGTATCCTTCGGAGCTCGCCAGCCGTCACATAGCCCCTGCGTAAGTCTCTTGAGATTTGCCGTAACCAAGACAGGTCATTTCCGAAGCCTGAGGGAAGGATGTCACGAAATAGGAGCCAATGGTTATTGATCACCTCGAACAGGTCGGACACTGACCAAGGTGGCTTGTGCGCAACCTTGGTTCTCCATTCCTTTCCAAACTGCCGTTGAAAAAGGACAGGGAAGGCGGCAGACATTGATCCCACGAGCGTGTCGCTTAGTTGTTTGATAATGATGTCGACCGGATCAGCTTGCCCTTCGCGATTAGTAGAGGCTCGTTCTGGGAAAATAAGAGCAGAGGATGCATTTGCGTCTGCAGAGACCAGTTCGTCGATGTCCATCAAATCGACCTGATCTTGGACCATCCCATCAATGACGGCCTTATCTGAGTCACGCGGGGGATCAGCTGTTTTCTCCAATTTGAGGACACTCTTCTTGTTTCCGTTGTTCGGCTTCGGTTTTGCAGCAGCAGTTCTAGTCGTGTTTGATACCGCAGGAGAAAGCTCTAGTCCTCGTCTTGCTTCTGATATAAACTCCGCTGGCGACTTTTTCCAGTTTGACACGGTATAGATCGAATGAATCAAAGCTTTCACACAAAGGTTTTTGTCTTAAAGGCGGGGGGATGGTAAATCATAAGGTCATGGAAAGCTTCGGAACGATCATCAAATCACCATTTGACATCAGGACCACTCTGGGGGTATACCGGACTTGCGCAAATCTGAATTCATGCGAGAGCTCAGCAATCAGGCAAAACCGTGTCCACAACGGTGAATGGACACTTACCTACAGCATTCAAGTATCCTATCATCGTTATTCATCTGTAATCAGGAGCTTAGTACCTTCAAAACGGCAATCCCACCAGCTTCATTTAGCAACCTGAGTGAGATCCATGCCGGGGAGGTGGTCAGTTATCCTCTGTCCTTTTAATGCAGGAGCCCCTTTGAGTAACGTCTGGTATAGCAGGTCGATAGCCTGTCGAGCACAATGAGCCAATGATATCTCTGATGGAGAATCTACGACTGCCTTTCCATTGGAGACACTATCATCTGCAACAATGTTGTCTGGTCGCACGACGCGATCCTTGACGGCTGCTGCTTGTTTTCGCACAGAACCCTTGTGCGAATCCTGCACAAAAGATTATTCAACAACAAAAGAAAAAGGAATAGAGCTATTTTGATATACATTCTCACCTTGAGACTATCAAGTTCCTTTAATACGACGTATGGAAGTAGCATAATCATATCAGGTGCCGGTAATATGTCCAGAACTAGGGATAATCGTATTTATGGTAGTTGTGACAAATGACGTACACCATGAGCATTCGTACCTTGCTTGACAAACCTGTTTCAGAAGACTCATGAGTATTGCATAGATGTTCAGATATCACAGATGCCATACCGCAGATGTGATATGAGGAAACATGTATCGATGACGAACACCGCAGAATAAGGCGTTCCAGTTTTGTCCAGTTCCATCTGCAGACATGGCAAAATGTTAGCTCTTTGGCTAATGGTAGCTTCATATGGTGGGGTTGGATATACCGGATCAAGAAGCCGATCCACTTGACACGGCCCCGGTCCCGCCGTAAGCGAGCCCGTTCCACCGATCAGTTGTACATCATAACTCGGCGGTACAGTGGCGCGTCGGAAACTTGCGATTTCCTCGGTAAAGGCCTATTCATCGACGACGATGTGTATAGATCACTGAGAGCCTTCCAAGCTGCAACTTTGTAATGCTTCAAGCCGTACCTGCTGTAGCTCTTCATCGTCAATGTCCATAGGGAGTACATCATCGTTGTCCACAGGTGATAAAAGCGCCATATTGGACAGTAGCGCAGGAGGTGGCCAGATGTTGGAAGGTATGTGAGGTGTTGGATGGTTCCAATGCTGCCCCAACATTTCCTAGATCCATGAGGAGATCCCTCCCACCTGCGAGTTACGAGGCTGGGATTAACTTTGGGTCACATAAGCTTCAGTTAATCGGCACTACTGGATCAATGTGGATCGAGTGCTACTGCGTCGACATAATAAACTGGCTGCATCCGCTTCAATCTCATGTTCAAACCACGCCCCAACAGTTGTCAGCAACGATCGTTCTCCTCAACCCATCGAGTGCTCTTCCTTATGCCGTCGTAATGACCCATAAAACAACTTCCTCGTTTTTAGCCTCCGATACTCTCTGTCATGTTGCGTTTTCTTCTTGCGCCGCCGTCATTGCAAGATGCGCGGCGCACCCATTGGACACCATAAAGACTCGCATTCAATTTGCGTCTTCCACTAGTGGGACCTCAGAACCGTCCCTTGGCCAAATTCGCTCAACGGTGCGACAAGTACTTCAAAAAGAATCGTATTCTGCGCTATATCGCGGGCTTCCTGTTGCTCTTGTATTCAGTGTACCAGCCCTTAGCGTCTACCTTGGCGCCTACGACTATTCGAAGCAAGCACTTGGGAGATGGGGGAGACTTGGAACACACGAGTCAATGAGCGTACATGCTCTAGCATCTTGCTATGCGGAAATTCTCAGTGGCGCCCTATGGTAACAGGAAAACCTATTGATGTCAAGTGATCGAAAAGCAATAGAAACTTTGCTGAAGAATATGCTTCGGCAGGACACCTATGGAAGTGCTGAAGAATAAGATGCAAGTTCACACTGGATCTACCGCATCGATATCGTCAGGCGGACAAACGTTGCGGTTAATTCGCGGAATCTATCAACGTGAGGGTATCCGAGGTTTCTTCAAGGGATATTTTTTAGCGTTAGCCGTTTTTGTGCCTTACACGGTGAGCGGGTTTGGCCTTGCACAGAACAGTATGTAAGGAGGCTGACACTCGTTTCTTTCGGCAGATAACTTATTTTGTTGCTTATGAACAAATGAAACGACAAGCGGGTCTTGTCCTTCACGGGCGCAGAGTTGTCGATTCACAATCATCTACCCGACAACAACTTCCTTTTGGTGCTTACGTTGTATGTTCTGGAGCATCTGGCGCGTTGGCAGGAGCTGTGTCCAATGCTCTGGATATTGTAAAGACACGAGTGCAGGCTAGCAGAAAGTCACAGAGTGCAATGTCAATCATTAGACATATGTGGATACACGAGGGACAGTGGAGGGCATTTGGCCGAGGTTTGCTGGCAAGAGTACTGTGGGTTACCCCTACTGTAACATTGTCAATGAGTGTGTACGAGGTGCTAAAGGACTGGAGAATACGTCAACTGGCGAGATAGATACATTAGATGGAAAAGACGTGCAAAAAACAATGGCTAAGATGCGGAGGGCCAAGCCTAAATACATATACGAAGAAATTCACTAAATATCCATATCAAACCGATCGTCCATCATCTCCCCTCTGCATTCCGAGTTTTGTAACTCTCGTCTGATTTCAGGGGATATCCCTTCGTGTACTTTATATCTGATAAGATCCAACAGAGCCTCCTTCTGTTCTGGAGTCATATCCTCCTTGTACCTGAAACCAGAGCATCAGATTAGGACATCCATCATGCGCGCAGGAAATTCCGCGAAAGTACGAACCTTTGAGCGAATACGAGTAGCGATTGATGCCACAAGACTGGCAATTCGCGGGGGTCATTCTTGAATCGGATAAAGTGGAAAACGAGGGCATCTACAACTTTGAATGGTAATGCGTATTTCTTGTCAAGGAGGATTCGGATGAAAAGACTGTTTGCCCCTGGAGAGAGGATGATCTTAGCAATGCCCACGTTAGATAGAACGCCTATGGTTTGTCTTAAAAGTACCAGAGTAATCCATTTCCGCCAACTTGAGCAGCCCGGCGGCTGAATGGAGCACAGGTATACTGACTTTTGATATTACACTGCCGATAATGGCTGCCTCGCGTAGGGTACATGTTCCGGTTTCACACAGGGGTAGCAACAGTCCTTTGAAGAAAGCCGCTGGTTTGTACAGAGACTTTTTCAGTGCCATATAAAGATGATAGTTCAACTTTTTGGTCTCTTGAATATCCTCCCGCACACGATCTAGCAGAACTAGTGCAAAGAATCTCTGCGCCATTTTCGCTTTCAAATTGGAGACAAAGATACGAGTTGCCTGGTACGTTGCTTGAGGTGTCCATTTTTCGGGATGCGTGAGGTAAAGAATATCTTCCCAATCGGCAAGCGAAGGAATGATTTTAAATGTTTTGGGAAGCTTTCCAGACTTGTATCGGCTTAGGAGAAGACCAACTTTTGTGTACACGTCGATAATCTTTTCGTTCATGGACGGTGGGACTTCTCGACCTTCTGTATCAGCACCGGCTGCCTCTGCCGCTTGGATTTTGCTCATGATCAGGTCTGACAAGTTCATCTGTTTTCGTGGCTCTTTGGCCATAAATTTGTCAATCAACGCTTGATCGGCTTCATCAATCTCAAAGTCCTCTTCAAATCCTTCGTACTCTTCGTACTCTTCTTCAATCTCCGCAACGTCCTCATCTGACTCCACTTTGTTGGTGAACAATGGTCGTGCAGGGGTTAATGTGATCTTGTCAGTGTCCATCATCCTTCCCTCCCGTTCAATCTCGTCCTGTTGTTGCCGCACAATGTTGAGAATCTTTTTGGACGTCCTACTGTCCAAAAACTCGGCGCCCTTCTTGGATGTGTCATCGTCTGACCCGGTTTGGTCCTTTGGTCCTCGTCGCTTCTTTTTAGTCAGTTCAACTGAGCTGTCTTTGGCCATTTGGACGTAGAGCGGGTCATGGCGGAGACTGGATCGCTTCTTCTTTTGTACACCCATGTTTGCGGGAACGTCAAAGTGGGATGTGCAAGAGCTGTTCTAGCAATGGACCGACTGGCCTCGTCTGAATTTTTTTTGCCCATTAAGTCAGCAAGGGAGCAATCGAGACTGGAACCACAGCTTATACATTCGATCCGAGTATTGTGGATGACCCGTGGCTTTGGAGCGTTACCAGAACCCAGACACACCAGTTGATAAAACCATGACCGATCAGCAACTCCGACTCGACTTGCAACGATCTTCATCCCATATTTTGCATCTTGCCAAGTGACCATGTCTCCGCCGTGCCAAGGTTGCTTCACATTCTTAAAGCTGACTCGACTTGGTCGCCGACCTCGGCGTTTGGTCGTCCTTGTTCTCGGCCTTGATGGAGCAGGGAAAACCAGCGTCCTGTTACGATTGCAAGGAGGTACCACTGCATTTCAAGTTAGATATAAAATAAACACACGATCTAAGGCAGTTTTGCATACACAGATCCGAATCAAGCGACCAAGACATCATGGGGTTTCACCACTGCAACTGTGCCGTTTGACTTGCCAAAGAACGTCCGAGAATCAGCTGACGATGATCAGAATAAGAAGAGATCAAAGAAACAGAAACCCGACAGAGTGACAGTGACATTGTATGATATAGGCGGTGATGTAAAGATTCGACCCATTTGGAAAAACTACTATGCAGAGGTAGGACAACAGATGAGACTTGCCCATACACTATGGAGGGACTCATGATGTTTTCAGGCGCATGCATGCATATATGTGATCGATTCTGGAAACCGCGAACGAATTTCCGAAGCGTCTGAGGCGTTGAATGAAGTATACCAAGATCCCAGAATGAAAGGCAAACCTTTACTAATGTAGGTTTCGGCTTTGACACCTCTTTGGGCAGCTTGATTCATGTTAACACTGGTTGTGGGGATCTGCAGCCTCGCAAACAAACAAGACGCAACCAACGCCCTAACTCCGGCAGAACTGTTTGAAACTTTAAAGATCCAGCACTTGGTGCCCGAGAACAAAACCCTGGTTACAGACACTGTGAACCCGGACATTGACGGGTGGTGGGCATCGATAAAACCGTGCATAGCCAATGTTCCCGATCCTGATCTCGATGGTTCAGCCTTTGCTAGTGGTACGTCAAATGCAGACCTCTTTAGCATCGAAGGATACCTCATACACTTGTTTTTTCAGAGATGCATATTCTGCCCTTGTTCCGGGTGATCTTAAACAGTCTCTCCACTCTGGAACCGCGATGCCGAAAGGATGTGGAGGAACAACAGGAAGAATGGGACAAGGATAGAATGGAACAAAGGAAAAGGGTGGATGATTATCGCCAGGAGCAGGAGAAGAAGGAAAAAGCAAAGACCAAAGGCCCCGACATTGTAGGGAGTAAGGAGTTGCACAAGGAAGTCGAAACTTCACCTGTGGGATTCAATGACGAACCTGATCAAAAGAACGGCGCGACAGAGGTCAAAGGCGAATCAAAATCGACTGCCCCAACCGCAATCAACGACGGACCACAGCAAAAAGGGACATCATCAGAGGCGGTGACGGAGCATTCGGCTTCACACCCGGCAACAACCCTCTTTGGGGCAAAAAGCAAGAACAGAATATATCCAGTTTCTGACTCTACGGAACATCACGTACAAGAGACGCCTTCTGAAACATCAGCAAAACGGTCAAACACAGTGCACCCCGAGGCAATCCTCGTCGAAAGCGCATCAACTGCCGGCATCCAGCATCCTCCATCGCCTTTTGGTGTGCCAGTGACGATTGAGAACATCCACACTGACGGACACGCTGACGGTGAGCAAAGCCCACAAGCTCCACGATTCACGCTTGGGTCGGTTCCGCCCATATCGTCACCACTAACGTCTTCCGAGTCGACGTTTGGCAGAGCGCGCATTTTAGCACCGCTTGACGAGAGTGCCCCAATGCATACGGCCAAGCCTCGGGTGCTCGCCCCTCTTGCTACGACAGCCCCGACATCTGGGGCTTTGCGATCATGATACTTCAATACTATCTGAAGGAAAAATACAACACGAACATGTATATTGATTATGTCAAGTAAATAGATGGATTCTGTACAGTCACGATCTGTCCTACTGGTTATTCTGTCGCCTGTTTTCTCTTCGTGCTCTTACGCCTTCTCTCAAAGTATCAAGGACTTTAACGGTCTGCTCCCAAGAAATGCAAGCATCTGTGATAGATACTCCATACTCCAACTTTGCGGGACCCTCCGCTGGCAAGTTTTGTCTCCCTTCTTTGAGATTGCTCTCAATCATAACTCCCATGATGTTATCGGCCGTTGAATCTGGGTCGGAAGCTGCTGATAGCTGTTGGGCAATGTCGTCGGCCACCAATATTTGACGCCTGTGGTCCTTTCTCGAGTTACCGTGAGAGCAGTCAACCATCAAAAGGGGCTGCAATCCAGCCTTTTTGATCTGTTCGCTATACTTGCGGACATGCTCCGCCGAGTAGTTGGGCCCATCATGTCCTCCTCGTAGGATGACGTGACACGAGTCATTTCCAGTAGTCGCTACAATGGCACTAAGGCCTTGCTTTGTCACGCTCAGGAAATGATGCCCGACAGATGCGGCACGAATGGCGTCGATCGCAACGCCGACATTGCCGTCGGTTCCTAGAATGGGACACAGAGTGAAACCGGATGCCATTCCTATTGATTTGGGTGGCCGTTACTTACCATTTTTGAAACCGACTGGAACAGAGAGCCCGGATGCCAGTTCACGGTGAACTTGCGATTCCGTAGTACGTGCTCCGATGGCACCCCAGGCGACCAAATCCCCAATGTATTGGGGAGTCAACGTGTCAAGAAACTCGCAACCCGTGGGTACGCCCGCTTCATTCAGATCCAGTAGTAGACCTCTTGCAATCTTTAAACCTTTATTGATTGCAAAGGTACCAGTCATATCGGGATCATTGATTTTGCCCTTCCAGCCTGCCAATGTAACAATGGGCGATTAGAGACTCTCATACGTATGGCTAGTTCTCTGGCATACCCACCAACAGTCGTTCTTGGCTTTTCAAAGTAGACACGCATAATGATACACAAGTCTTCTTTTGCGTTATTTGCATAAGTTTTTAAAAGCTGTGCATATCTGGCAAACAATGGGTTGTTAGCGCAACACAACTAGTTGTCCAACAACATGTTTTTGCCACCTACTCGTGAGCTGCCTTCACGTCGTGAATAGAGCAAGGGCCTACAACACACAAGAGCTTGTCCGACTGACCCTTGATAATTCGTTCCGCCTCCGCACGGGCTCCTGCTACGGTTGTTGCAGCAGCATCGGACATGGGAAAGTCCTCAACGAGGAGTTGTGGGGGAATAAGAGGCTTAATGTCAGCGATGCGCCTGTCGTCGAGTTCATTAAGGGCATCGCCCTTTCGCTTGGGGCTCTGGGGCCGTGTTGATATGGCTGCAGTCATTGTTCAAATGTGTTTCCCAGATTCTCACGCCGTTGGGCAGGGTTTTTATCAAAAGGATCTACTTGGAATGGATTCGAACCGATTCTGACTCGCCATGATGTGTGTGGGCAAGGATTGGTTCAACTGGTTGTGGCGCATACGTTCACATGGCAACACAACGAGCCAATCAGCCAACGAGAAAGTCTCCGATCTGATCTCCAAAAGTCTATAAAAGGGCGACGCTTCCCGTTCCCCCCCTCTGATTTCTCTAGTCCTCCACGACGTTGACACAGATCAAATGACCCTTTCGCCTTTTACTAAAGAGTCCTGTGTGTGAGCGTCACAACGTGGAATTGTCAATTTTTTGCCACTTCATCTTTTAGATGGAAATTACAATTTAAAGGAAGAAAACATTTTGAACATTAGGGAATTGTCTAGTAAAATCATTATAAATTTGTGAGAAACCATTAAACTGCCTAGGAAATGTCGTAGGAAAATGTTGTCTTGACGAAATAAGCTCTTACTGGCATGTTGTGAGAAGCCATTGCATGGAAGCAGCAGTTGGAAAGGTTGCGGTGACGTGCGGATCGGCAATATGCTCAATGCGTGAACTGGACGGGCTGTTTGTAGATTTCTGAAAGAAGCGATTGGCAACGGTAAAACTCTTGCCGGCCTTTTGTCTGCATGTGGTTTGCAAAGACGTACAGCGCAGTCCAGGCTGGGAGCATTGACGGGACCGACACGACGCCGCATGATCACGGCATTGCACGCGCTGAAAAGGCGCATTGTAGGTTTACCCCACAACCCCCTTTTCTGGCTTTCCAGCACGCTCATGCATCTTGTGCAGACAAGAAACCCAGCGCAGACGCCAATCTTACAAAGGATCCATTCAAGACATTGTTTGTGGGCCGACTGGGAACAGAGACAATAGAGAGTACGATCGCAATTCAGAGCGCACGCACAAAACCTCCAAATGCTGACCATTCCCTCTTGTTATGTAGGCGCTCTCGAGCGTGCCTTTGAGCGGTTTGGCAAGATTCTTAGTGTGCGTATTGTTCGACATGTTGTGACTGGCAAGTCACGCGGCTATGGATTTGTCGAGTATGATCGCGAGAGGGACTGCATGGAAGCGTACAAAGTAAGATGATACATTGAGCTCACCTAAAAAATTGTGATGCTCATAAACATGGCTACCAGCGAATGAATAAAAGCCTCATTGATGGGCATGCCATTTTGGTGGATTACGAACGAGCGCGAGTCATGGAAGGATGGACACCGCGACGGCTAGGAGGCGGGTTTGGAGGGCGCAAGGAGTCGGGGCAACTGCGATTTGGAGCACGGGATAGACCGTTCAAGCCGCCAATGTAAGAAGGAACGAGTAACGTTTGGCGCACTTCCAAAGGGCGTAGGGCTCATTTGTCTTCTTCTTTCACTAGATATGGACATAGGGGAGAGCATCAAGCCGTGCCGGACATTGCGTTTGATCAACGATATGATGATTGTTGGCGGGAACATGCCCGCCGGGCAGCAACAGCTGGCAATCAAGAGGCGTCCACCAAGGAACCATTGAGGAGATCAAAGAGTGGCGATCATGTTTCTCAACACCGGGCAAGTTACCGTCAAAATGCTGCATATCAACCTTCCAGTATGGAAGCTGCTGCTGCGGCAAGTCGACATGGCGCGGAAGAGGGAACATCTCGGGCGAGACACAAAAGCCATCATGAGAATTATGATCGTCAAATCTCGCGGTCAGGCGATGCTCGACATTATCGGTCGCCAGCACCCAGATCGCAAAGAGACCATCCTGGGGACAGACAGAGGCGCTCCTACTCTAGGCATGACTCTCGTAGTCCTGATCACAGATCCTCTAGAGACAGATCATCATCATCCCAGCGCCGGGACAGGGCGTTTTCTCGACGAGAACCGAGATAGTTTCCTCTTGTCGTCATGATGAACCGAAAGATTTATTTCCAATGCGACCGACCTTGTACATACGTGCTGGAACATTGGTAATGGACTGCAACGCATCCATTCCTCTTCATAGTTGCGGGACCGATATGTCATTTATCACTTTCCCATGTGTACAAGTGTCCTATCTACAGTACCACCCCGCTCTGCCCTATATGTTCTTATCAAATCTCGGACGTGCTCTTTCACAGCTCGATCACGCTCTTCCACATATGCGTCCAGTTGAATGTACCGCTTGTCCTCCTACAATGTAATGAAATGAATACCTCCATAACAGTCCGTTTGGCCACAAAGCTCAACCTACCATCAAAACCTTCATAATCTCCTCCAGACTGATGTGACCCCATTCATCCCCTTCCTTTGGTTCACCTTCGCCCTTCTCCAACGATTTTGCTCGAGTTTCAACAACCGCCTGCTTAACGTGGAACTTTACAAAATTGTTTTCGCGTAAGAGTTCTAAAAGATCGCTTTGAGCCTTTTCCTTTCGTTCGGCTTGAAACCTTTCAAACGTTCGCTTTACGACGTCTTCAAGTTCATCAAGATCGTCGGAAGACGCCAATTTGCGCGCACGTGGATCCTGCAATATCCAGCCGCGAACCTGGTCCCATGTGGTAGTCAGATCAGTGGTATCTTTCAAGGCCGAATGGAAGGCGGCTAGCCGTTTCTCTTGTAGACGCGCCAAATGATCGGAAAACAAACGTTCTTTCTGCATGTCGTCAAGAGCGCGACATCTATCCCAACGTGAATCACGCTCCAAGGATGAACGTGCATCTCTCCACTTTGCATCGGCGTTACGCACAAAATCAACTAGAATGGTCTGGAACAAAGTTGTCGCATCTTCTTTTTGAAGGGATTCCCTATGCATGTTCCTTTCTCTATTCAACCGACTTTGTTCCCGGCGCACTTGCGCTTCACGCTCACGAAGACTTGCTTCCTCCCTCGCCTTTCTGTCCCGTTCCTTTCTCTCTTTCTCCAGCCGCCTTTGATGTTCCTCATCCTCTTCTGTCAGTTTTCGGATATATTCTCGGAAAATCTCCTCACGCTCTCCAGATGATCGCACAGCTTGATACCGGCGATCATCTTCAATCAGCCGTTTGATCCTTCTCCAGCTTGCGTCGACGTCGACCTCTTTCGTCTCTCTCAACAGCTGAATAAAGCCGTCCTTCGCAGCGCGGGTTTCCGATCGTTTGCGTTCTAGCTCATTTCCTTTCAACGCCGCAATATGTGCTTTGAAAAGGGGTTCACGTTCTTTGGCATCAAACCGCGCAAATCGCTCGTCTCGTTTGAACTTGCGGCTAAAGTCGTCCCAGCGTGTGCGATAAGTGACTTCGTCTTTCAAAAGCGACAAGTACGCCTCTTTCGTATCCTGCATAATGCCCCAAGCGAGTTTATTATATACCCGGGATCACATATTCGATCGTTTCAACTGCTACCTTCACTTTGTGCTTCTTCTCTTCGCGGAGTTCTACTACCCGAACTTTGCAGTACTGCTCGAAAACTTGTTTTCTTTCTTTCAGGGTGCCAATCACTACCATGCGATTTGAATGAATCAATGGCAGGCTGAATAATTAAAAGTACAGCAGGATACCTACATGTATATCGTCTATCATGAATGATTTTAGGAAGTTCCTTTTCCCAAGTTGAATACGGCGATACGTCCATTTCGCGCAACAGTTTTGTAAACTCTTCATTCTTTTGTTCCTGTGTCAAAGCTTCTGCTTTAATTTCATCTCCAGAAGGCTCTGGAGCCTCATCCTCTTTTCTCCGTTTTGCCACGCCCTCTGCTTCCTCATTATCTTCCGCCTTTCGTTTTGATGCGGTTCCAGTAGCATTCACGTCGACCTCTTCATCCATCACCTCTTTCGGCTCATTCTCCGGTTCAGCCTCGGAATGAAATTCATCACCATCCTCGCCGATGTCTACTCCCATCGCCTCTGCAATCAACTGTCCAATCAAATCACCAATTTCATCGGGCATATCCCACACGGATTCCTTGGTTTCCATATTATAAAAGAATTCATGATCCTTGCTCGTGAGTACAATTGTCCATTTAGTGGATGGAAGCTTCTTCATGCCAATGGGATGCTCGCTGGCAGGGGCACTAGGCGGTGTAGCCTTTCTCTCCGAGTTTTCGTCTGTTCCTGCTGGTTTCAGTTGCTTGGAAGTCTGGAGAATTTGTTGAGCGGGCGCTCCAGCCATAGGTGGTCGCGGCGGCGGTGGAGGTGGTCGGTATTCGGCTGGTCGTTCCCATCTGCTTTCTTTTGTGATCTACAAAACTTGCTGGTCAGTGTCCGACGAGAAAGTAGTAAGGTAAGCGGGATCGTACAGAATTGTAGTAGTAGAAAGACCCATTCGGATCTCGATGCTCTGACCAAGCCAGATGGACAGGAGGAGGGCCTGGCGGAGGAGGTGGGGGGCGAATGGGAAGCTGGCCGTTTCCCGGACTGGCAGCACCGGGCTGCGACACTGGCAGTTGACGTGGCGGACGCTGCCGTTGTGGAGGTCTTGTGCGTGGTGCGGCGGGGTCGTATTCGGGGTCAAGAGGGTCCATCTTTATGTAGATCTCGCTCTTACAGAGTGATATTCAAAATACCGTACGTCGCGAACAAATTGAACGAGTCCATGTGGCTTAGCATTGCTTATGGAGCTGCCAGTTCAACTTTTAACTTTGCAGAAGATTGTGTATTTGGATTAACAGTTGGCACTTTTTACGATAGGCAGATCATATCCGTACAGATAAAGGAATAGGCTGTAATTGCTCTTTTGCTGATCGCACCCCCACCATCGCAACGACAGTCGTTGCAGGAATCGTGCAAACGACAGCCGTAGCGGGACAATGAGGAATCGCTTACTGCAAACAATCCCAACGTAGGTTGCTTGATAACCAAACCCTTCAGTAATCGCTGGAAGCAACCACCCTTTACCCCCGCCGGACCGCTCACCCTTTGCACACAATGATCGAGGCTTTGCAAAGCAAGCGGATTGGGGCATCTCTCACGTGACTAGTGGATGAGTCATTCGACGGCCGTGCCTTTGGTGTGTTGGGATCCTTTGCCCGTACGCGCTCAGAGTTTTTGGTTGTGTTTTCCATCTTGCAGCAGCATCCTTCTGCTTGTTGTCGAGAGCAGCTTTATCGTGGGAGGGCGTGCAAAGGGTTTTCAACGTATAGTTGCTTGTCCTGCTGCTAGATAATAGGTTGAAGACCCAGTCATGGCGAGTCCACCTCCCCCTTTCCCGCAACAGTCGCATATGAGACCAGGAATGCCTCCAACAGGACCACAGCCTGGAGGGCCGGCTCCGAGACCACTTCCTCTTCAAGGTGCATTGCCAAACTCACCTGCCATGTTCCGACCACAGAGGCCACCAGCCGGTCCTGGAGGTGCTTTCACCGCTCCGGGACAACCTCAGGCGCATGGCCAGCCAGGAGTGCCCACCTTTGGAGGTTCACAGCCGGTTGGTCCACCGAATGGAGGGCAGCAGTTTAGGCCGTCACCACTTCATCATCAGGGTAAGTCTATAATTTTGCTTTTTGTATTTTTTTTGCTGCAAAGATCAGTTGGATGAACGCGCCTGGCCCATCCATCTTTCCGTTTTTCATTTCTGCTTGACTAGACTCATTCCGACAATCGAGCGCTTCGCTGCCCGGATTGCAACCTGGACAGCAAGCAGGACATCAGCCGGGGTATCAACCTGTATCACAACCAGGCCCGCAAGCTGGACATCATCCTGGGTTTCAGCCTGTATCACAGCCGGGCCTGCAAACGGGGCATCAGCCGGGTTACCAGGCCATGTCGCAACCAGGCCCACGTCCCATGCCTCCGCAAGCAATCTCGCCGGTTCCGCCTGGGTTTGGCCGACCACAACCAGGTTCAGCGCAAAGCGCTGGAGGCCTGGGAACCATGACGCCTGCTTCCGTTCCTGCTTCCGCTCCTATGCAACCACAGCAACCACTAACCTCATCAGTACCTGGTGCCCCACAGCAACTATCGCAGCCTCCTACATCAGGAATGCCTGCTATGGATGGATTGGCAAATCAAGTTGGTGCGATGCACATTGGACCTACTGGCGGGTCGCGCTCGACGAGAGCAAAACGCGTTTACGCATCGCCTCCAGGTTCTACAGCTGATCTTCATGCCCCCGGAGGACAGGTGCCACCTATGCCTGGAGTTGGTGCTCAGCAATACGGAGCTCAGTTTGGACAACCTGGCATGCCTGGTGTTTCGGGACCGCAGGTCGGACAGCCTTCTGCATTTGGGCACGGTCCCGGGCAGCCTGGTTTGCATCCCCATCCCGGACAGTCACTGCAACAAGGTATGCCGTCGCAGCCCGTGCCTCCGTCATTTATCCCACAACCCGGCCCTGGCTTTGCCCAAGCTCCCACGTTCCAGCATCCATCCCAGCCTAGCATGCAACCGGGTATGCAACCTGGTATGCAACCCGGAATGCAACCTGGAATGCAACCCGGAATGCAACCTGGAATGCACCCCTCCCAGGCAGCCCCTCCGCAAGCTCGTTCACGAATTGACCCAAATCAAGTGCCCAGTCCGATCTTGGTACAGGAAAACGATCAGGCAATTTACCAAAATGCACCCTACTCCACGACATCCCGATCGGTCCCTCCCCTTGCGTCTACAATTTTTAAAGCAATCGATGACGGGACATGTAACCCTAGATTCATCCGCCTGACCACATATAACATCCCTTGTACCGAAGAATTGGCGAATACTACATCAGTGCCACTGGGATTGGTTGTACAACCATTAGCCAATCTCAGTCACGAGGAGGATCCTATCGAAGTCGTCGATTTTGGAGAGCAGGGGCCAGTACGATGTAACCGATGCAAGGCGTATGTGAATCCGTATTTCCGCTTCATTGATGGTGGGAGAAAATTTGTTTGCAACTTGTGTTCATTTGAGAATGAAGTGGCACCGGAGTACTTTATGAACCTTGATATGAGTGGACGCCGTATGGACATTATGCGACGACCAGAGCTGAGGAGAGGAACTGTTGAATTTATTGCGTCCAAGGAATACTGTGCTCGTCCGCCGAAACCAGCGTCATACGTCCTTGCTATCGATGTTTCATGGAATGCTATTCAGAGTGGGATGTTGAAACGTGCAGTCGAAGCGATTCGTGAGCTGCTCTATGCCCAGGAAAAGACCCTCCCTCCTGGTACAAGGGTGGGCATCATGACATTCGACAAGTCCGTGCATTTCTACAATCTGAAACCGACATTGGATCAACCTCAAATGCTGGTGGTACCGGACATTGGCGATATTTTCGTTCCTTTGAACGAAGGTTTTCTAGTAGATCCCACCGAATCACGATCGGTCATTGAGAATTTACTCGACACTCTGCCGACAATTTTTGAAGGGAACAGAATTAGTGAGCCTGCACTTGGTGCGGCGGTCCAAGCTGCTTATGCGGCACTCAAGGAGTATGGAGGGAAATTGACCGTTTTTCAGACGATGCTCCCAACCTTTGGACCTGGGCCGCTCAAGAATCGGGAAGACATTAAATTGTTGGGTACCGACAAGGAGCGAACTCTGTATGAGCCACAAGAGTACTTTTGGAAAAAGCTGGCTCAAGATTGCTCGCAAAGTGGTATCTGCGTTGACATGTTCCTGTTCCCAACGGCGTACATAGATGTAGCCACGATTGGAAGTTTGTCGGCTATTACCGGAGGTGATCTGTATCAGTACGTCAACTTTGACGTCAACCGGGACGGACTGCGGTTCGCAGAAGATCTTAAGCGCTCTTTGACGCAATTGTTCGGTTACGATGCATTGTTGCGAATTCGGGCATCAAATGGTCCGTCCCATCCTGCTCTCTAGTGGTTTGAATATCCACAGCTCACAGCCTTCTATCTTCTAGGCTTGAAGGTTGTCGAGCATTTTGGCAACTTTTACATGAAGAACAGTACCGATGTCGAGCTGGCCGGTCTCACCTCTCAGACAGCAATAGGAGTTGCCATCAAACATGATGGCAAATTGGACGAGAAACAAGAATCGGCTTTCCAAGCCGCTCTGTTGTACACAACAGCCACCGGCGAACGACGCATTAGGGTACACAATATATCAGTTCCGAATACGGCGCTGTTGGGAAATGTCTTCCGGTATGCAGAAATGGACACAACTATTAACTACCTAATGAAAGCAGGTATGGGTCACTTGTCCCGTGCTAGTTTTAGTATGTACGCTAAATGAAAACCATGGGAACTAGCGATCGCACAAACTGTCAACTCTTCACTCAAAGCAGTGAGAGATCGACTAGCAGAAAAATGTGTCAAAATCCTGGCCGCCTATCGTAAACACGCCGCCTCATCATCATCTCCCGGACAGGTACGCCACATATCTCGTCTCCTGGCGTTCTGTAGAGCTATTCTAATAAAGAGCCTCTGTACCAGCTCATCCTTCCTGAATCCTTCAAGCTGTACGCGCTCTACACATTGTGTATGCTCAAGTTAAAGGCGTTTCGTGGAGGTAGGCGAGCTTGCAGTACGATAATTCTACTAAGACAGATGCTGAACGTCGTCAACAGGACCGGAGATGTCGACAGATGTGCGTGTGTTCAACATGCGCATGCTGAAAGCCCTTGGCGTTCCCGAATCGATTCCACTCTTGTATCCTCGTCTCATGCAGTTGCATGAACTACCTCCGCAGGTAAAACGATTGAGGGAGTGCTATCTACGTGTGAGCCTTTACCAACAGGATTCGTTGACCTTGCTATAGTGCGGAGAAGTAGATGAAAGGGGAAGAATAAGACTGCCGCCGCTTATCAGAGTATCACAAGAACGCCTGAGCTCGGCTGGTGCTTATGTTATCGGTATGATCTCTTTCAAGCTTGTTTTGTATGAACTGCCGGTAACCATTGGCTTTTTGATAGAAAACGGTCAGCAGATAATGATTTGGCTCGGCCGCGGTATTTCGCAAGAGTTTTTGCGAAGTGTTTTTGGCGTTGATAGCCTGGATGCCGTTGATTCCAAAATGGTGAGCAACGTGGTGCAGTAGATGCCAAGCATACGGCGGAAACTGATCAAGCGTTTTCCGTATCAGCGTACCATTCCTGCGTTTGATAACCCGACGTCCGTTCGCACGCGAGCAATACTGGACCAGTTGCAAGCTGACCGTGCAAGATATCTTTATCTTCAAATCGTGCGGCAACAGATGGACCAGTTTGCGGAAGTCGAGTTCAACAACCTTTTGGTAGAGGACCAGAACCTGGATAACATGACATACGTTGATTACCTGGTCGCTGTGCATAGGTAAGGACCAACTGTTGTACAAGGCTAAATTGGCCCACGTGTCTAAATCCTTACTCGGAAATCGTGCAGGCAAATCCAAATGGAGCTTTCCGCGTCATAATGAAGACAAGATACCCTTGAATAGTGGGACTTTGGGGTATTGCTGTCAGCTTGACTGGCATATTGAGAGTTGGGAGTGAACAAGTTCTGAGAATCTCTTATGCATTTTTGTGCAATTAAATGTACTTAGACCTCTCCTACATATTCTGATGCGAGGGATTTTAGCTGTTCTGCCTATAGTGAGTTATATCTATACTAGCTACGCGCGGCTTGCGTATCCACTGGTGCAGAGGTCCAGGAGTGAACGTCCCCTCACAAGTTTGCCTTCCCGGCTCGTCTTGCCTGTCGGGTAAGCAAGAGGTTGATTTGTGGGAAGCTACTGCTTCTCAGCAAGAACTTTGCGCACCGCCTCCATGACTTGGTCGTGAATCTTCCCATTTGTGGCGACTACCCCCTTGTTTGCTCTCAAGGTACGACCGAGGGAGAAATCCAGAGGTTTTCCGTAGACGTCGCACGTTTGACCACCCGCTTCTTGGACTAGTAGAGAGCCACCAGCATGATCCTATCCCATTCAATAGTAACGATGAGCGTAGTGACCGAAGAGTGTTGAGAGCCGCCCGGCACATACCCAAATCTTTTCTTCATACGTCGCGCTGACAGGTAGTCGCAGATAGATGTCAGCATCACCTCGCGCCAACACCCCATATTTGCATTGACTGTCCATTCTCACAGACGGCTTGGTGATTCCTAATAGAGAGGCAATCTTGGCTGCATCGCCTTGTGACGAATGACCCGCTTCAACTGACTCGCAGAATAGTGCATCTGCCGGGTTCGAGGTGTTGCTAACGTGGATGCGTCGCTCTTCCGTGCTTGCAAATGTTCGCTAGACAGATTGCTCAACCACGAGTTCAATAATAGAAATGCAGGACTGGAAATGACTTACCATATACGCCCCTTCACCTTTGACGGCAGTGAACAGGCACCCACGCTCCCCATCTGGTTTGGAAAGTTCTACTGGAAGGTTGGGACAACCTAATACTCCCAGTTGAACTTGTCCATCCACAATCAGGGCCAAACACACTGCAAACTGCTCTCCTCGCAAAAATCCTTTTGTTCCGTCTGGTCATGACCATAGAGAGGTATTAAGTGATGGGTGTGAGAGATGGGCGCAATAACTTTCGACATTTACCAATAGGGTCTAATGTCCAGAATCGACCTTTTGGCCCCCCGGTGTACATTCCCAAATCGATCGCTTTAAGTATCTGTTTCACCGTTCATGTTATAAAATCCATCACCGAAAACAGCGGGTTACAAGGGTGCTGAATGCTCACCTCGTCGGTGGACATTGGTGAGTCCACGACACTGTTTGCAAGGTCAACAACTTTATCGCACGTTGCCTTGTTTTGCTGGAGTTCCGATGAATCCTCTTCGCCAACAATCGGGTCGTTTGGAAACGCAGCGTGAAGGATAGAGTTGACAACAGCTTGCGCTCCATAATCTGCGACTATTGAGGACATTGCGGTTCAACCCAACTGCCTGGGATGATTGCCGCACTTTTGCATGATAATCTCTTACCAGTGACTGGAGACTTGTCCTTTTTGCTAATAGTTTCTGCTGACACAAGGTGTTGAAATACTGTTTGGCATAACTTTGACGCCCGAAGGACTGCCTCCACGGCGATCGCTCGCTCTTTTGCCAGTACTTTTCAATATGGTAGTTAGATGTCAAGCAAAAATAGCTGCCAGTAGCAAGACGATACTCACATAGAGTAGACATGTGGATATAGCGTTTGACGGGGCGAATTCGGCGAACGAAACCCAGCATTGATGATTTTGAATCTCTTAAAAGATCACAGCGAACAAAATGATGGACGTGTTTTGCCATGGCAACAAGTCCAAAATGCGTCGAGCGAGTTTCGAACCCCTCTGATAAATCTTTAATGCCGCTTTGGGATTATCGACGCCAGCCGTTTTGCTCGCTGCCCAAGCAGGCTTAAAAAACTCGCACGAGGACATCAGCGTCGATGAACAAGCTCTCGTTCGCAAACGCATCGTGATTGTTGGGCCTCATTGCAGAGTCTTGGGTTTGAGAAAATCAAAGAGTGTAAGACATTTGTTTTCCATTTGGCCGTGAGGCAGTTTGCGCAGTTTCAGATGTGCTCAGCTATCAACGTCATACAGGGCTATTTGCACGCTTACCTCCAATTGCACCTTTCCATCACATATGGCTTTGCCTACCCATGACCAACCTCCACCTTCACATAGTATAGCTGGCAGAGGTCATTCCATGGACGATCAACCCGAAAACCTTTTCCTACCGTTTGTGTACGGTCCGCCCTCTCGCTCTGGCCTCCCATGGTCAACCCTAGTCCTCTACGCGCTTGCCACAGTCGGAATTCTCTCCCTATTCCTGCATCTCTCGGGCGGTCGCCAAAGAAAACCATCCAAAAGCCATAAGCGAAGACGAAAAGTGACCAAACAGGTCGTTCCAACCCCCACTGGCGGCTTAGCAGATGCATCCGAAGCTCAGCTTACAAAGTTGGTGCAAGTCGAAGAGGAAGAAGAGACAGAATCAGATGAGGACGAAACTCCGCGACGCGGTAAGGACAAGTATTTTGACTGATCGGCAGGCGATGATGACTGACGTTTACATTATCTACACTTGAAGATTACGGCAAAGTCGTCGGTGATACTCTGACAAATGCGATGGTTAATGGTAGGTACCAGATGGTCTAAGCATGTATTCTTCAGCACGGTAACAGTTGGATTTTCACAGGCGCTGTCCTACTTAAGCGTAGTCCAATCCCAGATTTGCTAGCATCTATGACTGGGTATGGGTTGGAAGGCTACAAGCGTGTAAATAACGCTTTTAACGTTGAGGAGAAGATGGTGAAAGCAAGTCAGAAAGCCGTCTCTGCTGGAATACAGGCAACTGGTATCTTTGCGCATGCGGCGATCAAGGCCGGCCTCGCCTATCAAATGGCCCCAGGCCGGCGGGAGAAAGTGCAAAGATTGGCTATACGCGAAGGCACGGATGACGAAGACAAGCGAGTAAAGGTTGTACGAATTATAGAGAACGCCGTTCCAGGCAGTATACCCCCACCGGTACTGGTGGATGTCTCAACGCAGACGGACGAGGATCTCGTTAATGGAGAAGCTACCGGGCCAGCTACTGCGACGGGTGGTGTTTCGAGCGTCCTTGCTTCTTACCTTGCCTCTTCTCTCCGTGTGGCGGGGAACGTTGCCACCGCCAGCAGTGAAGTGGTGCTCGGTAAAGATCGGACACTGAAACTTTTGGGGGTGGACCCGATAGAAGCTCGGCGCAATCCAGACGCTCCCGAGGATGGGAATGTGAGATATATCAACGTCGGAGGTATTCTGTATGCAACTACTCTCGAAACGTTGACTGCTGCCGAAGGTTCTCTCCTTGCCGAATGGTTTGGAGATGAAAGCAAGCGGGCTAGTCTGGAGATCAAGGATGGTAGTTATTTCCTTGACAGAGATGGTAAGGCGGAACCCCGCACTTGAATAATGAGAATTGCATAGCTTAACATTTCTTGGCAGGTACGCACTTTCGACACATCCTAAATTATTTGCGCGGTCTACCGACGCACGATACTATGTCGGGTGCCGCCTCACTAAAGCAGCTACTGCTGGAAGCTGAATTTTACCGACTTCCTGACCTAGCCGACGATGTGGCGCGTCGAATTACAGAGGTGGAGCTCGAGGAACAAAGTGTGATGGAACTAGTAGACAAGTTAGTTCGCCGCGTGATTCCTGGTGGAATTTCCGGGCGTGCGGTGCTTTTGGCGGGGAATGCATTGCTTGTGGCTACTGCTATCGGTATTTTGTGGCTATATTGAGCTTAATGGGGCTGAAAATTGGAAAGGTTTGTATGATACATATACTCTAGATGCTCTTTTCGGGCAAAATATTATAATCCATTCGCATTCTTCTCGTAAATGCATCCCATCAGCACATGTAAAACAAGATGTCGATATCTTTTAGTGTAGAGGTGACAGAAACTGGCACTAGCTACTACACCAGGGAATAAACCGGCGACAACTGGTTCGGAAAAGCTAACTAACTACTAATAGGCAATTATACACGCAATACGTAACGGTTGGTTCTAACCGGATAATTGCCCACCACCGCACGCGGTCCCTACTAGGCCTTGATCCAGAACTCTTGATGGCATTGAAGCCAGAGTCTTCGCAACATTGGGGAGACTCGCAAGCTGGGGGATTTTCAGTGACAAGGCTTGGAGACTAAAAAAACTGCATGTCAGAAGATGACCCAATGACAAGAAATAAAATGATGCAATCAGTACATACCAACCAAGCTCAACTAATGTGGCAGCATAATAGCAGCTTTGTTGGTTCCAAGTGATTGTTGCTGGTTCCAGTTGGTTGTAGTCATCGGGAGGGTGAGGTCCTCGGCACCACCACATCTGCATTCGCATGGTTGGACTTGAGAGTCATGATGAGGGTTGCGATGTGGGTCGCGATGAGTGTTGTGCAGATGGTTTGAGAGTCAAGGAACTGGTGAGGAAGGGGAGAGATAGCAAAAGGCCCCCTTTTTATAGACCTTTGGCATGCGCCTCACCGCAGTTCTTTTTTAAAAATATTAGCATGCCACACCGCAGTTTGGAGACCATTAGCATGCATGCCTCACCGCTTTGAGCGATAGATGGGGGTGCTGATTATGCGATATGATTAACCGGATTATCCGGATAATAATGGATCCTAGTGCCATTTTCAATCACCTCCACACTATGTTCCATTCACGTGTTGCGCAGCAAGACACCAGCCTAAGCCACCCGAGATTACGAAGGCGCTTTGGGGCTCCGAACATTTGACCATTATCCAAAGGATTTCATCCAAAGGCTTGCCGTACTTGAGGTTTTTAGCAAGGCAAAATGACGACGGAGATCGTTCGCGCTCTGCGGGCACGGCCGCCAGCACCGACTGCATCGGAAATGTTTCATGCGAATATCAAAAAAGGAAGCTTAAACGTTGAGACTTCTGGAGGCATTATGCATGTGAGTGCCGGCATGGCGGACCTCGCCGTGGTTCCTGCAAATTCTGTATATGGCCATGTCAGCGCCAAGGCAAAGTCGACGAAAGCCACTGACAGTACTCCCACTCGGAGACCATCACAATTGGTGGTTAAAGCACCGGATGAGCAAATATCGGAATATCCAAGAAGAAGGGCCATGTCGGCGAGAAGGGCATCAGAGTACACTCCGGTAAGGGACAGTAAGAGCAAAACTCCACTGGTGATCACACATGAGAACGTTACTGCGCTTGCCAAAATGTCCAAAGGTAGGGCTGCGCTATGCATTGGTCAGGGATTAACCTTTGCGTTTCCCGCAGTGCTAATGATGTTAATGACATGTACATAGCAAAAGATTCGAGTTCGGAGACATGCACCGCTCGTAGAAATCGCAGTGGTAGTGCACCACCGGCAGTGGCACGAGTTTTGGGTATCGCAGAGAAGGGAGATGCGTCGCAGCGCCGCAAATCAGTCGTTTTTAAGAATGATGGTCGTCCACCATCGGTTCTTGCGGCTACTGATAGAGCTCCTGCTGAACAAAGGCTTTCAAAGTATGAAATAAAATCTAATTATCAAAAGTGACATATATATGTACAGTCCAAAAATGGCCAACCACTTCAAGCCTTTCTATCTATCAGTTGCTGTTGCCGTGTTGTCAGGGTCGGTCCAGTATATCCATGATCCTTTAGCGACGGCAGATACTCTGCATGGTAAAATGCGTAGTGCAACTGGCGATGGCTATGTGGGCCAGCGTCTACATGGTAGGTTGCGGTGTGATGCCCGATGTCGGGATCTGCGAGATGTGGGGTCACTGCATGGATTTGCGGCTCGGGGGATTCTTTGTCGCGATGGTTTCTCATCAGTTTTTTGGATACGTAATTGTTGATTAGCAGGACTGGACCTGGTGCTGTTACTCAAGCGTCGGTCATACAGTAATGATGGCAGTAATCCCCGAAAAAAATCTTACTTTTGCCAAGGTTCGTCTGAGCAGGATTTTCAAAGTGATGGTCTAACGGTGGCAATCTCTTCGGCTCTCGTCGCTGTAGGTAGTCGGGTCTTAGGTCTTTTGCTGTCAGAACATCCCATTCATAGATTACGCCATTACGTGTGGCCTCGCCACCATGCTTCAATGCGGAAGCATGTTGCAATGCTTGTATAGTTTTCAGGCGTTCCATTGGATCTAATGGAGAAGAAAGTGCGGTTAAGAACGCATATTTGACCCGATACGCCGGTACTAGGTATGACCTTTTAAGCGCTCGCGTAACTTGGCTTGTTTCTGCATCTTGGCATCACGTCCAATCTTGCGTTGCAATAATGCTTGAGTTACCTCGCTGGAGAGGTTCCTAGTGTTGTCAAAAGTTAATAAATGCCATTTTAACATAATTACTCAACTTCTTACCATGCAGTTTTCTCTCCTTCTGCTCCTATGTCTTCCGGTTGTTTCTCTGCCTCATGCTCCGGTTGATCCGGGACAGACTGATGCAATCTGTCCGCTTGGGATCTCCTCGACAATAGCATAGACGCAGTCATTCCAGTAGGATCTCTACCCTCAGGACTTGGTGTTCGCCTGATGCTCATTTCTCGAGCATCGCCGAACGCCGTCCGGCCAGGTGATGGTGTCTTAACCATGCCTCGACTGACTAGCAACATGTGTAATGGGTCTCGAGGTCCTATCGGTGGCGCATCGTTGGAATTTAAGAGCGTCTCGAACTGCAAGTACCATTGTAACAACAGTCTGTCATAGGCAACCAAAAATGGAATGGCATTGAGTGTTTATACCTGCTGACGGAGCACCGCTTCTGCGTCTTTATGAACGGCAGCCCCGTATTGTTTTGATACTCTCCTTTGAATAGGGGGTTTGACAGGCTGCGAGAAATGCACAAGATTCTCGGTTTGCAGGTAAGAATCCATCTTTTCATCAAATTCATTTTCATTGGCATTATCTAGCCACTTGTGCACATCCGTTTCTGAAGTAGATCAAAGTGAGAAACAGACGTCATAATACGCATGCGATGCTAGCGCGCGATCCTACCGAGATCGTCAAGGTCATCCGGACTATGAGGTCTGGCAACAGGCCGAGGTGTTGGAACTTGGTGGGGCGGTTTGGATATCCCAGCTTTTGAGACCAACGCTTTCGCAGAAGATTTGCGCTTCTCTTTCTTGTACCATTCATATATTTTGTGGCCTAGATGTGGATCTCAACATTCGAAAATAAGCGGACGTATTCATCCACAATGCCGTACCTCGCCATGTAGCCTGTATGAGAACTGCTGCGGCCTGTTGCCGTGCATGCGCAAGCTGAATGTTCACATTTTCCAGCTTGCGCAGCTTGTACTGTCTCCAGCACTTTTGTATCAGGCGAGCGGCTTGCAAAAAAGTTTGGTAAGAGGCAGCTCGCTATGAAAAGTGAGGTAAATTATCCATACCTCCATTTCGGCGCAGCTTTGCGCGCCGTACCATTCTTCCACGCCAGAGAGCCTGTATCGTGGCGATTGAAGCATCCTTAATTCGATCAGAAAGCTCTTCCACGCAAGCCATAAGCGCCATGTCACTGTTTAGGCCACTTTACTCTAAGCAGGAATATAATAATCACAACGTGAAAAGTGTAACTTACAAATTCGGTTCTTGTCGCTTCAAGAGGCTCTCAATTTCCGACACATGCTGCTGAAGGAGCGCTGCGAGCCAATTGATCCTACGCTCCTGTAGCTGAAGAACGATTCTCATCTCCTCGGTTTCCGAGAGAGAAGACGGTGCGTACAGGTAGCGTAGATACGGTTTGTACTGCGCCCCCATGAAGGTAGCAATGTTCTGAATTTAGCACACATGAAGAGTGAGCTTCATTGTCTTTACACTCCAAAGCACACAATCACAATACCCTGTGTTGGGCTTGTACAACCCGCCGAAAGTCTTGTAGGCATTGGGCCTTTTCTCCAGTACTGCAACAAGCATTCGGCAAATCAATTACATGCCTACGAACAACAGCAATGTAACTGTTACCTTTGATGCTCGTCTTCAATAAAGGTACGCAAGTACTTGCACGCTGCTTTGCACCATTTGACGACCTTGACAGACGTATATTTCGCGAAGCGCTTTTGGCCCTTTGCCTTCGCAAGGTCTTCAATCGTTCGACCGTTGATAGACTGATAATGTTGATGAGACACACATTTTTATTCACAATGGTGCCGTCTTTGAGCAATACCTTGATTCTAGGGAAGAGGACCGCAATCACTTTATGAAAGTTGGCGTCATGCACGATGGGGTTGTCTGTCAAATCAATAGACTTCAGATCCCGGCAGACGGCGAGCCCAAAGATAGAAGTGAAGTCTTGAGTGGAACCAGAATTAGCGCGTTCATGCAGTTTGCTTCCTGTATTATGAACCTCATTACCTGCGAGATAGTTATTCGCCAGATTCAATTCTTGGAGGAAAGGAGCCATTGCTAGTGGCTCAATGTATTTGACATGATTGTCAGAGAGATTGATGATGCGTAGGCGGGGAGACCATTTGGCGATGTTCAAATTTCTGACAGAATGAGGGAAATCGTTAGCCAGCATAGCTTAGTGATTGTGAGATGACATACCTTATATTGTTGTGGTGGACATCAAGTTCACAGAGCATGTTATTCGGAATCCTTGGAAACTCCGTGTAAACATTCTCCGATAAACTTAAATATTGAAGTAGCTTGCAATCGGATATGGACTCCAGTGTTGGATTGTGGAGTCGATTTTGAGATACATCAAGATACAAGAGCTGACGCAAAGCTTCCAAGTGTCCTAGTTCGACAAGCTATGAAAGATGTTATCCGTCACGTTTTCATTATGGTCATAAAGCCAAGTACAGGCTGCTCATACCTGAGTATTGCGAAGAACCAGAACATGCATAGATTTGGCGGAAGAGAGGAATTCCAGACTTTTCAGTGGATTATGACTGAGATCCAAAACGTGTAAATGGGCACACGCACTTATATGCTATGAGCAGCATGATTTTTAGAATTGATTCATTTATAACCTCAATCTGGATAAACAATACCGAAATTTCCGATAAATCATTGTTCGCTGCATTGAGTGATCGCAACTCTGTAAACCAACCAAGATCTAAAGTCGTATAATGGTTTCCCTATAAAATACCTCGTTTTGTTGATATCCATCCCAAAATGACATAGTTACAAGGTGAACAACAACTTGCCTGCAAACTCAGTGACCTGAGATCTTTTAGACCTTCGAGGCCCCGCACGTCGCTCAACATATTATTGTCAAGGATGACATGGCGAATTTTGGGAGCCGCCTCCAAATTGGGTATCTGATGGAAAACCTTATTTAGAAAATTCCCCAATAACGGCATGCCCATCGATTCAAAACGCACTTTCGTCAAAGATGTCTCCTTTAACTCCAAAGATTCCAGCTCCAGTAGCTCTGCTGCAGAAGCCTCACTACTCTGTCGCTGCCTTTTCAGCGATCCCAAGAGCAAATCCAACTCCCGTTTCCTCGCCGCCTCTTCTTCCTCGAGACGTTTCAAAAGCAGTGCATCACGCTGCGCTTTCTTTTGTTGTAACTGGTTCGTCTGACGTTCAATCTCTTCATTTTTGCTTTCAATATCCGATGACGAGGCCGTTGCCTTCTCAATGAGAGGACGCGCTTCTTCCCGAAGCTTTGCAATATCCGACGCCAGTTTCTCCGCTGTCTGTTTTTTGTTGGTCAGCTTATCTTCTGCGCTTCTCTGCAGCGACTGCTGGGACTCGAGCAACGGATTTAACCGCCCCATCAGCACGGCAGCTCTATCACGTTCTTTATCAAACGCAACCTTTGCGTCATTCGCAAACCAGGCTACCAATCGACGAGTTTTTTCCTGTACATCACGCTGCCGTTGTTTAAATTCACGTATTGCACGGGAATGGGTAGTTTTGCTAGTACTGAAGGAGTCGAGACGGAATCGAAGCTTGGATTGCTCTCCCGCTTCCTCTCTCTGTCTCCCTGTAATAAAATCGTACTCTGCCCTTAAATTCCGCTCTGTAGCCCGGAGTAATTTTTCCTCCTATGATGGACATTAACATCGGCATCGGTAAACGTCATCGTCTGAAAAAGGGAAACGAACCTCACTTTCCACGTCCGTGACCGCAGGTGTTTCAACCAAAGCCATTATCGGAAGAATTTCAGTAGTATGATAAGCTTGGGGTGATGCGGCCCGTTGTGAAGCCAAGACTTCCTGCTGGATATCCAGGAGCGACCGATTACTGCCATTTCTCTCCGGAAGCCCCTCAGCTAAGGACCTGGTCGCAGTTAACCCTAACGTTTCCTCTACCAGCTCTCGGCGAAGCGGAGGGTCTAAAGGTATTCCAGCTTTTTCTGCTTCCTTGTGCAAAGATTCAAGTAGCGCCTCCTCACTTGCTGACTTTGTCTGCAAAATACTGTAGCCAACCTTCAGCATTGTGGGAAACAAAAAATAATAGGCCAACTAATCGTACCTCAACCGCTGATTCAGCTCCGATTCAACTTCTTCCAGGTGACGATCTAATTCTGCTTGGTCCAGATGCGTATCCATTGTCCCATTTTCGATGTTATCACTGACAGAATCGACGTCTTTCAAATAGGAATCTGTATCTGCCTTCCATTCCGAATAATCTATGTTTTCTGCGACCATTGCAGGTGTATCTGTGTCAATATCATCAATATCACTAAATGAGAAACATACGGTCAGAGGCAATCAATAAATCCGTCCTTCAGGCATGACTATGTAAAGTAAGACATACGCTGGTAAGTGCGGTTGGAGGTCGATAGTAGCAATGGGCGTATCGAGCGGTAACTCCAGGGAGGAACGAGAGGAACCCATCAGATACTCCTCGAGATCTGCGGGTGGCAGCTCGTCTTCAGTGAAGTTATTATCATATTCTCTGCGGTCTGCCTCTCTGGATTCTATGGTCTGAATATAGTCCGCCCAAGATTCCATTCTCTACATTAAAAGTCCTGTGAGATATGAGACATAGATCGGCGACCAAATCATCTGCGGATCACCTCCAGTGTCGGAAGCTCGCTATCATCAGAGTCATCTTGTATCGTAGGAGAGGTGGTTCCATTTGTCTCTTCATCCGAAACATGTTCGTCGTCTTCTTCAGTTGACTAAGCTTTCAGAGGCATGGCAAAATGATCAGCTAGTTCCTTAAACTTTGGATAGGGCCGTAACACTTACCGTCAAATTGCTTAGCGCCTTGAGTTCAGACCTAATCACCTCTTCGACATCGAAATCAATCTCTTCATCTGATCCCGACATGTCTTAACCCTAGGGTGAATACACTTGAACTAGCAGGGGGATGGTTTGCTGTCGGCGGATCGATTACGTAATGCGATCGCGTTCGTATGAATCATCGTTCTCTTGAACCAGTAACTTTCTGCAAGGTCCCGTACCGACGTTCTTGCAAACCAAGTCTTGAACGCTGGCACCGGATGCTTTTTTGCTGTTCAACTTGTCATGAATCGATTGTTATATCCATGCGGTTCTTGATTGCCATTTGGGGCCTTTTGGGGTACACTATCCGGAGGTGCGCACGGAGCACTCTATAACGATCCATATGATCTAGCAAGTTGGCAAGTTACTGCTCGTACACACTATGTGAAGGATCTAGCTGGCTGGGCCGTAATGGTTCAACATCAGATGCAAACGTCGTAAGGCCAGACTGCGCATCTCGTTGAATCCGTAGTTATCCGGTTCAAATCGGATTTATTTATCATCCGTGATCATCGTTCTATCGCCCTTTTAAAACTTTTGAGGGGGAAATAACTGACCTTTTCCCTTTCTCACGCTCTCGAGAAATCCATCCTTCAACAAAAGCCCGCTTCATCGGTGCAGCTTACGTCCATCACCCTTCTTCCCTCCCGACGTCCGTGCAGACTCACAGGTAGGCAGCGTTCAACGGCAATGCCGCGCAATCAAATTGTCGTTACACACAGCATCGTTCCGTTGGCGAGGAAACTGGCGGCCAACTTGTCCGTTCCGTAATCTGACGGTCAACCTTTCATTTTATAGATTGAAAACATGACTGCCGCAGTTTCTGCCTCTGTTCCTGCACCAGCCGAGAAGACCAAGGTGGTTTGACTGATGAGCAACAAACGCAAAGGCCTTGTCATTTTGATCGGCGTCTTACGTTTATCTTTTTGACTTTCAAGGTCGACGCGTTCGAAGTTGGGTGGCTCTTTGTTCAAGAGTATTATACCTTCCTCAACCGGGATCCCCAACGTCTCCACTGCTTCTACAACAAAAAGTCATCCTTCTTGCACGGTCACGAGGGTGAGGCCACCGCGAAGACCTGCCATGGTCAGCAGGTATGCTCTTCAATTGTTACCTGGATTGCTTCGGTTGCGTCGTCTTATACACTTTTGTTCCTTTTAGGAAATCCACAGCCGGATTGTGGAGCTAGACTTCCAGGACTGCAAAGTCTTGGTGTCCAATGTGGATAGTCAGGCGTCGCTCAACGGCGGCATTGTTGTTCAGGTCCTTGGAGAAATGTCCAACAAAGGGGGTGCTTCCCACAAATTTGCGCAGACGTTTTTCCTTGCTGAACAGCCCAACGGATATTACGTTTTGAACGACATTTTCCGTTTCCTGAAGGAAGATATTGATAATGAATACGAGGAAGCAGAGGACCCTACTGGCGGTCTGGAACTCCAGGAAACTTACGTCCCGGAGGACACCACACAGCCATCATACGTGGAACCTGTGTCGGCGGAACCGGAGGTTAGACCTGCGACTCCAAGAACGACGGTGGAGAAGGCACGCAGTCCCTCACCTTTGAAGGAGGAAGTGGTCGCCGTTCCCGACGTGAAACCCGCCCACGCTGACGAAAGCCGTGTTACGGACAACGTTGCGTCAGACGCCTACGGATTGGCTACCTGGGAACCAACTCCCGCCGCAGAACCTGTCGCCGAGTCAAAGGCCGCCTGGGGGACCATTCCCAAGAGTAAACCCGTGGCCGCAACACAGGAAATCACCGAAAACAAAAAGGCCAGCGCACAATCGACGTCCGCTCAGAATGCAAACACCACCGCCACCGGTAAGCAAGCTGCACCTACCACTCCCAGCAAGCCCAAAACATGGGCAAGCCTTGCGGCAAATAATGCTGCTAGTTGGGGACCGGACGTGTCCCCAGCTAAAGGACACATTAGCGCCGGTCAGAACAGAGCACCACCTGCCGCACAGCAACGACCCGCGTCTCCTCAAAAACCCGTTTCAAAACCCGCCGAAAAGTCATCAGATGCAGAACCCGCGTCCGAAACAACCCCAGCAAGCGAGCACAAGGATGGAGGTTTCCGTGAGGTTCAAAACCGACAGCATAAGAGGGCGTCCCAGCCTCCTCAGCAGCAACAGCAACAGCACCAAGAAGGTAAAGTCGTATGTTTTTGACCGTTTCTCTTTCACCGGTGTTGGTCACGTGTAATTGACTTATATGCTGTCCCTTGAATTAGACGATCGAGAAAAGTTCTCTATTTACATTCGTGGCATTTCGGAGGCCATTGATAGAAAGTCATTGACGGAGACTTTCAGTAAGGTCGGTACCGTGCGCAACGTAGACCTGATTCCTTCCAAGGTGCGTTTACGAATACATATGAGCTACTTCTGGATGGTCGCTAATCATATGTATAGAATATTGCTTTTGTCGAATTTACCACCGTTGAAGCGGCCCAGAAGGCTATTGGCAACAGCTTTACAGTTAATGGACAGACCGTGACGGCAGAGGAGCGTAGGAAGCCTCGTCCTTACTCCCGCAATGGACCTCCGGGTCAGTACCCACAACGCCGTGATTACCACGACGGAGGGGCTCGTGGCAGAGGCGAGGGCGGTTTCCACAACCGCGGTGCGCAAGGTAACCGTGGTCGGGGAGGATTTGGTGGTTCGCAGAAATCAGTTGCTGCGGGCAAACCCATGAACGGGAAACACTGATACCTGGACTAGCGACAGCACCAGTGAATTTACTGGGATTGTCGGAGGATGATTGATCAACATGAGTGTAATATATTATAAGATTTTCAAGATGCCACTTGTTGGCTAAACTGTTGGCTGAATTTAGATGTTACAGATTGTGCATATATTTCCTGACGTTTGCAAACACTATTTTGCAGGCAGCAATTCAATGTTAGACGCTGCCGAATGTTTAACATTGTCTTCTTGAAGATCACCGTCCAGCCATCATCACAGTGGTCGTCACACCATGAAAATCGGTTGACAATCGCAAATTGGGATTGGGGCAAAACACATGAGATTCGACACTTAAAAGCCTTTAGCAGGTGCTTATGTCCAAATCGGACCACCTCGTCTGTTGGCGTCAAGGCTCTTTCAGTTACCCAGATGGTGCATCTGAACCTTCCACCAGCTTGCGGTCATTTGCATACGCTTTAGCCCACGACTTGAATCCCCCGTCAAGCACAGAAATCTCAGGTTTATCCTTGATCGACCTTGTTGTCCGCAAGATCTCAATGAGTCTCACTGCCGCGGTCGGGCCACGGACTAATGACACCGTGCAGTGAAAGATCAATTGTCCCGGAAGTGCAGTAAGATCAAGCTGTTGACCAGACGCTCGCACAGCAGCGGCTGCCAATCGATCCAGCAAAGCATCCGCAGGCATCGTCAGCATCAGCGGGGAAGGTATGTTAACAGCAGAACGAATATGGAGGCGTGAGTAATCCCAAGGCTCCCGAACATCCACAATCAAATAATCTAGACTGTCTAATTGTTCAGAGCGTTTAGAGTATGAAAACAACGACAAGAATTCTCACCCACAACGCTGTGCTGGATCTGTCACTTTCATGGCAAGCTCATCTCGGGTTATAAATGAAAGACTGTCCGCAGCTGAATGCAGCGAGCAACTCCTAGTCAATGTCTTTGGCGTTCCCTCGGGCCACTTCAATCTCCATGCTGCACAGCGACGAATAGAGATCATGGACTTGCTTCTTATATATACTGCTGGATATCGTTGGACTTGTTATGAAGCTTCCGGCATCACTAGTTCTTGAAAGGCCCGGTTGCTTGGGTGAACTATGCGAGTTCTTTACCAATGGGCGGCTTTGAATGAACTGACGGAGGGGCCGGAACCGTGGCCCTTATTGACCAGATAGTGAGTGCACAGTGCGCGCGTTGCATGGGTTCGGCCCCAGCTATCGTTCCCAATCACCACTCTTCCAAATGACAACCCCACAAAGCGACCATACCCAACTCGACCTTCCACTGCAATATCCCAGCAACGATACTCCCATAGAAGACACGTATAAGCAGCGGTACAAGTCCCTGAAGGAACGATACCGATACATCAAACGACAGAACGAAATGTAAAGCCTCCCCCCCCTATTTCTGGGCATGTCGCGCTTGTTGATGTGCTGACACCAAAGTTGTTTTGACACAGGTTGGCTGATGAATGCCAAGCAGCTTTGGCGAAATTGAATAGGTTAAAGGTAGGAATAGTGCGTCTACTCCGAGGCGATGGTGGTTCCTAATTATGCTGGTCCTAGATTCAAAAGAACCTGTTACTGGACGATATCATTCGAGCGGAGCAAGCGTAACGCTTGTTCGTCTTTCGAATGGAGAAGCAAACGTTCATTATCTTTTGTTGTACATATTTCGTTCGAACGTCCGGTGAGGGAGTTGAAGGTTCGTAGTGTCGGGCAGTTTCCTAGTACGGGAAAACAAACAATAACCCCCCTCTTGCAGGAGAAGTATTGGTGCCATGCGTTCTCTCGTCGTCATATGTTTACAAAACGGGGTTGCAGATCACTTAAGAAGTCCCACCGGAGGACGAAGGCATGCTATTTCCTCTATTGTGAGCAGCCGTGTTCAATTCCCTGTAAACTTTTGCCTTGATGGCTACGATAACATTGATAGCTGGTGCACGCCCTCAAAACAGTACCATAACAGAAATCCTATTCACATTATGAACAACATACTTCCACTATTTCTTTCCCCCACCTCTTTCCTTTGTCGATAAGCCTAGGACAGCACCGCTCTGCAAGTTGTAATACGCTAAAGTTGCCGTGTTCTTCATGGCCAATCCAGTTGGCGTAGTCAATTTCTGCTTGCTGGAAGCCATTGAAACTGTTTCGGCAATCTTTTCTTTCAAAGTAGACACTGTTGTCGTTAGAGGGAGCTGAAATTGGATGTCCTCTTCACCGGTAGCTGGTCGAATAATTACTTGGATTGGTTCCTAACACACGTGATAGGAACACATCTTAGCGATCCGGCTGCAGCTGCAAACTATAGCGCCACATGGACTCTATCATACCTTGTGACGAGCCAGAAACTGAGCTTCAGGAAGCAGATGACCCTCTTCCACCCGCTGCTTCTTTGCTTCTGCGTCCTCTGTCTCTTGCTCGTTCAATGGACGTTTGCCGGGAGGTGCAGGCGGCATGAATGGTGGTGCCATCCCGAGCGGCGGAGGAGGGAATATTGGTCTTGGCATGCCCATGGAAGGCAGCGGCATTGGCGGGCGGCCCATTGCCGACGGTGGAGGAGGCATGGGCACGGGCGGGAATCCGTAAGGTCTCGGTGGCCCAGGGGGCATGTTTGGCGGCATGTGTCCGCCGTGCATACCTGGTTGTTGATGGGGTACTTGTGGGCCAATACGGTTTTGATCATCCTGTCTGCCATAATCTCCCATTTGCTGTCCCATCGCAGCATGTTGCTGAGCTTGTCTGGTCGCATCTCCGATCGATGCGGTATGGCCGTCCCAGATGACCTTGTCCCTCTCCGCCTGCCTTTGTTCTTCTCGAGCTTTGCGGCCAATTTCTGATTCTTCGTTTCCAAATATATCGCTACGATATCCAGAAAGACTATTTAGGTTCCTGGCGACGTCATCTAAATGTCGCAAGATCAATACTAATGTCGTTTGTATGCTGCTCTGTGTAGGGACATACCTCCTTGGACGAGGTTTGTTGATTGCTTCTTAGCTTCATACGCAGCTCGCTGCTCCCGCCATTTGGGATCCATCAGCTCGATTCGAACATGCTCATCCATCTCTGAAAGCTTGACGATAACACCACATATTGTGCAAATTTGTGTGGGCTCCGCCGCCCCAGGTGCCTTGCCTAACAGAGGGAATCAGATAGAGTAAAGAGACAAGGTAATACATCGTCTAACGCACCTTTTGGGACATAATCCGTTCGAATCTTCATGCTTGGGTCGCTCGGCTGAGCCATTTGCGACTCGGGTTCAGGTGTAGCGTCATCTTCGTCCATATCAACGTCTTCATCCATCTTCACAGTACCCCAGTCAGTTGAGCATTAGAAGCAAAAATACCAAACGACTCAGACCATACCTCCACATCCATCTCTTCCGCCCCCTCGTCATGTACTGGAGTTTCCTGAGTATCAAACAACAGTGCAGCCTTCTTTTGAGTTAACGACATGTTCTCCAAGTCCACCAAGTTCAGCGGAGGAGGTAAATCCATGCGTTCGTCTGCCTCCACAAACTCGACTGTATCCACAATAACAAAATCGTGCCAATCAATCGATGCGTATGCGACTGCACACCGCGGAAAAAGGTTAGCAAATTGCCCGATGTAACCAAGACAGCCTGGTGATAATAACAAAACACGTACTTCGTTCTTGGTCGGCTTCTTCTTCGGCCTTCTTTTTCTCTGCTTCTTGGTATTCGTAGAAGTCCACACGTTGCCGAATTCTATCTAGAATCGAGTATTTGTTCTGTGCATTATTTCGAAGCCTGGTATTTAAGTTTGCTGGAGGAATCAGGACCTTCGTGTATTGCTCGACAAGCTTGGTGAAGTAAGGGAAGAGACTGTGGTTGGATCGGAGAAAATCGAATTGGTAATTTCGCATTTCCCGCTTGCTCAGAGAGATCATGAAATCTCGTCCGTTTCGAGCGACAAATTGGGCGGTCAGCTTGAGAATGTCCAAGTCCTGTGCGGATATTGAAGGTAGTGGCGTGCTGAATTCGTATGCTGGCGGTTCTTTTGGTGTTGGCTTTGACAGCTTTGCGGGTCTTTCTTCCACCTGAGCCACTTTCTGAACATCTGCCTTTTTCTCAATTGCTGGCGATAGAAGCAACAGTATCAGTGTTTCCGACATCGAGGTGCAAAAGCGATCAGGTCTTTAAAGAGACTATTAATGTACCTTTGCCTTCCTTCGCGTCCTTGACCTTCCAGTCATAATAGGCCCGATAAGGGTCGGTTGGATTCAAGAAACAGAACTTGGGGTTGTGCTTCTCGTTCTCTCTTATACGCTCCTCAAACTGTGGACCATTACGAGCGACAAAGTTCGCAGTCTTATCCACAATGTCTGTTAAACAACCCAAACGTCAGCAGTCTCTCAGAAGCATGTCTGCTCAGATCAAAACTTACTCCTGATCTCAGGGGGCGGATAAATGATGCCTTCCTGCAGCTCACCACCTCCATTGATGGGCAATGCTCCGTTCGCATTAAGCGATATATCATTTGCGAACGCTACTGGATCTTCGGCTGGTGGCATTGCTTTATCCGATCGTTTGGCAACGTCGTGCTGCATTGTAGGTCTGACGAAGTCCAACATCTATAACGTGGGTTGCTATGGTAACAAGGACATGTCCCCTCCAGGTGTCTCGGCGCGTCGATGTCTAGAGATCCTGCGCAAGGCAAATCGCGCCGGGGCATCTAATTCGCTAACGAGCTCTACAGGAATGCTCCCAACTCTTCCAACTCACGTTGGAAGGAGCTCGGGTGCTGAGCCATGAAAGATGGGGTGCAACTATCTGACGAGATATTTGACAAAACGAATGATCTCGTCGGTGCTACGAATGGCGCCAAATTCCATTCTTCTTCACCCGGCAGTGAAATACCGAGGACGTTTAACGTGGACGACTCAGACTTGTGTAAACATGAAGTGAATTTGCGGTCTCAGGGACAGGTGGGCAATTCCAGCAGTAGGGGTGGACATATGCCAAAGAAAGGCGATCTTGCATTGAACCCAGAACTGACGACTGAAGGCCATTGCGCTGAAGCTAGTTCTGATAGTCATCTTGCATGCATCGCGGTAGATGACGCTGTAGAAAAGGATCCTCATTTATTGTCTTGCGAGAGGACCAATGCGTCTCTGCAAGTCAGCGATAGCATTCCAAAGACTGCGTCTAGTGAAAGCAATATTACAAGCCCGCCTCCTACGATGCAGAAATCCCAAACATGCTTTTCCAATCATATACCGGAAGTATTTGCAGACTCGTCATGTAGTGGGGACGTTTGTGCGATCGACAAAAGGCCGGAGCTGGATATTGACCGCACTTTGAAGGCTCCTAATTGTGGGGACGATGATGCTCCAGCGAGTGTCAGTACCACGGCAGTAGCAGCGGACACCGAGCGTCTTGATCCTGGCAGCTGCTTTGATAGATTACCCATAGAGATCCGTTTCTGTCTTGTGTGCAGTAAGAGCGTCGAGAAGTTCTCCACTATTCGACGTAACATGCATGTGATGAGGTGTCTTGAAGCGCATTTGGAACCAAAAGAACATGGAGTAGATCCGGCATCAACGGCGGCTATGAAGAGTGCGGAATTCTGCGAAGCCACATATGCTCGTTTTCTTCGGTTTTGTCCTTTCTGTGGTACTGAGAACCCTTGGTCATCGGGCGGAGCCACATCAGGACCCCTTCCGAGCAAACTGTGTTGCGAGTACGCATCGGGCGAGAATACAGTCGTCTTGCGAAAGTTGGTTTTCGCTGCGTACAAGAAGTTAATCGCTTCGTCCACTGGGGCAGTCAGTGGACACACAGTAGAATCTCCCCACTTTAGAGTTAGTGCAGAATCGACAGATAGCGGGAGATTAGAGTACGTATGGATCGAGGTGGACTGTGATAACGAAGAGAACTGGATACCACGCATTTGTCGGGAAAGGATTCGACAGCCGCAACCGAAATCCAAAGCACTAAAAACGCGCAAGAAGCAAGTCAGTACTAGAACCAGAAGCATAAGCAATATTATCCCAGTAGAAGTGAATGGAAGCAAAGAGAATATTGAGCCGCAAAAGGTGGACTTTGCAGATGACGTCAAACCGGCTACCAGGAGCTCTGATACAGTGGTTCCAAAACCCGAAGCAAAGATAACCCCTTCTGATTCCTGCAAACCTGCGAAATCATCGAAATTAACAACGCGACGATCGCGCAAGCGCAAATCTGCGGAAATGGATGTCCAGCTGACTCTCTCAAAGATCGAGGGTATGAAACGACAACGTCACGAACACGCGCCCACTGTTCTTCCCGCGACTGAGGCGAAGGAGTTGGTTGAACAAAAGGTGTTAGTGTGATTCAATGAAGAGTGAGATCAAAGTAATGCAGGGTGCTAAGACTATGCGCTATAGATTAGTGCGATTTTGCACAACGTAAATCCACACATGGAGTTGGACAGTGATGACACAATGATTTATCCCGGCCAAGAACCAGCTCACTCCGTGGATCAGGAAGTTCCCATAACTAGCTATTCTCTATGGCAACTAGCTTCAACGAAGGGAGAGATATCGGACATCAGGTGCACAGAGCTTATCAACAAGCACACCGTTGAATCACGAGTAGGTAGCTGCAGCACAGCCCCTTTTCCGCGAACTACCTGGACTTACTTTAACGTCCATTGACAGTGTTCCCAAGCTCTGAGACCGCCTCGCCAGCTTGAAGACCCATCTCTGTCTCAAGAGGAGCGGAAACTCCTCAAGGAGAGAGAAGCACGGGTTGTCACCATTCGAGCGGTGTATGATGGGCAAATTCGGCGTCGCGAGCAGGAGTTGGAAGCGGAAATTAGAGCTCTAAGAGCCCGCCACTTACAATGGGTAGGATTTCGTGCGTAACTGGAATTGTATTTGTGGCTAAATTGTGAGGTGCTTAGGTTCGCGACCACATTAAGCTCCGTGACAAGGAAATTGCCGAAGTCATCGAACTGGCCGAAACTCGTTCACGTGCTCTGCAGACGGAACAATTGAGGAAGCATTCGGTGGTGGATGAGCAAAAGGAAGCTGTTGATGAAGCTGGAAGGTCTTTAACTCACGAACAGGAGATAGTACCAGCGCATCCGGCTGCATATAGTCCGCATCAGTCTGCTGATGAATCATGTAAGCGGGAAGTCGGTCCTGACGCGAGTCCACTAGAAATGCACGTCCGGGCGATACGTGCTGATGCTCAAGAAAATGGCGAGACCGCCACAACTGAAGATAGTGTGCAAAGTGCCCTGGTAACCAACAAATCACTCCCTTCACAACCACCTGCAGATGTTGTGGTGGATGAAGGATGTGAAGAATCTGTGTCAACTAGTCTGAACCTTTTCGACCAAGCGGCTGGGAAGGAGGAGGAACTAAGCGGGCTCATGGTTCAAGCGTTGCTGGAATGCTCCTCTGAACGTAGTCCATTCTGTGAAGAGCTTGTTGACAATCCCAATAGCTTTGGCGTCGATCTAAACGTAGCAGCTCTTGATTCAGCAAATGAATCAGAGTCTGAGACCGGGAGTAGAGGGTCTTCCAAAGACGCAGACTGCGTGAGTCCAGAGCTGTGCCCGTCGGCTGGGACGTGCATTATCATGGATGAGGATGATATTGAGCTACGTGCAGAGACGAGTCAAATCGACATTACGTCACCAAATCTTGGAAATAAGAATGGCGATCAGCCCTCCTTCCATGATGGTCTTCAGCTGCATGAGGATGCTGCGGATCTGAACAATAGCTCAAAAGTGCAGTCCACTGCATTCAACCTCTCAGGTGAAGAAGCTGAATGTCCATTTGAATATGAGTACCAGGAGGACATCATAATTCCAGTAGCCTCAGACGGCGAGCTGGAGGATGAGATCGCTTCTTTGACCGCCTGCGAATTGGAACAAAGACAAGAATGCCTTACTGAAGCCGCTAACTGCTGCAATGTGGTCTATATTGAGGAAGATCATGCATTGGTGGCTGGCGCCGCTCACAATGGAATTGTTGACTTGACTGATGAGAGATCCGCTTACTCTCAACTATGTCAAGATATTGATGACCCCTTCGAGGTTTGCATTGACGAGTCAGAAGTAGTGAGGTTGAGTCCGCAAACTACACATGACGAGGATTCGAGCCAGTCACTGCACGCAAAACTCTTTTCCTACATACGCGCACAAAAGCAACTGTACAGCCGTATTTTGCGATATGAGGTATGGCGTGAAAGCTCGAGCGTGCGCTTGACGGTAGCAAATCCTGACGCCCAGGCATTGCGTTTCGCTAGCCGTTGGACTTTGACATCCTGTATGCACAGATTATCCAAGAGCAAGGGCTTGGAAAATGTTCGAGGAAGGCGCTAAGCGCATTCCTGGATAGCAAAGTAAGTGACATTAGCACATCTTTAGAAACGACAGCTAATCTATCGATGAAGGCTATAAATTACGTTCTACCTTCGAAGCCAGCCAAAACAGAAGATGGAAAACGACGGCGCTGGCGCTGAAAGGAACTCACAGTGTATATAACCGCCCATTGTGGACCTACGCGATTTCATTTGATTGTTAAAACGGAACAGCTGACAGAAGATCAGTCATGCACAAAACACCAGTCTCTGCGAAGCCTTGCGAGAAAACACATCTGAATATGATATGGCTGCAGAATGATTTATCTGCTCGACACCTGTTGTATTGGATGATTGTTAAACGGCACCTTTACCTACTCGACATATAAATTCGAATCCTGAGGCACAGGGCGAAAAGGCACTTCTTTTTGTATGATATATTCCGTGGAACAAAGTGGTATGCATTATAGAAGGATATTCATTCTAAAAGTATAAATATGAAATATCGGAGTCGAATGTCAAAATCCAATCCAATCCGTGGCGTATGTCATGTGATGAGCGCTATGTGATCCACTTGCCCGATGCAACTTACCAAAAACACACAAACTCTGACAGCATCGTTGATCTGAGATTGAATTCCATAGATATCATCCCTGCACTGTCCATAGCCTTTTGAGCTATACGATTGCTTCCCGTATTATATCGCGCAGCAGCCTTTCAGACATCCCGGTTTCCCTGCATCGTCCCAGAATATACACCCATTCATATCCGATAGTCCATTTAACCTGAATCGTTGTAACCCATGGCTTCTATATTCTCGGCTTTTCTCAACTGGCTCCGGAGCTTGTTCTGGAAGCAGGGTAAGCATTGGCTGTGTGGACGTGTTCCTCGTTGAAGGCAGATGCTGTAGTTAGCTCCCGCTGGACGGCATGTCATCGAATCCTGTTCATTAGCTGGAATGGGCCTGCTGCCAAATGGTGTACATGTTTTATGAGCGCTAGCTGAATGCATCTACGTTGCTCATTTCTCAGAAATGGAGTTGACACTCGTTGGACTCCAGAACTCGGGCAAAACAACACTTGTCAACGTAATAGCGGTACGTGCAGCCCGGTCTGTTATTTATAAATACGCGCATAGAGACTGACGCCCGCTCAGAATGGACAGTTTAGTGAAGATATGATCCCAACCGTGGGTTTCAACATGAGGTGTGCATGCACGGTTTAGCTTGTCTATTGCAGAACTCCTGGTTCTGACGTCACATCAATTCGCAGAAAGGTGACCAAAGGTGCAGTTGTTATGAAATTGTGGGACTTGGGGGGACAAGCAAGGTGAGCTCTCTTGTGCCCACCTCGATGCAACCAAGCATTTATCGACTCGGATGGTGTCTTCCTTTACAGGTTTCGAAGTATGTGGGAACGATATTGTCGCGGTAAGATGGCATAGATGTGTGCGAAGGAAACTCTGGCTGTTTATTAACATTTGCGATATTCAGGTGTGAATGCGATTGTGTACGTCATCGATGAAAGCATACATTGGACTGCATTTTTTCTCAACTTGTTCATTGTCTAACTCTATTTGGGTACAGGTTTGTGTTGGACGCAGCAGACCACGATAAGATTCCCGCAGCCAAAGCCGAACTACACCAGTTGCTTGAAAAACCCCAGCTTGTCAACATACCAGTATTAGTGCTAGGAAACAAGAATGATCTTCCAAATGCCCTAACAGTGGAACAAGTTATTGATCAGTTGTGAGTACTTTTGAGATGCTGTAGAACAGCAAGATCATGCCGAGTAACAGCTCTTTCTTAGGGAGCTTCGAACTATTAATAGCCGCGAAGTTGCATGTTACTCTATTTCCGCGAAAAATGCCACAAACATCGACATCACGCTGAACTGGCTGATTAAGCATGCCTCACGATAGTTCCTCATATCTCAATTGTTAATCGCTAGTAGTGTTGCTGTATGCTCAATATCAATGTTATGTAGTACTGCCATCAGTTGATACATTAGGTCTTTCAAAGCAACGTGCGACAAAAACATTAAAGGGAAAAACATGTCCCAAATCAATTCTATTTGAACTAATTCAAAGCGTGCGGTCCACACGAACATTCAACTCTGATGTGGTTTGTCTGCTTTGCGACTATCTATCATTCCATCTTGCTTCCCATTCTGATTCAGAGCTGAGCCTCCCTGCAGAACTGTTGTCTTCACCACTTTGCCCTTATCGGCGCCTGACCTTTTCATGTATGCCTCCATCCCAATACCCACAAATACCAATCCTACTGCTCCCCATTGACCAATGGTCAGATGATGATCAAACCAGAAGAAACTCAACAAAATGGAGAACATCTTCCTCGTGACGGTCACTGTGACCAGGCTCACCGCACCGAACCGCTCCAATGTATGGAAAATGAAACATTGGCCAATCGCCCCGCAGAAACCAAATAATAAGATGTCGTAGATAATACGCGGATGGGCAGCGCAAAAAGCGAGTGCATCACCCAATTCAGTCGTGAAGGGGTAGAGGAGGAGGTACAATGCCATCAAGGTTGAAGATATGAGATTCATAAATACCATCATGGACGAGCCCGAGACTTTAAACCTGTGGAAGATCTGGTCTTGCGTCGAGTTGGTAGCGCCGTCCATCAACAGATTTATTGCTAGTAGCGCCAATCCATATAAGCTGTTCGTCTTCCCACCCCGTTTTGCAGATCCCTCGTCTCCTTCTTGCTGATGTAAAAGCATGAAGCAGGAGACTCCCGTGGTGATCAGCGCGACGACCACGTATTTATGCCATGCAAACGTGCGGCGGTATATCAGAAAATTCATCAACAACACAGGAACCAGTTTACACGACTTTCCGAGGATCATAGTAGGATAGTCGATATGTTTAAGAGAGGCGTAGCCGAACAAAGGGGCGACAGTACTGAAGAGTGAGCAACGCAAGTAGATGCGTTGAAGGGCCGGCGGAGGTAGGTCAAGCTTCTTTCGTCGTAGGCTCAGGTAGATATAACCGACCAAGGATGCACATAGTGATTGTGCAACGTTCAAAAAGACAAAGTAGCGAAACTTTTGGCCCCCATAGGACTGCGTCGTAACACTTTCTTGCGTTAACTGCCAAGTGAGGAAGCAGGCGTAGATCCCTACAACGCAAACGGCGAGTTCTCCAATCATTGCCTGTATTCTGCGTCGTTACTCTCCAATGAACAGGCAGCGAGAATCGAGGCTGTCAAGTACTGCGCCTACCCCAGCCCATGAAACGAGCATCGAAACCTCCACTTTGCTCGAGCAGAGGCCCTCATGAGATCTAGAGCGCTGTGCCACTGGCTTGGTCAGCAGCGTTGGGCATATTTCAGTTCTTGTTGCAATGCTTAAATCTCATTAAAGATCAGAACGAACATGGCCAACGCAACGAGCACTGCTACATCTCAGTCATCACGACCTTCCCTGATCACCTACCCCTGGTCCAGCATAACTCGATTTGAGGATCTGTCAAAAGCCGTCTCACACTACCTCAACCACCGGGCAATTCTCACCTCGGGTCGTCCAAATTCTCTTGCAAAGGAATCAGATGATATAGTGGACAGTCTGATAGAGCTTAATCGATTGGGTTTTATAACTGTCTCCAGTCAACCGGGTGTGAAAGAGGAGAAGGTTTGGCAACGATTTTATGTGCGTAGTCGAACGATCCGTTGATCTACTCTACTGGCATCCTCAAGTCATTATCTCGTCAGGTCACAGGGCTCCTTCCAAAGTCGGCGTTTCCAGATGTTCTTGAATCTCTGCATTCTGGAGATTTCATTACCCTTCTCAGCACTTGTGATACCACTACAATCCACCTTCACTCAAGGATTCCTTCACCACCTTCCTCAGCGCCTTCATCCCGATCACCAGACAACACCGAAATTCCTGTAATCCCGCTAACCGTTCTACGTCATGGGCCGCCAGCATCCTACACATGGCGGGCTGTGACCGATATTCCTTTGCCATCTTCTTTTGAGTCGCTCATGGAAGGGGCTGAGCCAGGCTCGGCAACAGAAGTTGTGATGGAAGATGAAGGCTCATTGTTTGAGCACCATGTTGAAGTTAGCTTTGGAAGACTCGGGTTAAAGAAGGCGTTTCTTCGAAAGCTGCGGGAAGATGCCGTTGTAGTTACTGCTATATGGCCTGATTGGGGACAAACAGAAGAACCGATGAAAAGGTTGATAGAAAGTTGTAGGCAAATAAACATGGGTCTTGTATAGAGCTAGCGATGCATTCGGGCCTTTTAACCGTCATACTGCGGCTCAGGTAGATCTCGCATCCTGCATTAGAGTAGGATAGACGTTGTAGAGAAAACAGAGCGTAAACCGACGATGTACTCTCACAGTAAAATTACGGATGGAAATGAATTATCTCATGAGGATGAATTAATGATTAATAATCTGACCATATAAAATAATGTCCTGAACAATGCAGTTCAGTGTAAAGTAATGCAGCGTACACAACTATTTAAAAATGGTTCATTCGTCTTCCTCGTCTAATTCGAGCACATCGTCCGCTTCGAGTTTACGATGCAGAAGCGGGTAAATCTGGAACGGTGCATTATCAGTAATGACCAGATGACAACGTCTCGCAGATCTTTTTACCTCTTTCTGGAAGTATGCAGGTACGGCCCCAGCTTTGTGCGCCTTTTGCACCATTCCGAAGTACGCTTCATACGCAGTGCCATCGGCACGTCCCAAGGGCGAGTTAAGCATGAAGTCAGAGTAGTTGAAGGAATCCGTTAACGAAATGGCATCATTTCTAACGTCTTTACAGAGGCTTGTGACAGTGGCACGGATCCAGTCAACCTAGAAGCAATCTCAGGTCATCAGCAACCTACACGAAACGTAATTGCAAATCTGTGCAGCATACCTGCAGAGGAGTGAAGTATCCGTACTGAAGGAACGGTCCAGAGTTCTCAGCAATTGCGTACAAACCGTACAAGCGACAGAGCTTATTAAGGATGGGTTGAAGTTCGGCAGGAGATCGCTGGATTGCGCCCTTGAAGCGATGGAAAAGATACCCGAGGCTGTGAATCTTTGTGGCAAACAAACGAGCCTGCGCTACAAGTGACCGCAACAGACGATGTCAGTTTCTATAATTGAACAGCGGTACTGCGTCAACGTTAACGTACAGCATTCTTCGTACGACTCGTCCTCCCTCAATCCTCGCTTTACACCGGCTTCAAAATCTTCGCCAGCTTTCTTAACAACTTGGGCCGCTACAAGCCAGAAAGCTTCTTCTACTACTTCCAGTGTGCTCACTTCCTCGGCAGACTTTGCGCTGCAACGCTTGTTGAGCAATTTGTCCAAGTTGTTGAGATAGGCAACACCACCAGCTTGAGATTTGCCCGCCTTCGCTTCTCGGTAACAGCTAATGAGATATCGTCCACCTTGTAAAGTCAAGATAGTGTTGTCACCCTAAAATGGTCAATAATGATTAGCAACCACGCTGACAAACATCTGTACCGCTCTTACGCACCTCCCATGTGCAATGCACAGCGAAATCACTGTATAATGACGCAAGGCCAGTGTATGCCGAATAACCGTGTCCACCACATGCTTGTCGGCATTGATCAATGATATTAAGAGTTGACCAAGTGGAGAATGCTTTCAGTCCAGCACTAGTGCCGTGCATCTCTTTCAACTTTTCCAAAACATCATTCAGCTCCTTGTCCCCGGGTTGCAACGTCTCCATGCTGTCCATCAATTCCTCGTACATGCGGCTGACCTCAATACCGGTAAAATGCATGGCAAACTAGAGACATCGTTTAGAAGATGTCAGAAACAAACGAATCCGAAGGCGGGGAATACATACCGCTTGTGCAAGTAACGGCATCAGGCGGTATTGATGGATGACATAGTCCAAAATCTTGGTTTCAGGCTCTCCAGCCTTTAGACCAAATTGTCTGCGAATGGCAGCATATCGGATGGCGATCGTCAGGGCCTTCTTCGCAATCGCTCCGGAGTCTAGAGAAAGAGACAACATCAACCACATGTTGCATCTTTGAACAGCGAACCAACAGGCCCATACCAACAACCATGGCGACGCGCCCTCTGTGAAAATAGACGATGGTAAGTGGTTTGATAGAAGAGAAAGTACTGCATTTAACACATACTGAATCAATGCACCATATGTCAGTTGTTGGAGCGGAGGTTCCTTGACATCGCCATTGCGGTTGACTTTGGTGTGCTTCATCAACATATAAGACCTTGGAATGCGGACGTGGGTAAACTGGATGTATCCTGATCATATCGACAACAAAAAACGCTTCAGCAACAGCAAACACTCTATGATTAGCGGGAGGGGCACTCACCATTATCGGTTCCATGACGGCCCTGCCATGATACGGACGTTAGCGAGGGGTTCAATATGCGTGTGACAAATATCCCCCTACCATCTTGGCACCAATATCCCCAATAACGATTCCGGGCTTGAGCTCGAACGTCTCTGGGTCTCTCAATGGAACTACAAAGTTTTTCACTCCGTAGCATTTGCCTTTGACATAAAGCTGTGCGAATACGACGCTGTGCGTGGCGGTTTGAGCAGCACCTCCAATCCACCATTTTGTGGCTACAAACGAGTTGTCAGTACAAAGTAGTATAAGAGCAAATTCACCAGAACTCTCACCGGTCAGCGAGGGAGTGTGAATCACAAACTCGTCAGAAGTCTCATCATACGTCGCAGTGGTTTCCAAGCCCGAAACGTTTGATCCATGACCCAGCTCCGTCATGGCAAAACAACCAACCATGCCGTTCAGGGTAACTGCGCCCTTTTGCGCCCAGTACGAGAACTGCTCTGGGGTAGCGCCTCCCCGCAAAGCACCAAAGAACAAACCTATGCAAGCGTATTAGGATGCGTAGTGGAAATCACAGCGGAGTTCACATCATACCATAGTGAACACCAATGCGCGTCCATGTTCCTGGATCCAGCACACTGATCAGCTCCATTCGTTGCTTGAAGACATGCATGGGTTCGTTCGCCACATGGTATGCCGCGCGTCGGACCTGTGTCGTGCAAAATGTGGAGAGGTTACACACAGGATTTGTGTAGCTCATCTACAACGTGGCAAACCTTGGCCATAGATCGTTCACGGATTTCTTGCAAAGTCAGATCGTGCTGGTCGCTGACCTGCCACACTGGATCGCGCTCGAACTGGAGCATAATTCTCTCCTTGAGCTGTTGGCATCCGCGATATTTAGCTCCAATTCATAGACATGAAAGCTTATAAAGATCCATGCGTCGCCACCTTTGTCTGCTTCTCCCCACCATCCAAATAATAGGTCATCTGGCGCACCGGGAAGGTCGCTCTTTGGCGCTCCGCCTGCAACTCGGCGGGTCTGCAGCAAACATGAGTGAGCACCTAGCTATACGAACTCTAGCGGCAGACCAGCCCTTACCCCGGAGGCTTTTGGAGCGAAGTCATTGCACAGTAATGTTACTTTGTGATGGAGATGAACTCGACGATGGCAGCAAGGAAGAAAAACGGCCAGCAGCGTTGATCGGAAAGACGATTATCTTTTTGAATGATAATTTGATGACCCCACGTGGCCACATGACCAGCTAAATTGATCTGCACTCCAATGCATTTGATATTCATGTGATTGGCTTTTATGGTTTGACTCGGACATGGACGCGACGCGACACGACACGATCGAAAGAGTGTTTTCTTAGCGGGTGCCTGGACTGGGGGGATTGAGCTGGAAGGATGGGTCGGGAATTATGGCCTGTATCTGCCGACGAGTTGGACCCCGAAAAATGTGTGCTTGTTACCTCGGAGCTCCAGCGGATCCACGCAGACATACAAGCGTTTCCGCCTGTCGACCTTAATGATCTTGTGGAGAAGGTATGTTGCCGCGGTCTCCTTTGTCGTCAGGCATTTGTGACCTGGTGCTTCTCCTTAGATCATATTAGTAGTGGAAGGATGTCATTCTCACTGTCCAATAACGTCAACCGACTACGATTTTTCTTTTCTCCAAAAGTACCTCGTGGTGAGAGACAGCCGTTCATGACTCGAAAATAAACCCGCCCTTACAGGCACCTCAGTGCGAATTAGAATGTTTCAAGGTGTTAAATAGTATTATGAAGCAGCTGGCAGTTCACAATTCAAGATTGGATATCCCCTGGAAGTCTTTGGGACGCAATACGTTTACCACTCTTAACCGCACATTTGTTCACAAAAAGGTGCTAGACAGCTGGTTGTATTTTATGAAATCAGTTTCCCTGTCATAACCCTACTACCTCGCAGGCATTCATTAGTAATCATAAAGGTGACATTGAGCGCTTGATGAGCGAGCTGCCTGAACTTGACATGATCTGGCAACAGGTGCGCCACGTTTGGGGCCTCCAGGGATTCTGTTACCTTCTTACACTTCTCTTAGGCCTACTCTATTCTACAATTGGCATTGGAGCTGTCTGCTATGGGTTCCCCTAACATTGCAGCGACGATGCTGGATATCGTCGCATTCGCCGCACGTGAGAACGAGCTACAGATGCTCAATCAAACGTGAGCACAAAGTTAGATGTTACCCAGTTTACAGCATGCTCACGTAGCATTAAGATGGAAGCAGGTTCTACGAATATCTCACAGCGCTGCTCACAGCAATATAGAGATAATTTCCGAGATGGTGTCGACTTTGTCCACTGCCTATGTTGCACATTTGAAGAAGCTCATTGAACTGAGCAACCCCATAACGATGCTACTTGGCATAGGTGCGAACGAGATGTTAATTTGTTTTCCAAATTCAAGCACCCATACTTCATATTTGCAGCAAACTGGTATCTGTCCCAACTGCATGCGCTGCTACGGACATTGGTGAAAACCAACATGATAGAGGCACTCGCACCTGGCATTGCGAACATGATTTTCCTTTCCAGGTGAGCAAGATAATCTTATCTTCTTGTAAGTCCACCATTCTGAAGCCATTGAGTAGTATTCTCTTTTTCCAGGGTGATCGACAATCGCTTCCACAGTGCGACCAATTGTGGCAATTGACCGGCGGTTGCATTGCTACTCTTGTACAATCGTCAAATACCGACGAAGAAAAAAGGGCAATATCCATCGCGCATCTTCTGCTGGGTGGACACGAGGAAGACGTGAAGAACAATACTCCTTTCTCTTTCACCTCTTCAGATTTCAACGCTTCCAAAGTCTTGATATCGTCTCTGATTTTTCGGAGTTTCGATAGTGCCAGTGCAGATGGACAATGCAGATTTCTTTCTGATGGAGACGTCCGCCCCATCGATGTCTTTTTCTCCTGCTTAGCCCAAACAAATCCTGACGACTTGACACGATCTAGCGGAAAGAGAGACTGCATGTATAATGTCGCGTTGGTTGGGCTGTGTGTGTTCATGCATACGCTGTATTCCGCCGCCTTTAGTGCACTCGAGAAGGCTATATTTTCAGAGTTGCTCTCAACTACACCCATCTTGAGTTTCATGTTCGTGTCGGACTTGGTCGGCTACATCTTTCTTAATGGTACGTTTCACGGAGAGCCGTAATCAATTTTTTGGCCGAGGTTATGCTAATACCGTGTCAGGTTCACAACACGTATGCGAGCGATGGGCAAATGAGCTCTTTCCTTCCCTTCTTTTCCATTTGGAGGAGAATCTCTCCATGCGGATGCGTTTAAAACTTCTGACCCATCGGATATGTGCAAGCCGACAGCGCGATGAACCTGACCTACCCTTTACACTCAACCATATTCAATTGGACGATTCTCTGGTTGCCCCTTGGTTGCGTTATTGTGCATGTAGCGCTGACGCTGCGGTCTCTGCGCATAGAGAAGGACTGTCATTTACGGACGCGTGGTGAGCAATTGTTGTTCGGCTGTATGGCTACACCCTCAGAGTTAAGCGAGTCTTTAGGGACTATCTTTGTCAACAGCTGGAGGACGATAGTGACCCCCAACGAGTTCTTCGGTGCTTTCAATCTCTCCGTTTGCCTGCCATGTGCTTGGTGCAACTCTGTGAATCTCTGAAGGGGAATGATGCTGCGCTCTTTCACCAATCGCTAGCAGATATAGTCAACATTCTTCCAATCTTGTTGGAGGGAAGTCAGACTGCGGTTCAATTGGCAGCGAGCGATTCGACAGTCGCTACCACTTGGCAGGTATGGCATCCGAACGCGTCGAACTTTGAATGCCGGAGACAGCAACAGAATTTCGTTTTCCATCCAGATTGTTAATACTATCATTAGTATTGTCGGCTTGGCGGCGAGCGTATGTACCGCGTGCGACCCGGCTGATATTCACAGCGTGCTCGATGCACTGAGGACCGAAAGCATATGGGAGTTGCTACCTGAGCCCATAGGTTAGTTCATTTCTGATAATGTTTAACTGAATCCTTCTTTTGAAATTGTCATTCGCAGTGTACAGACTCATTACGGCGCACGCACCTGTGTCCACGTCCTCCTCTTACAACATATTGCCCGAGTTTTTTGAAAAGGGGCTGCATCACTCTGATTGGACAGTTGTTCACCAGGCTCTCGATAGCCTCTTTCGATATTCTGCCTCGTCGCCTCAGGGTCCACCGGCATTACGTTCTGACAGTCGAAATGCGATTGTGGAGTTTATTCAGAAGAAACCACACCGGCTAGAAGGAGTACGAGAGGTATATTCCATTCCGAAACTGATAATCTGACTAGTCTTAGCCGGCTAACATTTCGCCAGGCTCAGAATCAAGAAGAGATCATCGAGAGAAGAAAATCTTTTCCCTTGGCGCCTCTACGAAAGATAAAATCGCAGTGCTCACTGCCCATGTTCAGGTCCGCGGTCGAGGTCCCAATAGAGAAATCGGTGATTGACATAGATGAAAAATTGGATGCTATTCACGAGTTGGTGCTTCGGGACGATTACAAGGAACTGCTCCTTCTGCGGCAACAGAAGCTGGTAGACATAGTAGATAGCATTCAAACACTCCTCAATCACTGATTCTAGACCAAACGGACAATGTATGTGCAAGAATGTGAAAAGTTGACATATTGCTTGCCTCTCAATCCAAATGCTTGAACAGATCTGACAAATCTGCGTAAAATGCAAATCAATCAAAGTTGGCGGCTCGGTCAGAGACAGTGTCTACGTACCAGTATCGTCACCCAAAGAGTATAGATTGTCTGCAAATTGTAATCCGATCGTCAATTGGAATCAACTGTGGTTCTAAATCTGAAGCAGACATACCGAGGGCTTCATTAATCAAATCGTGCCTGGCACTCCTATGATCCCGTGCTTTACTATATGCCAAAAGCGCGTGTTTGTTATCACCGAGTTCCTTGTATATCTTCCCCATCAAAAGATAAACGTTGCTTTCAATGTGTGTGAATGTTTCCAAGGGGTTTAACTGCCTCAGAGCATCCTGAAGTCATCACTTTATTGTTAAGATGCTGCAGTGTTACCAGTGTCAACAGGGCGCGACATTCTTCCTTACCTCGTAGCGCTTGGAAAGAGCTAGTGCATATGCTAGTCGGAACCGGTAAAGAGCATTTTTAGGTTCAAGCGCAACAGCTGTTTCGAAACATCCTAGTGACTTGTCCTGTCCCAATTTCTGCAAGATCTGAAACGACGCTTTGACGTCAGATTCGAAGGGAACAAGCACAATCAACATTATTTTCGCTTACCGTGCCAAGATGAAAGTGTATGATGGGATTTTTAGGATTGATTGACAATGCTTTTTCGTAATGAAATTGAGAGGCTTTATAATTTTGCTGCTGATAGTATATTTCGCCAAGTCCGAACCTACGCAACATCAACCGCGTACAGCAACTAGGAATTCAGAAGGTTTGGCAGTGTTGCTTACCATGCATTAAAAGGACGTGGGTCAATGCGAATGGCCTTTTGAAAAAAAGTCACTGCTCGGTCATAGTCCTCTTTCATTTTGTACTCGAAACCGGTAAGCGTGTATGCATATTGGAAATATGGATTTAATTGAATCGCACGTCCGAAGCACTTGATCGCCATTTCGTGTTCCTGTCTCAAGCTGCCCAGAATGGCGGTAAGTCGCGCGAGCTATCGTACCTTCAGGTTCAGTTCTCCCACCTGTACAAATTTCCAACAATACACCTGCATGATTCATCAGTATGGATGCCGGAAAGTTATACTAACTTCGAAACTTGGTCAAGGCAGTACATACCAGGTCTGTGGTGCTAGTCGATCGGTGCTTTCCATTTCTTTTGCCAAGTAAGCCAACTCAGCCTCTTCCTTCAAATGCCATAGGCAGCTCCCAAACAGATCTAGTCCCTCTGCTCGCCAGGGCTCCAGCTCCCTGTTCCGACGAAGAGGGTCTTAGTGTTGGCGTTGTAATTTTGAAGGGAAGTCATGTATCTTCATTACCGTGCTTCTCGAAAAAAACGTGCAGCCTAACAGAAAATCTGTTAAAGCAGCAATTCGGGCCGGATAACATCATATACCGCGAACCTCAGGATATTTTGCCATTTCGTAATATGATCGTGCTACCTAATTTGATGTTACTGACCAAGATCGCTATTTTCTGATCACGCAAGATGAACGTACTTGCGTGAGGGCCCACCCTGTCCGCAAATGAACTTCGCCGAGACCGGAGAGGATTTTCAACGTCTCTCTGCATTCGTATCTGCAGAGGGCGCTGTATGCCTGCCCGCACCCTCTCAAATCTTCGATGACCTCATCCCCTGTTACTAGATCCCCATCACCACCGTTTTCATTGGTCTAAAAGGCGAACCAAAGATCATCCATAAAATGTCGCAAACCTTCCGCCTCTCTTTGACCGTAACTACCTCTGTGGTTTCCCGTCCACTACTTTTGGATGCCCCATCACGTAATCGTTTCCTCCTTGTCGCAGACTGCACGTGGAAAACGGCTATATGAGACAGATGCTTTGAAAACTCTCAAATGCTTGGAATTACCTTGTGTGGCTGGGATGGCAAAGCCCGACCACTTAGTCTGATACATATGATTATGCAAGATGTAATAAGTAATAGATTCTACATGTGTCCACCATAGTTAATGAGTACCTGGCTTGAAAGGCATCCCCTGCTTCCGGTGAACTGCCTGGTGTACACAATATTAGAACTATTCTCAAATTCCACGCTTCTAAACATCGTTTTAGTTGGTACCAACCTAGTTCACACAAGTTCTGATGGGCATTCCACAGGAATGGGCACAACTCGAGCGCCTTTTTGAAAGCCTTTATCGCTTCGCCCTTTTTGCCCGCTCGTCTGCCAATATGGGTCATCGATGTGCAGCTGGCGCCAGCAACGCAAACGCCAAACAGTCAGAACTCACCTGCATATTTTGCCCAGCAGACAATATACATGCTCCAACTCAAGCTCTCCGATGGTAGACCCTTTGCGTGGTCACATATGAGTGATCTTGTCCGCGTCTAGCACCTGTGACTGTGGTAACCAATTCTCACCGCTACTATCGATTGTCTGTATTATGTATCTGAGGGCTTGTTCTCCTTCTTGTAGCTCGTCTAAATCTATGCAGCAACGTGCGAACAGGTATTTGGACAACAGATAGTTCTGTCCTTCAAGAATGCGGTAGGCAACATGGTGCCGGTTGCTGTGAAAGTATGCTTTCGCGTGAAGGTACGTCGCTCGTGGGTTTTGCGGATAGCAGGCAACGAAGCGCTCTGCCAGAAATATGGCATTTTCATAGTCGTGGTGCTCTATGGACGTCTGTACTAGTTTGTCGTACAGTAACGCTTGCTGATCTGTGGCCTCCATGGAGTCAAGATCGCGTCGTTAGACCTTGCAGAGATACAATATGCTGTAACTCGCTGCATTCTGAGCCTCTGGCGATTTATATTCAAGTTCTTCAAAACAACAGACAGTGTACGTTCGGTCACAAAAGTTTGCGAGCTACATTATATATACATCATGCAACATCATGCATTAGCACACGTTGGCAAAGGTCCCCATTCGGATATTTGAAGATCATCGAGCACTGGCTTGCTGTAATCGCTGGACGTTAGCTACTAACCAAGCGATGATCGTTCGCATAGGTATACATACCTTCATCAGATGGTTAAATACCTTCTGTTTGAACCATTCTCGGTCGTGGGGGATGTATGACTGTGTCGTTGGATCCAAACTAAGAGGACAGTTAGTGTTCCATCTAATCCAGCAATGGGCATAAATAGATCTTACATCAAACAGCAGATATCGCCGAACGTATCAATGTACTTTTGAAGATCGCTAATGTCATCTTTAGAAAAAAAAAACCTTGGGTCAACTAGCATGCAGGCGGCCTCAAACAACCTGTACTTACAATGGATGTTCCTCACAGATGGGTTTAGTTGCTTTAAGCGTTGCTCATACTTTGCTATGATAGCTACATTAAAATGAGGTCAGTACAGTATAAGTTACTGTATGAGGCAGCCCAATAAGTGTACCTTCAACGGCTAGGCTCAAGGTATTGTGATCTTCCCACTGACGTGTATCCCGACGTCCTGGTTGCGCCTGTATGAGAAGGATGGTGTGCTGGGTCTGAAAAGTTGCACATCAGGCATCAGGTTTACAGATCTCTCGGTGCAAATTACTTGGCATCCTTACCATGGCGAGATCTCACTGGGACAGCAAGCTTCTTCCCAGGCCAAGTACGTGAGGGATCTCTAATTACTGCATGGATGGCACAGCTTTAGAAAAAGACGTGACTGTGGCCACAGCACCAACCTCCAGACTGAAGCTTCAGATTGCCTATTGCTGTCCATAATCCATTCCCATGCCCAGATCTCTTCAAGAATCTTTAAAGAACAGTGTATAACCAGCGATGAGTAACAGGACTCTTCTCCGAATACAAAAAGAATTGCATGACATTCAAAAGGACCCGGAGCATCAGTTTCATGTTTGGTAGGTTTTGAGCCTTTTGCTCACGCAGTGTATGTTGGGAACATCTTGATAAGCTTACTCCCAACGTTAGGTATAATGATGAAAACATCACCCATGTCCATGCCCTTATATTAGGCCCACCAAAAACCCCCTATTGGTATGTTGAACGGAAAACAGGTTTCCTGTCCTAGTTGCGCCCGAACTGACGTTATGTACAAGCTTGGGAATGTTTGTGAGTTGTGTTCCATTGACGGTCAAACGGGGTTGCACGGTTTAATGCCATGCATAGGATTTTGTGTTTAATATGGGGGAGGACTATCCGCAAGGTCCACCCAAAGGTAAGGAGCACTGTTTGATTTGACGAGCCAAAACTAGATCACCTCAGTTAATTCGAAACGGTGCACGGATTTAGTCACCGCCATGACGACTGGCTTCGGGCGTGTTAGATTCAATCCCAATATATATTCCAAGTGAGATATCTATTGATCTACGGGCACTGTAAGCTTGCACTGACACTGGGTCGACAGCGGGAAAGTGTGTCTAAGCATCTTGGGGACCTGGTGGGATACTCTGCTGCTTTATTCTCGGTTCGCTTTGTTCTTCTAAATCAACGTGAAGGGAGGCGAGAAAGGCGGGCGAGAAGTGGAGTGCTGCTCATGGGATTCTGTCAGTCCTAATTTGTAAGGCACCATAACATGCTCATTTCCGTCGGGCAGGATCAAGCGCACGAGCTAACCTCAACTTTGAACCTTCAGCTATACAGTCCCTACTTTCTGATAAGGTTGATAAACTTATTTCCTGCGCATTAAGTGGTTCTTTCGTTGTTCATCAAGCACTTCCATCGTGCGTTAGCCATTCCACAACGAACCTGGGCACGAGCATGAGACAGATGAGACTGTAATTGAGGAATACAATCAGAAGATAAAGCACGGTGAGAATATTTTAGGCCCACTCTGGCACATGCATAGATTGTTTACTTAAGTCAACTTCAGAAACGTTACGGGTGTCATTATGTGATCGCCTCGAAGAGGTTAGTGCTGATTGATCCGCGAACGGCTAGCAAAGTTCTCAGATGGTGCTTTCACACAGTATCTAGGCTGGACCACCAGTAATGATTCTAATAGGCGGGAAGGTAGCAAATCAATCAAGCGCAGCTTTTGCAACTGTCAGTCACAATCTCCGTTCATCGACATTGTGAAGAGGATGTTCCTCATGTAGGTGTGCATCTATTTGTTTCAAGAATAAGACCTTCTGTTAACATCTTACTTAGGTACTATGACATATACCTGGTAAGTGAATTAAAGAGAACTAGCGCTCGAGATAATATCGGAATAATGTCCTGACAACACAAGGATGTGGTCGACGTTGAGTCGACAAAAGTACGAGACGGGACCGGTGAGTCTAGCCAAATCGTTATCCACATACGCCCCTTTGAAGCTGAGTGTTCTTGTTTGAACAATACTACAGCATTCAAGCTGGCCAGGTTTGAGTTTGGGAACAACTTGATGGATGGTATGTTCCATGACCCCATCTTGCGTCATCAGCAACCAACTCCATGCAATTTTTTTTAGGGCACTATCAATATTCCTCGATTCGAACGCGGTTGGAAGCGATACAAAAAGCCTTGCTGGCAGAAACGACACAGTGGATACGGTACGCAATGATGGTTTAAAATGACTGCTACCGAGACATACGGTTGCTCATTCGTTGCTGGTCAAAGAGAATCTCGGCAGTGGTTAACGAGCGAAACTACAACTGCAAGCAACCTGCGAAGTCAAGTGCGGAGCCATGTTATTTTGTATCCGTTATGTCTCATTCCTAAATGCATGTGATACAGTTCGATCAGATAACAGCGTCGAGAGAATACGATGGTTCCATTCTGCTGGAACTTGAAGAGGACAATCCTTTCTCCTGGTCCGTGACGATTATAGGCATGCCCATGACACAGTTTGACGGCGGAATGGTGTGCACCCTGTTGAAAGACCCGCAAAGCCTGCAAATGATCTCAGTTACCTTTTTGTAGTTTCGTGCTCAAATCGTCTTCCACGACTCATTTCCTGAGGTCGCCCCACGAATTCGCTTTGTCTGTGAAATGTTTCACCCACAAGTTACACGAGATGGTGTTCCGTACTACCGGTATGGGAGTGTATAACTGATTTCAACAATTGTACATGCTAACCTACCATGACTGTAGTGTTCAACGACCGGAGGATGTGCGACAGTACCTTGACGCACTGAAGAAACTGGTATCGGAAGAGCCTTTGGCAGATCCAACAACGCACCTCAACCCTAAAGCGGCCATGCTATATTGGGGAACAAAGGAGCAGCGCAGAGATTACAACAGGAACGCAAGACGAGCTGCTCAGAGAAGCGCTGAATATTAAATTACCACTAATTGCATAGTAAAGAGACGTCGCCTTTTTTTGCTGATGGTTCTTGTTACATATTTTTTCTTTCGTATACCGTCGGTCGTATGTCAGACTAGGAGAGATAAAAAGTGTACAGCAGCAGTATTTTTGTCATCCTGGTGCCTTGTATTGCAATTCAATTCAGTTGTTTAGTGTAGAGGTGACAGAAACTGGCACTAGCTACTACACCAGGGAATAAACCGGCGACAACCGGTTCGGAAAAGCTACTACTAGGCAATTATACACGCAATACGTAACGGTTGGTTCTAACCGGATAATTGCCCACCACCACACGCGGTCCCTACTAGGCCTTGATCTGGAACTCTTGATGGCATTGAAGCCAGACTCTTGCATCCAGGAGCGAATCGACTGGGCAGCATCACAAGCCAGAGGATGTTCAGTGACAAGACTTGGAGACTAAAACTGCATGTCAGCGACAGAATGACATGAAAAGAGATGATGCCATCGGTACATACCAACCAAGCTCAACAAATGTGGCAGCATAATAGTAGGTTTTGTTATCAGATCCGATTGGTTGCCGCTGGTTCTGATCACGGTTGCTGTCGGGCGGTCGAGGTCCTCAACACCACCACATCGGCGTTCTCATGGTTGACCGAGTCACGATGAGGTTGCAATGTGGGTCGCTATGAGGTCGCAATGAGCGTTTGTGCAGATGCTTGCGAGTCGAGGATGGGTAAAGAGGAAAGAGGGAAAAGGCCCCCCTTTTACAGACCTTTGGCATGCGCCTCACCGCAGTTTAAAAAAAAAAAAAAAAAACATTACAATACATGCCACACCGTTTTGAGCAGTAGATGGGGGTGCTGATTATGCGATATGATTAACCGGATTGAGCCGGATAATAATGAGTCCTAGTGCCATTTTCAATCACCTCCACACTATGCTGTGTTGTCATGTGACATGCCACGAAGCTAAGCACGCGCTTATTAGACGCACCACGTCGCAAGCACGTCCATCCACCAATTTCAACCAGATGAGTGCAGACGAGGACCTTGCAGCTGTATGCATATCACAGTCACTTTTGCTCTCATTTATTTTGCTTCTTATGATGCTATACACATAGATCAACTATTTCTGTCGCAGGAAACTATTCCATCATGCATATTCACTATGTGATGATCGCCTCAAGAGGAAAGTTGGTGATCCACTTCTTCTCTTCTGGCGGGCCGCTAGTACCGTGTTCGAAGGTAACTTTTATAAATATGATAAGCTAATCCTACATTTAACAACTCTGTTGTGCTCCCCTCAGGCCGCCCTACGGAAGCTCTTCGCGCCTTGGAAAGTGTGCAGGATAAGCGCGATTTCCTCCTAGCAGCGCCGATTGCGATGATTCATGCTCACGAGCGGTGTAAACTAGTTGGTACGCCCGTATGTCATTGTTTCACAAAGAAAGTTGGCGGTCTGTTAAGATGTAACAGACAGGGAAGCAATTCAAGAGCTTGAGGCAAAATTGACGATTGCCAGTAACTCACCGTCTCTAACCGACCGCGCTCATATACAAGCGGCAATGTTTCAATGGCACTGCGGCTTCCTTGACCTGGCCAAAGAGAACGTCAAGAAAGCGCTCGATATGAATTCCGGGTCTACTGAGGCTTTGACGCTCATGGGATGGATCGACATGGCATCACCAAAAGATTCCGTCGCCGCGAAAGCACATACGTGGCTGGATCGTGCTTTGGAGAAGAGACCTAAAGATTTGGAGGTACCGCGTGCAGTGAAGTGGGGTTGTTTTCCTCAATAGAACGGCTTACAGTGTATTCAAAACCGCAGGCTCTCATGGGTCGCCTGCATTACCTCCGACGACATCGTCGCCAATTAACTCCCGCTCTAGATATCACATCCCAAATCATTGTACACTATCCTGGTTTCATACCAGCTTACATCGAGCGGGTGTATGTATTGCTGGAAATGGGTGCTTGGGAACAAGTCAACGAAGCATCACAGCGGTTGGCAGGGTTGATGCCTGATAGCATAGATGCGATGATTGCCCAGTGCCTCAATCAGCTCTGCAGAGAAGGTGGATATGCAATGGCTGCATCTTACATTGCCAAGCTCAAGCAGGTGATTGATTTTGACTGATGGACGGCCAGTTGGGATGAAGTGTAATAATAATTTTTCTCAGACTCTAGATAGGCTGGAGCCTCACAATGCGCAACTGTATTATACTACTGCTCAGCCCTTTATTCGCCTGTCAAACCGCCTGGCAACGTGCGTTCTCTACCTATCATCTCCTGTCAATGGTTCATTCTAATCGGCTTGCTTGAACCTTATTACAGGGTACTGGACGGATGCACCAAGTTGCTGGAGAAAGCAATAGTTATCGAACCGGAAAATAGCGCTTATCGAACAGAGCTTGGTCATGTTCACTTGCTGTTGGGTAAGAAGAATTGTTGCAGGTAACCTAGATATGGATGACTGAACCCAACAGAATAGAGGATTTACCGAGAGCAAGAGAAGCGTATCAACATGCTGCGTCCCTTGATCCACATTACGTTAAAGCTCTGGAAGGTTAGCTTCTTCTCATTAACAGTGTCCTAGGCAATTAATAAATCATGGCGATTTAGGCTTGATACGATGTCAGCTCCTCAGTGGGCACTTTGACGCTGCTGAAGAGCAACTAGAGCTGTTCAATGAATTTCAGATGGCAATGGGTAATAATGTGTTTTCATCATCACTGCTAGAACAATGTCCGACTCACCAACCATGCAGGGAAATCTGCTGAAATGACTTATCTTTCTTCGGTTCTTGCGTGGTACAAGTACGGGGATGCCCGAAAGCGCCTACAATACCTCAAGGAAGCCGTTGAAATCGAACTACAGTTGATTAATGCCATGCCTCTCAGGTGAGCAAAAGATGAGGTCAGATAGTGAATTGAAGTTCCAAGTACCTTTTTAATCCTGCTATAGTCTAGAGTACTATGTCCAGGTTAACCCGGACTTCCTCTTGGAGATGGTGAAAGACTACATGGAGCACTGTCCATCCGATCCCAAACGCGAAGGTAATCTCTTACTCAGTGTTGTCCAAGAAGGAACTTCTTACACCTCGTGATTATAGGAGAAGACGTGCATCCAATCATAAAGATTGTCCTGGACCTGTTGGAGGTCGTTTGCAAAGTGAACCCAGGCTCAGTTGAAGCTGTATATCACTTGGCCAAGGCGAAATTCCTAGCTGGGGACAAAGCTTCCGCGCAACTGGCCGCCGCAAGGTGCTTGAAGTTAGATAATACCTACCCGAAGGTGCCCATTATTCTTATTTTATGGTCAGAAAATACGCAACGGCTAATTTTCTCTGTAATTTCAGGGCTATGTCCTCATGGGCCAGATACATTTATATGATGGCCACGCAAAGCAAGCAATTCAGTTCTTGGAAATGGGATTGAGCTATAATTTTCAAGTTCGGAATATCCCGCTTTTCCACATATTGAAGGCCCGCGTGCAGATAACGGAAGGCAATTATGATGAAGCACTTGCCACGTTGCAGACTGCCATGAGTCTTCCCGGTATGAAGGAGCCAATGAGAGGTAAGTTCATCATATAGGAACCCTAGGAACTGGTTCGCAAACTTATTCATTGATTTGCAGAAGGAAACCGGGTCCCGCGTATGAAGCGGCCAGATCACATCCCTTCTATACATGAGCGCATGACCTTATACCTGGAGCTTGTCGATGTGCACACGAAACTGAAGCATGTCGTAAGTTCAAAGGTTTAGTGCTGCAACCCACAGTAATAATGAAACCGTCTTAATCCCACATAGAATGAAGCCGCAAAGGTTATGCAGGAGGCTGTGCAGGTGTTTTCGGGCATGCCTGAACAAGACCGGCTGGTAATGGCAAAGGCTGAATTGGCCCTCGCTAGGGGTGAAGTAGATGCCGCCCTCAACCAACTTGCGACCATCACCATGGATCAGCCGTAGGTCCAACTGTCATCTGTATACCCATGTAATGTGCGACATCAACTCTTTACTTGCTAGATATTTCATTGAGGCGAAGCGGCAAATGGCTGATATTTACCTCAAGTACAAAAATGACAAGAAAGCGTATGCCCGCTGCTACAGCGAGCTTGTCGAAAGGAACCCGACAGTGGAGAGCTGTCTATTACTGGGTGATGCTTATATGAATTTGCAAGAGGTAAGAGGCTACATCTTTTTGATATTTCCCCCGACACCCATCTGAATTTCTTCATCTTTCATTCAGCCCGAAAAGGCCATCGCAATTTACGAGTCGGCAATGGATTCTAGTCCAGAAGCAAGCGTTTTGGCGAGCAAAATTGGCAAAGCTCTCGTTAGAACCCACAACTATTCCCGCGTATGTTCCATGGCCACAGCCTTCAGATTTGGCCAGATTAATTAGAGATATGTTTCTAGGCAATAAGTTATTACGAATCCGCGCTTGCAAATGAATCTCCTATCGGCTCTATCCTGAGATACGACCTCGCCCAGCTATATAAAAAACTGCAGAGATACGATGATGCAGAAAAGATACTCACGGAAGCCTTGGAACATCCGCAAAGTATGGCAGGAATAATGGCAATTTCCTTCTTGCTAAAACTCACAATGCGTATAGCTGATGAAATATCCGACATCGAGCTGGATATTTCCTGTCAGACGCTTCTTGCACAGGTGTACCGATGCATGCAAAACCCAAAGAAAGCAGTAATGGCTTTACAGGAAGCACGCGATTTGCAAATGCGGTACGCTGACTTAAGTAATGCATCTTTAACTATCCATTCTGCCGCTCAACTGGATCTTTTAGGGTTTTGGCCAAAGAAGCAATGGCGGCAGATACCCGACCACAGCGAACCAAATTGGCAGATATCAATTATGAGATTGCAGAGCTTTATTCCCGAGACCTAAAGGAGGTGGATAATGCCCTGACTCACTATAACGAGGCCATTGAAAATGATGAAGGCCACGCAAAGGTGCGAACATGGACTGAAGCAAACTTGCTTAAATATTTTGTATTTTCTTTCGTATTAATGTATTCACAACTGCAGTCTATTTTGGCAGTCTGCCAGATTTACCTTTCAAAAGGCGAGGTTGACTCTGCTCAACTACAATGCTCTAACTTGCTTCGCCTCGATACAACCAATGAGGAGGCCACTATGTTGATGGCTGAGATCATGTATCGCAGTAATTCGCATGCAGAAGCAATCTTTCATTTTCGATCGCTTCTCGACCGCATTCCGACACATTACACTGCACTCGTTCGATTGATAGAGGTTCTGCGGAGAAGCGGAAAGTTGGACGAAATACCCAAGTATTTAAAACTGGCGGAGGAAAGTACGGTCAAGGTCAACTTGCATCCTGGCTACCACTATTGCAAAGGTCTGCATTACAGGTATGATTTTATGCCACACATTCAGTCGCAGTAATGTCAGCAGTTATAAACTCCATCTATTTTCTTGATAAAGATATTCAAATAGCCCGCATGAAGCGTTGAAGGAATTCAACTTCTGTCGGCGGGATACTGAATGGGGGGAGCGAGCATTGTATCACATGGTGGAGATCTTTCTTAATCCTGACAATGAAACGACAGGGGGAGAGGCACTGGAGGGGGCTGCCGACACTTCAGCCAGCGGCGGTAAGAAAGGCGACTCCGAACTATTAGCAATCTTGACGGCAGACAAGTTGTTGAAGGTAACCTTTTTCGTTTTTGACCAACACGACACAATCATGGTTAGCTGAACATTAACGAGTAGGAACTCCCTCAAAACCCAAAGTCGCTGCGAACGCAGGTTCTTGAATGTCACGCACTCATGGCAACAAAGCAGAAGGTTGAAATTGAACGTGCACTGGCCAAATTTGCAGAAATACTCAATACGGAGCGGGACTACGTGCCAGCGCTACTGGTATGTAACTTCTCTCCTTTTGCTCCCTCTTGAAAGAAGGGCTTCTAAGCCGCAATCGGCATGTATTAGGGTATGGCGGTGGGCTACATGCTGTTGAAGCAACCACCACGCGCAAGGAATCAACTGAAACGAATTGCTAAAATGGAGTGGACAAGCGAGCTAGCTGATGATTTTGAACGCAGTTGGATCCTGCTTGCCGACATCTACATTCAGGTTTTGTTTTTGATTTTGTGGGAGGATGATGCATCGAGGAACCAACAACTAATGCATCTCCTATATATCCCAAACAGGGTGGTAAATACGATCTAGCAACGGACCTTCTCAAGCGATGTCTGTCACAGAATCGCTCTTGCGCCAAAGCGTCGGAGTATTTGGGATTTATTATGGAGAAAGAAGCATCGTTTAAAGACGCAGCAGATCACTACGAAATTGCCTGGCAGCTCGATCGCGAAGCAAATCCCGCTATGGGATATAAATTGGCCTTCAACTATATGAAGGCAAAAAAGCATGTGGAGGCTATTGATGTTTGTCATAAGGTGCTAAAATTGTACCCGGATTATCCCAAGATGAGAAAGGAGATACTAGATAAAGCGAGGGCAAGCTTAAGATGCCCATGAAAGAATATTGTAGTTCCCTGTAATTAAGAGCAAAAGAGCACATTAGAAGAAATCAGCCCACCCTCAACGGTCCTTGTAGCTCATCGCTTGAGTGCGCGTTTGTCGCAACGATTGAGAGTTAATGTACATTCTAATGTTCAGATAACTACATGCTCCCCGAGGTTTCATGCTCCAGTCCCCCTTTCATTTCAGATCGTGTCCGCACCCCTTGCTCCTACTGTGTTGCCTTTGCCTTTTGGATCACCATCCTCAGCGTGCATGCTGAAGACCCTATGCATGAGCGCAACAAAGTCCCTCGCATGGGGACCACTCTGCAAATCATCTGCGACACTACATATGTCTCTAAAAAGCCAATGCAATCCCAGATCCGGTCGCAATTTCGCCGAGCAAGTCTGGATAGCGGGCATAAAGCGTGCTCTCTTTTCAGTGGTAGGAGGAGTTTCCTCTGTTATTTCACTTTCCGAATTGAGCGTATGCGCAGCGTCCAGCGCCCTTTCCTCCGCCGCTGGAGAAACATGCTCTTCAGCCGAGGGGGTACTGTGCTTTTGTACTTCCGTCGCTAGATCGGAATCTACCAACATTTTCTCCAGAAGGGTGATGCTGGAGTCATCGAGCAGCTGTAAATGAGTGCGAATGCGCTGCAAAATGGGCTCTTTTGAGCGGAACCATCGAAACCCATGTTCACCGCGAAGAAGACTAACGCAGTCCGGCATGTGATGCAAGCCAGCAACCATGCACAGCCTGGGAATCGCGACAATTACGATGGGATCAAACGTGTGAATTTGATTCCATGCTATGTAGCCACGTTGAACAGATCTTAGAATCGTCTCGCTCATTAGAACCTAGGGCATTCAATTAAAATGAGTGACAAATACAATTGTGACTTGATAAATATTTCGCTTACTTGGAACATGTCCAGATCGTCAAACCGTCCCGGTCGACCATGATACGAAACGGAAAAGTAGCAAAAACAAATTTTTTCTTCGAATGCTGCCCATGCTTGATCAAAGTCTTTTAGGACGGGGTACAGGTCAAGATATGGAGATGACGAGCATGTCAGCGCCCTGGTACGAAACGCGAACCGAAGAGCGTCCATTGCAGCGTGCAATTGTCTTGCTGGTTCTACAAGCTCTTGGGTAAAGTGCTCAATTCCTCGGATGCGGAACCCTCTACTCAATGCTTGGCAAGCAAATAGAATATTTTCGCTGAAGCCCCCTTCTAACTCTCTTTGATCTTCTGGCGGTAAGCGGGTCCGATAGTCTCGGGACGTTTTCAGGTCTTCATCCATGTCCATATAGATAAGGTATATTGTCTCAAGGAATAAGCGCTGGGCATGATGAACTCTCTCATTCCGCCTCTTGAATTTCTCTGAATTTGTGTCACGAACTTTTTGCAATGATATGACAGATTTCGTCAAGTGTTGATCTGATGCAGGTAGGTCATATAATAATCCTTGCAATTGAAATTCATCTGTGTGTGTACGAACCTGCATACCAAAACAGGCTCAGCGGCTGCGTTTCGTTCAGTCTTGGAGGAATTTCATTCTCAAGGGGCCTCCAAGCACAAAATTGAAATATTTGGGCAACGGTGTAGCCACCCGGGGGAGGTAAGGACGTTTGCGACAAACGTCTTTGCGATCTTGCTGACCTAGGGAAGCTGGTACTCTCTGTTGCTGACTGTGGAGCCATCGTCAAGTAACCTCCATTGGGCAGCAGACCATCCTGCTTCTGACACGTTCACCGATTCTTACGTCAGCATAGTCCCGCGTCCTTTGGTTGCTTACGTTTTCATGAGCAGCGTGAGATGCCCACGTGATCACAAAACCAACGCGTGGATGTTGCGGGAACTGCGTGCCCTACGCCCATACCAGATCAGCGATGAGTGCCACATACGGGACAGATGCAAATGCGGGCTTTGAACCTTACGAATTTGGCGAGTTTGGTGGACAAAGCGATGAAGCTGAATTTTTGAAGGGCACGGGAAGAGGGACGGCGGGTTTTGCGGGGGACTTGAGTTCCCCAACTGTCTCTATTCCGGTATCTGGGAACATGGGCCCCGCTGGGAATGGGCCGACACCTACCTTAGATACGCTCGACGAACCGGTGTCAGCTACTATTGTTAGTAGGGCTTCCAAGTATTATACCCAGCGAGTATGTCCATAAACTGACCCTTCGTGCCGCAGCTTAGAGACCTTCGTAGCATTTGGGGAAAACTGCGACAAGTGCTGTTACCGAAACAAGACAGCAAAAACATTTTGAGAGATTGTGAGTATTAAGGGGACCGAAAAGTTCTTGGCTTTATGCGTTAGTTGCCGGGAGCCCGTAAACGTGCTTTTTTAGGGGATCTATGGGGACCGCTCCTTTTGTGTCTCGCTCTCTCAATGTACGATATTCCATTATGGAGTGGACTCGGATCTTGTTGGATAACATGCCTGCATTTTTAGACGATTGACTATCAAAGCGCCACAAGATCAAATACCCCAGGTCTTCACTGCTATTTTTGTGATTGTTTGGTGTGGTGCGGCCGTTGTCACGTTGAACTCCAAACTACTCGGAGGAACCATGTAAGCTTTCTGGAATCTTGCGAGTACTGTATACGGTTAGCGACATGAATGTTCTGATCTACCGGCGTCTATTGCCGCATAGGTCCTTTTTTCAAAGTGTCTGTGTCCTCGGCTACTGCATATTTCCCCTCGTTATTGCCGCTATTATCAGCCTTTTTGTGCCACTGATTGGCCGCGTTGTATTAGTCAGCGTCGCATTCGCGTGGTCTGTATATGGTACGTGCAAGAAGCCCGAAGTGCAGTGCCGGCTTGTTTTCGGTTGTACTAAGGTCGTGCATTGTAGCTTCGGTTAGCTTTCTCTCAGATGTCAGTCTAAACCAACGAAGAGCATTGGCATTGTACCCAATGTGCCTTTTTTATTTTGTCATTGGATGGATGGTACGCATTGTATTTATGTACGTGTCCCCGGTTCTGGATACTGACCGACCTCCTGTAGGTTTTGATTTCAAAGTCCTTTTGGGAATCGGCGCCATATGATGGCACTCCTTAAATTGCTTGAAACAATCAATAAGGGCTTTTTCTAAAGATCTCTTCGAGTCACATATCCTATCAATATAATGCATTGTAATGCCGCTATCTGTGATTGCCTGTGAAAATAGCTCGAGTTGGCGGACGATAAATTGTCGTAAGCCTTCTGATGTTCGCACTTACCAACAATATCCTCTGCTATAAATGCATTGAAATAGTAGATTCCAAGGTTATTCTTCAATGCAATTTGAATCAAATTGGGAGGGTCCATTTTCTGCACGCCACCGGACGTGCTCAACCGTAATAAGACATCTGCGCTCTGATTTGGCGCTAATGGCTCGGGAACCTGAAGGGAGGCTGCAGGTGTGATACCGTATCTAAATTCCAGCCAGGATAAGGCGTTTAATCTAACATTTTGGAAACGGCATGGCAAGTGCGAAGACTTACGTATTAGTGTTGAACTGAATTGCAAATTCAGTCATTGGCCCTGATGTTCGGTTCGCAAAACTTAGCTCCAGATAGAGGTCCCCATTCCTTCTGGTGAAGGCTCCTTGCACGTCGAGCCCCTTTGCATTGGCCGAAGTCAAAAAGGAGACCTTTGGAGTTGTGCTAGTCGCGCCAACCATAGGCTCAAAGCCGCCGGGTTGATAGGTAGGGGTAGATGTTGAGGGAGATAGGTCAGTAAGCCCAAGAAGATCGTCAATGGCGCTTGTTTGTGTCCTCATTGGTGGAGGTGTGGCAACTGCAGGAGACCCTGCAGACGGACCACCAAAGTCGAGATCGAGGAGATTGTCAATACCGCCACCGACCACAGCGTTCACCTGGGCTGCCACTGTGCGTGCGTCGACCTCCGGCTCCTCGCCTTCCAAATCAAGGCTAAAGGGGAAAAAGAAGGTGGCGTGAACAAGAGTGATAAGAAGACCATCAGCCACATTTGTGCAAATAATATACTGTACTAACACTTCTCGAGTACGACCAATTTCCACGGAGGTACCTCCAAGGAGTGAAGGTGACTTGTGGTAGACAGAGGCAAGACTTCCGATATTATGGAGTAGCTCATCTAGTAATGATTCACTGACCGTAGCAGTGTCGGCTTCGATTGGGGGTTTCTCCGCCAAGACTACAGCCTACAATGGGAGGTGCTGAGTTTACGCTCGTAATGCATGTAGATCGTCTCCACAAACCTTCGCAGTTTGTGGATTACTCGATAAGAGTCGCCAATATATGTAGGCTCGATCCCGAATATCTGGGTTATCGCAGCCTTGGGTGGCCGTAGTCAGAATTCGTTGAACAATCTCTTGTGCAGCACCCGGTTTCTTCAAAAACAATTTGACGGAAGCCGAGATAAGCTGCAGCTGAACCTAACAAAAGATAAGCACACATTGATATTGCGATGCGGCCGAATCTCTTCTGTAACGTTCTCGGATCCATACCATAGATGTCTCATCTTTAAAACCCTCCAAGAAAAACTCTAGCAGCTCAGTAGCATTGTCAATTCGGTCGGCATATTCGCCAACAATCCAGATTAGAGAAGCTTTTGCTTCTGGTTCGTCCAATGTATCGAGGTTTTCGCACAGAGCGGGTATAATACCCTCATATCTATTTGGGTACTTGCGAAAGATATCCTGAAACAGAGAGCGATAAGCAAATAGCTCATATAACGAGTGTATGATAGTTGAAATCACCTTGATGACGACAATAGCCTCCTGCACAACATGGCTGACCTTTGTCTTGATCAAATCAAGCAAAGCATTCACACATTTTTCTGATGCTGATTCAATCTTCACGGCACACCGTCCTATGGCACCGACAGATTTTCGTACAAAATCGACATCCACCTCGTTCGCATACCTATGAATATTGCGAGGCCCAAAGTTAGATGTTTCATCGGAATGAAAAATCAATCTCTTCTCACTCCCGTAGTTCGGATAACACTTGGTCGACATTCTTGTCGGAGCATAACTTGATTATGACTTCCAATTTCTCAAGTTTCACGTAGGGCGGATCATTATATTTAATGAAGAATACTCGAATTTCTTGATTCAGAACGTCCGCCCGTTTTTGAAGAATCAGATTGATGTTTCGCAAAGCGACATATTGTATCTCCGGCTCTGATGACAGTAAAGTGACTGTACACAAGTTATTTCAATCAATAGTCCCGAATGCGAAATTTGCCAGGCTAGCCATTACCTAATGGGGGAGCCATCTTCCTTGTGATTTGCTTTAAAAGTTCGTCATTAGTGATGAATTCCAGGTAGATCATCAACACCTAACAGTTCGTACGAATGATTGTATCAGTCACCTGCTGTCCAGACTGACAGAGCGTAGTAACGCGAACCCACCCTCACTGCCGACAGCACAACACTGGCATTGGCATGTTGCAACCGGGGCAGTACCCGCTCCGCGATATCGCCCGCCTCACGAGTGTCATGCGGACGATAACTAGCTAACGAATTAAGAATGCAGATTTGGCCCCATCTGTAGGAAAATAGAATCCATTAGATAGTGAAAATCAGTCGGAAAGGCGTGTGCTTACTCTGTGCATTCATTCAAAGCCGCTAACAGTTTCGTGAGTATGCTTCTGTTGACGACAAATACGTCACGCCGAACAGAAGCTTCACTAATTTCGGCAAGCGCAGCGACAGCGTTCGCAATCACCTATTTCAGGCAGTTGCAAATGCGGCCCAAGGATCAGGATGCGAACGCATACCTGAGTCGAATGTAACTCTCAGCCATACCATTGGATTTCTATCTGAGAGCATGTCTTGAACGATAGTAATCAGACCGTTGTCAATCGCAATCATAGGTGAAAGGTCGTAGAGTTTGGCCACGCACAAGGCTGCGGTCTTCCGGACATATGGGTCTTCGTCCTACGGTAGGGGCTTAACATACTTGTCGCAAAATCGCAACAATAACTTAATTTGACAACATCAACCTTTAATCCCTTCTTCAATGGCTCCAATAGATAATCAATTATCTTCTCCACTCGTAGCATACCCATCGTCCTGATTGCGAGCGCACGAATCAACGGGTTCACATCGTCTGTGTCCTGTTGACAAGATTAACTTCTGTCATAGTTAGGGCTAAAAAGTTCACTTTTTAACCTTAACGAATGTGTTCACGGCCAGAATAACGAGTTCTGGCTGGGTCCTCGCGTAATTGATGAGGTAGAGGTAGACCAACTTCTTGAGTTCAAGATCCTCCGTCTGCATGTTCTTGACCACATCCGCAAAAAGACTGCTGACATCTTTTCCTATAGTCATATTGGCAATGACCTTTTTGACGGTCTCTTTTCGTTTCTCTCTGTATTCACTGTTTAAATCGGCTTTCAATTCAAAGTTCTCGCCTGTTGGGGGTAATGGGTCGCCACCATTAGGAGCGTGCCATGGGCCCACGCGACGTTAACTGTGGCCGTTGAGATCCCACCTTTCTTCGTCGTGGAGAAAAACTTTGGACCCCGCACCGCAGCTGCCATCTTGAAAGTTATGTTGGGAAAAACAAAATGTCTAGGATTGCCCCCACGACGGTTCACACAATGTAACTGCTGTGCCATTGGCTTACGTAAGATTGGAGCTATTATTTTGGACCAAAGAAAGTTGGGGACATGGCTATGGGAGCTACACTACAACCCCAGCTAGCGCCGGCCGGGAACGATCCGTCAAGTAGACATGCCCATCATCATGTCTTTCTCGCTCTAAAGGCATCCAGGGCACCGCCGGGCAGCGTGGAATGGGTTTAGGGGTGTATTGCGAGCGCATAGTCGTCCCCCAGTCCCGGTCGTCGTGCTGTGGATTGTAAGTCGCCCTTGGTCTGAAGTCAGCCTCGCGAGTTTGGTGTGCGGGAGGCTGATAGTCCAGGCGGTGTGTGCTTGTCGCATCAAACTTTGTTGGAACCGCTTGGTACTTGGGGACAATGCGCAGAAGCCTCTCCACCGTTTTCGGTTGATAGTTATCGTGGTCTGCAGGCAACCTTGTGTCAAAGTTGCAGTCAAACAGTAATAAGAGGACAAAGCTTACATGTAGTAGAATCCTGGAAAACGGATTGGTTAGGAGTGTATATAGCCTTTTTCTTCGGTTCCTTGGTCGGTAAGGTCCAACGGCGGAAGCTGTCTCGATTGGTGGTGACACCTTCAAACTTTACCGGAGACACCACATACGCTTGACGGGGAGCCTAAGCACTTGAATGAGGAAGGAGGCCGATGGAAAATTAGGAAAGAAAGGGTATACCATGGACAAGGAACTCCTGGGTAACTGATGACCCACGTATGTGGCGCCTGTCGTCGACTTAAATTCCCTGTGCTCGCCTTATATAAACGTCGTGAAGTAGTGCCAATCAAGGTTACAAAATTACCTGTCTTCTGTTGGACTGACGTAGCTGGCTACCTCTCGAGACTTTGCTGGAGGAGGAACAGGCCAAGCGCGATAATCTGCATCGTGCGTCGTTACACCTTCAAATCTGGTATTAGGTTTGAGGTAGTCAGCAGCCTTTCGAAAGGGCCTGGACTGCAATTCAAACGGGCGGAAGTCCCGTCTGTTGGTGGTCTGGCCATCGAATTTGGCTATGAAACAACTACCGTCAGCAGAACCTCAACACATCAGAATGTGGTGTCAATGCTCACCGGTGTTCTCAATATGGTTTGCTTTGGGTCTCATTGATGATACAGTGGTGATTGGCCAAGCAGGAAAGTCATGCTTCTGAGTAGTGGTAGAATCAAACGGAGCGTCATTTCGAGCATATACGACCTTTTTGGGCTGGCGGTACGCATGAGAATGGCGCTGGGCGGAGATACACTTTAACCAAAGTACTTACCGGCATCTGCGGGGGAAATGCGTGAGCTACAAACTTTTCCCGACTGTCTCCAATAAAGGGTAGTTTAGCACTTGATGATACATTTATCAGATCGAGTGGGGAACATCTCATACTTTTCAGTAGAACCATAAAAATCCCCTCCAATTGAGAGCTGCTGGGGATGGGCCTTTCCCCGCAATCGTCTCTCCGTCTGATACTTCACATAATTGTCTCCATATTCTGGAAGGATCTTATGTTTTAACAGAGCCCTGCCACAAAATGAGACATGTTCTTACCGGTATGAGCGTCAAGATGCCCTTCCACAGTTCTTGCAACTTTGCACAACTTATGCCTGCCGCAGGTGCAAACAGCGCAGATGCATTTTTCTTCATGCTTCCTAGAATCATGCATTGTAGGAAGCGCCAATCTATTCCAGTGTTGACCCGAGTACGAGAAGGTTGAAGCAAGGTCTTCCAGGGGATATATCAGCTATTCATTCATGCAACTTATATTCGATCGGCCAAAAATCAAAAAATAGCATCGGGGAATTTGACGATTAGCTGTAGGTAAGCAGAACGCGTGACTAAACCCTTCTTTAGTGTGCAGGTGGTAGAAAATGTCACTAGGGACAAATTCTCCCTCCAACCCACTACAGCCGGTTCTAATTTACAATTAGCCAGCCTGTCCAACCCTTCATAACCTATCCTGCAAACGAGTCCCACCCCATCCTAACTCGCTACAGATTCCGGCCTGGGTTGAACTGGGGTACGTGCAAAGCAGCACGATTCCACTAACTACCACTAGGCCCAATTACACATGCGATACATTACGGTTGTTTCTAACCGGGTAACTAAGCCCACCACCACGAGAGAAATCCTACAAAGCCTTTGATTCCGAAATTCTTTAGTCGGAGGATGTTCAGATACTAATTAAACCAGAATTAGACTCGGAATCCGCGTGGGAAAAATCAGCAAGATATACCTGCGATCGTAGCAATATAGTAGTAGCAGCGTTTGCAAGGGGTTATGTTGTTGTTGTCGGGCGGGCGAGGTCCTCGACACCAGAGCAGTATTCTCATGGTGGACTTGAGAGTTGAGCGTTGGGCAGATGCTTGCGAGTCGAGAATGGGTAAAGAGGAAAGAGGGAAAAGGCCCCCCTTTTATAGACCTTTGGCATGCGCCTCACCGCAGTTTAAAAAAAAAAACATTACATGCATGCCTCACCGCTTTGAGCGATAGATGGGGGTGCTGATTATGCGATATGATTAACCGGATTATCCGGATAATAATGGGTTCTAGTGCCATTTTCAATCACCTCCACACTCTGCTGGAACTGGTTCGGTCAATGGACATGCGCGAAATGGGGAATGGTTCCCAACAGGACAGTTCAGATCCGTTCGGGGCATTCGACATTGACGAAGCAGATTTGGAGCCACTCTATCATCAGGACCGGCTATGCTGTCCACAATGCAGACGAAATCACAAAGTTTTTTGCCCCCGCTGCGGTAATAACGACAAGACTGGCACCCGCAAAAGAGAAGGGAACTCACTTTTCTATATGCCTTTCTTACTTTACTATAGGCATACCATTAGGCCATACACCTCCCCATGTCCAATTGCCGATATCTGTGGACATGTATGTTCGACAAGCAGTGTTCTAAAGCTATGACACTCATTCTCGTCGTGCAGTTACCGTGACCCGCGAGAAACTGAGGGCAAAAGTACGTCAGCACATGCGCGCATCATTGCGCCTGATTCAGTTACAATTAAGGTATGCCTCTGCATGTCGTCCGTCATGTACCAGAAGGCCAATATAAGTATGGTTGTAGGTAGAAAATATGGTGAAAGCGCCGGATACGTCGAGCATTACAAAGTATACAGATCCGCAACGATGTCTTCTTCTCTTTCCCTCCGAGGTGTGAGCTGCATGATTTGGCTTCTGACCTGTTGCTGTGTTTGTCATCGATTCCTTCATATGGCTAGGATGCCCTACCGCTAGCTGACATAGAGCCAGGTTCTTTCGACAAACTGATTGTGCTTGATGGAACGTGGAAACAAGGGAAGGCGATGGCTGGTGCAATAGCTGGTCAGAGCTTTCAGAGAGTGTCTATCCGAAGTCGCCGGACCCTCTTTTGGCGTTACCAGCCTTTTGGAGAGACCTACCTGTCGACGATTGAGGCAGTGTACTGGTTCTTTCGAGACTTTCATGACGCATATAGCAGAGATCCTTACGATGGTCGCTACGACAATCTATTATTCTATTTTAAACTGCAGTGGGGCCTGATTCAGGACATCTATTCTAGAAATCCACAGAAACAGTTCACGTCAAGGAAATTGGATGGGGAAAGTTACATCCGGGGAAGGGCGAGACTGCAGAATAGTGCGAGTCCTCCTGATACGGAGGAAGCGCAAACTTAATAGTAAATGTACTGTAATGCATGAAAGAATGTAAATAAATAGATAGCGTTCGTAAGGGTCGTGTTGTGGTAAGCGTGGCTTGTGTGTCCAATGGGTCGGACATGCACCAGGGACACACTTCCTCACCTGCAAAGCACGCTTACTGACGATCTCCCCCAACACACCATGTTATCACATGTAGAGGGCTTAATAGCTGAGCAAGTGAGTATTCAAGCAGCAGGCAAACTGAAACAGCCATCGCCTATGCTGATTTATCTCATGCCAGCATCCCGAAGGTGCTCGACCGCGCATGGTCATTTCGAAAATGGTTCTCAGAAATTTCAAGTCGTACGCAGGGACGGTTGAAATAGGGCCGTTTCATAAGGTTTGAGTGACCTATTTCAACAGCAGCTACCAGTAAACGCTTATCAGTTTGCTTTTGCCAGTCCTTCACCTCAATAGTCGGCCCCAACGGGTCTGGAAAATCGAACGTTATTGACTCGCTCTTATTTGTGTTTGGGTTCAAAGCGAAGAAAATGAGACAAGGAAAGCTATCTGAACTCATTCACAACTCCACACACCACCAGAACCTAGATAGTTGCAGTGTCGAGGTGCACTTCCGCGAAATAATAGACCTGGTATCTTTGAAATGATAATATTCCCTTCATCTTATGTTTACAAGAATTCTAATGCTAGTATATGGATAGCCAGGGCCGGATGCTTTTAGCATGGTCGAAGGCTCTGATCTCGTTGTGTCACGATCTGTTGAACGAGGCGGGAGTGACAGAGCGCCAGATAAGAGCATCTATCGGATCAATGGACGGACGAGTAGTTTCACAGAGGTGACCGGCCTGCTAAAAAGTAAGGGTGTTGACCTGGAGCATAAGCGGTTTTTGATTCTTCAGGTAGGTGCTGTGTCGATTCTTAAATTTATAGGTGCGTATGACGAATACTATTGACCAAAGGGGGAAGTGGAGTCAATTTCTCTCATGAAGCCCAAAGCCCAAAATGAACATGAAGATGGGCTGCTCGAGTATCTAGAAGACATCATTGGAACCTCCCGCTATAAACAACCCATCGAAGATGCAAACAAGCAGCTCGATGAACTAAACGAGGAACGTTCAGAGAAGCTGAACCGACTAAAATTTGTGGAGAGGGATAAGAAGTCATTAGAGGTACATGAACTGTCGTCTTACTTTGACGCATTTCGTGCATTTGCAAATCTCAAGTTCTTGCTCTGTTTAAAATAGTCGAAAAGAAAAGACGCCGAAGACTTCATTCACACAGAAAATCTGCTTAAGAAGAAGAAGAATGCACTCTATCATATTTACCTCGCCGAGTGCACCCTTGAAATTGCCAGCCTTAGTTCCACCATAGAGTCCCTAAATGTCAAACAGGAAGGCGAAAGCCGGAGGTTCATGACGTTGAAAGAAGAAGTGAACTCGTTGGAGGAAAGACATAGTACCATACAGAATGATTACAATGTAATGACATAGTATGAGATCATATGCTTTATGACTTGCTGACGGCTTTGATCAGACTATAGCAGCAAAGGCCAAATCAGTTCGGGACGAACTGCAACGATATGATCGCGCGGAGGTCGAACTTAAAGAAAAGGAAGCACATCTGCAAAAGAAGCTGAAAAAGCTTTCCAGTGCCCTTCACAAAGTAGGACCTAGTAATTTCTTTCAGGTGGATGCCAATGCTGATAGAGTTGCAGGAGAGTCTGCAGCGTTCGGAGAATGAAACTTGGATTCGCAACTTCGATGCGGATATGGAGAAAGCCACAATGGAGGCTGGTGAGCTGGCATCACGACTTGCCGCCGAGGAGAAGGCACTCGAAACAATCAGGGAAAGTCTAAAAGGTGTCTATCTAGGATGTACTGCATAGTAGAGGACTGAGCTGATGCAAGTGTCATAGGCAAGACGGAGGTCTTTCAAAAACAGATCGAAAAGAAGCAGGAAGAGTTAGCTCCCTGGATGGAGAAAATAAATGAAAAGCAAGCGGCATTAGACGTTGCGTCATCGGAGAGGGAACTACTAGAGCAGAAAATAACATCTTCGAAAACTGCATTGAAGGAAGCTGAGCAGAAAGTTGTGGAGCTTCGCGCTTTACTTGGGCGGAAGGTAACATTGTTCCTCGACCGCTGGTCGTTTATTCTATTAAAATTTTTCAAACATGAAACTATACAGCAAAAGGAGCTTTCGCTAATACGGGAGTCGCAAGAGGCTCTGGAAGCGAAAAACATAAGTCTCCAGAAGGCAATGCAGGAGTGCACGATTAAGGAACAGGACCTGCGCAAATCTGTCACGCAGTCACGGCAGAAGGCGGACGAAGCGAAGGTGTCCCTGCAGGCAGCTCAAACCAGAGGCAAAGTGCATACAAGTTTAATCCAGCAGAGCCACACCGGCAGAATTCCAGGGATCTGTGTGAGCATCAGCCAGAGGAACTAATCATCCTATCTTTTCCTGTTGGCTCAATTATCACTTAATCCTAGGGACGGTTGGGAGACCTTGGCGTGATTGATGATGCCTACGACATTGCCGTCACCACCGCATGCGGCGCCCTCGATGCAATTGTCGTTGATACGGTAGATGCGGGACAGCAATGCATCGAATTTTTGCGAAAGCAAAGCCTTGGCCGCGCAACCTTTATCTGCTTGGACAAGCTTAAACAGGGAAATCGAGAGCCCATTGACACTCCCGAAAGGGTCCCCCGTTTATTTGACTTGATCAAACCTAAGCATCCCAAATATGCTCAGGCTTTTTATCAAGTGCTGCAAGATACTTTAGTGGCAAAAGACTTGGAGCAAGCGAATCGGATAGCTTTCGGTAATTCGCGACGGTATCGCGTTGTTACGCTTGATGGACAGCTTATTGACACTTCGGGGACCATGAGCGGCGGAGGAAACAAACCACAGCGTGGGGGAATGAGCTCTAAATTTGCAGCTGACGGGGTCACGCAAGCAACTGTGGTCCAACTCGAGAAAGAGAAGGAACAGATTGAAGGGGTGTTGCAAGAGCTGCTCGAGAAGCGCCGCCAGTTGGAGCAGCAGATTGATGAGTGTGGACGCCAGCTGCCCGCTGTTGAGCTAGAATTGACAAAAGTTGAAATGGACGTGAAGTCGCTGCAGGAAGGGTTGGCGGATGCAGAGAAGCATGCAGAGATTGTCAGGTACGCTGGATGGCAGCAATTGTGCCGCATGAAAATGTGTTCTGATCTAGTTGATAGAACTCAACAGCAAGGGCCGAGTACCGAAGACCTGTCTCGCCGCGACGAACTCAATAGCATTATATCTAAGCTCACCAAGCAGACAAGTAATCTGCAGGAAAGTGCGACCGTAATTCAAGAAGACATCAAGGAGCTACAAGGCAAAATTCTCGAAGTCGGCGGGGTGCGGCTAAGAACACAACAAGCGAAGGTTGATGGAGTTAACGAAGAGATTGGCATAAATAACACGAGAATGACGAAGCTGCAAGTGGAGCGGTCAACAAGAGATAAAGCAGTGGCTAAGATACTGAAAAGTATTCACAAGAATCAAACTGAACTCGACAGTGTTAAGACAGAAATCGAGAGCATCGATGCAGATCTGGAGCGTCAACGGTCCGCAGCTAGTCAAGTGAAGGGGAAAGTTCAAGAGGCTCAGCAGGTTGATTGAGAGTGGCGACCTGGTGACTACATTCGTCATTCATCTTTATCTATTCAATGTTTGCACAGGTGCTGGAGACGAAGGAAACAGAGCTGGAGCAAATAAAGGAAATACTTGACGTCAAAACAGAAGAGATAAACGAAATGCGCAAACTTCAGGTATCCTAGATGCAATTAAAAATCCTAGCAAAGTGTAGGTCTCATTAACCTTCCGATCAGGTCGAAACTAAGGCACAGCTTGAAAGAGCGAAGGAGGGATTGGCAACCAAATTGAAACAACAGAAGTATTATCAAAACGAAATTTCGTGTAATCTTCGATTACAGTCAACTGGGTACGTTTCTAATAGTATTTGCCTTTGAGCTACGCAGTCATTTATGCAATTGTAGGTTTGAGTCAGATGACGAGGACCTGGAGCTCGAGCAGTACACAGCCGAACAGCTGGGCGCCTTGGACAAGGAAGAAGTGGAAGCGGATATTCAAAAACTTCAAGGTGAGTGCATTTTCTGTGTACCTTGGCCTTCTGATTTATCCTAAATCGGTATTTTACAGCCAAAGTGAATGAGGGGACCCCAAACCTGACCGTTCTCGAGGAATACAGGCAGAAGCGTGAGGCGTATCTCGCACAAGCAAAGGTGTTGGAGGAGGTAACTCTACGACGTGATGAAGCAAAGAAGTCTTACGACGAGCTCCGGAACAAGCGGCTGGCTGAATTCATGGAAGGCTTCACTGCTATATCACAAAAACTGAAGGAAATGTATCAGGTCCGTGCTCTTTCTCAATTGGTCAACATGTTAATACCATCGCCACGTTACTGATGTGGCATTTCAGATGATTACTCTTGGCGGTAACGCCGAACTAGAGTTGGTTGATAGCCTGGATCCCTTCTCCGAAGGAATTATATTCAGTGTCATGCCGCCCAAGAAAAGCTGGAAGAACATTTCGAATCTCTCTGGTGGGGAGAAAGTAAGCAACCTAGAACAAGTGGGCCTTTAGTAAATTGCAGAAACATCTGACGCTCGCGCTTCGATAGACGCTAAGTTCGCTGGCTCTGGTGTTTGCATTGCATCACTTCAAGCCGACGCCTCTCTACGTAATGGACGAGATCGACGCGGCCCTCGACTTCCGTAATGTCTCAATCGTGGCAAATTACATTAAAGAAAGAACGAAGAATGCACAGTTTGTAATAATTAGTTTGCGAAACAATATGTTTGAGTTGGCCGATCGGTTGGTAGGGATATATAAGGTACGTTATGCTGGTCTTTTTCTAATACATAGGCATCCCTCTCACTTGCTTAACTTAGACGGATAACACGACGAAAAGTATCACCATTAACCCTACTGCTGTTGCCTGATATTAGTGTACATAGTGCGGAGCCGATGGGTATTGGCACTAGTACAAAGATTCCAACCAATTTAATCATAATTTTACTCGATTTAGACTCATGAACTATGGTTTGATCCACAAAATCCTATATAAGTCATCGTCCATTTTCCCAGGCTTTCATCTTTTTCTACAGATATCATCATGCCACCAAAGAAGAAGCAAAAGCTCGAAAGGCTCGAAAAACTCGACAAACCTACTTGCTTACATACCTGCAACAAGACTTCCTTTGCAAAAGCTTTCCTGCCAAACTACCACCAACGGCTTCTAGATTACATCGCCATCATCCATCAACTCGCCGACCACGCTTCCCACGCTCTCAAATTCTACATCCTATCTGCACCAACCTTTCCCACAGTAAATGAAGATACAATCGAAGCGATTCTCTATCTTCTCAACAAAGGAGAGGCTTGGCAGCCAAAAACTGATGCGAAAAAGGCGTTACGCAAATGCTTGTTGCCATACATTTGTCAGTACTGCCGCATCGGCTTTGTTCATCCAAATCTACGAGGCGAGCAGCAGTCAATCAATTACTTGACAGCGAGTATGATGACAAACCTGAAAGTCAATGTTCAAGAGCATTTCATGCAGATGCTCCTTCGGTATATCAATCTGCGGCTCGATGTGAAGGGACAGAAGCAGCAACTGCCACCTAAAAGTGATGTGCGAAAGGCTTTCTTTGCTCGTCTTCGCTACTTGAAGTCAATTTTCCTTTTTGATATTGTGCCCGAGTCACTCGATGACTTGACCGCTGAAGAGAGTGAGCTTCTAGAAGAGATGTGGTCCTTCATTCCCCTTTCCGACCAGCCACTCACATATTCAGTTGCTGTAGACCCTCTCGCCTTCTTCCCTGCCTACTGTCGGTTGTCAAGCCTATATGAAAAGCATGGATTTCGACGGTTCAGTGCAATCCCACTTCGCCGCTCCCTCATCCAAAGCCATGTGCGGATCGACACCGTCATCCTCTACTCTCATATCCTTTGCATCACGCGGCGAGACGCAGAAGCTGTAGCAAAGGTCGATTTATGGATGCACATCTGCAATCTACGTACCAAGGCTTTTCGGTCTCGCCGCGATATGCAGTTTGAAGGCTCGATCACAACGGACGGTACCTCGGTGTCTGTGTATTTGAAACACCCCAACGCCGACAAGTATGGAAAGCGTGGAGCGAGAAAGTCAGCAAAGACCCTAGAAGCTGAGGTGAAGGCAGTATATGTGGAGAACAACTTACCTGCTTGTTGAGCAGAGAATGTTGTCGTTATCGACCCAAACAAGCGCGACATTCTCTACTGCCAGGACGGCAATGGTACAACGTTTCGCTACACCGCAAACCAGCGAGCCATGGAGACAGGCAGCCGTCGGCAGCGAAAGGAACAACAGCAGATGAAGAAGGAAGTGGGAATGGACGTCATAGAATCACGAATACCATCTCACAAGACGATGAACCTCATGGACTTCACTCGCTACCTTCTTGTTCGCCGCGCAGATTCGGATCGTCGCAAGGAATTCTACTCCCATCCCGCCCACACACGGTGGAAGTGGCATTCCTTCATCAGTCGGCAGCGAAGTGAATCAGACCTCATAAGTGCCATGCACAACAAATACGGTGAAAACTTTACCATTGTGATGGGTGATTGGAGCGACGCCGGTCGAACTGCGAGATTTCAGACCTCATCAAAGATGAAAGGTTGGCGCACCCTGTTCAAGCGCAACCGCATTGATTGTTTTCTTCTTGATGAACACAAGACCTCATCTGTTTGCCCTCGCTGTTCATCCTCTGAGTTTGTCGAGAAAGAATTCAAAGAACGACCTCATTCAAGACCTTGGCGCCGTCGCGAAGGCAAGATGGAAAAAGTCCACGGATTGCTGGGTTGTACCAACCCTAACTGTTTGCAGCAAGCCTGGACGATGCGCTACTGGAACCGAGATACGCTGGCAACCTGTAATATGCTGACAATCGTGCAATCAATGTTGGATGGGCACGGTAGACCAGAGGTGTTCAGCAGGGGTGTTCCAGCCGTAGCGTAGATTGGTTAGATTAGCTTATCCGAACTGGTTGTCGCCGGTTCAATTCCTGGTGCGGGTGCTAGTGCCAATACCCATCGGCTCCGCACTATAATTAATACTTATCGACCTGCACAATTTACAACAATATCATTGATTCATGCATGTCCGGACACTTCGGACATGATGACCAAATCCCGACCATCAACGCTTGGTACCAATTTCACACAACGGCCTCCGATGATGACAGCAAAGTCTGCTACAGTGGTCGAGCAACTTGTACAATGGTCTCAAACGTTCGAGTATCGCCCTACCGGGTCCTTTTCGACCCATGCAACAAGCCTTTCTCAACGAGATGCTGAGACGTACGTTATTCATACCGAGCACAGGATACGAAGCCTCGATCTACTCGCAATGTTAAATAAAAAGTTTTGCATGATAGGTTATGTAGGCATCAGCTGGTTCCTATCTGGCAGTATTTAGTTACACGCGTGACAACCCAAAAGTATGGCCTTGCGCAAAACAAGAGAAATATCGCACCGCTGACTCTTGAATGGCAGGCGTCGTAGGGGCATTCGCGATATTTTGCGACAGTGCGTATATCATTTATTACCGGTGGCAGTCAGCTGTATTTAGTTAGTATTTTCAGAACCGCCGAGAACCCAGATATAGTCAACGCTTGTCCAAAGCTAGCCGCATATCGCGTTGGCACATCCAACGTTGATGAACGTAAACGGAAGCTACTTTCTCGTCGAAGTGCGCTGCAAAAGGAGCTGTATGATGCCAAAGCCCAGATAGAACAAGTGTCAATGTCTTGTGGGCAGCTTTCCTCGGATGTGTCACATAGAGGTAACTCTGGATTCTTACTAGTTGGTGGATCTCACCTAACAGATTGATTAGCTCGAAAGTCTTCAACAGCAAAACGGAAATTAGTTCAGCAGCGCCAAAAGATGCAGGTATATCAAGCTTACGGAAAGGAAGTTGGTTTCTACATACACATCATCAAGAGATCCACGGAGATGTTGCGAAGGTTCATTGCTGATATCAAAAATGGAGATAGAAGGTATCCCTCTTTTGACATGTTTGGCTGCCTTGTTGAATTGTACCCATAATACGCGGGCCTTTATCTTTCGGTAGAGTCCACATGTCGTCTTTGCATGTAGGTTATCGAATCCAAGGATGCAGTAATGGCGTTACTGCTTGGTTCTCATTTGAAAACAGGTTAAAACGGAAGAAGCATGTACGCGAGTCGGGGCTATCGTGGAAGAGCTTTTAGTTAGGTAGGCGATGATCCTGTACGATTCCGATGAATGACGCCCTGATTAAATGCTTCTCTCATTCACGCTTTTAGCGCAAGAAACTCCCAGACGGAACGCTTTTCGTTTCTTGAGGTGCGTTCAGTTCGCAGTCATGTTGCACCACCAGCACCTAAATCACTTTCGATGATGAGTTAGGAGAATCTTCTGACCGCTGAGCCCGTGCTAGTCGTCAGAGGTCTGCTGAGTCACCTTCATTCTGCTTTGGTAAAGTTGAAAGAGTCGAATGATCGTGGCACCTTCAACAGATGGTACGTGCATCACCGTATCAGAAAATTGCCCCTTGGTAGTACTGTTAAAACCGAACTGTAAAGCAGCGGCCAGCAGCTATCTGCAGGGCATTGGCAATCACGGTTCGATGCGTATCTCCAAGTAAGATTGCTCGGTGATTTCCGCTATGTGCCAGAGTGGTTTGCCGATATGCTTCTTCAGCGTTTTGCAGGACAGCACGTATGTCGGTATACAGAAGGAAAAAAATTACTTCGCGAGGCGCAAGTTCTGGAGAATAACATAATACAGCTTATGGAGGGGACAGCACCGCCACGTGAAACGTCACAAAGATTACTGTATGTTTTGTGATGAGGTTAGAATGCGACCTCCACTGATCATATCTTACCCGAACTCTACCAGAAGCAACTTAGTTACGGAGAGATGTGATGCTTTTGCTCTTCGCAATCTATTGGAAGAGATTCGATTGCAAAGGTCAATCACGCGGCAGTTACTGGAATCTCAGTTCTCCGCCTGGGCTGACATCCACTGCACACATGCGAGTATTTTGTCGACCGTCAATGAAATGGTATAAAGGTGCACACATGCAATTCTTTTTAGTCCATGCTGAGATCACAGTGATAGGCGCGCGGCCTTCGTGCATTGGACGCTGTCGGAAAGGGTTCAAGAAAAGCCCATGAGGAATCACTATCATGGATCGCGGAGGTGAATTGTATTCTTTCGTGAATACCTACGTGCTGTGCTGAAATCGCATCGTTCTTCGTAGCATGCGAGAAATGACCGTGCACCCAATAAGATTGGCGTTCTAAAACATCAGGTCGATGTTCTGTCCCACAACCTTCTTGGCTTTTGTTACGCTGAATTCAAAGCATTGCTCCCAGTAAACGTATGCAAACCGTTCCAAGCTAGGTCGTTACGGTAATACGTAAACATCGCTCAATGCTCTCGTCGTCCGCGTCGCCTTGCTTACATTGTTATCTGTTACGTAGTACGTCCAGTCGATTGAAGCGTCGTGCTATATCAACCCTCCGGACTCCTGATCGTTGCGAATTGCTGGAGCTGCAGACAGCCATTAACATGCGGCCATACAATGTAAAGAAATGATGGTCCATGAACATACTAATTTGTAGCTCTCTAATGTGCGCTATTTCGTCTCAGGGCCCTGAAAATGTAGTTCACAACATCTCTCGGTTACAAGACGCAGGTGCGATAGCATCCTGGTTGATTGCGATCTCAACCCGTCACCTCACCGTCTGTTCGCAGCTTTGGCTTGGGATATCTCTCTGAATCTTTATCGCAATATTGAAGAAACGTCCGAGAAACGACGTGAGAACCGTTCAACTGCTTTCAGTGTCACTTCGTCTGAGTGCTGATGTTCAGCTAGTTTCCTTGTTACGGAGACATTTGCAATCGCAACTGTTGGATTATAGTGATGACCAGGATATTGTTCAAGTTGTCTCAAGACTGGCAGGTAAGACGCGCTTCATTTGTTCTTAAGAGGTATTCGCTCAAGCTAAACGTGATATAAGCTTACATTGAAGCCTTGAACGCGATGTATTCCAACGAGAACACGCCTCGTGTGAAAGCAAAAGTTCTCCACGCCCATGAGTGCGTTGAATTGTACGAGGAGCTTAAGCTGCTTATGGAAAATAGGTAGATTCTCTGTGTGGGTTGGCAGAGTTGCATCTTCCTTATGATTCTCGTGCGGTACAGGAGCCAACTTTTCCTTGAGACGAGTCACAAGTGCACAGATTACTAATGATGAACCTGCACGTTGTGATTCATTGTATTGATATAAACGCATCCACCAACGATATATTTGGAAATATACCGTTCCCAAAGATTATGATGATACATGCCAGTTGTGGTCTTTTTCTCGAGGTATATCATTCGGTTGCAACCCCGTCGCGGAGGAGCTGGTAGAAAACTTCGGAGCATCACGCCATTCTGACAGCTTGGTGGTGGAGGTTCTACTCTCAACTGAGTGTAGCGCAGACTTTAGAACTAGTTTACAGATGTGCGCTCAGCTTCAATACAAACCCGCGAGTTTGATATCATGGAAATCGGCGGTTTTCTTCTTGTTCAACCACTGTTCGCTAGCTGGATTGAGCTGAAATTCCTCTTTCTTTCCCTCTCTGCGCTGGGCGGACTCATTGTTTCTTTGTAAAGTAAACACAAGACTTGTGAGCTTTGCAGGGCTTCTAATCTATTTGGATTTGGGATTGCATGTACCTGAACCGTTGAAGATCAGCTTCAAAAGTCTCCTTAACCTCCTTATGAGATGTTAAGCCGAACTTGCTGGCCTGAAAATCAAAGTCGCGGTTCCCGTCCCTGGTGTGAACTTGAAGCTTGATATCCCGATACATTGTAAAAAAACCACATACCGAAAAGGTTGCATTCACTGTCGGTTGTGCGAATGGCACATAGATCTCTTGCACGGCCGGCACCGCAGCTGACACCTGATCATCGACAGATATACGGATTAGCGACACGAATGGCAGCATAGATTGTCCCGCGGCTTTTACCTGGGAGTAATCATGTTCGGGATTGGGTAACGCCGCTGACTTTGTTTCTGGTTCCGCCGGAAGTGACGGTTCCTCTTGCTTAGATTCAGTTCGATCGCTGCATGCAATTCAACATCAGTCAAGAGCGGCCTGCTAAGGTAAATGCCAAATCTTCATACCCTTCTCCTTCCCTGAAAGAAGAAGCAGCAATTTAGACACATGGTTGAGAATATTTGAAGCAGTTAATCAGAGGTGCCTTCCCGGTTACCTTGTCGCAGGGAACATGTCGAAAGGAGTTCCGATTGTGGTAGAGCGGGATTTTGCGCTCAGCATCGATCGTGCGCTTTTCGGTCGTCCTTTATCGCTCCTGAGTATTAATATAAAATGTTACGAATGAGCTTAAAAGGTGTGTTCTCGCTAGTTTGAAACATACTCTTCTCCGTCTTCTTCATCCGAACTCATTGTTTCCTCCCATTCTGACAGTGAATGGGTACTTCCTGTTCCGTGTATTTGAACATTATTTCGTCGCAGGTAGCGAACTTGCTCCCTATTGAGCTCTTTGTAGAATGTGTCCGGCCTTTCCTATTCCAGGAATATGGAATACAGAGCATGAGCAGTCAGAAGATCTCTGCGTAAACCGTCCGTAAAGGAAGACTAACCTCCAGAAGTTCGAAAAAGTTTTTACCCATATGTTCCTGAAGCGCAACGGCAACGTACTCAAAAGTTTCTACCAGGAACTGAAGACTGCGAATTAGAACGACCGGATATACACCGCAGCAGAGACATTGACTTACAATGAGCGCATTTGCGGCGTAGTGCTGGCTATCGGCATGTCCCACGTTCGCAATGACATTCAACAGGCCACTAACTACTTGTGATTCAATCATTCTTTCTGCCAGGTCGCGATTGGTCGCAGCTATGACTCTGAGTATGTGGTTCAAATTAACCTGTCATGATTTGTTTATGCATGTTGCAGTGTCGTACGTACCCTAGTAGTTTTGCAGCGTATGCCTGTTGCACATAACTAGATGCAATGGCTTCGTTTTGGGACTTCATTTCATCGGACTTGGGTACAAAACCTCCCCAGTGTCCGGCGTTGAGGGTTTTTCCTTCACTCATGGGTTTTGGGCGACGTCTTCGGTCTGCGAATGAAAACACATGTTACCACCAACATGAGTGGCGTACGTATTGAGCAATGATGTACCTTCGGGGGTTTCTTCTTGCACATCCTCTATGCAAGTTTTTAGTATTGTAATAAGTTGGGATAAGATGACATCTTGAAGGGGGGGACGCTTGATAAGTTCCCGTAGGATCTCGTATCCTGCATAAGTGGAGAAGGTGAAGAGTAGACTTGGGTCATTTGCTGCACTGTCATACATCGCGAGACATGATCATTCCGTACCTTCATATTGAATCTGAATATGAGGGTTCTTCAGTAACGCTATCGTGGCCTCAACAATAGAAGGGTGTACGGCTTGAATGGAAGGCTACTTCGGCGACCATTGTTATTTCAGACTCACTACGCCGGATAAAGCTCAAAAAGTGCGTACCAGCAACATCCGCAAAGCCTGTCCCGCCATTTGCTGTGACGTAGGAGAGGGCCCTTGGGATGTAAGGAGTGATAATAGTGATTTGTAAACTTGCATGAGGAATTTTGGGTTTCCCTGCCATGTTGTGTCGGGAATTAAGTAACATGCACCATAGAAGACAGGAGACAGAGAACACAATGTCTCCACGTACAATCCCGAGCTGATATAGCAAATTTCTTGCGTAGTCTTGAGTGACTTCTGAGCGGGATCGACCGAGGCAATCGGCAATCGCCCGTACACCTAATCATTTTTAGTCGCCTATTCCACCGTGCGGACAGCTGGAGAGCGTACCATAGGACTCGCAAATGAATTCCTTGTACCTCCGTCCTGACTGTGCGACGCTCAATAAGAGTCTTAAGGCCTCTGTCTTATCAGGCTAGTATTGCCATTAGTGAACTAGATTTTTTTCGAGGTCACAAACACTCCCACCTCTTTTACTTGCGAGAGACCAAGAATTTCAAGGACTGTCAAAACTCCACCGACCTCCAAGAACTCGGCCAAAAAACGATGACCACTCGAAGCGGAGACAAAAATGTTAATGGCTTGTAGCTGGAGGGCTAAATTTTGGCCGAGCAAGTAACTGGAATAAGGCAAAATCAACGATCAGATAATATGCTTCCTCCGTGGGCACATTTCTCGGCTCTTACGTCAATCGGAGCCACGCCGTCAGCCGAGTCAGAAACAAGCTGGCACCATTGCTGAATTCGCGCTCCAGCTGCGGACCGGTCTTATTCCTGTTATGATCTACAAAGTCCCGAAGTATCTTTTCTCGGACGGTCCTGGTGCCCTTTGTGCGTGTTAACGTGTGTTGATTGACAGTGAACCTTTCCCCGGTATATCATGACAAACGTACCCGATCCCAGGTCTTACTGAGCTGAATAAAATAACTGCTGGCGCAAGTGGGGGCTAAGGGCTTTCCACTTCTGCAGACCGGAGGCAGCTTCTCTTTTACATCATACTTCGTGTAAGCTTCTGTTAGGCGAGATGTCGATGGTTCAGCTTTCTTCGGAGCACTGCGAGGAATGTCGGAAAGACCACTTTCCCCCAAAGTGTTGAGTACATATTTTGAAGCCGAACTTGGGCGATCGTCATTGATCGCAGTGTTCATTGTATAATTGATCAGAAGGATCTTCCAAAACTGGTCTGGTAGGATGACTTTCCGATCTGCTTACCTCAGCGAGCGCGTTCGTTGCATATCCTTGCTTCATGGTAGGTCCTCTTGCTTTAGACGGTGGAAGTACGGAGTGCGATGCGGATGCTGGTTTATACGAGCATGAGAGGCATAGATAACAGATCACGGACCGTTCCCAAATATTTTCCCCGTTGTCCTTGCGGTATTGTTTCTAAAATGATGATGAGATTTGCTTATAATAAGGTTTGACATCAATGTCAGTTGCAGTGGAATAGTGATCCTACATGACAGCCTCTTGCTCAGGCAGAATAAAGCCGTTTGTTCAAACCGCATGGATATCAAAAAATAACAAGATATGGAAACAGATCAAGCCCCGATTCATTAATCAAGTGGCTTAGCATACTTGATGGCAGTGCGAGATCTAACTTCGATGGTGGCAAGACGTGTGCTTCTGCTGGCTTATCCCTCCTCCTCGCCATCACCGATTCTCCAGCCCCTCTTGCGCCATCGTACCAAGTGCAAAGCAGAAGCTCCGCTTCGCTTGTCATTTCTTTTGCCTCTTGGTGCTTGTATTGTCTATTGCATCGGTTACATTGCTGCCTTCTTTATCCCAGATCGCCCGTGTAATTTGCGACACCACTCAAGCGCTGCAGCGACATGAACTTCTTTGACAGCGAGCTTTCTCTTCCCAAAATACGAGATGAGCTAGTTAGATTAGAGGACAGTATTATTTTTGGTACGTCTTTGAAGGGGCTCGTTCTGAATTCACAAACCTACCAGATGGAGCATGCGCTTATCAGTTTGAAACTTTTCATTAGCAATGATCGAGCGGGCCCAATTTGCTCAGAACACCAATATTTATAAGAAAGGACATTTTAAAGTTGACGGATTCAATGGATCGTTTCTGGAGTATCTTTTGCAAGAAATCGAAGGGGTGCATGGTAAAGCGTGTCCGGAAGTTGCGTTCATTGAAGTCGCAAATGACATTGACAGTACCATCAACTGTTTTCTGTCATTACTATTCAGCCAAAGTTCGAAGATATACTAGGTGCGGTGTCTAACAGACATTGAGAATGCAAAGCGCTCCCCGAGTGGCTAACTTGCATCGCCGTGTTGTCTATGATTCCAGTCCAGATGAGTATCCTTTCAGCAAGAACCTTCCTGACCCCATCCTTCCTCCGCTTCAATACCCACAAGTTCTCGCTCCCAACAACATCAACTACAATGAAAAGCTTATGCACATCTACATCAACAACATTGTTCCTATTATTTGCAAACCCGGCGATGATTCAAATTACGGTTCGGCCGCCACTAAAGATGTTGAGGCCTTGCAGATATTATCGAGAAGAATACACTTCGGTATAGTGACATCAGCATGCAGATGTTCACCACCGCGGCAGGCAGCCTAATGAGCCTGTTTAATGTAGGCAAGTTTGTAGCTGAAGCAAAATTTAAAGATGCGAAAGATCACGACCAATATGTAAGTCTCATCAAGGCAAGAGATCGTGAAGGCATAATGGTAAGGGATAACTTCTTTCAGTGGATTTTCGATAATTTTGAAGAGTCCATTAAATGACGCCATGTTCAGCAACTGTTGACCAATCACGCGGTGGAGGAGAAACTGCTTCGCCGCTTGAGACGAAAGGCTTTGGTCTACGGGCAAGAGATTGACGACGATGCCGGTGATGCAACGTCAGGGCAGCAGACCAAGGGCCAGGGACAGCCACGAATTCCGCACGATGTAGTGGCAGATATGTATGAAAAGTACGTGATCCCGCTTACCAAAGAGGTAGAAGTAGAATATCTCCTCCACCGGCTAGATTATGGGAACTTCCAAACCAAGGGATTAACCCGAAATGGGACACAATGACATATCGAACCTGTGGAAGCAAGGAAATTCTTGTAACATCCGTGTTTCACATCTCACCGTTGGGAGATAGCTGGCCTGACCGTAAATGACGATAACAGACGTAAACAGTGGGAACGGCATACCGCCCTTCTTCAATTATGTAACAAAGGCAAACCCGCCAGACGTAAATACAGAAACCTCGTTCCACCCACAACTACGGTCGCGCTTTCAGCTACTGATGCCTGCAGCAACGATTTTCCCATCCATTCCCGCGCTAAGAACATATCGAGCGTCTGTCCCAAACTTGAAATCCGAAATGTTTGCAGTGTGGTAGGACAGATTGCACAATTCGTCCCACTGTTTCACCAGGTAGATTCTGTGCGTCACAACGTATATGGTTAGCATGGATCGTGCACTGCAGTATTCTTATTCGGAGCAAACCCTACCTCAATTCCTGGCCACATGCTGCACCAATGTATTGTCCACTGAAGTCGAACTGGACGCTTTGTACTCCTGTGCCTTTCGGAGCTTCAATTTCAATGGTCTGGAAGTTTACCAGTTTTCGCAAATCCCAGAACTTGACAACAGCTTCGTCGGCCGCTGAGGTTGCCAGATAGTACCCATTCTCTGAGAAAGAGATCCCGGTGATCTTGCCCTTGTGGCCCTCAAAAGAGCGCACATTATTCTGGGACTTGACATCCCAAAGTCGGACAAGTGAGTCATTCGTACCAGTTGCAAGGATGAGGCCATCAGGGTGGAACTGCGCCGCGGTGTAAGCTGAATCAACGCAGAAAGTATGTTAACAATCCATTGTGTCTGGGACCCGGAAACACCCGGAAACACACCTTGTCCTCCTTCAGATTGTGCCACACGGAACAGAGATCGTCCAGTATCAACATCAAGGAATGCCCATGTACCGTCGGCAGACGCAGACACGATGTAATCTCCAGTTGTATGCAACGTCAGAGCGTTGACTTCGGCTGAGTGGGTCTTGCTGGTATACTTCTCATCAATATGGAATGAATCGTTTCCCCCCTGTTCCACACCGAAGAATTTGACTGTCTTATCCGCACTTGCTGTGAAGAAGTGACCAGAGCGAACGTTGTCTCCATGGCTGTGCCAAATTGTATCATTGATCTTCTTCTTATGTGCAGGCGTCTTGGCAATAAGGTGGTTTCCGTTGCGCCAGTCCACTATGTGTGCTTGACCACTTTGTAGACCTGCAAGGGCCCACTCGCGTGTCTCGCCAGCAAGCTTTCCAGAATATAGATCTAAGCTAAGTGGAGCTTTTATTTCTACTTCCGTAATCTTCGTGAATCCGCGCACCTCGTCTACGGACGCACAGGATGACGCTGGTTTGCGCTTCCGACGAACTTTCGACAGCGCTGCCGCCTTTGCATCCAATTTTGCGTGAACATCTTTGATCAGGACATCATCAGCACCGTGGTGCTCGTCCACTTCCATTCGATCCTCGGGCGCGGCCGACGTTTGGCCAAAGTTGGCCTGAACAGCCGCCAGCGCGGCCCTTGCCTCGTCCCGTTCTTTAATCAAGCGAGCAATCACACGTTTTGCAGCATCATTTTCGTATAACGCATTTGAAAGTTCCTGACGGGCATTATGATACTGTTGCTTGAGTTGGAAGGTCTCCAGCATGACAGAGTCCCATTCGTTTTGCAGAGAGAGAAGAAGGTTCGGAATGGAGCTGGCGGTCGGTGGACGAGGTTTGACAACCTTGTTTGCTATTATATTTTGTCGCAAGTCAGTTCACAATGTTGGGTACGTGGACAACCGGATAGATCTGGCCCCACAGTCTATACTTACTGAGGTTGAGAGGAAGTAAGTCATCCGCACCAAGTTCTTCGCCATTGACGGGATCGCGCCCATTATCGGCAATGTACTTCAGAATCAGCCTCTTTTCGAACAAGTGGCCGGACTTCTTCGAAGCCACCGGCTCCTCAGGAGTTTCACCAGAAACTAGCGGTTGTTGGGTAAGATGCGCGAATGAGTGGGAGTTCCACAGATGATACCGCTAGATAGTATACAACAGCAACGAACTTACGTGCACAGAACATGGTTAACGGTAACCGGACGTCAGAGGTGGATGGTGAATTATTCGAGCGCGATCTCTTTCCGTCTGCACTGTTGGTGTCTCCTCTGGACTGGTTGTCATGGCAATGCAGTAATACGCGCTTATATTGAGGTTATAATGAGATAAGATTTACAATTTTAAGGGATCTTAACATTCCGTATAACCTCATGAATCTGCGACTACAGCTTCAAACGACGGCGAGTAGAGATATCCGCAGGGAGATCAAGCCGTTGACGTTGAAAGGAAACCTATTAAAAACAGAAAAAAAAAGTGAAGTAATCCCCACCGCCCCCAGAGTATTACACCGACGCTATATATGCCTCCCAGAGCGTATCCAATCAAACACATTTCAGTCATCCCTCATTATCCCTCATCACGAGCTGCATCTGTTTCAGCCATTAAAACACCGGCATTTCGTCTGGCAGCAAATCAGCCCACGGGTCTTCAGTAAACGATTTCTTGTAATAAGCTTCGACCCCGTCTTCGATTACCACATCACCACGATCCCGCCCACGCCTCTGGGCACTGCGAGGCATGTCCTCGTCAAATTCATAATCACCAAGATGGCGATGATCGCGGTCATCCGTTCTACGACGCTAATAACAACTCAAGACTCAGTATTTGAACCGCCACGCCACCGCAGGCATATACGCGTACCACGCTTATATGCCCTGCACTAAAAAGGGTTCTCACATTGTATCTCACCTTCTGTACCCCTCCTCCATATTCGCCGCGATCACCATACGGTCTCTTTTCAAATGCAGGACGACCATCATATCCACCACGATGACCCCCACGGCCTCGCTGAGGCCCAAAATCAGAGCGACGATCATGCCCATAGCCAAATCCTCTGTCACCATATCCACCACGACGTGGTGGGCCACCACGGTAACCCATTCTGTCATCATATCGATCATTGAAACCGCCACGCCCCCCTCTGAAGCCTCCACGGCCCCCGCGTGGTCCCCGATCATCGCCATAGCCGCCACCTGGGTAACCACGGTCGCCTCGATACCCACCTCGAGGTTCATGAAAGCCACCTCTGAAACTATCCCGGTCTCCTCTGGAGCCGCGAATACCACCCCTATGAGCCCCACCAGGAAACTGAACATCGGCTCTTGAGCTGGAATCGGGCTCATTTTGAGGCGCTCTGGGAGGCATATTCCCACGAGGATCATCGTCCTTCATAACACCAGAACGACCACCATCATGCCGTTTGGCACTTCCCCTACCTCCTCTTCCACCTCTATCTCCTCGGTAGCCTCCAAATCCGCCGCGATGACCGCCGCCACCCCGAGCTCCCGGAGGCAAAGGCAATGGACTGAATGAACCCTCCGATGGGACGCCTTGTGGAGTTGGATATGGATGGGACTGTCCGTAATACCCACTGGCTTGATGATATTGTTGTGCACCTGCTGCTTGGTATCCGGGTGCTGGTTGTGCTTGTTGCGGGAAGCCGGTGCCTACCTGCGACGCCTGTACTGGGTATTGTTGCTGATAGGGTTGATACTGATTTGCGTACTGCTGTTGATTAGGTTGAGAAGACGGTTGCGGATACTGGACAGGTGCTTGGCTGTATTGGTAAGTGGGAGCCGACGCTGCACCTCCCGTGTGAACCTGTGAATATGTCCCTGCCCATTGTCCTTGTGTACCATATGAAGGAGGATAGTTGGCAGGCTGCTGGGGGTAGTACGGCTGTGGTTGTTGAGTTGGAGTACCATACGCAGAAGCTTGAACAGCAGCTTGGACGGCTGCTTGGCCATATGCAGTTGCACTCGGAGTTTGTGGTGTAGCATAGTAAGACACAGGTGGTGCAGATTGCTGGGCTGCACCATGCTGATAGTAACTCATCTTGAATGTCAGCTATGCGAAAATCAAATGAAAATCGATGGTGGGCAAACAACACCATCAATGGAGGGGAGGGGGATTTTGGAGATTGTTTTGGATCACGTGTGAGAGCTAAGCCATTGATGTCAGCAACGAACACTTTCCCAAACCTTCAACTCCACCCGCATGTTTACGCCCCGTTCCATCATCATTCTTGAATAGATTGCCGACAAGTATTCCACCAAAAGTCCTCCGTGTCAGCGTTGGTGCGGCAATGAGTGACCTCCTTCAACCACCTCCGGGTGGCGGGCCGCCTGACGAGTTTCGGTGCGAACTCCTAGATGGTATACTAGAGGAGCGGTCGCTTACGAGAGTGCCTTGTTGACATGACATATACTTCTATCGCAAATATAGGATTTGCTGTAGTCATTCAAGTTGTAATGGCAAGCATCGCCTTGAGTTCACTCATTCGTATGTTAGTCTATCTTGGTTGTTTACAACCTTGGCAAGGTCACTTACTAGAAATTCTCATAGTTAAGCGCCAACGAGAATACCCTAGAAGGCCATTTGTGGTTTGGTAGGCAACCAAGTCTTCAGTCTTGAAAGGGACCTACCTACCTTAACTTTGAAACCGTAGGGCTCTTGACACAAGTAAGCAAGCTGTGGCGGCTGGGATGGTCCATTTTGCGAACATCGCTATCGCCTATGTATCGGATTCGAAGGAATCCGACAATCCCTGTATCTGGTATTTTCTAAATGTATGTAGCCCATCATGCACCTCTCCCGGAGAGATGACGCTAATGATAACATGTGATTCCAGATTTTGTTGGACACAACCCTTGGTGTGGGGATCCTTGCTCTTTTTCTTCACGGCCTCCATTACGCCGTCGACTACCTCAAGATTCCAGATATGAAATCAGGCCATTACGGCAATCCACCAAGAATATCAGCTTGGTTTCGACAACTCCTTCTGTTTATCACTGCTTGGTTTTTTGTCAAGCTCACCGTCGTGTTCCTTCTCAAAATATTCCCCTTCTTTGCTGTGATCGCCGGTTGGCTATTGGATCCGCTGGTGCACTCTGGAGATACACGACTACAAGTCGTGGTCGTAATGCTGATATTTCCTCTGATAATGAATATCATCCAAGCATGGCTGATTGACATGGTGATCAAGGGAAAGTCGCAGAGAGTGAGATTGCGGTCTGGAAGTGTGGGCAATGAAAGTGAGGTGGATAGCTTGGAGGATAATGAGGACTTGGTGGAGGATGTTGAAGACCACCTGGGCGATTTTGTACGGATTGGTGGGGAAGATACAGAGCGTGGAATAGGGCCGGAGGAAAGAAGAGGCCGATTGACGAGGCATTCAAGTGGCTCAAGCCAACCTTTACTCAAGGTGCATAAATCACCAAGCAGAAAATCGCCAACGCAAAGCCATCCGGGAAAGCGAACACCATTCGGGAGTCCTAGTGATGGCTATTCACCCGTCGAAAGGCAGGATAACACCGTGGAATATGTTGATTTGGATGAGCCGGTGGATGTGGATTTTGATGTACCGAGAGCATGAGTTTCATTAGATATTTCGGAAGGCTGGACCTCATAACGCCCGTATCGATAGATAGTTTGTTTGGTAAAAGCCAAAAGGAACATTCTCGTCACAGTGTATCTAAAAGAATCTTTCTATTTTTACATTACAGCTAAGGAATCAACAATCCTTCCTAGGGTATGCCCCTTGCTCATCTATTTACAACTGCTTAGCGAACGCTAGCTTCACGCTTGAGCCTCTGCGAGGGCTTGAATGTAGCCATTGCCTCTCCATACTATAAAGAAGTCGCATGATTGTTGGCAAAGAACAAAATAACAGTCCAAAGTCATTTGAAATAACCAACAGCATACCGTGAATAGATCCAGGTCGGTCATCTTGAGCTGGCGATAAGCTGGCTATTGTGCCCTCGAAATTGGGATCTGGATTCCAACTAGCGCCAATAACCGGTGCCCTGTTGTGACACGTTACTAAGTGTCCATAGTTATAAAAGCACAAACTGACTGCCGGCTGCATACCCGTGTAGAACATGTCGTTGGACTACTTGTGGCTTCTATTTCGTACCATGGACGATAAACACGAGTTTTCGACAATCTAACGAAAACGCCCATAATAGAAGTTGTTACGCTACCTCCTTATGGTGAATAATCACTCTCCCGTCCGTGCTCGAGGACAAAAATATATCCTGCAGATGCGGGCACCACTCAACGGCTGTCACTTTGTCATCGTGGGTAAACTGCTTCACGGGCTGAGATTGAAAGACAATGTTCATAAGAACAGATCAGTCATCACATGTGGAGCACTTCGGAGTCTTAAAGTGCACTCACCGTGTGCTTGCCCCTGATGCCAGATGTTACGAACAGAGGAAATATATTTAGATGTGATTCGTAACAGCGAACCAAACACAAAGGAAATGGTCCCAAGAGTTGAATGGTTCACCCTGTTCTCAAAAACGACATGATCACGTACCTCATGTCCCACATTCTGACAGTGCAATCATCGGAGCCTGAGAGGACGAGATATTCAGTCCTGGGATGACATTGCAAGGCAGTGACGTAACCTCTGTGTGCCCCTGTGATCTAGCGACGGATGGTCAGGAATATCAAGCATTACATTTAAGCATTGGAATGCAGTCAGGTAGTATTACCAAACTGCTAGCGCTGCTCCTGCCCATTCGGATATCTATACAGTTCAGACTTCCCTCGTCCGTTGCGGCGGTTATGACTCTGGCGGATCGGTCATGTATACTTGTGCAAGTAATCCTTCCCGGCAAGCCGACATCATGGCTGGCCACGGGTAACATGGCATTACGGTGATGAAGCGTGTCAGAGCCGTCCACGTCCCAGATGTGCACAAAACCATCACTTCCTAACGGAGGGAAGAAGCTCTGAATTTCCGAAATGTGAATCGAAAGACTGTACTAGTGCCGTACCTCCACTGACTACCTTTCTTTCACCGACGTCTATGCGTCCTGAGAGTTGCCCACTCTTTATCTTCAAGCTATTTACATTGGCATGTGAGTGCATTGCTCGATCCGTTATCGACTGTGGGCCTACCTCATGGTAGTTTTTGCGTCGTTCGTAGTCCGAAAATCCCACACAGACAGAAATGAACCTTCGTCGGAGGTTATAAGCAGGTTTTCATTCGGCAGACACCTATGATCAAAAGATTCTTAAGCTTCAGCAACTCGGCACATGAGACAACGATTGGGCTGACCTAATGCTGACCATGGGATGCTCAGGACACTTTATGCGCCCTTTATTGCGAATGTGCTTTACACTTCATTACTTACAGCTCGACTGAAACCATTAATAGCTTTACCCATGGCTTACCAAAGTTTGAGAAGTGACGGTGCTGCGGAAAGCGGTATTAAGGGTAGATTGCAGGTTTTCTGCTCGACGAGGTCGGTAAAGCTCAGAAGTGAAAATGCCCAGCTGAGGATATGGTGCGCCTTCGGCTGGAAGAACATTTGTACTTAGGTCAATATTAAGCCAAACACAACTATAGATATTACCAACGAAAATCTTCTGCTTAACAGGATCATCCATTAGCTCCGGAGCTCCCCACGTAATACATTGGAAACGATCTTGCTGCAAATCTTGGCAATAAAGAAAATTATAGGCAATTGGTGCTATCAATTGGGGAGTAGGATGACGGGACCTATCCACTAATAAACATTTGCTTCGCAATTGTTTTATTGTCAACTCCACATTTGCTAATTGCGGATTGGTGGCAGTCGGTAATTCGCAATGTTTTGTCCGGAAAGTTTCGGCTTGAGTGCTCTCCAAAGCCGCGGTTCCAACTGTAGCAGGAGCGGAAGACGTTGAAAGTGATTCCGGTATTGACGAGACTTTCTTTTTGTCCTCGGAAACTACAATGATCCTCTTTGACGGTATCATTCCATCATGCGGTCTGCGGAGTTGCTTACGCCTTTCGCTCTGGTAGGCCAAATTTGGGGGTGGGGTTTGGGCATGAGACTGAGATGTACCAGCAGGCCCCAAAGGAGGCGCACGGGCAAATGCCGGTGATGGTCCTGTTGATTGCCCACTTCTCTGGAGGTTCTGAATAGCCCGCCCGGAAATATTCTGCGGCACAGAAATGCCAATGGGCCGGACCGGTCGCAAGCCTCTGGGTTCCGCATACAGTGCTGGTCTCAACCGGCCGTTTCGAACAAGAAGTGAGGTCGTCTCCTGCAATCTCTGCTGAATACGGTATCGAATACCTCAATGAACATCAAAACTGATCCTGGGCTTACTTGAATTGCTCTCTGTGCGGCACTTGGTTCACTATACAGTACTTGTGCTGTGTAGTCTGGATAGATTTTCATTAAGAGAACTACTCCAAATCTTCGATAGATTTCCCATAGTTCCTGTACGCAGATACATCGACTGAGCTGTGTGGGTAACAACACGCTGGCCCTTGACAGAAACAGTACCTTTGCAGTAACGTCGCTGGGAAGTCCTGATATTCTGATTCTTCCTTCATCCGAGTAATCTTCGGGTCTGTACACAAGTCATACTGATTCATCTATATTGCTCGGCCCAACCATAGATGTGCCACGACATACCGCTCTACCTGTTGTCATCATATGTGTAAGGATTACAATAAGAACTGCAATCAGCCGAATTTAGCAGTACCTCCAAGCTTATTATGTGATTGTCTATATCCTGATAGTTCAAGTCATTCAAGATTCTCATAGCCTGTCAGTCCGTAACAATAGATCGAGTTACTCGAAGTCCGAATTGCCAATGTATTGTCTTAGAGTTAAGGAGCAGCCACCTCAGATTTCTGTAGCGTCAGTACTGCCGTATAAGCGTCGCCAGATTCCTCTCGCACAAAAAACTCTGTCTGTCGTGGGCATCGCAGTAGCCCTTTGAGCCTCTCCATGGGAAGACCTTTTGGGACATTGCGGACCAATAACGACGTGCTAATCAATAAGGAAGTTTGCTGCCGCTTCCATTTCTTGCTCATCGGCGGGCGTCTGCCGTCATATCTTGTTGAATATGGTCGGTGCGCCCGGGACGAGCCGCGCGGTGGGTGATGTCGCGACGGACGTTTCATATAGTCATTTGCGAGATCTCTCGCGATGACGAAGGAGGTGAGGTCTGAGGTGGTGCTTGATCATGTGATAATGGCACAGTCATCATCAGTTATTGACGAGGTAAGCCTCAACTCAGCAGTATATCTCAAGCTTACGGATGGCCATCTGCACCTGATGAAAATAGCGGGACTTGTAGCAAAGGGCGATATAGTGGGATTGCGGACTATACTGGAGCAGAAGCGGCGTTTTGGAAAAGACCAGGCGACCGATGATGAAGGCGAAGATATTAATCGGTCAACAGCTGACGGGCGAACCGCGCTACATGTTGCCGCAAGCACGTCAAATCTCGAATGTCTAGAGCTCCTCTTATCACAGGTAGGCCCCCTTGTATGCTACGTATATTGTGTAAGTGCTCAATATGATGCTCTCTTGATAACAGCCTACAGTTAATGTTGACGCGCAGGATGTTAACGGCTCAACCCCACTACACTTAGCCGCGGCTTGCTCAGAGCTGGCAGCGGTACGGTCATTGGTTGCTGCGGGAGCCAATGTTAATGCCGTTAATGTACACGGGAATCGGTGTGTTACAGGTCGCCTGCATGACGGATAGCCATAGTATTGTTGACTTGAGAATATTCTCGTAGACCTGTTGACTATGCAAAAGATTCGGAAGTCGAGGCATTCTTGACAGGCAAGTTGTGATGTATATTGGATCCCGAAAAGTATAGAACCATCTCTGAACCTATAAGTCTCACCATGCAGGGAAAATGGCAGCAGCAGCGCCCCCAGTGCCACCACAGGTGCGGTTGCGGTCTCACCGCTGCAATTAGATTCCAGACCTGGTGTTACAGTACTGACAGAGTGTCTTGGGGACTTTGTAGCGAAAGAGCTCCCATCTTATCGAGCTTGAGTCTGAATTACCTGAGGACATCACTCGGCTTAAGGGATTTTGCATTGATTTGATTATCAGTCAAAGCGTGTTCAGAGAGCGCTGCAAGGTCCGTCTGGGATGGAATGGTCATAAATTTTGAATTATACTCACCGTTTTTATCTAGGAAACCATCAGGCAACTGATAGAGGAAAAGCACGTCGCATTGCATAAGAATCGACTTTTGGAGGTAGCGTATCAGCTCTCTCAAATTGTTGATGGAGCTCCATGGCTTACATCACTCATTCTCCTAGCAAGCAGCGGGAATTCAAGATAGGGAGACAAGCGAGCGATTCATTGATCAACTCCAATATCTACAAGATGAAAACGAACGACAAGCTGCCACTATAGCTTATCTTAAGGTACTCGCACGCCAACCGGCGGTGCATCCCATGACAGATCAATTGATACCACGAAAATATCGTGCAGTTTTCATTCATCGTCATCCTTCTCTTCCTTTATGAAAGAAAAGATCAGTATACAAATGTTCGAGCATGCAGCCGCACAGCAGGACGAATATTATAGAAAGAACCTTGCAGACCTGACGAAGCAACATAACGAGCAGCTGCAGGCAATTTTTCGCCGTAATGAAGAGACGGAGAAAGCATTTCTGGTATGCATCCGCCCCGTGCATATCCCGCTCCGGATTTCCTCATTGACCTCCCTTCTTGGGATTCAGGCATATCAAAAATCACATTCTGAGGAGTTGGCTGAGCTTGCCAAATTGCGAACCGAAGTAGCTTCAGGCAAAGGAAAGCCAATAACCACGAAAGGCAGCAATGCTTCTTTGGAGGTAATGTTGAGCGCATCTACGTTTCAGACTACTCCTATTCTAATATATTTACCGGAAGGCTGGGCTGCAAGCAGAAGTGCAGAGTTTACGGAAAGAGCAAGCGAATACCGTCGCCGAAAAGCTAGCGCTGGAAGAAAGGTTGAAGGTACCCATCTGTCTGCCCATCGCGTAGTTCACTGTGAATGATCTAATTTCATGAATTCAGCTAACAGAGAAGCTGAAATCTATGGCAGAGCAAGAGAACACCAATCTCCGCAACGATATAGGCAAACTGCGAAAGCTGATGCAAGAAGAGGTATCCCTGTTATTGTCCCGTATCTTTGGCCGGCATCGATCTTACGTGTACTATCTGCATGATGACGGATAGATGCTAAAGCAATTGCAAGAAGCTCGTGAGGAGCAGGACCAGATGGACGAATCGAGTGGCAATATCGTCTTTACTAAAGGAGAAGGTGGACAGAAGCGGCTGAAAGGTGCAACACCCACAAAACTTCTTGAGCGGCTACTAGATCCGGCGGTGCATGGTATGGCATTACAGGCGGACATACGCTGGCTTCCTGAGTAGCTTAACTGACCCTTGTGTTAGACCACCACTTCCAGCAGACAATTCTTTTGACGCATAAAACATTTATAAGTAGCGCGGCCCTATTAGAGTCTATTGTTAGCCGGTTCCGTGAGGCTGCGTCCGGACTACCCGAAGAAGCGCGATCCCAATCTCCCGTGTTAAGTCGGTATGTAGTGCATCTTCGGTTTATGACTATCAATAAAATTTTGACGTTTTGGTCGATCAGGATCATTAATGTGCTCAAGTTTTGGGTCGAGCATTACTGGAGTGACTTTGCCGACGATGCTTCTTTAATGCAAGACCTACGAGCTTTCACCGACGATTCTACTCATAATGAAAATCTGATATCTAGTCTACGAAGCGCAATTAAGCGAAAGGTGCGGCTGTGCTTCATTTTACACTTGAAGGGCACCTTAATAATGGTAGAGGCTACTGTTGACAGTCAAATTCTGATACTCCCGTTGTGGACCCAACTACTGCGCCGCCAAAACCTATCCTCCCCCGCGCGCTAGCAAAGCGGTACTCGATTGACGGTGCACTATTTACCGGCCGCCCGATTTTGATGGGTGGTTTGACGGTCGGTCTAGGAGTGGATCGACCGACCAGCTGGGCTCCTTTCAGTGGCAAGGGCAAGCTTCCGGAGGGATTTGAGGATGTGAAGATCAAACTTCCCGATATGGAACCGTTGGAAGTTGCACGACAGTTGACTTTGATTGAATTTGAGCTTTTTCGGGCTATTAAGGTAGGACTGTGATCCTCCGTTCCATCGGCGTTGGCCAATTTGCGGTCCCTCATCCTCTTCTACTTGTTTTAGTCAAGAGAGTTTCTAGATCTTGCCTGGATGAAGGACAGTAAGGAAACTGAAGCACCGAATATCTTACGAATGACGCGCTGGTCAAATCATGTTGTGCAATGGATCGTTACGGAGATAGTTAGCGTGAAGGAAAGCACAAAGGCGCGGGCGGCCGTTTATGAGAAAATCATCATGCTTGGCCACGTGAGGAGCACTCTTATCTTTGACAATTATGTCTTCTACTTGTCTAACGCGCCGGTTCACAATGGCTTATTAGTATTTCCAAAAACTCAAAAACTTCAACGGGGTGAAGGAGATTGTAGCTGCGCTCCAATCTGCGTCTGTTTATCGTCTCAAGAAAACCAAAGAGGTAAAATGTATCAGCGATGGTTGCCAGTGAGAAGGTATTAAGACGCTCCCTAGGCAATGGGGAGCAAGCACCTCCGAATCTACGATGAGCTGGCAAGACTGGTGTCGAGTGAGCTCAATTACAAGAACTTGCGTGCCAAGGTGCGAGCGACAGATCCGCCGCTAATCCCATTTCCAGGATTATACCAAGGAGATTTGGTATTGTTTAGTACACTGCGTCTAGATTCCCCATCTTGTGCTTATGACGCATTTGACAGGTTTTCCTTGATACATGCCACAAGGATAGACTTGATGGCGGCCTTGTAAATTATCACAAACTCGAAAGTATCGCTCGATCTGTCCTGGAGCTAGAGGTTTGTAAGACTCTTTTTACCTATTCGCCACATGCATTAACAAACCGGATTCGATGTGTAGGCATATCAGCAAGTACCTTATTCCCTAGAACCTATACCCGAAATTCAAGACTATATACGCCATTATCAACTGCTGGACGACGATCAGGCATATAATGAGTCCTTGGCATGTGAGGCGAAAGCAAACTGAACAGTGTAATTTTATGGAATCAAGTATCTATCCTTCTTTAGAGCAACGTTTCTATTCATGACTACTTTAACTACAATGTATATCAAAACCACTTTCACGATGAAAGGAAAGCACTATCTAACAAAAGTCTAACAAGAAAAACATGAGGCCACAGGCACAGGATTACATAGTCAAAGTGAGAGAAGTGTACGGGTGAAGTGGAATATGAATGGGGAAGGCGGACCAAAGGGGAAAGTAATGCCAGCATCATCTAGTTCCCCACCATTTACCTTTCTTGATGCGTAGAAAACAGGTGGACTACATGATCGTGCAACCACAGCACCCTTTCTCAGTCTCGTTAGTGACTGATCTGTTTTGTGTTGAACGAGGTCCAGGTGCAACTTTTGCATCGGTAGACATAGAAGGAGATGTTAGTGATGGAACTGACAGGGTGGAGGCAATCTCAGAGTCATTTGGAAGTCTCGGTAGGTCATTCTTTGCATGTTCAGCGCGAGACTTGGCTTCCTCTGCCGCCATGAGACGCTCCAAGTCCGCTCGCCACGCATCCGAGTCCAGGAGCGCCATGTCTTTGACTGTCTTTTTGCGTTGTAGCGCTTCCTGGAGGGCCAATTCGGCAGCCTCTTCCGCCAGGCGTTGCTCCTCTTCCTCTCGTTGTTTACGATCTTGGGAAGTTTCAGATCGGGGGTTAGATATTGTCGAGCGCGTTCGTTCCGCTTCCGCTTCGCGTTGAGCGGCTTCCATTTCCCGCAGCTTGCGGGCTTCCGCTTCTTGTTCCCGTCTCTGAGATTCGGCAAATTCAGCCTCAGCGGCTGCTCTGACACGCTCGGCCTCTTCCCTCGCCCGTTCGGCAACCGCCTGTAGCAGAGCCTCTTGCTCAGGGGTTAGTTGTTCCTTGGGTTTGGGCTCTTCCGGCTGTTGCTCGGCTGCCGGTGCCAATATTTCGCCACTGTCCTTCTTATCTTGGGGAATGACAGGAAGATCCTTCTCAACTTTCGGTTGTGCTCCTGCGTGGGCGGCGCGCTTTGTTATTTGTTCCTCCTGTAATCTGCGCGCTTCTGCCTCTACTGCACGCTGCTCGGCAAGCTTTCGCTCTTCTGCTGCGTGACGCGCTTCCTCTACAGCTCGCGCTGCAGCTAACTTGCGCTCTTCTTCAAGCCGGAGGGCTTCTTCCTCTGCCTCCTTCTTCTTCCGTATAGCTTCCTCTTCGGCATGCTTTCTTGTCAGGTAGGCCTCGCGCTCCGATGGCGACATTTGCTAACAACTATTATTAGGGACAATGCACGTGATTACCTATTGGTGAGAGTACGCACCTTGACTCTGCGTTCTTCCTCGAAGCGGGCCATAGCTTCGTGCTGTTTTCGCAGCTTCTCCTCACGTGCCCTTTCTTCCTCCTTACGAATTCGCTCTTGTTCTTCCTGCCGAGCACGCTCTTCTTGGATCTTCTTCTGCTTGGCTAGCTCCAATTTGGCGAACGCTTCCTGCTCTTTTCGCTTCAACTCAGCCAGCCGCTCTTCTTCTGCACTAGATGCATCAAGATTGTTCGATGAGCAAACAACAAGATGGCACTTGACAGTCTTAGCTACGTTACCGTTTGGCTGCCTCCATTTTCTGTCGCTCAAACTCCGACATTTTTTCCTTCTGTTTCAACAAGAGCCTCTCCCTCGCCGCCTCTTCCTCCTTCCTGGCCCTTTCTTCTTCGTCTTTTCGCAACTTTTCCTCAGCCTGGAGTTTCTGTTTCAGAATTCTCGCTTTCTCGAACATTTCAGCCTCCTGCCGCTTCTGGGCTTCCAGAGCTTCCTGTTGTTTCCGACGAAGTTCCTCCCGTTTGGCGATTTCGAACTGGTTAAGAGTTTGGGTGCGAGTGGCCGGTGGTATGATTTTCGAATCACTGTATATCCCATCTGTCAATTATGCCACACAGTCGTTTTCGCTCTTACGCATTCGCAACCTTGAAAACCTACCCAGCAGTCGCATTATCCGTCACCGACGGGACCGTCCGCTTCTCAGCATGCTCGCCCTCTGGAGCGCCCGCTAGAACACCGCCGTCATCTTTTGGCGGAGTGTGGGGCGGCAAGACTGGCAAGTCTTTGGACGCTATTGGTTCAACCAGCGCTGGGGTGGCAATCCCACTGTCGGTCGGCACCGCAGTCATCTGAGTTTCCTCCTCAAGCGTGATCTCAGAGATGGCAGGTGTTATCACACTGGTCTCGGTCTGGTATGAACTTGTATGAGCTTTCCACGAATACACTTTATGCGGTGCGCGGAGGTGTGACAACGGCGGCAACTGATTGCGCTCTTTTTACTCACCATTGTGCCTTGTGCTGTCCTGTCGCAGGAGCTCCCTCACGCCCTTGGAAAGACCCTTTGAGGTATGAACGAACCAAGCCGAAATGCCCCTTCGTCACAAAAGCTCTCAGCAAGGGCACGGTCAACAGGTGCGTTTTGCTTTGGGCCGTTGGATCTTAAACGGTTTCCTTTCCACCAAAAAGGGTGCAAAATGCGCGTCAGTCACGTGTCAGCGGAAGCCAGCGATTTTTTGCTTAGCTAAGCAAGTTTCCAGGGTCTCTTTACGGGGCATTTTGTTTACAACCTAAAAATGCTTTCAACTCGTCGTCTTTTGATGCCGACGTGTTGGAGGCATTGAGGGAAGCGACGGGTCAACAGCCTCAGAAATGGAATTCATGAAAACAGTCTTTGAAAGAGACAGGACGATCAAAGCAGGTTGGAGGACGTCTCGACTACCAACCATTTTACAGTGGAGGCAGCCAAATGGGCAAAAACGGTGGCCGTCGTAGCAAAATGTCAACTCTTCGTTGGAGTAGCGGAGGATCGAACTCCGGGCTTCCTGCATGCGAAGCAGACACTCTACCACTGAGTTACTACCCCATTGGAGCTTGGCGAAATCTTTTGTAGCTTGTTTTGCTGTCTTTCACAACATGTACACATCAAAAAAATGAGTCTCGAGAAGATGAAATGGAGTAGCGGAGGATCGAACTCCGGGCTTCCTGCATGCGAAGCAGACACTCTACCACTGAGTTACTACCCCATCACGAGAAATCCCTGCTCAACGAATTGATGACAATTTTCTAATGAGTAATGGAAATGCATAGAAAACCATCGAACATTACGCCTATGATTCGAGTGCATTGTACTGAGCTTAGCACTAATTAACGCGATTTTCCTCGAACCTCCTCGAACCTTTTTCTGCGAGATTCCCCTGTTGGCCCTTCGTAATAAAAAGGAGGCCTTTGACCGTCGCCCCCTCCTCTTCCCAGACTCTAGAATTTCCTGCTAGCTCATCTCTAGCTTTCTTCCCTCCAATCCGCTTTTTGTTTATCCCCCACAAATACACACACCACAATGTCTGAGACAGAAACCTTTGCTTTCCAGGCTGAGATCTCTCAGGTAAGGATCGACATCACACAAATGTCACACTTTCTGCGCACGTCACACTTGCCGATGCTGACTTTCTTTTGTTTGTTCACAGTTGATGTCCCTCATCATCAACACCTTTTACAGCAACAAAGAGATCTTCCTTCGTGAGATCATCTCCAACGCGTCAGATGCCCTCGACAAGGTCCGATACCAATCCCTCACAGATCCATCTGTGTTGGACTCTGAGAAGGAACTCTTCATCCGCCTTACCCCTGACCGTGAGAACAAAATCCTTGACATCCGCGACTCTGGTATCGGTATGACAAAGGCTGATTTGGTGAACAACCTTGGTACCATTGCAAAGTCTGGTACCAAGGCGTTCATGGAGGCCCTTCAGTCTGGTGCCGACATTTCCATGATTGGTCAATTCGGTGTCGGTTTCTACTCTGCATACCTGGTTGCCGACAAGGTACAAGTCATCACCAAGCACAACGACGACGAACAATACATCTGGGAGTCTGCCGCTGGCGGTTCATTCACCATCACTCGCGACACCGAGAACCCATCGATCGGCCGCGGAACCATTGTTCGTCTCCACATGAAGGAAGACCAATTGGAGTACCTTGAGGAGAAGAAGATCAAGGACATTGTCAAGAAGCACTCAGAATTCATAGGTTACCCCATCCAACTTGTTGTCGAGAAGGAGGTTGAGAAGGAGGTTGAGGACGAAGAGGCAGCTGAAGAAGAGAAGAAGGATGAGGAGGACAAGCCCAAGATTGAGGAGGTTGAAGACGAAGAGGAGAAACCCAAGAAGAAGAAGACCATCAAGGAGAAGACAAAGGAGACTGAGGAGCTCAACAAGACAAAGCCCCTTTGGACGCGCAACCCCGATGACATCACCAACGAGGAATACGCTGCTTTCTACAAGTCGCTTTCTAACGACTGGGAAGAGCACCTTGCTGTCAAGCACTTCTCTGTTGAGGGACAGTTGGAATTCCGTGCTATCCTCTTCGTTCCCAAGCGTGCACCTTTCGATCTTTTCGAGACCAAGAAGAAGCGCAACAACATCAAGCTCTACGTCCGCCGCGTGTTCATCATGGACGATTGCGACGAGCTTATCCCTGAATGGCTCAACTTTGTCAAGGGTATTGTTGACTCTGAGGACTTGCCTCTCAACATCTCCCGTGAAATGCTTCAACAGAACAAGATCCTCAAGGTCATCCGTAAGAACTTGGTCAAGAAATGCCTTGAAATGTTTGCCGAAATCGCAGAAGACAAGGAGAACTTCACCAAGTTCTACGAGGCCTTCTCAAAGAACATCAAGCTCGGTATCCACGAAGACTCTACAAACCGCACAAAACTTGCGGAGCTTCTTCGCTTCCACTCCACAAAGTCTGGTGATGAATTGACCTCATTGAAGGACTACGTTACCCGCATGCCCGAGAAGCAAAAGAACATCTACTACATCACCGGTGAAAGCCGCGTCGCTGTGGAAAACAGTCCATTCCTTGAGGTGCTCAAGAAGAAGGGCTTTGAGGTTCTTTACATGGTTGACCCCATTGATGAGTACTGCGTGCAACAACTCAAGGAGTTTGACGGTAAGAAGCTCATGAGCGCCACCAAGGAAGGTCTCGAGCTGGAGGAAGATGAGGAGGAGAAGAAGCACATTGAGGAGCTGAAGGCTGAGTTCGAAGCGCTCTGCAAGCAAATCAAGGACATCCTTGGTGACAAGGTGGAGAAGGTTGTCATTTCGAACCGTATCATCAACAGCCCTTGCGTCCTCGTCACTGGCCAATACGGCTGGTCCGCGAACATGGAGCGTATCATGAAGGCACAAGCCCTCCGCGATTCAAGCATGTCCGCTTACATGGCGAGCAAAAAGACACTCGAACTCAACCCTGATCATTCCATCATCAAGGCCCTCAAGTCAAAGGTGGACGCTGACAAGAACGACAAGACTGTGAAGGATCTCACCCAGCTGCTCTTTGAGACTGCTCTATTGGCTTCTGGGTTCTCTCTTGAGGACCCCTCTGGCTTTGCCAGCCGTATCCACCGCATGGTGAAACTTGGTCTTTCCATTGACGAGGAGGAGGCAACAACATCAGTGGATGATGACCTCCCACCATTGGAGGAGGCAACTGCTGAGAGCAAGATGGAGGAGGTTGATTAAGTATGGTCGATAAAATGAACATACAGTGGCGGGGGGTGTGTGATTGTTCTTATTTGGGGTGGTTGAGTAGGTAGATATTGTAAATGTTATTCGCGGTCGAAAGTCCCAATGTCGTTTGGGAGATTTTGTTAATACGATATCGCATTTCCTCTTTATGTCTTTTTTAATGTGGGAATGGAATGGCCGTTTAGCATTTGAAAGGCGCAGCAGCAGTTCAACCGCGTTGCTTGAACAAAAAGGACAGATCTCGGGTACGCTTAACAAACCATAGAACTATCACAACAAAAGTTTACCGCCAACAGCAGAGAAGGGTAGTCCAACGGTAATAAGACTAGCACTCTTTGCTTCGTCACGCACTCAACGTCGAGTTGACTGCAAGCACAACCAATTCCGCAAATCCGCATCTCTCCCTAAAACGTCCACCGAATCGCATAAATGTCCGCACCAGCAGATGCATCAAAAACCCTTGCCTCCGCCAACCGCTTCTCCCCCGTAGCCCTTCGCAACAACGCAGGAGTCCTCCAGTATGCGCGTTCTTCCCTTGCCTTTATATCCGGTGCCGCAGCCGGCATCCTGGGTCTAGAAGGCTGGCTCCACGGATTCCTCTTTTACGTAGCCTCTTCCCTCGTTCTCTCCCTAATCTTGTGGCTAAAGACCGGATTTAACCCAAAGCGCTACTTTCCCACACCGGATATGTTGTGGGTACATGAAGTGGCTGGAAATGCATTCAGTTACTTGTTGTTTTGGACGCTGGCGTATGGACTGGTGCATGTGTATGATTGAGAGTTGTTTTCTCTGGGAGGGGTGTGGCTGGATGTCATAAAACGGTGCAATATATCTTACATCTCAAGGTTGCATTCTCTTCCAGACATTCACGAGTATTGCTCAAACCGATTGGATTGAAATTTTCTACACAGCTAACGGCCCCAGCAAACATTTACATCACCTATATATCCTCATCCATATCCTCATCCTGCAAGGAAGCCTGGGTAGTAACATGAGCGTTAGAAGGCAATTTAAAAAAGTCTGTGGAATGAACAGGAAACCTACTTTTGCCGCCCTCTCTGCCTCAGCCGCAATCTCTTTCGGTACAAACTCATGCCTCCCTTTTGACTCCTCGCAAACCCAGCTGAGTTCCAATTCAAAGTCCTTGTCTTTTACGTCGTCATGAACAGTGTAGATACTGTTGTAACAGAAAGATAGTGAGAAACATTCCATAACTCTTTACTCATTTTAATTCTCACTCACATTCGGGCGGCTTCCTTCACTGCCTCGCGGCAGCTCAACTCGGTGAGTTTCAGCTTTTCAATTTCCGTTTTCGCGACCTGACGACCCTTTCCTATTGCGCACCCATAAAAGCCCTTACAAAACGAGCGGATTAGCATACGTGATGTAAGATGGTTTGTTCTATTGGGGTACGCACATAGTATACTCCTGAAGGTTCGATATTGTACATCACAGGGCCGTCTTTGTCCACCGTAGCAACAATGGTACTAATACCAAAAGGTCGCACACTAGAGTATAATGTGTATGCTTGCACATACTGTCCCAACCGGTCCGCAATCATCTAAGAGAGTTTAAGGTTGATACATGGCATGTGCTACAGATACGGCGGGTTTCATATGCTTCGAACCTTTCCGGGAATCGGTGATCTGTAGATGTCTCGATAACTCTGCGCCTCTTCTCTCGCCCGATTCACAAGGTGTCGTGCATCCGCTAAAAATCCCGCAGTTGCCTAAAGAACAATTTGATAAGCTCCATCCAATATGTTACGCGAAGCGGCTGGCAACGTACAATTCCTATGTGAGTGTCGGCTGTTTGAATGCGTTTGTTCGCCCCAGGCACAAGTAGCTTCGACTGGATAAGCTTCTCTACCGCCAGTACTACCCCATCTTTACAACGGATACCAATGCAGGTGCTACCATAGAGCGAGTAAGAGCGTCAGAATTATTGCAATAGTTCTTTGTGCCACAATTTGGACCCAACGTGGCCTATACATATCCATGAACAGACACGCACCCACTGTTCTCCACAGCTTTGCCAGCATATTCGACTTGGAAAATCCGGCCGTCGGGTGAGTACGTCGATGCGGAGAGATCGTACTGCACAACACGGTGCAAGGGTTAAACATGAACGGCGAGCGGCATTTTCAAAAGCGAAAAACAGCAACATACTCCTGTCCCAATGGATGTCATGACTCAATTAATGTACAGTGTATTCAAAAATGGAATACTTCGCACGACTGTCGATGCTTCAGTCGCTGCTGGATGTGATGGGTAGACGCGTGGCAGCAGAGTGCGCTTCATGCTGTCACGAACTTACTTGCCTTGAGCTTCAGCTTACGAGTCAGTCATCTTGTTGCTATGACAATGGACCGAGGTAGGCTATTGGGAAATCCTATTCTCACCAGAGATCTGCACCGATCGCACGTCATGTCGATAGAGATTGAGTCCTCAGAGTACGTTTCTTTGGCTAGCTTGTATTCATATGGTTATTGGAATCATTCTGTATGCATACATGGCCATCGCTGACGTATTTTATCCTGATAACAGCGTGATTCGGCTGATACAGCAGTTCCTAAAGGAAAATAATTTACTGCGTACTCTCCAAACTTTACAGGTTTGTAGCGACCATGGCGTCCTTCCCTCGCCCTGTATATTAAGGAACTTGCAAATCTGCCGTTAGGAAGAAACGACAGTAGCACTCAATACTGTTGATAGTGTTGAGGCCTTCATCACAGATATCCACAATGGTCGTTGGGATATCGTCCTTAAAACTATATCACAATTGAAGTTGCCCCAGAAGAAGCTGGTGGATCTTTATGAACAGGTACGAACGATCTCACTTCCTCTGTTTGCCAGGGGTGACATGAGTCTAATCTTCGAGAAACGGTATAGATTGTAATAGAGCTCATAGAAATGAGGGAACTCGGTGCGGCGAGATCCCTGCTCCGACAGACAGATCCCATGCAATTCTTGAAAGAGCATTATACAGAACGGTATCTTCATCTGGAGCACTTGTTGTCGCTGACGTTCTTCGATGAAAAGGAGGTCAGATCTGGTCACGGTTATGCGGGTGATAAGCAGTAGTCGGTAGTTAAATGCTTAAAACCTCTAGGCATATCCCAACGATTCTACGAAGCAAAAGCGTCGGCAGATTATTGCTCAAGGTGCTGACGCGCCGATAGCAGATGATTTTGCAAATATGCTGACCATTATTCCCAGCATTGTCAAGTGAGGTTACCGTGGTGGCCCCATCACGACTTTTGGCGCTTCTCGGCCAATCCCTGAAATGGCAGCATTCGCAAGGACTGTTACCGCCAGACGCTGCTTTTGATCTGTTTCGTGGCGCGGCTCCTGTGGCAAAAGCAGAAGAAGACACACCACCGACAGAATGTTATAATTCTATCAAGGTGATCTTCTTGGATATTCGCTGCTTATTGAAAGCAGAGCAACCTACTTACCCTCGATCAACCGGCTTAGTTTCCCAAGAAGCAACATGCCGAGTGTGTGGTGTTCTCTCCGGATGGGCAATTCCTGGCGACAGGGAGCGTGGATGGCTTCATCGAGCTATGGAATTACATGACTGGAAAACTTCGAAAGGATTTTAAATACCAGGCGGAGGTGCGATATTGCGTATTAAAGGCCAATATCCCGTTCTACATCACTAAATGACGTCACTCCTTCTTTAATTTGCCAGGACAATCTAATGGTCATGGAGGACGCAGTTCTGACCTTAAATTTCAGTAGAGATAGCGAGCTGCTGGCATCAGGGGCGCAAGATGGAAAGATTAAGGTGAGAAATCCGCATGATTTACGGAGCTGTATGGTAGATAAGATGCTCATTGAGACGTACGTTCGTAAGGTGTGGCGAGTACAAACAGGACAATGCATACGAAGATTCGCCACCGCGCATACGCAAGGGGTGACCTCCGTCTGTCTCAGTAAAGATGGCACGCAAGTTCTGAGTTCAAGTTTTGACCAGACAATCAGGTTCGTTGTAAGCGGTCAACACACTGCTCGCTGCTCGTTGGGAAGTGATGGACAGAAGCTTACCGTGCCGCTAGAATTCACGGACTAAAATCTGGCAAAATGCTCAAAGAATTCCGAGGTCACACGTCCTTTGTAAACGACGCAGTCTTCTCCCTGGATGGAACGCGGGTCATCAGTGCGAGCAGTGATGGGACCGCAAAGGTAAGCTTTCAAAGATTCACTCGTCGCTGAATCTCATTTGATCAAAACCCCGTTCTGTAGATATGGGATACAAAGACTACAGATTGTGTTGTGACCATAACGCTGCATGAGGGGCGGGCCGTTTCAACAGGTGTACATAGTCCAACAGTTAACCGGATTCTCCTGATGCCTCGAAATATGGATCAATTTGTTCTTTGTAACAAGAGCTCGTACGCTTATGTTCTGAACTTGCGAGGACAGGTGTGTACATGGTTCTCTCAGCCATACTTTACATGCACTCATATCTGTGACACTTGATAGGTGGTAAAAAGTGTCAGCTCGGGTAAAAAGGAAGGTGGAGATTTTACAAGTGCCACGCTGTCGGCCAAGGGGGAGTACATCTATTGCGCAAGCGAAGACAATCACATCTACTGCTTTCACTCGGAGAGCGGAAAAACCGTCACCTCCTTCAAGGTTAGCAAGATGCTACTGTCGTTGGTATTTTATACTGAAAATTTGACTAATGCTGTGATCCTGTAGGCGTCCGAATCGGAAATTATTGGCCTCTCACATCATCCATTTTCAAACATCATCGCTGTATACGGCGATGATGGGGTGGTGAGCCTTTGGAAACAGTAGTACATTCTTATTTCGTCACTTTAGTGTAGATGCGACCGTAGTGGTCATGTACATAGTATTTTGATATTGGAGTGCGGAGGGTTCAGTCCATTACGACGTACCCTAGTGTAGGTAAGGAGTTGGTACTTTTGCCTTCTATGACCAACTCTTGGGGGGGCAATATCTACGAAGATAGACATACACCACCACAGAGGATACACAACCAATTCTATTTGATATTGGCGTTGGGGATAGATGCTGCCTTGACAACTCCTTTTGCAGTTCTGAATGGAATACCCTTCCAAGTTGCCACGAGGTCGTCTCGTGATGAGAAGTCCGGCTGCACTGCCTCCCAAACTTTCTTCTTGGGATTTAGTTGCAGCTCAGGTTCTCCTTCGTGGCCCTCGAAATAAACTTTGTCACCAGGTTCGCTTCCTTCCGGCGGTATCAGGAATTCAACCTTAGTGTGTGCTTCGTCAGAGGCACAGAGAACCATGGCGTGCGACTTGATGCCGCGCATGCTATGCCAAGAGCAGTTGAGTAATTACTATCGCTTGCTATGCGGCTAGCTGAAACATACCTGACAGGTTTCAGGTTTCTCACAATAAGAACCAGTTTCCCCCGGAGTTCATCTTCAGTCATGAATTTTACCAAACCGCTTACAACCTCGCGTGGTTTTTCTTCTCCACAATCAATCTGCTCAACGTAAAGGGTGTCCGCGTCGGGATGCTTCTTCACGTCAAGGATGCGGCCAACACAGATGTCCACCTTGGCAATCAATGATGCTGTGAAGAGAAATTGGAAATTCAGAACCATGTAGATTCCTCAACGAAGGAAGCTTGATGTAGCGGCTGTACCTTCAGTAGTAGCTGGCGCAGTATGAGCGACCTTATCCTTCTTGTCGGCCTTTTTGTCGTCACTCGGCTCAGAGGACACCGAGGACACCGCCACTTTTGGTGCACTCTTTTTCACCTTCCCATTTTCCTAAGAATGACAATGTTGGCACATATTTTTGCATTTCCTGATGACTTTATATGCTCACCTCAGCATTAGCACCATATACGTTCTTCACCGGGTACATTTTGCTGACGGACGCAGGATCGATGTTCAGAGAGTCGTCATAAATTGGCTTAACTTCGTACATTTTGATAGAGTTTGGTGAGCCCCTTCCGTCGGCCTTCCCATTCTTCTTTTTGCCCTCTTTCTTCGCATCCTTTTTAGATTCACGCCCTCTACTGCCTTTTCCGGAATTCGGGTCTTGCGTATCCGCTTTCGATTGCAGAGAAGCGGATTTACCATCCGGAACGTAGATGAGATGAATATGCTTGTCGGGTTTGGAGGCATCCCAAGGTTGATCGCATATGTAATATCCCCTTCGCTCCAGTTGAATGTATTCGCCCTTTTTCACGTTTCGAAGGTTGGCATCTCCGAGCGCTTCAGTCTGCAAGTGACAACTATGAAGCCTACTCTTCGAAGGTACAATGCTGATCCGATGTCCTTACCTGGAATTCGGACACGGGAGTCACAAAATCCTTCACATTGTCCTCTTCCTCCAACTTCTTCTTCGTGATCAAGTAATCGAAGTCGTGGAGCATGACATTAACAGGTGTACTCTCTAACTTTCCAGTTGCTGCCCGAGATAGCCAAGTCAGCTTCTTCTTTGTCTTCTTAAAATCGCCGTCAAGGTTGAGCTTGATTTTGATGAGCTCGATGTGGGATCCATCTGCGGACTTTGTGATGTCCTCAACGATTACATTTCCCCAGTCCATGAAAGTGACCTGCACAGAAGATTAATAATGTTTACTCTTCACCTTCTATGCTATCCCTTCTCACCTCTTCACCGACTTCCAATGCCTTCGCGTCATCAAAGGCGAGGCAGAGCTCGCCAGAGAAGGTGGTGAGTTTTGTTCCCACATCCGGATTCTTCTTGTGCTTGGGCATCTCTTTGGTGTGGGGTTCAACAGTTTCCCCTACAACATTTACGGGTGTACTGATAGAGAGATATGAGTAAAAGAATGCGTGCTAAGCGAGATAGATAGGTGCATACATGTTTTTGAGATCCAAAGCAGTATGTCTTGGTGCGATGGGATCAATGACCTTCTTGTTCAAAGCCCAAATTTTATCCCACTCAAGATCGAGATTCTTTTGAGAAGCTCCCTGCATAAGAATGTATTGCCGGAGTGCCTCAATCGTCATACCACGTCGACGAATGCCTCTGATGGTTGGGAAACGTGGGTCGTCCCATCCGCTCACGAGACCCTCGTTGACGAACCATGTCAATTTGCGCTTAGACAAGAGAGTATACACGAAATTGATACGACTGAGAGCGTGCTTGTTAGATCTTAATCATTGATTTCACACAACTAACTCACTCACCTGTAATCCCAAATGTGCACCCATCGCAAATTCAGCGTCTTCAGTACCCATTCGTACTGTGGGTTGCGGTCACGGTACTCATTGGTACGCAGGGCATGCGTTACACCTTCAATGGAGTCGACAACGGGACACGCGAAGTCGTAAGTTGGATAGATTTTCCACTTATCACCAGTTCGATGATGTGGGATAAGGTTACAGCGGTATAGCGTAGGGTCCCGAAGCGCCTTATTCTTATTCTTCATGTCCATTTTAGCACGCAGGCAACATTTTAACCCCTAGAGGAATGGGACACAGGTCAACATCTTGCTGTTGATCACGTGAGCTCTATTGGTACTCACAAACTCGGTGCCATTTTTCATCTCGTCAAATCGCCTCAGATTTTCCTCCACCGATAGATCCCGGTTCTTCGATTCCTTTCCTTCAAAGCGCTCAGCCCGCATCTAATTGAATTGTCAATGAGAGAGACATCTGACTATGAAAGTCTCCAATCCAACGCTTACAGTATCAACATCCGTGTCATCCACATAGGCCTTCCCGAGTTTGATGAGATCAATGGCGTACTTGTAGATGGTGTCGAAACTATCTGAGGTGTATGTAATGACATCCCCTTTAACACCGATCAGCAACAGGTCCTCCTTAATCGACTCTTCAAATTCGCTCTTATTTGGCATTAAGTCATTAAACCTGCGTTTGCTCATAGGGAGAGAGTAAAACACATACCTTCTCCTTGCTTGGATTTGTGTCATCAAAACGAACGATAAGTTTGCCTTCGTAAAGGCGAGCGAAATAGTCGTTCAACAAGGCAGCTTTGGCGTGACCGATGTGGAGGTAGCCACTTGGTTCGGGAGGAAATCGCGTTACAACTTGGCCACGCACTACATCTTTGAGGCCAATATCGAACGAGCCTTGATCCTTTCCAACTGCTTTGGCGGCCATGTTGGGAATTCTAGAGTAATTCTGCAACAATTTACGATTAGCTCAGGTCAAAAAAGTGGGTGAGTCACACGCACAAATGCAGTTCCAATCACGATTCGAACCCTGTCCGAACGGGTCTGTCACGTGCTGTCCGAATTGCCTGTTGCGTCCCAGCAATCTTCCAAGGTCTCCCCAGCGAACATTCTCCTGCAACAACATAATGAAACGCACCAGAGAAGAGAGCTTGCCGCCCGTTAATACAGATGTATATGTTGACGACTGCTCCCACCAGAATAGAAGGCTGCGACCCGAACCCGCACCAAATTCCATTTCCTCACCACCTGCGCGGGACCTGACACCGACTCTAGCTGAGAAACCACAACCTCTACCACCTGGAAAAGATGAAATTCTGAGTTCGCTCAGACTGAGACGGATAGTCAGAGAAAACCATGGTAGCTGCATCAACCAATGTGTATTTTTTCCTTCAACAAGTACGGTTGCAAGTGAGCAGGATGCAGGGACAGCAAATAATGTACTGGCAACAATTGGAGGACCACAAGTAAATAGTTTGCCATTCTCTTTGCGTATCGCTTTTCTTCAAAACATACTAACTAGCATTATGTGTGTAGGCAAATTTCTATGATAATGAACACTGCGGCGATCATCTAGATATCATGTCGCATTTTGTGGTCAATGGAGTGGGATACTGCAAGGACGCAGAGGAATCGCCAACCGAGGTAGAGTCAAAAGTCCTTTATATGATTAATAACGGCAACCCGAGCACTTACATGGCATTAGACACCAGAACTACTAACGTGCTGCTGGCTTCATGTGGATCAAGACGCTGTCCTAGCCGCCGCTGGAACTGACAGTGACATCCACATACTGAGCGTGACCCGCTCCGAGGAAATTGCCAGACTGAAAGGTCATACAGGTACGTACGTCAGATCTTCACTTCTCTCGTTGTCTTTGTTTAATGTATATATATATGCCAATTCATCATCTTGAACAGATCGCATCCTTGACCTCCAACCACATCCCACCGACGTAAATCTGCTCCTATCCGTTAGCGATGACGGAAACGTCAAGTTATGGCATGTGCGGGCAAAAAAGTGTTTATGCGTGTACTTCGTCAAGGCCACTGCTGCTGTATGTCTTTTATTATGTTCATCATCAGTCCTCCAACGCTCATAGCGTCCTCCTGCACTAGGCCTTTCACCCAAACGGAATGTCCTTCTTGACGTCAAGCTCCAAAGGTGTGGTGGTAGACTGGGAGATTCCTGAAGACCTGCTCCACTTGTCCGAGAATGAAGCTATAGCGGCTCCAGTGGAACACATTGACGAGGGGCAACAGGTTGTTTGGAGTGATCAATTGCATGGAAATAATTATATCGGTAGACTTGTGAAAGCGTTGAAATCAATCGTGGGCATCTCCTGAACCTTTATTGACTAGACTGCATACGATATGTGGATGAAAAGGTCTTATCGAAGTCTGTTAATGGCAAGGTTGTTTTCTGGGACCCAATATCTGCAGAGGTGGGTATCTGAACATCCGCAGATTTAACCTGCTGATAGTAAACTTACACGGTTACTATGGTCAGATTATCCATTCTTTCACAATAAAAGGAAGTGGTGGTAGCAACTACTGTCGTTTCGATGTGAGGTTGGTAACCGATTGAAGCTAGGTGCGCGCGGTCCGCGATTGCAGTATTAACCTACGTCATGGCAGCTCCTGCGGACAATATTTTTGCATCGGGAACCCATCAGGCAACGTTTTTATCTATAATCTAGCTCAGGGAGAGCTCATATCAACGTTAGACCATTCGAGGTCAACCAAAACCGTCCGTTGTTGTGCATTTTCTCACGACTGCCGGTGAGTTGTCAGACACCCTTGCCCTGCGGTGATTGAACTACGCTAATAATCCGCCGACAGCAACATTATATACGTCGGGGATGACGCATTAATATGGAGGTAACGCGCCAAAACACAAATCAACATTTGTATAAGCTGGCAACTAATGAGACCCTAATTGTGTCAGATTTGATTACATCAGTGAAGAAATGATACAAGAGTGGAACGACGAAGAGTCTGACTGAACTTACATCATATTACTCGTGAAAGAAACCATACTCCGGCCATGAATCCCATTAGACCCAATACAAATGGTAGTGATACTGCCCCACGTTCTGAATGCACTTGCAGCGCGTTATTACGAGAAGGGGGAACCATGGACTTCCGCTTTGCGCTACCGGATTTCGATGGATGATGCTGCTTTGTCAACGTCTGACTCTGCAGGTTACCGGACTTCAGCTTATACCCCGCTGTTGTTAGTTGTACGTTCTGGACTCCGCCGAAGAAGTCCGTGACCAAAGCCTGTATAGAGACGGCATTAACATGAGTGTTTGAAAATGAGAGATACGTCGACCCTACATTTTCTGGTCTCCGTGGGTATAAATCTGTTCTTATGCCGGGGGTGGACGCAATCGCCTGTGTGTTATAAGTACTAAACTGTAGGGGGACGAATACATTCAGTGTGAAAATTTTTTCCCAGTCACAGACAGTAGAATAATTTACCAGTTGCTGCAAGGTGGACTTGTCTTCCCCCTTGAGTTTTTCCAGTGTCTCCAGATTGTAGTATGTAAACCGATCAATAACCGCTACACCTATGTCGGGATCGACATGATGAGAGTACGAGTTTTGTCCAACCTCAGCCGATGCCGCTGCCAAAATGTTTGGAGAGTAGATGCGCTTGTACATAGACGCTGCTTGGCAAGTGTCGATCATGAAAAATATCTCATGATATCTACCATTTCAAACATTTTAGATTACGCCAAAACACCAGTTTGCAAATATGGGACTTACCGATTTTTTTCATACATCTGAGCAAAAGCATCTGCAATGTCATGGCTGCCGATTTCTTCTGCGTCCTGGAACTTCAGGAACTCATCGCCACCATGGCCTGTCATGTAAACCAGGACATTGCTCCGGTCATCGGTCAAAAGTCGCTTGGATCTGGGCACGTCGGGATCATGCCGTCCTGATTCATGCACATGCATAAGTGAACCAAATTAAGGATGAATAATGCATCGACATACCCGTCAACAATCGAATGAAGTTCTCCACAGTTACTTCGTACCCTCTATAATCGACTTCCACGTTGCGCCCGTAGAGATCAATGAATCGACCAGCATTATTATATATAGTGGCTGGGAAGTGATTTCTTGGGTTACATGCGACGTCGTCAGATAGCATGAGAATGATATTCGAGTCAGGTATGCCCAAGCGTTTCACAGTATGGTATATGGAAAGTGTGTTTGCGATGTGCCTGGGAACAAATGGGTCAACTATCAGGTACTTGTCACAGACGTCTTTTCTAGTCAGCAATTACCTGTAGTTAAACCAGAAGCGGGAAGTGCAGACCTACATCAGATAGGTTGTCAGATACAATAGAGAGTCCGTTCGTTCAGATTCAAGTTCTCACCAGCACAGCCCAATTGTTTGTATGCCCACTACTAGCAAAAAATCCCTCTATCGCAGCCTCATTTATGTCCGGCTGCGGTGACCACAGCGCCAAGGAAAGGTTGGTAGGAGCATCTGAGGTTATGGAGGATGTCGCTTGAGTGTGGGTTAGGGCACAGAGAGCGGAAAGGAATGCAAAAATGTAAGGTATCGAACGGCGATGAGCCCTGTCAAAATAGTGCGTGAGATCCTGCGGTAGAAACTGTGTAGGAATGACAAAGGTTACCTACATTGGATCTATTCTAGGCGTCTTTCTAGAGTGAATCTCCAGCGCTGCTGACGGCACACGTTATTCGAGCAATGACCATGCCAACAACTTGTGGAACCGCCCGACTGTGCCATCGGCGCGTTTGGTTCAGAAGTTCCGCCAAAGAAGTCTCATTGCGATGATAAAGCAGCAGCAAAAAGCCTATGGTTTTACAAGATTATACCCCAACCCTCCAAAGCTTTGCTTAAGAACTTTTTGTCAGGAGAAAGAAACCAAGCAATACGAAATACTCCAACAATGCCAGTGATAGGTACAAGTCAAGGCCCAAGGAACATCCTATCGTCCTGCTAACTCATGGCTTTCGGCAATGACAACAAAACCGTTCCTATTTTCTTACAACCCCAGTTGGTTTGCCATATCATGTTAAATGAATGGAATGTTCCTATAGCCGACAGCTAATCCCGCGTCGGGCGTTGACCCTTCTTCATGGGTGTCACTGAAAGTTGGGTGCCATCTACCTGTCGATCCACACCGTGTGCAGAAGCTTTCTGCTGAGCCTGATGGTTCACCTTCCCATCCGTATACGGGATCAGAAGGCAGTTGCGCTCTATGTGCAACATACAACGGCTCCAGAGCCTCCTCAATAAATGCCATAGCAGATAAGGCAATGGCATCATCCATGTTGTGGGTTAGGCCAGTCTGCCCTTCAGTCTGCAATGTCCAAGCCACAGCTTGGGCTTCGCTCCAATTCCCAAAAAAAACCTCCACTCCACATCGAACACTTCTAACTATAGATGGAAAAAGTCTCCCAGATCAGTGCAAAGGAAGTCCCACTTCTCGGTGCTAATGCAAAGACTCCTGGCATTAACAGAATTTTTGGCAAGCTTAAGGATTGGCCAAGCGCAATATGGCCAAACATCTGCCATATTGACATCCATCATACTGATATCCGCTGTCAATGAGCAAATATGAATTAGCGTGTAAGATGTGCATGAACAATACTCTCCTGCCCTTACCTTGACTGAAAAACCTAGCCATGGCCGATTGCTCCAATTCGTGGTCACCTTCAGCAGATATTGGCAGCACAAGAGATTTGATTAACTGTGCTTGCGAGATAAAATGCTGAGCAAGGGCCGGCGTAAGCCAGCAGGAACTCCAACGGACACGCTGTACATGTGCTCGCGTGCTCTTGGATACACGTTCAAGGCGAGCCATGAGACGATACCAACTTTGAATGTCCTGATCAAGAAGTTCGGCGCTGAATCGCAGATAACTTCGCGGATTTGACATTTGGAAGACCGTGGGAAATGCGGAAACAACACATGGAAAGAGGTCAGCTGTGAGTACTAAAGACTTGGTCATGTTAATGATTGTACCGTCGAAATTGGGTTCGTTCGACTTTGAGGTAGAAAGACAACAATTGCACTAAAAAGCTACTTGCAGAATGACCGCGACCATCAACGACAAAAGTAGACTCTCTGTTTCCCAGGCTATGTGAGTCATCTACGCGCGCTCTTAACATGGAAGCTCCTACTCTAATAAATACGCTCCAGCAACCCTTCAGTTCCTATCTGACACTGCATAGGGCTGCAATATCAACGCCGCTGTTTAACGGTCTCGGTGGCCACGATTGCCCGTAGTCCAAAGGAGCTGATGGACATTTTCAACATCCTCTAAATCCCACTCTCCCACCTCCAGAGTCCCAACACGCTCAGGCCGTTGCTCGTTTCACACACCCTCTACATATATGATGCTTCAGCGTTGGCTGCCCACAAAACGGACATGTTGATATATTGCGCAAAGGTTTCAGCCATTTCGTTGCCATTCGCAAACGCTGCATGTCCAATCAGTCCGATCGCTCAAATCTTTGTGCAGGACCACATAATGACCTTACCTTTTTCCTGTGTGTTGTCTTCTTCTTTGGTACAGCCCATAAAAGTCCGGACAACCATTCCAATGCAGCTCCTGCGGTCCCCGTTATTCTTGTTGGGATGGCGAGGGGAAGAGGTAGCCGCAATGTCGGGAGAGTTGTGCGGAAAATGGAAGTTGAAATGGCAGGGAAGCGGGCGGGTAGAGTGAGGGATGTCATTGTGCGACTAAATGACAAGGATTCAAGCAGCAAATGCCCGTGGTGACCTCTGGTGTCGTTGCCCAAGGTCTGAATGACGGCAAACACGATTGTTCAAAATGCTGTTTGGGCGATTCAAGTTCGGCCTGGTCGTCAATGGCAACATGGAAGTCATGTGAACTAATCAAGTAAGCGCATTACGTAATGCGTGATCGTTGCTTGTCTTCCCCCGTCTAGTGACGTAAAAGGCGGAGGATTCAGTCACAAGCCATCACGTTCAGAACGCTTCTGTCATATAAATAGTGCGAGCTGACAAGTTGGGGCATCAGAAGCTCGCTTGCGCCCTTTTGCTTCTGTTTTTTGCCAGAGCACCCTACTGCGTCTAAAATAATATCAGTTTGATTCCTTCCTTCCTCCACAAGACTTTACCAACATGGGTAAAGGAGGTGCTTATCCAGACCAAATGTTCAAAACAGCAAAATGGGCGACCCTTGCGGTCAGCTTTTTGACTTCGGTATGTTCAGAGTGATGAAAGATCAGCGTCTGGATGAGCGTCGACGCTGATTTCCTTCCTTGTTGGTAATCATAGCTGCTAGGTGCAGCGCTCATCGGTTTGGGTGTCTACGGGCTACTCAACCCTCTAGGTGAGTAATCCACGTCTAAAATATACATTATTAAGAAATTTGCTAAGTACGTTCTTCACAAGCGTAGGCTCGGCACTGGTGCCGATGACACTCCCAATAGTAGCAATTGCAGTGGGAACGTCGGTCTTCATCCTTTCGATTTTAGGATGCTTCGGTTCAGCTATGGAGCATCGTACCATTGTGTGGGTTTATTTTGGAATAATGCTGGCTCTTGTCATCTTGCAATTTGTGGTTGGAATCGTTGCGTTAACCAACCGCGGTGATACCGTAAGCAAGTCTAGTTTCACTTGATCTTACTTTCCATCGATCTCACCTTCCTGATTTCCAAAGATCAATGAATTAGTCGACAAGCGGTGGGACTATCTTTACCACAACAAACCGCGACACATCCGCGATATCGAAGATCAGTACGAGTGCTGTGGACTAAAGTACCTTAATGACCGAGCGTGGCCCAAATATGGCGAAACATGCACTGAAAAGTTTGGCTACCAGCGCTCGTGTTTGGGCCCTGTAAAGAGGGAATGGGATGAGAGGCAAAAGCAGTTCGGAATTGGTGTTTGCGTGCTGGCGGCCCTGCAGGTAGGCCTTCATTTGAAGGTGTGAGCTGGCATTGGTTTTAGATATTGAACTCTCTTACAGCTTCTGGGGCTTATCCCAACGTACTACCTTGCAAGCCGACTTCCATCTCCTGAAGAACGCGAGAGGGACCTGCTTGAAGAGCACCGCCGTCTCCTACATGAGACGCAGAATCGAGGAGGATATGGAACCCACGGTCAAGGTCCATGGGAAGGTGCACGCCCAGGTGGAACTCTCCAGCATCCCGTTGGTGGACCTGCAGGAGCTTACACGTACCCTACCAACCGTCCTGGTTCGCGAGGTGCCTGAAAAAGATGTAGTGTAGTGTAGTTGTCGACAGTTCGAAGTTTGTGATTAACGTTGTTGTGCTCCCATGGGGACGTATGCAGTTCCTGTCTGCAAACATATCGTTCGAAGTGACGAAGCATGAGTGAGAGGTAAAAAGCGTGTTGTTTGTATATTCCATAGCAATCTTAAACAGCTTATAGTGCGCGGAGAGGGTGAATTTGTATTGATGTGTATTGAAATTCGCACGGTTTAGTTTACCATTAGCATCTTGCGCGAATATCAGATTGGAATCTCTCTTCCTAGTCCAATGGTCTCAGGGCGACACTTCCAACCTGCAATAACAATTATCTACAATATATTCCACATCAAATAGAGACAATTTACACACACATCAGCAAAAAGTCCCATAGCGCAACACTTGAGCGAGCCCAAAGGCCTTGAACCCCACAACGAATCCAAAAGATGCCAAGTGTTCCGCCAGGGTAATACTGCACGGCATTTTTGCAATCCCGCCCCATCGCAGTCATTCCAATTAACCTCCTCGTCCTCGTCCACGGCCCCGACCACGCCCCCTTCCTCGTCCTCGCCCCCGACCCATTGGTGCTGTGACAATGAAGAGCAAATGTAAACACAAGCGCAGAAAAAATGAAAACAAACTGACTGACAGATACCTTTTCCATCTTTCTTCTTCCCTTTGCTCTTTGGCGAGTCATCAACCAACAGGGTATCAAGTGGCAAAGAGTCGGGCAAAATGAAATAACGTATGTTGTTACCACGGATGGAGAGTGTCTCGAGATTTACAGGGTCCTTGTTCCGGACAGTCATTTTGACTGTCTTCAGATGCGTATTCATTTGCATGTCCACGCCGGTGATTGTGCCATGTACTATGGTGCCATTTTTGAGCTCGATCGTAACCGTCTCGTTGTTACATTTCATGAGAAATCTAATATGATAATAACGATGAGCATGGTGATTTGAAGCGAAGAATGGGCCAGGTACGCCCGCTTCAACGCAAGCAGCAGGTTCATACGGCCAATAGAGCTCGCTGGAGCTCCGCTTTAACATAGCGTTTTGATAACCCTAATTTGTCGCATTCCCTAATGGTAGCCCGTTTTCCGAGATCATTTCGTAAGGCTAGATCCGACAATTCCTTCCCTCTAGCTATGATCTCTCTCAGTACCTTTCCAAACATCTGGCCGTCGCCAACCCCACTATCATAGGTCCTTTTCTTCAAGTATTCCAAATTCGCAAGTCGCCAACATTGACAACCGCCCGAGATCTCCAGATGGCCCTTGCTTGACCATGCCCTCCAAGATGGCCGACTTCAAGGGACAAAACTAACCTGACGAGCTTCATCGTGTCAGTTTCTCAGTGGATATGGCTATTGGGGAGGTGCTGGAGAGGATGGATGGATAGATGGCACGATGCACGGGATGGATGGCTTTGGATGGCCTGCGGGTGATGGGGAGTTGGACGTCTGCTGGGATTCACGGGCTGTGGGAGTGTCAATTTCGGTCGGTGAGTCACACAACGACAGCGCGTCGATCCTTCGACTTCGACGCTCCGTCCCAGTTTTCCAGAATTTTGCAATTTTCAACATGCCCATATTATCAAACGATGCAGTAAGTACAAAGTACAATATCTAGTCTATTCTGAGGTGTAATAGCAATTCTGAAATTTCCTGCTTTATGACAGTTCCTGTCCCAACTCACTCGCCTCTACGAAAGATCAAAAGAATCGGGAACCGTCTACGTAACAATGAAGCGATGTATGCTGTCATGTCTTCCTCAAGTTGCGTCCTCTAATAGTCCTAAATACGAATATTTCTCCTTATGGTCAAAGATGCGTATGATAAGCGAAAGGATAGTTCAGCTTTAAGCGATCCCGACACAGAATACCGATGTCTAGTTCGGGCTGTTGGCGGCTCGACGAAGATTAGTACTCTGGTACGTTAATAGGACTCATTGGGATGGACGAGATAATTTGAAACGTACTGACACTTTCAATAATATTCAAAGGTCAACCCGCAAGATACCGACAGATTCCACGACGCCTACACAAATATCATCAGGTTACACATGGACTCTCTTAAAAAGAAGGAGCGTACGAAAAAGGTCAAGAAGCCAAAAGGCGCGGTAGCAATGGAGTCCTGATGGCCCGGATACGTATTATAATAATTCGAGAGGGGAAATCGGCGAGAAGCAAATGTGTGGGAAGAGCAGCCTCTTAGGGTAACTGCTGGTACTCGTTATTTGTAAATAGATACGGTTAGATTCGCATGTTCCAAGATGAAATAGCACACCTTGTAGAATAGTAGATCCTGGATGGATCACAATGTACAGGGAACCTACTGTCCCGATTCCATTACAACGTACCACAACAACACACACTGTACGAACACATTGCTCAATATCTATCCCACTATTTCTCATCTCTAAGACTGAAAACCAAAGGAAAAAAGTCCATCTATCGGGTTCTCTCAGCCGTGATCTCACCACTCGCTCGCCCGCCCTTTTCCCTTTCTCGCCGCCGATGCTGATGCCGTGGGCGACGATGATAGAGGTCGGAGAGCGATATTTTCAGTGTACTGCAAGGGAGATGTGGGCTGCAGTGGTAATGGTACGGTTTAGCTGGCCCTGCAAGAGTTAAAATCCGTTTCATCTTGGAACATACCGGAGAGAGGACAGCAGATCGGGTTGTTGGGGTGCGTTGTATACGTGATGGGGGCGTTGACGGTTGGGACTAGACAGAATAATGTAACAGAGGACATGTAGAACTATCCACATCCTACAGGAGCTACATGCAAAACACTTACCGTAGGCATGAAAATTGTCGCCATACCTCCTATATTCACTCGTCGCTTCTTTACAGGTGTTTGAGGGATGACCGACTGTATGAACAGCAAAATGATTAAATGGTTAGAAGCAGCTAGATGTCTCTGCTACGAATTTTCAACTCACATCACCACTCTCGGTGCCGCTGGCCGAACTTTGGTGACCTTCGGCCGCACGTGCAATGACGGAAGGAGACCGTTTGCGTGAGTGACTGTTTTTAACCGCAAAGCGCCCCGGGGATGCTGGTGTGGATACTGAGGCAGACTTTGCCGTTGTTGTTTCTACATCAAGGTGAGGGTGAGCTCATTATCAGAATGATCAAAAGATTTGTTGCGTTAGCGCACTTTGTGGTTTTGGCGAACGTGCAGATGCGAGGAGTTTTGCAAACCGAATCTCCGCTATAGAAGAATAAGAATTATAGTTAGTACTTGACTTCTTCCAACAAAAGCCAACCAAAAATCTTGAAGCAATCTTTTTTCCCACACGCACAAAGCATCGACAATTCTCCCTCGAGTCTAACCACAACCCCCTGTCTCTGCTCTGCCTTTGCATTCATATCTCCGGCCAACTCGCCGGCATATCGGCCAGATGACATGCGCAACACAACTCCAGGGCCTGATGGACGGTTAGGATGCTGTTTAGTTCGCGGCATGATACTAAAGATGGTTGTTTGAACCTAAGTAGAACAATCACGACCACTATATTAGATTGCTAAATTCAACATCAAGGCGAATACATAAATAAACGTTACGTTGGCGGAGTCTTCCTGTCCTTGATCGAAGGATTCAATCGCGTGGGTTGGTAAAGTATCAAACATCGCGGATGCGCGTCCTTCGTAAGCAGCAAAACGTGCCAGTCTACCTCACGTGTGGAGAGGAAGCTATGGGAGACAGCCCATGGCAATGGCTAGGTTTATAGCTAGTGCATGACTGGATGTCCTTGCTGGAATAGCCAAGTTTTATACGGAAAGAATGCTGTTCGCAATATAATGCAGTAGAAGCGGTGGAGCACGACCAGTTTGCATATCACGTTGAAAGAAAAGCTGGTTCGGCCAGGACATTTATTTGGGCGGGAAGGCCACACCAAGTCGAGTCATAAACTAGACGATATAGACTTTCTGCGATCTGAGCATGCCGCATCATAAGCTTTTATACGTATAGAGGTTACTCTTTCCCATTATTTGGCTTGTTTCTGCGGACCATACCAAATACTTTTATTCGCAACTCGCTTCAGTTCAAAATCACATCCGTTGCACCTCCCATACTTGTACCATTTGCAACTGATTATGCCAACAATCAAGAAGGAGAGTAAGGTGCAAATATTCAAACTGTGTAGTAGCTCCTGTCCTGTTTACTATCCAGTTATACTTTTCATCCCTAGGACGAAGACGACCTAGCAGCAAATCGCCAGGACATTTACGACTATGAGGAAGAATATGCCAACCACCTTGAAGACAGCAACAGGCGACCTCGCCGACCACCTCGTCCTTGGACAGTTAAGGAGGTAGACAAGCTGCTGGACAATATCACCTTGTCTTTAAAGGGATCTTGGAAAACGGTCGCAATTGAGAACCGGTCGGTTGGTGATGTGAAGCGAAAGTGGGATAGCATCCGCAAAAACATTGGTGGGTGGGCGAATCGCTAAAGTTCGATTTCTGTGACACTTTTGAAGCGATGGAGGAATTGCTTAACGTTCCCAAGTGTGTAGAAAATGCAATACTGCACATAAGCATGTCTTGCTGTACATAATCAATCATTGCCAGTTTCCCTTGTCAACAACACTCACCGAGATGCTATGAATTGTACCTGCTGAAATGGTGAAACTATTTGATGAAAAACATGGTTGTTAACGGAATAACTCCCTGCACATGAAAGACTCTGATCGTTCATATTTTCAATGATCCTTGCTGTTGTGAACTTGCTTTTTGATTTGCTTTACGAGTTAACCTTATTTCCTCGTCAGCCCCAAAAAACTCATCAACCATAAATTCCGGGGATAATCTTCCATACGACAAAAATAGATTGCGTTTCCTATGTGCCGCTTGTACGAATTATTTTTGAATGTTTGAATGGAAAACACACCAGCGCGTTTAGTGTAAATGCCAACCAAGCCTTGTTGTTGACAAGGGTCACAAATGTGTTTTTTTGTGCGTATGGGCAATGTTTTGTAAAGAGTTTACGAATATCATCACAAAAGTTAGTTTTTTGTTTCGCTTCATCGTTTTAAACAAGGTCACTTTTTTGTCGTAACACATTCAATAGTTCGAAACTTCCTCTTAAGCTGCCGCTGAACACACAAAAGTCGGGGCCTCCAATTCCAATTGATCCCGTAAGCCAAGGTTCCGACCATTTGGCGGAACCCGTATCCGTCGGGTTACAGATGTGAGTATGTGGAGTATGGGTTGAAAGAGTTTTGAACAGTCCTGTGACAGACATGTGTCTTCGTTGACTGGAAACTGGCAAGGTTGTGGTTGCTTATTGGGAATAAGCGACAATGCTAACCTGAACATTCTCGGCTTTTTCGTGCATACTAGAAACCAATTACAAAACTCCTTCAGTGCGTACGTCATCTTTCTAGGCACTCTGCCTCCTTACTTTTCATCAGCTACACAATATGGGGGGCTGCTCCAGCTCACCAGAGGACATTGAAGCACGAAACCGAAGCGTGGCGATTGACCGTCAATTGAAAACTGAAGCTCGGGAAACGGAACGATTCATAAAACTCCTCCTGCTGGGTGCCGGTGAATCCGGCAAGTCCACGATTCTCAAGCAATTCAAACTTATTCATGGTGTCCCATTCTCCGATGCGGAGCGGATGTCGTATCGTCCCGCCATCCTGGGGAATCTCATGTCCTGTGCCAGAACGCTGATTGAAGCCATGGCAAGGCTGGAGGGTTTACAGTACGGGGATGTTGCGACGCAGTTGAAGGCCTCGTCAATAATGACAGCACCGTCTTCATATGGTGAAGGAGAACAAGTTCCACCTGCGGTGATAGATGCGATACAGGCGCTATGGAAAGACTCTGGCATTCAAGAATGTTACAGACGATCGAATGAATACCAACTCATTGACTCTTGTCAATAGTATGTTCAATCATTTGTTCTTCCCGACCATCCAATATATCATCTAACATCACACGTTGTTCTATAGCTACATGGACGAAGTAGGCCGTATCTGCGCTGCAAACTACGTACCAAATGACCAAGATATCCTGCGAGCACGAGTCATGACCACCACCATCACCGAAAACAAATTCTTGATTCAGGGAATGGTTTTCCGTATCTTTGACGTTGGAGGACAACGGAGTGAACGAAAGAAATGGGCACCCTATTTTGATGATGTCAATAGCATAATCTTCCTCGCTGCCATTAGTGCCTATGATCAAAAGTGTTTCGAGGACAATTCGACAAATCGAAGTAAGTACCACCAAATGAGGCGGATTTTTTGACCCATCTACTAATATCATGATGTGTATCGTCAGTGCTCGAATCTCTCAATTTGTTCGACTCTATATGCAACCATCCCCTCTTCCGCAAAACATCCATCATCCTCTTCCTGAACAAGGTCGATCTGTTTCGAGAAAAGATAAAAACCGTCCCAGTCAAAAAGTATTTCCCGCAATATGACGGTAAGTCCTTAAACACTGGGATATCAACGACACTTTCAACTTTATCCTTTTACTGATTTGGATTCCCCCCTTCCGAAAAAAGGACCAAATACCTTTGAGGCCGCCTCAGAATTCTTTGCCCATCGTTTTGTAGCTCTCAACAAAATGCCCGAAAGAAAAATCTATATACACTATACGTGGGCAACAGACACCAATCAGATCAAAACAGTCTTTGCGACAGTGAATGCCATCATACTAAGGGAGAATCTTCATGCGTCTGGCTTGTAAGAGCCGTAGAAAAGAAAGTCATGTTGTAGTATGGATACAAATCTTTAGAGCTTTACAATCCATTGTAAAGATCCGGCAGGAAATATTATTGTTTTTGGACATGTGCTCATTTACTTTCTTTGAATGCCGTGTCATTACCAAAGTCACGAATACACCAACTTGGAAAACGTGTACCTCCTGCCGGCGAAAACGAACAGGAAGCAAAAAGGTATCTCAACTAGCGCCACTTGCTGGAGCGTTCCACGATCCTCAATGAGCCATTGACGAATGTATGAACAGAAGGACGCGCCCGTGCACGCGGACCATCAATACTGACAGCTTCATGTCAAATAAAGCCCCATTTTTGGGAATTGCGGAAATGGCTTTCCATATCCATTGCAAATCAGGATAGGCAAAGGTGCTGCCATGTCGCAGGCCGCAAGACCCGTGTCAAGGATGCTGATCTTCCATGTCCGTTGGGGTTTGACGGGTGCAACGTAATGTTGCGATTTGTTAGCTTGTTCCACTAGACCATGCGTTTATCGGCATTCCAAGAGTTCAGCATTCCCTCCCTCCAAACTGCCTTTATCACCATACTCGTGTGCTTAGGGCTCAGCGTCAACGATATGGATCGCAGACCAACAAAGATGGGACTAGCAGGCGGGTATTGGCCATTAATGATGGATCTGGTGACATTGATGTACTGGGTAAACTCGGAGCTTTAGCCATTCACCTCATCGTCCGGTACCATCAAACGCCTCCAACCTCTCTGGCATGCTCCAGACCCTTTTCTCGTAACCGTTTGGCAATATCTCTTGCAAATGTTAGCTCCTCCTCGACCACCTCCGTAAGCGACGAATCAATGCATAAACAATGTTCAAAGCTTTGAGCAGCAAGTACGGGTTCACCAAAAGCCATCTGCGCCCTTCCAAGTGTCTGCCATGCTTCTGCCCACTGTGGACATAATTGACTAGCGGTCTCTGCGGCCTTTACAGCCTCGAACCACTCGGTTCGTTCTAAATGTACTTGCGCTCGCATTTCGTGCACTTGAGCAACCTCTCTTACATTGAGAGAATCTGTTACGAGGGTGAGGGCCTGCGACCAGCGTGACAGTGCTTCGGCGTATCTCCCCTCAGACGCCAGAAAGCTGCCTTCGTTGTAGAGAGTTCTGAATTGCGTAAGGGGATCCAGAAGGAGCTTGTGTTTATGGGTGGTTAGTGAGTACGTAGGATCGTCGATAAATGGTTGCACGTCTTCGTCAGTGTCGTCGTTCGCCGGTGTGAAAGGGAGGCACGATCTAGTTGGCGTGCCAAGTACATTTCTTGTTTTACGTGAGCGCTTCACAGAAAAGGCAACCGATGCTGGCCGCTTCCTTTCTGGTTCGCCTGACCCTGGCGGCATACTTTGCATAATGCCACAGATATTTGCCTGGAAGCGTAAAGAGCAAACGTCACATGCGACCACCCCGTTGGGAACTTGTCAAACTCTAGGCTCCTGGTAAGAGGACAGCATAAACGTACGAGAAAGAAACGAAAAGGTGGTAAGTATACATCCAAGAGCTCTGTTGATGCGCCCCATCTGACAACGAAATTAAGTTGCTGCCGCTTTCGGACGTATTAACGTATGGACAATTCGTCCACGGCGCGTTAAAATCCTAAAGGAATACGGCTGCCTGCTCTGCTTTTACCGACCAAAGCAGAGACCGGATCGGGTCAGGGACCAGCGAAGACGGCTGACTGGACGTGGGACAAGGGCCTAGGTACCGACTTGTCACGCGGACGAGGCACTCGTAGCTCACGCAGCTCAGCAATCATCGTCGCAGGTCCTCCACCCTGACTGGGTGCAGTAACTCTCTTTCTACCAATTTATGGAAGTAAGAAAGACCTGCTGAGTCCGGTAAGGCGCACATAAGGTCTACCGAGAGGTAGACTTTGAACCTATTGCCCGGTTATCGTGCGTGCCTCAGGGAACCAACTCTCCCCACAGCTACGTCGCATGATTTGGGAGCCACGAAAACAAACTCACCTTACTGTTCCCTTGGCGTGACGAGAGCAGATGAGCGAGCCAGGTGTCCGGGAAGAAGTGCAGATGAGCGAGCCAGGTGACGGGGCAAGTACCAAGTCCGATCAAACTGCGGATGACGGAGATCGTGGTGGAGAAGCGGTGTTGCAACGTGCCAACAGCCTATGAATAAACGGGATGCCTTGTGGCGAATTTGGGCACTGAGGAAAAGGTTGGTGAACAGCTGCGAGTGTCATCAAGATGTGGGTCACGTGCTAGCCGCGCGTTCTAATGTCGCTCTTCTACCACATCGGTTTGCCATGGCATGGATTTTAATTCAAATATACAAAATGAAGGAAATCATACAAGTAGCGGGGATATTCCTTTTGCTTGAAGCGTTTTAATTCCCGACGATAGCCAGAAACAGTCCGACAAGCTATTCATTCCCTTTAGGCATTCCATATACTTGCATCATTGTCCAGCCAAATGTCCCCCCCATGGGACCCCACGCGACAACAGAAGAAATCCAACTGCTTTTTTCATTCAATTCCCTGAATGCGGGATGAACGAGCCGTCGGTAAGCGGCTTCCGATCGCTTTTCAACAAAACAGAGCGATTGCTGCCAGCGATAGCGTTGAAATAAACAAGCGCGTTTGGTCTTTTGTTTTTAAGAAACTTTCGTCCATGTCCCGGATATTCTGCCATTACAACGCATCATCGTATTCCGCAAATGATTGCGTCTCATTCTAGGCGCTTCGGTCTCAATGTATCCCTTTCTTCCCTTGGCTCTGGGTCCAACCGTATATAACAGTTTTTTTCAGTCTTTCCAAACTGTTGCTGCCTTTCCTTCCAGTGGGACGTCAAAGTCGGTAGATGACGTCTCTCGCAGCAAGGCTGCCACAGGGATAGGTCTCCCTATCCGTGGCGTGCTTTGCCGCACCAACGGACCTGCCTGGGGCAGCGGAAGTTGCAAATGGTTCGACCATGCGCCTCTGACTGGCGATATCTCTAATCGGGTATTGGGTTTTGACGTTGTGATATAAGATGGTTGATGTGCGGGCGCGGGGGGAATCGAGGGCGGAGATGCATGTGGAGAATAGCGTGACATTGGGGCTGTTGTGGTTGCTAGTGGCGGGTACGCTGACGGTAGAGGCGTATGCGGAGAATAAAGTGACATTGGTGTTGTTGTGGGTGCTAGTGGCGGGTAAGCTGAGGACGTGTGTAGCGGGGAGTGTGATGGAAAGTGATTTGGCCTAGCGAGCGGTCTGCAGCAGCTCCTGGTACAAGGAGGTTGCGGATTGGGTTGTGCTTTATGATAAACGTCTGTACATTGGGGCAACATAGGATAGGAATATGATGACGGTGCGACATGTCGCGGTGCAGGCGATGCATACGTCTGACCAACATCGTTGCTGCTATGATGCTTCCATCCGCGCTGAGATGCACTAAACGGGCGTTGACTTGATGACGGTGCCTGCGGCCCGAATGCATATGGTTGATATCGTCGAGTTGATTGAGACGGTCCATCAGGTGAATGCGTGCGACGATGTGAGCTTCCTGATGAAGGCATTGATCCCGCTCTGTTTTGGTGACGTTTCGCCAGCTCTTGCATGTGAGAACGCATGGAAGGGGATGAGTCTGTCCATGTCAATACAATATCCGGGTATCGTCGGTAGTCGACAAACACTGACGCCAGATCAGGCTGTTGGGAAGGTCGAGGCAGTTTTCCGGACCGAGCATCCTCCTCTGAATAGTACGCCACCAGATGCTGCCGGCGACCATCAGTAGTTGTAACCGCCAAGCACCGCTTACAGAGGCCACCTTCTTTTCGCTTGTACATGGACACATCGCCGTCCTCATGAGTGGAATTTGTCTCCTCCGAGGTTCGTCTATTGCGAGCAGCGCCGTCAATCTCATAGTATATCAAGAAGCGCTCTAGGAGGCGACGAGATGGGGACCAAGTACGGCCGTCTGTCCATCGCCGGATCTGTGCCTCCTCCTCGTCCCATATCCAAACAGAACCCGACTGTATCCGGACCTGTAAAAAAAAAGCACCATGTATGTCTTGTACGTTGTCCCAAAAACGGTGTTTGAAATCCAAGCGCCACGCTTACCTTTTCATTTTCCGTCAATCTACGTTGGTTGCGTCTCAAATATCCCTGACGACAGGCCTAAGTGCGTGTGTCCATCGAAAGGTCAGTCAAGGACAAGGAACTCGGTTTTACCGGTTTGGGCCCTGAGGACGCCGGCGAATGAGTGCGCATACCTCGAGCAGCAAGACTGCGTCCTCGAGCGTTTCGACAAAGCCATGCCAGGTTTCCATGGCGGATGGGGGCGTTTGCTGTGTGTGTGTGTGTGTGTGCGTTGCCCGACTGTTACTGCCCGAGCGTTCGAGTTCAAGCTTCTGTGTAGAAAAATGGGTGAAGAACACAAATCGTCTGGTGATGCGGGCAAAGGACGTGAGATATTTTAGGGGAAAACTCTCTTCTTCAAAGTACGGAGCTCCCCCAACAGTCTTTCAGGGTATTGCAAATGCACGGGGGCAAGTGTGCTTGTTTAACAAAACCATGGAATAACTGCTACCTTTATTTAGGGTTTAATTTACTTCCAAACGCATAGAACGCATACCATGGCAAAATGTTTGGCTACGACGACGATGGAGACGATATGAAAACAAGAATACCAGAAGCCATTTATTATTTTAAACATTCAACTGGTATGGCATATTCTTTTTTATAATGTTTTGCATTCTCTTTGGGACTTTTCCTGGTTCCTTTTTGGAGGGAAAACTTCCGCCTCCAACGAGGATATCGAATATCCCAAATGTCTTTATGCTACGACGCTCTCGTCGGTCTCTTCGCCCCCCGCCGTGGATTTTGAAAAGTTCTTTTAACTTGCATTTGTCATTTTAAACGGCCGCGGAGTTGCCAATATGTTTTATTCATTCCTCCATGGCCGACTTTCGTGGGAAGAGCCAATACCTTGGGCCGATTGTTCAGCATTGTAAGCGACCCCCCTCCGCTGACACAAGCACAAAGCGCGCGCGTGTGGGTTTTTTTTCTATTTTCACCTGTGGATGTTCCGCGATTTAGCCCTCTCTCAGCCCCCCGCAGTCCGCCGTGAAAGTTGAACAATTAAACTTTGTTGAAGACGGTCGGGCTGCTGGGGCTGGCGGAGGGCGTGTTATTCCATGCATATGGCGAATGGCCAATGGTTCTAGGCTCGGTAATGCATCCGGCCTTGTGCTGCCTCGTACCTTTACAATTCTCCGCGTTAAGAGATGAGGGGCACGAGGGCAATCCATGCAAGGACGAGACCCATTGTCGCTTATTTTTGTGGTGTCATGTTGCTTATCTAAAAATGTTGCGTTGAACCCTTTGGGTGACAAGCCCTCATCATTTAAGGGATTCATTTGGACGTCATATTTGGGATCATTTGAAAAGGATTGCCAATACTACTACCATCGACGTAATCATCATTATTGAGCACCGGTTAGATTTCAACTATACTCGCATAGGAAATAAATAATAATATACTGCATCTTTTGTATTTATCAGGTCTTTTATCAAGTGCGTTGCACGCATGCGTTCCCACTAATTAACATATATGGCCAGTCTTCAATCTGCCCGCCCGTACAATATGTATGCATTCGAACCACTTGACTGGTGAATACAGTCCATCGATACGAGCAGTACACACACACACACACATTACCACACACTAGGCAATAGAGTCATCATTTTGTTCAAAAGTTGACAACGACACAAAAAGATAAATGCTGTTCATACTGGGAGTAAATGCTGCCTCCCAGAGAAAACCTTTTTACTAATGTCCATCCACCTCCATCCAACCTCATTCCACCTCGGCGGCCAAAAGCTGGAAATTCAAAAAGTCAGCCCTGGATGCGAATCTACAAATACAAAAACGATCATCCTGTTTGAGAATAAACGGCATTTTCTTATTTTTTCCTTGATTTTTTTAATGTCCATTAGTCGCTTGTCGTTGTCGTTGGTCACAGGGTCGTTTCCACCATGGCTGCGCATTTCAAACTCCGCGTCTGGTGACGTGTAAACTGGACTTTTTGGGGCTGCCCGCGTGCTCTAGCCGTTTAACCGTGTGGGGTAGCAAGTGAGATTTCGAAAAAAAAAGGCATTTCGAGTGCGTTTAAATAGAGGCTGAACGGAACATTACCCTCGCACCTGTTCGCCAAAGAGTCGCAGCCAACGCTTGTCAACATTCACATAAATAGGACCTGCTCAGACGGGCTCCTCATCGTGTTTCTTTAGCTCGGACATTTTCACCTGTAGCGAACGAGCTGAATTTTATACTTTTACGACATTGTATCTGCACGATAGCCATCACCAACAGCTTTGCGCTTACAAGTCTGAGCCGGTTCGTCTCCCATTTCACATAAAGCTCATGGCAACATGTCGACAACAAGGACCTCGACTGTAACAGCCATGGAACCAGTATCCCCAAAAGCACACCTAAGCCTCTCTCCCAGCGACTTGTATTTTACGCCCACCCGCTCGCATGTGGGAGTCATTGCCAGAATCTCGCTTCAAAACAATCACCCATCCAAGCGGCCAGTAGGATACAAATTGAAGACGAATGCACCGGCCAGATATTCTGTTAAACCTGTGTTGGGTGTATTGGTGGCTGGAGCGACTGTGGATGTCCTAGGTAATGGCAGGTTGATTATTTGTTAAAAAGGAATCCTATTCTCATGTAGGCTTGCTTGCTTCCTTCTGCAGTTAGGACTGAATCAGCTATCCATCCTGACGATCGGTTCCTCCTACAAACCATTTTCTTGACAGACGAAGAGTCCGTGGGGCTGGATGCTGCCAAGGTAATAAATGCATGTTGACTGGCCCTATACTGTCACTCGACTCACTCTTTTGTTGAACCGCAGTGGCGCACATTAGATCGCCGACGGATGGCCGACACCTTTATCGACTGCAAACCCGCCACCAGCCGTCCACGCGGCCTATCTGCTGCATCTACATCCTCGTCATCATCGACGGGCACCTCTACCACATTACGACCGTCACCCACAAAGAACCCAGTGGACGTCTCGGTACGAGTGACGCCGCTTGATGTGGTTGTGTTTTCATGTCTCTGCCTGGTGTTGGGAATTTTGATGCCTTACAGAAGTCTAGCACATCTGGTAGATTTGACGTTGGTGTGACAAGCAAACGTCGTGCTATAGAGTGTGGGGAGGCTGCTTTCTTGTATATCCTTAATTTTCTGTTATATAATTTTAGATAATATTTGACCCTAGAATAAAACCTCTTAATGTATTGATTTAAACAAACTGGGGAGTTTGATGGGAGTTTATAACCAGTTTAGCCATGAAGGACAACTCGAAAGGATTGTTCTAAGACAAGTTTTGGTGCAGCGGAACGAGAGTTGCCGCTGCCGTTTCTAATGCATGGTAAAGAATATCTATACTGGAGATCATGAGGATCAAACATCGTATTTGGAGGCTGCTTCAACCGCACCTTTTAGGATGCAAGACCGTCTCAGGAAAAAGTGTTAGATAGAGCACTGAATGCATTCTCCGAGCCCTTCAGTAATTAAATGATTAGTATTTCTGATAATTATTGTCCAATAACACAGGGGTAGTAACTCAGTGGTAGAGTGTCTGCTTCGCATGCAGGAAGCCCGGAGTTCGATCCTCCGCTACTCCATTAGCAAACCTGTCCGCGGAGTTTTTTGAACCTCCCGTCCAGAAGCGAATGCGCAAGAATGTTTTAAGATATCTGCTGTCTTTTTTGTTCAAAACAGTTTTAATATGTAGGAGTTGTATGTATCATTCATTTTCATTCGTTGCATCTTTTGATCAAACAGATTATCTCTCGGGGAGCGGGAGATAACAATCTTTTTGCTTCCGCGACATTCTGCCCCAATTGATAAGACTGCCCGTTATCTTCGCTGAAATGCCCTCAAGAGAGCTCTCTCCAGTTTTTTTGCCTGTGCAGCTTCTTTTGTCTCCCTCCATTGGCCATTGGCTGGTGGTAAATGGCATCTTATCATGTCTCCATGCGGGCTCCTGTTATCTCCCTTGGGGGAATCAAAAAAGAAAACGTCCCCCCACCACATTTTAAAATCGACAGTAGGGCAAAAAGTCCCCCATAACAGATGGTTAATGTCCATGCAATTGCCCTACTCGTTTGTCCATCGAGGCTTGAATCGCACGTAAATACACATCTCTTCTTTTTTTTTTTATTCAACGCAGTCGATATTGCCATCTGTTCTGTCTTACGAAACGATGGCTCCACCGAGTGTTCCGGAATATAACCCATATGAGCTGCAAACAGTTGAAGACGCCAATGGAAGGGTTTCCGATCCCAGCCCATACTTTGGCAATTTTCAAGTAGATGAAAGGGATAAAAAGACGCCTGACGAATGGATTAGGCGGAATCCGGATTTGCTTAGACTGACGGGACGGTGAGTTTTCTTGCAATGTGCATGGGGGTCTAAAATATAAACGTTGTTTAAGAATGTGCTCATACTTTGACATCTAGCCATCCTTTCAACTGTGAAGCACCTTTAGAAAAACTAATTGAGAAGGGATGGATCACGCCGACTGATTTACATTATGTGAGGAATCATGGTGCAGTACCTAAACTGGAATGGGGCAAGCATCGGTTGCATGTCGGGGGGTAAGCGTACGCAGGTATTTTTGTTGTCTCTGCATGAGACTGACTGGCTTTTCTTTTTTGATTCAGACTTGTATCATCCCCGCAAACGTTTACAATGTCAGATCTTGCTGCTCTCCCATCCGCAACCTTTCCCATCCTCCTCGTCTGTGCTGGCAACCGGCGTAAAGAGCAAAACATGACTCGCCAAACGATAGGCTTTAGCTGGGGTCCTTCGGGATTGTCCAATTCCATTTGGAAGGGCGTCCTGCTAAGAGACCTTTTGTTGCAATGTGGTGCACCTGATCCCTTGGGAATTGTCGAGGACGGAGTCGTCATGCCAAAGTGGGTCATATTCCAAGGGGCCGAGGATCTGCCAAAGGGAAAATATGGGACGAGCATCGCGTATGATGTGGCCATGGATCCTAGATGTGATCTGTTGGTTGCGTATGAGCAGAATGGGGAGGTAAATAAACACATCTTTCTTAAACATATCCAAAGTATGGCATGCTCACTTTTATGGAAAACTTTGGTAGCCATTAGCTCCCGATCATGGTTTTCCCGTTCGTATCGTCATCCCAGGTCATATCGGCGGCCGTATGGTAAAATGGCTTGCGCGCATCATTGTCAGTACAGAAGAAGACTCTAGTCATTACCATTTTCACGATAATCGGGTCTTGCCCCCCAACGTTGACGCCCAAATTGCAACGGTATGTCTCGCAGTATGAATCTGGTCATTCTATCCTTTGCCTCCGCCTCACACTCTGCTTCCAGGCCGAAGGATGGTGGTACAAGCCAGAGTATATTATCAACGAACTTGGAATCAACAGCGTCATCACCTCCCCTACTCACGATGAGCTCATCCCCATCACTATAGATGGTGGATACAAGTTCCGTGGATATGCATACACAGGAGGTGGCCGAGCCATCACCAGGGTAGAAGTGTCCTTCAACCATGGTGAACGATGGGAATTGGCAAAACTGCTGCCCTACCCTGTTGAGCATATTCGACGGGGAAAATATTGGTCATGGTTTTGGTGGGAACTTGATGTTAAGGATGTGAGAGACTTGTGCGGATGTACACAAGTTTGGGTTAGAGCATGGGAGGGACAAAACACACAACCTGAAAAACTGACTTGGAATGTTATGGTACGTGATGCTCTGTCGAGTGCGCCTTGATAGTCTTCATATCACTCACGGTAAATCAACTTACAACAGGGTATGATGAACAACTGCTACTTTCGCCTTCACGTTCATGTGCAGAAAACGGCCACGGGCATATCACTCCGTTTCCAGCAACCCGCCCCGGTAGTGGGTGACGGATGGATGATCAAGCCACCAGAAGATCACCAGGCGGCAGCAAAACCAACCATCAAAAAGGATGAGACAAAGGAGTTACGAGTATTTTCCATGTCGGACGTTGAAAAACATTCTTCAGAGGAAGACTGTTGGATTGTCGTCAATGGAAATGTGTATGATTGTACAAAGTTTTTAGATGATCATCCTGGAGGTAAGCAAGTCATCCTATTCCTTGTGAAGGATTTTTGGTATTCATCCATTCTCCATCGACGCAGGACCAGAGAGTATTGTTATCAGCGCCGGTACAGACTGCACCGAAGAATTCGATGCCATTCATAGTTCCAAAGCCCACGATATGCTCAAGGACTACCTTATCGGCACCATCGCAAAAACCCCTTCAGCCCCGATACCTGCTTCAACGAAACCTGTTGCGCCCGTTGAGGAACTCATTGCCCTCAACCCCCGTGTCTATGCTCCCTTCAAATTGATTGAGAAACAGAAATTATCTCATGATACCCGGCTCTTTCGATTCGCTTTACCTTCACCAGACCACCGTCTTGGCCTTCCACCTGGCAAACACATGTACATATCCGCACAGGTTAACGGCAAGTTGGTGATTCGAGGTTATACCCCCGTTTCAACAGACGAAGAAAAGGGCTTTTTTGATCTAGTTGTCAAGATCTACCTGCCAGATCGGCATCCATCCTTCCCAGAAGGTGGCGTCCTTACTCCATGGCTCGATGCTCTCCCTATCGGGGCTGAGATAAAAGCCAAGGGTCCATTAGGCAGCATTGTCTACCTGGGTCAAGGAACATTTACACTTCCCAAACACAAGCAACCCAAGGCCGTGCAACGAATCAGTTTAATCGCAGGCGGTACCGGCATAACCCCATGCTACCAGATTCTCCGTGCTGTCCTCTCTGACCAATCAACCGCCGCTCAAAACATTCGTATATGGCTTCTCTACGCCTGCCGAACCGACCGGGATATTCTGCTTTTGAAGGAGATTAACGAATTGGCCGAGAAATGGAAGGGACGAGTGAGAGTTTGGTATACTCTCAGTGGTGCCTGTCCGAATGGCTGGATGTACGGAACGGGAAGAGTGAATAAGGACATGGTGGCCGAACGTTGTGCGCCTGGCGGGGACGGGAGTTTGGCGTTGGTGTGTGGACCGGATGGAATGGTCAGTGCGGTCATGGAGTGTTTAGGTGAGGCGGGGTACGCAGAAGACAGCCGCTTTGCATTCTAGATGGATAACAGCGTGGATAGAAAATGGACATGGGGACCTAACTATCATTGATCACGATATCAAAATATGCCATATAAACCTGGAATGAACATATACATGTATGCAAATATTTGACAACAAAACAATCTATATACATTGCACTTCTACGTGTAACAAAAAATTCTCGAGTATTGCTTAAAACCCATCGCCAAATCCTCCATCGAATCCGCCGTCAAAACCACCATCCCATCCACCATCATCATAGTATCCGTCATCAAAACCATGGTGATGATGATGATGATGTCCGAGAGAACTCAACGCCAAGAATCCTAATCCGCCCGCCAGCGCCCCAGCACCTAGCGCTGCACCGGTATTCATACGACCAGACGACTGTTGCGTTTGAGACGATCCAAAAAACGACGGTCGGTTAAAGAAGCTTCGATTTTGTTGAGGAGGTGGAGGAGTGTATTGTTGCACCGGAGCATATTGTTGCACCGGAGCCTGATATCTTGACGATACAGCCGCTGCTACCGCTGCATCTTCTTCGGCTTGCAACCGTCGAGCAAACTCCTCGTCTTCCTGTTCTTGCCTTAGCCGCTGCGCAAGCTCAGCGTCTGTTACTGTTTCCGCTTTAGTGTCTGCACCGGATTTCAAGCCAGCGATAGGTTGTGTAGGTTGAGTTGTTGGCATTGAAGCAGCAGCAAGGAAAGGATTGGTCGTGGACGGTGTAGAGCTCGATGGTGTGTAAGGCGGTGGAGCTTCTTCCGGACTTGTGGTTATAGTTGTCTGCGGGAATTCCCACTGGGACACGCCGGTTCTCGTGTCTACAAATGCAACGAGCATTATTGACTGGAATCCTGGAACCATTTATGAGTGCAACCAAGTATTACCAACGTAGTAGTTTCGTTTGTAATTGCTATCAAACTGGACTATCCAGTGAGGCGGAAGGGGACGAAAATCAGTCATGGCTTCGAGATGTTTTTCAGATCCTTGTCAGTTGCTTTGAGTTCTTTATTGCTGTAGAAATTGGATTGTCCTCTGCTTGTCTTTTTAAAAGATTGTGCAGCTCGTCGTGGATTGAAATCTAATTGCCAAGTCAAACTGCGAACGCAAGTGGGGCTTGCAAGTTGCCCTTTCGGTGTGGCTATGATGCAACACCTGATTCTAGCCGGCTCCAACCCATTAACGATCTGGCTTTTGGCTTGCATTAAGATGTCCATCCTACGACAATAGGAATTACAGTGCATGACCGAAATCTTGCGCATATGTGTGTATATGCCATCCCGAATGAGTTGCAGTAATCCTTGCATCCCATTATTTCCCAAATCAACCAGAATGTACGTCCATAGTTACTAAGAAGCGACGCACGAAAAAAGAGTGTGGCAAACCAAACCCTAGCGCCAGCCTCTACTCTCACGGACAGTGACACCTCCTATTAGAAGTCCTCAAAACGAGGGTATTCAAGTCGGAACGGTCCTACTCTTCCACGATTGTAACGGGTAGTCGCCACGGGGACAACGGCTCACGCCGTGCAGTGCGGACTACTCTGACTTAATCGTGGGGCTAAACGGATTGGATTACCGCGGCGGCGAAAGGATGCAAACGCTTGTCGTCGTCGTTGTTGGGTTACCTTTCGGAGCCAACGGAACCCGGCTCTTTAAAAGCCATCCTGTTGAAGCATTGGAGTTAAAGAACGCAGTGCAGCCGCCTTTATAAATATCTGAATATATCACGTGCATCCAGAGTTCTTTTTTTCCGTTTTTATGACTGTGCCAATTCCATCGTCGTCAAGGTCACGACGCCTGTTGCGAAACAAGCTGCTGCGAACGAAGTGGACGTTGAGATCGGTTTCTGGGGACGGTGTATTGGGTCATTGTTCACGGCATTTGGTAAGTTAACCCAATGAGGCCCTTGCAGTATGAAAAGTTTACAGGGCTTACCTTTTGCTCAACGCGCTCATCGTGCAGGTAGGTCCTCCTCCCATAACCTAGCATCTCCCCGCTCCTGAACAAACCCAACGATGGCTGAGAAGCTCACACGTATCGGTATGTAGCAAAGAATTCGCGCACATGTCCATCAAAGGTTTTTGTTGAAGCTAGCATTTTAATACGATTCTCATCCCGCAGCTCTTGTCAGCACTGACAAGTGCAAGCCAAAGAAATGTCGGCAGGAGTGCAAAAAGTCGTGCCCCGTAGTCAGGATGGGTTAGTATTAATTCACAAAAGCGTAACCAGCGGAATGGCTGGGTCGAAGAGCGAGGGATCTAACATGTGTATCTAGGGAAACTCTGCATCGAGGTAACACCCAACTCGAAGATCGCCTTCATTTCCGAAGAGCTATGTATAGGTTGCGGTATCTGTGTGAAAAAGTGTCCCTTCCAGGCTATTCACATTGTCAACTTGCCCACCAACCTCGAGAAAGACACTACCCACCGCTACTCGGCAAACTCCTTCAAGCTTCACAGATTACCAGTGCCACGACCGGGGCAGGTATTGGGGTTGGTGGGTACCAACGGTATTGGCAAGTCGACCGCATTGAAGATTCTTGCCGGACGATTGAAGCCGAATTTGGGGAAGTTTGACGACCCACCAGACTGGGAAGACATTCTCAAATATTTCCGGGGTTCTGAACTCCAGAACTACTTCACCAAGATTCTTGAAGACAATCTCAAAGCTATCATCAAACCCCAGTATGTCGATCATCTCCCAAAGACGGTGAAAGGAAAAGTGAACGAGATCCTGACGGCAAAACAGGAGCTAGACAACAGAGACTTCCTGATTGACCAGCTGGATTTACAGGACGTTTTGGAACGTAACATTGAGAATCTCTCTGGAGGAGAGCTGCAGCGGTTTGCCATTGCAGTGGCCTCAGTGCAAAGAGCGGATATTTACATGTTTGACGAACCCTCGTCCTATCTCGATGTCAAGCAGCGTTTGAATGCCGCCCGGGTGATCCGATCCTTACTGCACCCAACCTCGTACGTCATTGTCGTGGAGCACGATTTGTCCGTTCTCGACTATCTATCAGACTTTATTTGCGTCCTTTACGGTATGCCGTCTGCGTACGGAGTCGTCACACTGCCTTTCAGTGTGCGGGAAGGTATCAACATCTTCTTGGATGGGAAGGTTCCAACCGAAAACTTGCGGTTCCGTGATGAATCACTAGTGTTCAGGTTGGCAGAAACGGCTGAGGACAACAGCGAGAACGAAAAGATGCGCAGGTTCCGCTACCCACACATGAAGAAGACTTTGGGAGACTTTTCTTTGGAGATCGAGGCGGGGCAGTTCACCGATTCGGAAATCATTGTCATGTTGGGACAAAATGGAACGGGGAAAACCACGTTCATTCGTATGCTAGCTGGTATTCTGCCTGCTGATACTGAAGAACAGGTGCCAGAGTTGAAGGTGTCTTACAAGCCTCAGAAGATCAGTCCTAAGTACCAAGGCACCGTAAGGATGTTGTTGATCAGCAAGATCAAAGGCATGTTTATGCACCCACAATTCCAAACGGACGTCATCAAGCCTTTGCAAATTGAAAACATTATTGACCAACAAGTGTTGACCCTCTCTGGTGGTGAATTGCAACGTGTCGCTATTGTGCTAGCGCTTGGTCTTCCCGCGGACATCTATTTGATCGATGAGCCGTCAGCCTATCTTGACTCTGAACAACGTATCATTGCCGCTAAGGTGATCAAGAAGTTTATCTTCCACTCCAAGAAGACTGCGTTCATTGTCGAGCACGATTTCATTATGGCAACGTATCTTGCCGACCGTGTAATTGTATACGAGGGTCAGCCTTCCGTCAAGGCCAAAGCCAACAAGTGGGTGTCCATTATCAACAGTACTAATGGTTGTATCATTTTTATCTAATCCGCCTCATGTTTCAGGCCCGAATCGCTATTGACCGGAATGAACAAGTTCTTGGAATCGCTTCAGATTACCTTCCGCCGTGACCCCACCAACTTCCGGCCGCGTATCAACAAGTCTGACTCAATTAAGGACAAGGAGCAGAAGGTGAGATCTTGTCTCTGATTAATGTTGTCTTCCTACATGGCCGATTTTAACATTTTCGTTTTAGTTGGCTGGTAACTACTTCTTCTTGGAATCCGAAGCTTAGAGATATCTGAGCAATTAAATATATGGCCATTGTCCTGAGATCGTGAAGTAGGAGGGATTTGGAAGATGCTGCCGGCCTTGTTCAGGGTTATAGGGCCATAATTGCCTACATAGAATGCCGGCATGGTAGGAAGGTCATGGACAGGATGTTGTTGATAGCGTAATTTTTTCCTGATGCTGAGGCTATGTTAGCCATTTTCATATATCATCTTAAATGCATCATGGGGTAAACAAGGATATAGTAGCGTAGACCTTCATGCGTACGTATATCCAAGTTCAAATAGCTGATCATGGCGAAAGAGTCAACTTTGAACATTTCAAGATCCGTATGGTACACTTTCTATGAATCACTACCGTCTCATGCCCCCCGGCCCTTTCTACAAAATCAGACACCCCTTCTTTGCCTTGCCTCCGCCGGCTGATTTTCCTCCACCTTTTGCCTCCTTTCGATCCCTAATCTTTGACATCAACATCTGATATGCTTCTTCCACATTTTGTCTAGTTTTCGCACTCGTCTCAATGTATGGACATCCCCACTCTCTTGCTTTAGCCTCCCCTTCTCGTGGTTGGACTTTCCGAAGGTGCGCCAAATCGGCCTTATTCCCAACCAAGACAAACGGTACCTCCTCATCGTCGAGCACTCGACAAATCTGATCTCTGAATTCTTGGGTATGAGCAAAGCTCTCTTGCTCGCAAATGGAAAATACGCAAAGGAAACCTTCCCCAGAACGATAGTAGTTGTCTCGGATCGCCGCATACTCTTCTTGACCGGCCGTGTCAAGGATATCAATGAAACATTCGGTTTGTGTGCCACCCGAGTTGAGGACAACTTTCTTTCGATACGAATCAGCTTTTGTAGGGTCGTATTCCTCAATGAAGTCGCCGTACATATATTGGAGCGTTAATGCGGATTTTCCGACACCTCCTGACCCTACCATAATTATCTTATGGAGGGGGAGGTCGTTGCGGTTTGGTTGCTTTTTACCCATTCTGGGAACCTGCAATTGGGGGGATACACGCTGGCTATGCTGCTTTCAAGCGAAAGTTTACAAGTCTGCTCATTAGCCGATAAGCGCCTGCTTCAATGTATATCGCTGGGCCCGATCCTCTCCAAACTCCTCAGCTTGCTGACGAGAAGATTTGGTCATCAGTTCCTCCATTAATCCCGTTTAGGTTGTTCAGGGGAATCGGACAGGCTTCCCAAGTGAACGCGCCCAAAAAGTTTCCTAGGCTTTTGCTGCAGATCCTGGAGAACCCGACCCGCAGGTCGCCCGGCGTCGTATGCCTCTTCGCTCGTAACAACGCTCCCAAGAACGCACTCCCCACTATAGCCCTTCGGCCATGGCTAATCTCAGCCATGTTCGCGTCGCCCTGCAGATCCATGCTGACAACCCTCACATAACGCGCAACGACGATAATTGCGTAACTTACCAACCGCCACCTACAAAAACTCGTACCCCAGACCCGCGCAAGATCCACTTTGACGGCTGCTTTGATGCGCGTGCCACGTCGACCGAAATTTACACGCAATGTGGCGTAGGTGCATTCATTGACAGGGCGCTCCAAGGATATACAGCTGGGGTGTTCGCTATAGGATCCGGGAAGCTATCGGCACAAAAGCGGACAGGGATATTTGAGCCGCTTGTTAAAAAGTTGAAAAGTGCAGCAAAGCTAAATGGCGATATCACGGTTGAGATGGTTCACTTAGGGATAACAGATACGAAATGCATTGATCTGGTTAATGATCGACCGGCCGACATTTCCGACGGCTTGAGGACGCATTTCAGAAATGTTGGAACATGGGCTCCGGTAGAAGAGGTGATTCGCAAGGGGTGCTCCCTGCCTTGGATTATGGATCTAAAGTTTGAGACAAAGAAACAACACCGAACTGTGGGTCACTTGGTTCTGGCAGATCTTGGAATGGTATGCTTTGATGAGGAGGTCAATGAAAACGTTTTCCGGCAGCGTGGACCCGGTGTGACAAAGTCCGTGTGGATTATGAAAAAGATTGTGCGGATGTTGACCCAAAATGGTGCGGAAGGGACTATACCATTTGCAGACAGTACCTTGACGTCGATTTGCCGGGATTTCTTGGGTGGCAAGGCAGCAACTAAGTTTATCATACATGTGGATGGTAGAGACAGTGTGAGCGCAAATGAGATTGCGGGCGTCGTGGATTTTGCAGAAACAATGAGGAAGATCAAGACGTTAGAATGTGTAAATGATGTAGACCCACGGGTTGCTGAGCTGCAGACAGCTATCAAGGAGTTGGAGGCACAGGTTCGCGATCTTCGAGCTTTGACAGAAAAAGAAGCGTTGAAGTTTGAGTTCAGGATGAGGGAGCAAATAGAAGGACACAATGCAGCACTGGCGGAATTGGAACAACAAAAGGAAAAGGAAGGGGAGGAACGACAAAAAGACTTCGACACACGGTGCTTAAGAATGAAGGACGAGTTTGCCGCCACCCTATTGGAGTGCAACAATTCATGGAAGCAGACAGTAGTGAAGGCTCGCAACGAGAAAGACGACGCAATTCAACTGGTAGGAGCTCGGCAGATTTCATTTGTACATTGAATTAAGCCGTAAAAGTAATTCCAATTTCCATGATTCAGCTGAAAGAAGAGCTGGAAGAAGCTCAGTTAACTGCACGCGTTGAAGTCACGAAAGCCTTGCACGATAAAGCAGCCGTAGATGAAGCATTGCGGAAGGAGCGTGTTCAAATGCGTGCGTGGCTCTCTTCTTGTTTATTGCGTTTGGTGAAAGTGCTCATATTCGTTCTTTAACATAGTGCTTATGTCGCATGATTACCAGCAACTTCGGTTAGACAATGATGAATTGTTGCGAAATTCTGAGAAGATGAAGGTGAGGTTTGCTTTAAAGAAGAATTGACCGATCTTTCGGAGTTGCTGACGACACTCCGCATGTAGACGAGTTACATCGACTTAGAAAAGGCACATCAGGAGCTTGTTACCGTCAAGGAGTCACTCGAGAACCGGTGCATTGAATTACAAGCAGACCTGGACACTGAGAGAGCGAACGCGCGGAAGACAATGGAAGAGCTGGAAATCACCAGAACGGCATTAAATACCTCAAATGAAAGTCTTGAACGCGTAAAGTACCAGCTTGAAATCGCAGAAACTGAAAGTCGAGACAAGTCGGTGAAAATCGATGAGATCGAAAAGCTGCTCTCAGAGAAGCAACTAGAGCTGGTCGAACAAAGTACGCAGGTTGATCGTTTGGAAAAGAAGTTGGTAGGATCTGAAGCCAGATTAGACGAGGCTCGGCTTGCATCTGATCGGCTTAAAGAGGAGAGAGATGCTGCGACTGCACGCCTGGAAGTGATGCGGGATCAAGCTAATTCCGAAGTTGCGAGTATCCGAGAGCAAGTTGACAAATCCCGTGACGAGACTGCTGAGACTCGGGATGATCTCTTGCAGGCGAAGGAAACCATTAAGAATCTTCGTGCGGAGAAGACCAAAATTGAAGCCGCATCCCGTGATGAAGTGGCCAAAATGCAGAAAGAGGTTGAGAACCTCCGCAAAAATTCAGAGAAGGTTGCACGGGAGCTGGAGAGGGCTGAAGGGCGATTTGAGGGTGAACGAGAAGGATGGATACGGGAAAGAGAATCCTGGGAGCGGGAGAGACGCAGATTGGTTGATGAGGTGCAAGAACTCAAGATGGAAGCTATGAGAGCGCGAATAAGTGGGAGCGAGGAAGGCGACAAAGTCAAGGTATGCCTCATATGATGTCGAACTATTGACACTGCCGTTGCTAACTATTTTGTCATGTCTGTGTCAAGGCGTGGTTTGAGAAGCTGGAATTAGAGAACCGTCGACTTCGGGACGAGATTGATCATGTCAAAGCGTCCCGGCGGGAGGACCGGACGGCTGAAGCCGAAAGCGAACGTGTCCGGATGCATCTGGCCCGTCTTGAATCAGAGAACCAACGAATGGCGGAAGACGTAGCTCGGAAAGAACGTGAATTGGCCCACGAGAAAGCTAGGTTAGAAACCTTGGCGAAAACCACTGAGAAAGCTGTGCCTGCTAAGCGCAACCGTAAGAAGCAACCGGTAGAAGTTGTTGAGGAAGATGTAGATGACTATGGCGCTGAGCAGGAAACCGCCGAACAGGAGGAAATTACGGTCCAACGTAAGAAAAAGGCTAGGGGACGAAAAAAGAAAGATGCACCAAAAATAGAGAACGATGCACCCTTACTAAATGGTGCACATTCGGACCTCGACGATGATCATCAGGAGGATGAAGTGCGGGAAGTGGCATCACAAGGGAAGGAACGAACTTCGCATGGAAGAAAAAATGCACGGAGCCCTTCTCCCTTTGTCGAAGAGATCGCGGAGATTGCGGAGGTGAGCCAAAACGCCGTTGTCGCAAGCGTCAAACCGAAGGCAAAGGGTCGTGCGAAAAAGGGCGCGACAGTGGCAGCTAGCAAAGTAGCGGATGTTCCAGCTGGACGCAATGAGCCTTCAGATCTCCTTAATGTGGGTGACGAGCCGAGCAATGTTGAGTCGGCATCTAGACCTACGGCACGAAAGAGAAAAAATGCACCCAAAAAGTCTGATCCCGAGGTGCCTAGCCATGATGCGAGCCCGGTGCATGCAGAACCAAACTTTGAATTTGCGACAGTAGGTAAGGAGTCAGGAAATCAAACGAACCATCGAGAACCGGAGACCGTGGTGGAAACCAGATCAGATGTGACTGCCACAGAGCCTATGGTGGAAGTAGCAGTATCATCAGGATCAACAAAGAAGCGAAAGAAAATGGCACCTATCGAGACGCCTTCCACGCCACCTCAACAATCTGGACAAGTCTCTGTGGATGATATCTTAGGAATAACGACCGGAGTCGGCGAAACCATTGAATCTGAGAAAGAGAACCGGGCGAGCAAAAAGGGGAAAGGAAAGGGAAAGGGGGCGACAAAAGAGTTGTTGGGAGAGACTCTGAGCGAGAAAGAGAAGGACACGAAAAAGCGAAAACTGAATCCGAAGCGAAAAATCTCGCTGGAAGTTGTGGAAGAGGATCAAGTGGAAAACAAGGAGAAAAAGAAGTCGGTGAGTGACGGCACAATATTTCTTGAGCATCTCATACGACAAGTGAGAAACTCATTTGTGATATCTTTGTAGCAATTCGCCCCAGCCGTCCAACCAGCTGCGACTGGGCCACCCGTACTCAGTCTTTCCCAACGTGCTGCGGCACTCTCAACATTAACAACCGGCGAAAACCGATTGGGCTACCTAAAAGCCCGTATACCCAACCTAAATGCAAGCGGACGCATGGAATTCAAGAAGCGACCCGGTTTGGATCCGGAGAGGATGAAAACTATATTACAGGGATATGGTATAAGTGATTGAATGGCGTGGGGAGGGATGAGGCGTCGTGGTGAAGGCACATAGTACATGTGCAGTGTATAATAGTGAGGGTTTGGTAGCTTGTTTCCTTTCTTTTTGGTACATAATGTAGTAGCGTGAATGATAATATCTATTAACGTCAGTTGCTTCCAAAACTGCGGCCTAAGGTGCGCGAAATTAACTATGTGCGCAAAACCATGAAGCCATGGTGCGTTAACTACTCGATGGTTTCACCCATTCCAAGACCCATTTGGTGTATGAAGAGGGTATCTGTAAGGCATGTTATAGATGAATGTTTCCGCGAAAGGGCAACTTGCAGCTTGCCGCATTTTTACTTTTGTATTTTCTACTTTTGATATACATTTGATACACATGCAATTTTCTAAGACAGATACAAGTCATATAGGTTACATTCCAAACCCACAACCTTCCTCTTACGCATGAGGAGCCGCATCGCCCACTGAGGAAGAGCACAATGGCACTTGTTCTGGAGGATCCATTTGCTATCCTACTCTGGCATTGCAAGAGCTTGCTGGCGCCGTTGCCCCCATCGCAGAAAGTGAGACCATCAGTTGGTTGGTTTGGAGGCTTTACGGGTGCGCGTAGGCTTGTGGGTCGCCTTGTGCGTAGGTTTGTGTGTCGCCTTGTGCGTAGGCTTGTGCGTCGCCTTGTGCGTAGGCTTGCGGGAACGAGTGGCGGTCGGCTTCAGACTCTTGGTTACGTTACAGAATGCCGCATATTGAGGTACATTGGCACAGGGTTCTTGACAAGTGTTTTGGACAGTCCAGTTTCCTATGCAACAAGCAAAAGTTAGTCCGCGCCGAAATGGAGTTTTGTACACGCGAGAAATACATACCTGTAGCGGCATTGCATTGAAGAAAGTCCTTGCCTTTGCACGCGTAGGTATCTTTGCTTGGAGTGCATTTACCGCCAGCCTTGACCGCGTTGCTACCGGAGATCAAGAGAGCAATTGCCGCAAGGGCGACCAAAAGAGTAGTGAAGGCGTGCATAATGTCTTTTCAATAACACGAATTTGATAGAGGAGATTTGGCGTGCAAGACGAGAGAAAACCTGTTTGGTGACGAGGGGGAGCTGAGAGGAGTCGTCCTTTTATGCACCGAGCGAGGAAACCCAAGAGAGAAGCAGGTTCTTCTTTTCAGAACAATCCATCCCACAGCCATCCATTGAGAGAAATCCTTTTGGAGAAAAACAGCTGTTCTTCTTGGCATTTCGTGCTTCGATATGACGCGCGCATAGGTAAGGAACGTGTTTTCGAACGTTCTCCACCAAATGTAAGTATTATGAAGAACAAGAATATTCGATGGGGATAAGACGTTGTGACCGCGCGATGGAGGAACTCCAAATGATATGCGAATAGGCGCGGAAAGAACGCTTACCTAAATTCAAAGTCCGCAAGACCGGCTTAGCATGCGCGCGCGCGTGTTAAGATTGGAATTAGATAATGAAGACGAATGATTCAACGTAATTTTGGGACGCCAATTCTAACCCTAAGGTATTATGACATATGGACATGATCTGAGCTCAAAATCCGTAAAGGGCTCTGCTAATGACAAAAACATTGCAAAAGCAGGGAGGTGTAAGCATCCCAATTGACTTGTTTGATGCTCTTGTCTCTTGCCGTCGTCCACGAGATTGCGTGTGTATGGTTTTGAGGGATCAAAGTGTGCGTATGGCGCATAGTCATCTGGAGAGGGTGCGTAAGACTGGAGAAGGCGGGAGATGGCGGGGAGGGAAAAGTCTGAGCTAGTTATTTCTCTGTGGAGAGTTTGTATGAGTGTGTCAAGATCTTTGGGTATGGGGAGTGGGCTAGTCAATCAGAGTGTGGGTAAGTTCCCTGTTAATGCCGGCTTTCTATATTGTCAATGGGGGTTCGTCACAAAAAGAGATATCAGTTTGTTTTCCCTGTGGACTCTCAATGTCTTCAAGCGTGTCAGCGCTTGGAGACATTGAAAGCAGTGGATCATCAGGGAAAAACAAATCTGTGCGTTCCCCTGCCGCTTTCCAAAGTTGAGCTTTTGCTAACTCAAATCGAATTAGCCCCATCATTCCGTGCAGGTTGACTAACAATGGGTTTGGTGCTGGATTATGGAACTTGAGGACAGCATCATGCTGCACCAGTTCTGTCTTGACCAGGTTCACTACTCGGTACCGGTTGTCCTGAAAAAACCGAGGATACTAAGTTTCCTGGACTCTCTTAAATGCCGTCTCGATATTGCAGTACCTTATAAATCATCCACCATTGAAGACCAAAGCAGTTATGATGAATGCCTTGATAAATGTAGATACCATTCATGGGGTTGTTAATTTCTGCCCCAGCTCGCATCAAACGAAAAAACTCTGATGGGTAAATTAACCGCGACAAGTGTGGAATCTAAACATCCGAACATCGTTAACAAAGTTCAGGATAAAGAACTAGTAAAGACGTATCCTCACGTATCGTCCAAGTGCCAATGGTATCAGGTGTGCTGCATGACACGGCGCATTGTGAACTCCGGTGATCGCACATTGGCGATCCTCCCTTCCCATGATCTACATATATGAAGCGATACGTTATTAATGTTTCCATGTAGATTCGAACAATGATTTTTAAACCTCTTCTGTGAAAGCCGGGGAGTGGCCCAGCACCGCTGCTTTCTGGAATTGCCATGGGAAGGCCGGAAAAAGAGCATAGATGCTCTTATGGCTCGGAGAGCCAATATTTGAGTTCGTTGCTGGATTCCGTGGGGTCCCAGAAGGCCAATAATAGGGTGAGGCTGCCTCTTGTCCACTGTGAACTAGATGCCAAATGAGTATCTGGAAACGCGTGAATGAAGGATTAATGCATTTACATCTTTGTCCGAGCCAATATTTGAGTTCGTTGCTGGATTCCGTGGGGTCCCAGAAGGCCAATAATAGGGTGAGGCTGCCTCTTGTCCACTGTGAACTAGATGCCAAATGAGTATCTGGAAACGCGTGAATGAAGGATTAATGCATTTACATCTTTGTCCGAGCCAATATTTGAGTTCGTTGCTGGATTCCGTGGGGTCCCAGAAGGCCAATAATAGGGTGAGGCTGCCTCTTGTCCACTGTGAACTAGATGCCAAATGAGTATCTGGAAACGCGTGAATGAAGGATTAATGCATTTACATCTTTGCAGCTCACGATCAATGTCATCGAATATATGCACTAGAGCCATGGTGCATAATTCCGCATTGTCTTTGCACTCCTTCTGGGCAAGGCTCACAACTTCCGCCAGGTTGGTTGCCCAGCCATTCTTTGCGAGTATGTTTCACACTATTGCCAAGTATGGTCTCACATACACCGGTTCATTAGTGTCCTTGGGGAGAGTGTTTAAAATGCAAAGATACTGATCCATTATGCTGTCAAGAGGATTAAAAAAAAGACAATCCGCACAAGAAGGGGGGATACTTACTTTCTTTTATAACTTGGAAACGAACCAAAGTGTTAGTAATCTGTACAATGATGATCTATAAAGGGAATTGGCGCGACCCTATAGATAGTTTACATCTATAAATATAGCCATGTGTTTATTGTTTCTAAATCTAAGTAGGAAACATCGCAGCAGTTTCAATTTCATGCTTGTTTGGTATGCAAGTTGTTTGCGGGTCAGACATGGCCGTCGCTTGAGTGAATGACTAATATTTCGTATTCCATCCATTTGATGCGTGCCTGACAAAATCCGAGCGTTCTGGGCAGTTTCTTCTATTGCAGATTGTTGTGGTTGCATTATTTAACTCGCCATATTCATGCCTGCGCATGACGATAGTTCAAATTGGCTGATGATGTCAGGAAACGCTTTGTCTGCTGCACAATCAGGATATCTCCCGCCCTAATTCAGCTTATAAAATCATTGCTCTGCGCAAACTCCACGACAGATAGATACATCATAAGCGTTCAATTGACACAGCTTTGATTACGGCGTTGGACGAAGAACACCCAGCGGAAAGGGAAACCCGCGGCCCATTGAGCCCATTGACAGCTCTGCATGAGTCACACAGACCCCACACATTCGTCCACAACTACCCCACAAATCTACCCCACAATGCTCGATGCTGATTGGCTGTTACCCCACCGCCACACGACCATGCGGGCTGTTCTTCCGATCCAAAACTTGCAATTTGTTTATCGCACTTTGCCCCGGCTGACTTTTTTTGTAAATTTGGAACACTTTGCTAAAGAAGGTCAGGGCATTAGCAGTCATATGGGCTTTATCCACGGTCGATGTGGTTTTACCCTTTGGCTATTTTGTTTTGGTTTTTGAGCCAGACGCAATTTTCCTGAATATTCTCTGGGGACCAGGAACCCCCAGACTATAAAAAGGGCGACCGCTAGCAGTTTATCCCCTTCGCATCAGCATTAAACAAAGGAAGCCCTCTTCAAAGAATTTCTCGCCCATTTTTGTAATTTCCTCTGTCAAGCACCCGCACCCATGTCATCCACGACTACGTCCACCGAAGCAACCACGCTCAGATTGACCAGCCCGCTTCCCACACCCAAAGATCTCGAGGCACTCATCCAAACTCTCCACAGAGAAATAACTAGCTCAGACTTTTCCCTCCCCGCCATCACCCGCCTTCTCCAGTCCTACACACCCTCTCAAGATGACTATGCGCCATACGCACACTTTGATACCTCAAAACCATACACACGCAATCTCGTCGACGACGGCAACGGCCACTTCAATCTCATGATACTCTGCTGGACTCAAGGCAAGGCGTCGCCTATTCACGATCATGCTGGTGCGCATTGCTTGATGAAGATTCTGGATGGCGAGCTGTGTGAGACGCAGTATGAATGGCCAAAAGAGGATGAAGCATGTGGGAACAGTCCCATGAGAGTCAAGAAGCAGACCGTCCATGGAGCTAATCAGGTGGCTTACATTCATGGTGAGATACAATGTGCTGTCCGCTGCTCCGCATCTTTGTTTATGAAGGGACTGAACCTTCTCCGGCCAAGCAGATCAGATTGGCCTGCACCGGATCTCGAACCCTTCATCCACTCGACCCGCCATATCGTTGCACCTCTACACTCCGCCGTTTGACTATTGTAAGACATTCTGTGAAAGTACCGGGCAGGCTCGTACCTCAGGTCGGTGTGTGTTCTATCGCGACTTTACAAAGAAGAACAAGCAGGAAGCACAGCAATTCCCGTTGCCTAATCCACGAGCAGTTCCCAATGTGGATGTAGCCGGAGCTGCTGCGACTGCCGCCTGTGGAGGCCAGATGGATATGTCACTGAGAAGCCAAAGGCCAATGTTTGTTCCATCAAAATGAGCTTGGGCATCGCTTTGGGCTGTTTGTTACAACTTGAAATTCTCAATAATACCACTGCCTATACACACCATTGAAGCGCTAGGCTAAAACTGGGCACTTGAATATACTCTCTATCTGTTCTTCCCCAAGGATCTGATCCTTTCTCATCATGCCATCTATAATGTCCTCAACATAGGAAGGCTTGCGCATCCCAACCAATACACACCCACCACTTTTTTCTAGACCCTCAGCTGGATCAGCCCCCGCAACATTTGACACCCAAAGGGCAGATCGTGCTACGTGTGCAGCAGTCGAGGCCAACGAGCTCTCCGCTTTTATTCGGCCAGGTGCAAGGGCAGCCAACAATTTTGCGAGGTCTTCATTGCTTCGGAGTAAAGATACTGCACATAATCGAAGGAAGGTCTCGGAAAGGGTCTGGAAGTTCTGTTGCGTACGTTACATTAGAATGCAAACCCAGTGCAAATATATAAATCTTGACTTCCAACCTCTCCATACTGTCGAGCCCACTCTACAACTTCTTCTTCGTTATGCGCGTCTCGAACGCTGTTCCGCAATGTCTGCAGGTCTGCCACTAAACCAGGTTGAACTTGTCGTTTCAAATAATATTTTGCGGCAAAAAGATTCTGTGCTAGTCTTGACAAGTTATCCGACAGAACCTGCAACGAAAATAGTTAGACTAAGGTCAGGGTGTTGATGAATCCTCGTATGATTAAACGACGCTGTACCTGACCCCACACGAATTTCGCCACAAGAGCGGTGTCTTCTGGTGTACCGCCCACTACGCGACGAAGATGTCAGTTCTGACTACAACATGTAACTGGCGCGCTAACGGTGCGGGATCTGCAACTCACGCATTTCAGGCAGAACAACTTCTAAACCAGAAACGGCTTCGAACGCCTTGGTTAGGTCGTGCATAATCCCCGGTTCATCTATTTCATGAATAGGCATTTTAACATCCAGAAAGTGAAATGCTAGCAATACGTTTTTACCGACCTTCAACGGCCACGCCAAGGGCAGTGGAGAGCACGCGAATCTGACCGCCAGCAATCGCATAGAGCGGCCTATGCGTGAACTGGAACAACTCGTTATTATGCGCAATTTCCATAAGGGATGGTGAACCGTCGAACCACTGAGTATACGCGTCACGTTCAAAGAGGTTGAAAGGGTACTGTATTGCGACAAAATTACGAAGATTAACGTCGGCTCGGGCAAGGGCGGTGAGAATAGAATCTAATTGGAGGTGGTCGGGAGCAGTACGAACGGGGAGAGAGTGGGAGCAGATGCCGTAGCTTCCTATTCGGCCTATGGATGTTCAAAAAAGTAAGCAACTGTGGATGGTAAACCATTTTCTGCCTTGCCGCCTCTGCTTGCCTCGTTCGACTTCTTTGTCAAGATGTGTTGCGGCTTTCGCTATTAAGTCATACACTTGATGTACCGAGTATGGCTGGAGTTGCAGAATCTCAGCAATGTAACGAACCATAAAATGAACAAAACTCATCCATACTCTGTCTTTCGCAAGCATCATCCTCTCGGGATTATTCAACATAAACGTGTCAATGGTCTCCAACCCAAGTCTCTTCAACGATGCTGTGATCTCCCTTTCCAAAAAGGCGGGAGAAAGGGAATGCGCCGTGCGGTCAGCAACAACTGTGTGATCTACGTCGAGATAATTTGGAAAGTTCGCGCTTGTGATATATCCGGCCTTGGTGACGATGACTACGGACTACTTTATGATGATTTCGGGATCAATAACAACATTTAATGTGCCCGGAAAAGATATTTAGGACGTACCTCCCGCTCCAACAGTTCTTCATTTATCCTCTTGTCCAAAACTCGTCCGATCAGCTCTTCAGAGCTCCCTAACAGGTTGAAATGCTCAGTCATTACCAGCTCAAACGCCGGTTTGAGAGATCACTTTCTCTCACCGTTTTCAAAATGGCTACTGGTGTCAATTACATTGATCCCAGATTCCAATGCAAGTGACAATGCATTTTCATGTTCCTCAACGTCCTTCCGTATCCGATACCCGCCAAAACCACTAGCAGAGACTGTCCAGCCTAGAAATTCACGTCAATGATCTGCATATTACATGCCGCGCACGCCGCAAAACGCAACGCCTTCTCACCAGTCTTGGGAACATTGGAGTAAGCTAGCGAAGCAAACTGTTCAGCGTACCGCTTTGTGCCCTCCACTGTCGCCCTGCCAGCATGAAGGCCACGACCCAATAGTGCTGGATATTATACAAAATCTTAAGATACAGTTTGCCTTGCAAAAACCTATCTACACTCGGTCATATTCAGCATCTCACCCAGTGGTTTTGAGGCCGATCGCACTGTGAATCTAAACAGCATCTTGCCGAAAAACTCTGAAGATCTTTCATGTCATTATCTTTAAAAATGATGTTAAATAAGCCATAATATTAAAACCCGGGTGATAACCTTGCCGCTTCTTCAAATCCAAACCCCAACACGTCGCCCCGCTTCCAGACCTCTTTGCCACGTAGCATCTCTTGTTCCTGTGAGTGGCATTAGATTTCTAAATTTTTAAAGAATCTCGAGGAACATCCTTCCGCGACCTTCAGCTCACCACGTCCTTCTAGCCTCCGTCGGTCGTTTCCTTTTGTGGCGCCAAAAGACCAATCAAGACTACACGCGTAGACAAATCTCAATCGCACATCTTCACGCACCTTCCACTTTTGCATTATGGGCCTGTCCATTTCTAAACTATTCCAAGGCTTATGGGGCCACAAGGAAATGCGTATTCTTATGGTTGGTCTTGACGCGGCTGGAAAGACTACCATCTTGTACAAACTCAAGTTGGGCGAAATCGTTACCACCATCCCCACCATTGGTGAGATTCGTGATTTGATTAAAACTCATTTGCTTTATACTAGTGGATTTTGTTCTCATAATATGTTTATGAACTATTTTTCTTTAGGATTCAACGTCGAGACGGTAGAATACAAGAACATTAGCTTCACTGTTTGGGATGTCGGAGGTCAGGACAAGATTCGGCCATTGTGGAGACACTGTAAGTGCCCTTTCAGGGAAAAAAAATCGTAACCCAGGTGGAGAGCTTTGAAATGAACTGTGATTTTTTGCTTGTAGACTTCCAAAACACGCAGGGGATTATCTTTGTAGTAGACTCTAATGATCGTGATCGAGTCGGCGAAGCCCGTGACGAACTTCAGCGTATGTTGAACGAAGACGAACTCCGTGACGCTGTTCTCCTCGTGTTTGCCAACAAACAGGATCTCCCCAACGCTATGACTGCTCCTGAAATTACCGACAAACTTGGTTTGCACAGTCTCAGGCAGCGTAACTGGTTCATTCAGGCGACGTGTGCCACATCCGGTGATGGACTGTACGAGGGACTGGAGTGGTTGAGCAACACTCTGAAGAGGAAGGCGTAAAGATTATCGCTGTAATGGAAAATTGAAATATACGTATTTGAATCCATCATGACAGAGCAAATTCTGTGCTTCTCCCCACTATGCTCCCATTAACTCTGGCATCAACAGACAGGGAGGACTGTTATGTAAATTATTGTTTCCAAATGTACATAATTTCCACTTTCCAAACACTACTGGGTCACCTTTTTTACTCTGTTCGTTCCTCAGCCCTACTCAAATAACCCATTTCTTGCTTGTATGCCAAAATCTCCGCCTCAGTCAGACGATCCGCTCCCGTCCAAGCAGAGCTTTGTCGTGCGCGGAACTGCTTACTGCGCTTCATACCTTCTCGGAAGACGTCTAGCCAGAAAATATGGTGTCAGTGATAGTCGTTGACCTCAATGCTCCAGCCTTTTAGCACCGACCTTCCAAGGGTGGCGCAGCACTGGGACCACCAAAGACCATGTCAGGATCTGTCTTCTCATGTGCCATCAGAAGCTTCATGAGTTCAGGAGTTTGAACCCAATCGGGCTCGTCCTTTCTTTTCTGCTTGGGCCGTGGCGTCTTCTCGCTGTCGCTTGACTCTAGATCAGAGTCAGAGTAACTGTTGAAATCAGAAAAAAACATTTGTTACAATATCGCTTTGGGCCAAATGTACTGCAATATCCCAACGTCGTATCGACAACTTACTCTGAAGGAGGTTCCGGCAAGTTGCCATTCTCATCAACAATAGTGGTTGGCCCTTTTTCCTTGTTCTCAGGCTTCCGGTGAGGAACGGAACCGGTATCTGAAGATGACTTTGCACTCTTGTTTTCATTTGACTCTCCATAATCATACAAGCTGCCCAGCACTGGATTCTGTATAGGGGCATGGCACGAGTCGCTTGATGCAGTCGTGTTGCTAACACTCAAGATTGTCTTATTAGCCGCCTTGGTGGTAGATGCTTGCACGTACAACTAAAAACACGACGAATTTACGCACGAAATGAGTTATTGATCGGCAAGAGGACACAGAACATCTGAATATACCTCTTCGGATGCAGCTTGACTGGATCGTGCAATGGAAGCCTTGACGGGTTGGACTTTCTTCACAGGTTTAGCAGCGCCCACGGGTTCACCTTTTGATGCGGTTGGTATTCCCTGTTAAAGGCACAGATAAGCAAATTGTAAACTATTTGTTAATCAAGCTGGAACTTACAGAGCGCACAATCTTTGCATTGTTCTCATCCTTGTTCGCTCCGCGGGTTCTCTCCTCATCTGCCTGTCTCCGTTCGGCTGCTTGTTGCATGCGCTCCGCGTTTTTCTTCCTTAAGGCCTCCTCCTCCTTTTATGCCAGAATTAGCAGCTATTACAATGGGGATCTCCCCCCCCCCCAGCCTTAAAACGACGAAAAACTCACCTGCTTCTTTCCTTGTATTGTGGCTTCAACACGGCGGGTCTTCTCCTCTTCCCGTTTTCTAATTTCCTCAATTCGTCGCTGTTCTTCCTCTTGTTTTCGCTGTAGAGCTAGCTTTGTCCGCTCATTCTTGTCGACTGCTCGTTGCGCACGACGTTCCTTGCTTTCTTGCTCCTATTACCATCACTATTCAGATATATGAAAGTTATTATCGCCGTCAAGTCCCATGCGAACCTTCTTCGCTGCAGCCGCCGCCGCTTGTAGACTTTTTATTTCCGTCTTTGACTTGGTACCGGCGGAGTTAACCTTTGGAATAAATGACCCGGAAGAAAGCGTAGCAAGCGAAGATCGCTGTGTGGCACATTCACAGGCGGAATTAGAATCGTAAACGCAGCAGCTAAGCAGATAGCTCACATATCACATACGATTGTATCCATTACACCACCAAATCGGGAGCTGGGTTTAACTGGTATCTCTTTTCGTGGGGTTTCCTCCACCTCAGTTTCTTCGTGTTCCACAGACTCCTCTTGTTCAGGTTGGCGAGGAGATGGCCTCGGAGTCTCATCGTCATCTAAGATCCGTTCCTCTTCACCATGGTCACCACGTAATGGTTGCAGATCGATACTTTCTTGGCCGTCTGATCGCCCCTCACCCTCCTCAATCTCCATGGATTCCTCCTCATAAACGCCGTCCTCCCCTGTTCTACCCCCTTCATAGTCGATATATTCAGTAATTTCTTCCTCATATGCGGGCTCAGATAACAGCGGGTCACGACAGATGGACAGTTCGGTCACCTCGGCCTCCGGTATCGGCTGGGAGAGAGTATTGGTGAAAGAAATGTGACTAGGAGCGTCCGCATAGGTTGATTGAGCCGAGTCTTGCCGTTCAAGCAACGTTAAGATACCGTTATTTTCCAAAGGTAGGCTGCCAAGTGCTGTACGGACCAAAGATAGCTGCCGCGCCGATGGCTGATCAATGAAGAAGAAATGTGTTAAGTGACTACCACTCAATAACGTGTGAAAAAATGTGTTGAAGGCGGACCTTATGCTGGCCATCTGGCACATCCTGTGAAGGACGAGGCTCTTGGGCGTCAAACCAAGCTGAATGGCCTTCAGAGACGGCCATGGAGATATCAATCGCCTCCACATCATCCATCTGATCCGTTTCTGTTCTTTGACATGCAGGTGTCTCCGTACTCGTGCCTTTCATTGGAGGCAATGGATCGGACACTGAGTGTGCTCCATTCCGAACGGCATCCAACTTGAAGGTGTCAGATATCACCCTCGATTCCAGGGATACTTCGTCAGAATGCCTTTGTACACTGGATGCCACATCGCGGGGAAGAGGAGCTGGTGTTTGCTGTGAGGCCAATCTCTTGTTTCTTTCCTCCAAGCCCTGTTTAAGTTTTTGGTACGGTCCGGAAAAGATGGTTTGACTCCATTGCTGCTCTCGCGACTGTCTGTCGGAATCTGCTTGGCTGGCGATCCTCGCAAACAGTGCGGCTGGGTCATCAGGATCAGACAGCCGTTGAGTGGCCAAGGATGCTATTGAATCTCGCGTCAATGATATTGATCGCTCTGATTCTGCAGTGCTCTCATTCCTTAGGGATGCCGCTGGACCTGTGGCCTCGTTGTCTAACACGCTGTCTAACACGCTAATATCGGACTCCCGCGCGTCGGTGATTTTGACACCCATCTGTCCAGACATATCAACTGTTGTCCGGCCTGGTGAACCTGATCGTGGGCCGTTTCCTGCTTGTCGCGGTGGGAAAAATTCATCGGATTCTTCCTCAATGCGGGAGGCTGCAAGAAGTTTCGTCAAAGTAGGCACGCGCACCTCCCGCGCTGCCAACGGCACAGATACTTTTCGGCCCTGCGTTGCTTGCACAATAGGTGCTGCTTTATCTGCCGCTTTTGACGTAGTTTGTACATTTTGTTCGTCACTGTTGCTGGTATGTGTGTTGGACTGGTCGACGTTTTGCGTGGCAACCGCATTGCTCTTTTCCGCCGATTCTTGGCCAAGTTGTAAAGGTATGTCCATGGAGTGATTTTCCACAGCTGTGGCTGGTATCCCAATCTCCATATCATCCACCACCTCCATTTCAACATCTTCATCATCCGATTCACCGACTCGCTGCACCAGCGGTTCGGCTGCAGATGGGACAGGTAAAATGCGGCTCCGGTCTTCTTCCTGCTTCTCCTTCAGTCTTTTGCTTGCGCGGATTGGTGCGACTTCCACAACAACGGTCTTTCCACGGGGAGGTTGCTTTCTAGATGGTTTCTCAGCCAAAGTACGTTGTCCCCCATCCATTCCGCCGTCATTCACCGTTACTGATTCACTCTCAACTTGCGTCGCTTCTGTTCGTTGCTTTTCTTCACGTCCTACTTGTCTTCTTGGCCGAATTTGGTGCTTCTCACCGGATTGTCCCATGCTTGATGTTGTGATGACCTCGCCACCTCCGCTACTCGATTCGCTGAGGTTCCCTTTTTGAGCAAACTGCTGCTCCAACTCTTCCCGCTTAGTCCGCTTTGCTGGTTTTTCATCCGTCCCAACCGTAAATGCGCCCAGTGGTGCGCGATCTATGCTTGCACGTGCCTTTGGATTGCTGACAAGGTCCACGACAGCGGAAGAGCTGGACTTTCGCTTGACTCCAGATGATCGTCCTGCGAGCGGCAAGGTCCGCAGTGGTGATCCAAAAAGTGAGTCATCTGGGGGACCAGATCCTTTGAAAAGTATTTTTCGGGTCTAGTAAATGTAGCAGAGTCAGATAACCGAATCTAATAGCTGAATCTCACATTGCCCATCGCAATGGTATCTCACCGTAGAGGGGGATCCGCCAGCCAAACTGTCTCTTGTCTTGCAGCGAATTCGAGCAGGAGTCTTGCCAGGGTTTCTACAGATAAGACGCAAGTAAGTCTTAATTCGTACACGCGTGGGATACAGACTGCGAGGGAAAGTTTGAACCAACCTCTGAGCAGTCCCATCGATGATATCCCGCCAAGATGCAAACAAAAAGTCGAGAGCATTTTCAATGTCCTCCTCCGTCCGGTCCAAGCCTTCATTATAAGCTGCGACAAAACGTTCACGGCCTTCGGCAAGCAGAGGCAGTGAGGCGGCCTTTGACAGTAGCTCGGCGGCAGTCTTATCTGCCTTGCGACTCCTCAACGATCTGGACATGCCTTGGGTAGCCGGGGGGAGACGTTACGATATTCTTCAAAGAAGCTAGTCCCAAGTGACTATTTCCTCAAGGAAGAGGGCAAAAGAACAGGGCAATGCTTCAACTCGCGCGACATGAAAGCGCCCCGTTCTGCTTGCGTCCTCGCTGGTATAATGGATAGTACTATGCGCTACAGGCAGCCCTGCGTTTCCCTAACGGGATGCTGAATCCGCCTTTGCAATCGTACTCAACGTCTGATCTAGCCTTTTTGCGCAGAATTGGAGTGTCAAAATCCAACGCGCTGCCTGCCAGGATCCGATAGGACTGGACAGCTCAATTTGGATTAATGGAATTGAAGGCCACCTTTGGCCAAAGCCCGACTTCTGGAGGCATTTCTCCCACCAATCTCGCTCTTACGCCTCCTTCTTCCTGATAATTTTATAATAGCCCAACTGACTACTACCTGCGAGTTCTCTGGAAATACTACAAGATAAAATCAGTCCAACTGCTCGACCGACCCGATGCGTGTGAAAACACTTCAAATATTGTGGCACGATAAGGAACCAATTTTCTCAGTGGACTTTGAGCCGGGGACCAGTGGGAGATTAGCGACTGCCGGGGGGGATCACAACGTTAGGGTAAGAGCAATTGTCCGAGTGTCGAGTGCGGGGCCATAGTGGGCAAGCCTGATTCATCCAAGGTCAGATATGGAAGCTAGTAAAAGAAGACGACCAACCGCCTTCAATAGAGTTTTTATCCAGTCTTACTCGACACACGGGAGCTGTCAATTGCGTGAGATGGTCCCCAAAAGGTAGGCAGGCATCCTTTTATTCTTGACGGGATTTGGACTAACCTAGTATCTGGTGACATTGATTAGGCGGTGTTCTTGCGTCTGGAGGAGACGGTTAGTGGAGGTTCTGTCAATATCAACATTATGACTAACATTTGACGCGGGCTTTAGATGGAACCATATTGTTATGGCAGCAAACGGAACGCAAAGATGGCGGTGAATTTGGGGAGCAGGACTCTGAGACGAAGGAAACATGGCGCATTGGCAGCATTTTGCGGTATGGCCCTTCTCAATTTTAGACTCATATCCTTTGTTGATGAATACCTTATTTATTAGAGGGGCAAGTTCCGACCTGTATGATTTAGCCTGGTCGCCCGATGCAACATATATCATTTCCGCCTGTACTGACAACACAACGCGAATCTTTGATGTGAAAGAACGTAAGACGGGTCACCTTATTCTTTACGAATGGCTTGTGCGCGATACTCAGATCATTTGAATGTCACCTTACAAGAGAGATGTATTCAAGTTCTTACGGATCATGGACACTTTGTCCAAGGGGTGGCTTGGGATCCGTTAGGAAAGTATGTGGTAACGCAAAGCAGTGATCGGTGAGTAGGTAGCCTTATACAAACATCCGTATACGTCTGCTTTAACCCAAGATGTCAGCTCAGTCAACGTTTACACCTATGAGCACAAGAAGGGGCAACTGACCACTCGTGTGGCTGCACGGCTTACAAAATACAACCCAAGTAAACTAGCATCTCGGTCACCAGCGAAAACTGGCGAACTAGATGCAAACCAAGACACGATGCGAGGAAACTCAACTGACTCTGGCAATTCCACCGCAACACCAGCACAGGCAAAACCATTCCGTATATATCACGACGAAACTCTTACCTCCTTTTTTCGACGACCCACATTTACCCCGGATGGAGCCTTGCTAATTACTCCTTCTGGGGTATTCCGGGAGCCAGGGGACGGGAAACCTGACTCTTCGGACGCGAAGAATACTGTATATATTTTTACTCGTGGCAGAATAACAGGGTGAGTTGCCATCCGGTCTGAATTCATAAGAAACTTTTCAAAGTTATTAATTTGACCCCCGCGATAGACAACCAGTGGCTCATTCGCCAGGGCAAAAGAAGCCCTCCGTCGCAGTGAGATGCAGTCCTGTTCCCTATCAGTTGCGGACCATTCCGACAAGATTGCCTCCCTCGCCTCCAAGGGACACCTGTTTGAGCAATGACGAATCCCTGACACCATCGCTGTTTCGACTTGGGCACCGATATGTATATGCTGTTGCGTGCCAAGACGCTCTCCTCATCTATGATACGCAACAGGTCGAACCGATAGCTTACCTTGGAGGGCTACACTATGCGACATTGACAGACATTGCATGGTATGGATCATAGGCTGGTGTATAGATCTTCAATGTGTGTGCTGACATGGCGTCCGTGACAAATAGGTCGCCAGATGGCTGTACATTGCTCATGACATCCACAGATGGGTTTTGTTCCGTAGTGTCCTTTGAAAAGGGTGAGCTCGGCGTAGAAGCGATTGTAAATACGGACTGTCTACAGCAAGTGGAGACGCCGCCCAAAATCAAGTCACCAGCGAGTCGAAGCCACGTGACTGGTTATGCGGAGTTTGAAACCCAAGGTTCTGGCGGGAATACAAGACGAGACGAACAAGCATTGGATATGCCAAACGAAACAAAACAATCCAATAGTGCTGGACAAGAACAACAAGGGCCAATATCCAAAAAACGCAGGATCGTACCTACGTTGATCCAAAAAAACGTGTAGTGGATACAAGTAATTCTGACATCTATGTGCCACAGAAATGTATTTTAAGGATGGAAATAAGCGTAATAAAACCCTCGGCTCTCTTGTAGCCGTTGGGTTCGCCTCCCAGAAACCCGTTCGAATCTCTCGTCTCCATAGCAACAAGCGCGCCCATTCGGCAAATCCACCAAAATGGCTAAGTCAAGGGATACAACCGTTACCCTCGTGCAAGACGGCCCTCTCGACTCCCTTTTTCTCAACTTGACTTGTTTCCCCTTCTTCCCCCATTGGGAATTCCCAGCTTGCAGGTTCATCTTTTGTGTGCCGCGTATTCATCGTTGGCTTTATACATCTTCCATATTTTTAAAGCAACTTGCGCGCGTGCAACAGAGCCGGCGTGGCTTTGGGCGGCCGCAATCGTCTGCGCGTAGTTATTCGAGTCTGTTGGGGAAAGGCGGATCATTTTCTCGCTGGATTGAGGCATCCTCTCTGATCGTCCCCTAATCATCAGCTCCATCCTTTAACCCCCGAGAAATCAGCCAAGACGTCGTCACAACGGAGATACCCGCAGGCTCAGCGCCAGCCGCTACCGTCCCCAGGTCTAATCCCGGTCGCAAATCAGTCCATCGCAGGCCAACTTCCTGGAACAGCAGTTGTGTTGGCTGGAGGACCCGTCCACTCACCACATCTCGGACCAACACCTTCCAGCCAAGTACAGCAAATGCAGATTCCTCCTCAACCACAACCACAAGGGAAGATGCCTTCCTCAAATATCTATAACCACAGACCGATGATTCCACAAGCCGCTCAACCTCCTCAACAGCCAGGAGCACCGCCACAGGCGCTGGGACCGCAGCAAGGCGGTCCTCCCCAAGGCCCAGGCGGTCCGGGAGGACTTCCCCTGCAGGGCCCAACGTCCAGATTGAACGATCTGTTTGAAGCGATCAAAGCCGAATTCGAAACTGTTGGACAAGATATCAGTGTTTACAAATTACAAAGAGATGAATTGGAGCATAAACGTAGGACTCTTTGCCCATTCCAGCCGTATTTCAAGCTCACTTGGGGTGATTATTGAGATGCTAATAATTGTCCCCATCTCTTGCAAATAGTTACGGCACAAATCACAGAACTCTCAGCATTTCAGCAGTCGTTATATGAATTGGAACGGGCACATCAGAAGATGAAGCAAACTTATGAAGAGGAAATACATCGTTTGCGTCGCGATCTGGAAGGACGAGGGCTGCCACCTGCATCGTCAGCTATGGTGCAAGATGTACGGCAGTCTCGAGGGCCACCTGCACCTGGCTTTCCAGAAGGCGTTCCCCCGCCGGTTTTAGGGAGCAATATGGGTGCATCGAGCGGCGGTGGTGTTTTTGGTGCTTTGATGTCGGGTTTATTAGTTTAAGCCGATAATCTATAGTTATTCATCACAGAGCATGATAAGATTTGTGATATTATTCATCCTAATGAATAATTTTTTTTGTTCGTGAAAAGGACCAGGAGGGGACCCTAGAAGTTTGCAACAGCCATATCTCAATGGGGCACCTGGATCTGATGGCCAACCAAGTAAACGTATGAGAACTGAGGATGGGCCCATGCCCATGAATCGGGACATGTCGGGTCCTCCACCAAATCCGTATACTGGGCGCGAACAAGTTGCAGGATATATGCCCGGTCCTGGACCTGAGCGAGAGCGGGACAGAGAGCGAGAAAAGAAAGCTAAGAAGGGCTCCATACAAGACGAGCCATATCGCCAGGTCCGGTCCAAAATTGGCTTTTTACAGTCAGTAAATTGAACCATGGTCGCTCACCATTACCTTTTCTCATCATAGGGGGCACCCAAAGATCAACAACATCCTTCTGCTGGATATGGTGGACAGCCTCCTTATCAGCACATGAGCGGTCAACCAGTCATACCACCGCAGCAAATGCCACCACAACAGCATATGGTATTTGTTGTCTTGGATTTTCTTGTTAGATCTCCTTGTTATTCTAATAGTCAACCTGCCGCAAAACAGCATTCTTCGGCAAGAGGCAGCACTCCCACACCACAGGTTTCAAGACAAGGAAATGGTCAAGGGGTATGCTTCTGACCTTAGCTATTCATTTCCGCGGACAACTAATGCCGCATTCACCTCTGACCCCAGCCGTCACAGCAAGGCATGGCTTTGCAGTCAATGATGCAGCAAGCGTACCCACAACATCATGTGACTGGCATATGCGACCTTGATCCCGACAGTGTACCTCCTGGATGGAAAAAAGAGGGTGGCGATTGGCTCGTTGTATACAACCCCAGAAGTCCAAGTCTTTTGAAGGCGAGGCTTAATGTTGAACTGGTTCATAGCTTGGAGCATAGCAGGTATATATGAGTACTGTGGCGCACTATATGATGGGAACCTAACTATTACCGTTATCAGCGTCGTCTGTTGCGTAAAATTTTCACCTGACGGGAAATATTTGGCAACCGGTTGTAACCGCGTGGCATTTGTATACGATGCAATATCGGGCGCGAGAATCAGGTGAGCTGTGCAGTAAGACCCTGGTGTATTTTGGAGCATATCGATGTTAACTGCCAAGTCCATGAAGCACACTGAGCGACGAGCGTGCTCCCAAAGATAGCGATTTATACATCCGTTCCGTTTGCTTTTCCCCTGATGGAAAATACTTGGCTACCGGAGCTGAAGACCGAATTATTCGCATTTGGGACATACAGCGACGAAAGATAGTTTTTACTCTCGATGGCCACGAACAGGACATATACAGTCTAGATTGGTCCAGGGATGGACGAGTTATTGTGAGCGGTAGCGGCGACAAGAGCGTAAAGGTAGGCGAGCGGTAGCGATGATTGGTATACAATAACGGAACTCAATTTTTTTTTTGGGCAGGTGTGGGATGCCGAAACCGGAAAATGTCTTCTGACGATGATTAACGACGACGAGAAGTCACTCCCCGCACCACAACCAAATGGCTCGACGCTCAAGGACTCTGGTGTGACTAGCGTGGCGGTTAGTCCTTTGGATGGGCGTTGCGTGGCAGCAGTAAGTATTCTTGCAAGTATTTTATGGAACTGGGTACACATTAGTAGAGGATTGCTAAAATGGGCCATCATAATAGGGATCCTTGGATGAGATGATCAGACTCTGGGACCTGCGAACTGGTCAGCTTTTGGAACGATTTGAGGGACACAAAAACTCTGTTTATTCTGTTGCCTTTTCACCTGATGGCCGTTCCATCGTATCTGGGTCCCTTGACAAAACTCTGAAAATATGGGATTTGTCGCCTGCGACTCTGGCATTCTTATCCAAATCACATGATAACCGGTCCCCCACCAATCCCTCAGCAAACGGCGGTCTGGATCCGTCGGAGAGATTTGAGACCGTGATAACAACAGCACCGCGCCACACCTTTGTAGGACATCAAGACTATGTTCTTTCGGTTGCATTTGCTGGATTGAACTCTTCCATTGGTCGTGTTGACGAGAATGGAAATCCCGTCGCAACAGCGGGAGGAGAAAGTCTTGCAGACGTTGAGTGGGTCGTATCAGGAAGTAAAGACCGGACTGTGACTTTCTGGGATGGCCGAGCTGTAATGGGTCAGCGACCTGGTATGGTCGATACGACGACCTCAACCCAATTTATGTTACAAGGTCACAAGAACTCTGTGATATCAGTCGCATTGGCACCCGTCGGAGGGCTATTTGCCACCGGGTCGGGCGATTGGCGAGCTCGTATCTGGCGCGTGTCCGCTGCTTCGGATCGTGGGGGACCTCTCGTACCTGGTGGCCCTGGTGGACCCGGTGGTCCATCATTGCCACCTCTTAGTGGTGGTCCTGGAGACCGAGGTGGTCAACCCATGGTGCTACCTCCGATGCGAACATCTACCGATGTCAAGATCGGTCGGGAGCGAGAGAGAGAAAGGGATGATGAACGGAATGTGGATAAAATGGAAGGTGTTAAAATGGAGAAATGACGGGGAGGCTTTGGTAAATAGGAGGCGCTTTTCCCCTGCTTGTTTTCTTTTTTTCTTTTTGCATATAGCTCTTTTTTGGTCCGCGGAAATGTGGTGCAGGATTTGTTTCTGTTGAAATACAAATGAAGGCTCTCTTATGCAGTGTGCGGTGTAAGCATAATGATGAAGATTGTGGTCAGGAATCCGCATAGCGGATAGCTATGGCTACGATGCTTCGTTCCTTGATTCCAAAAAGACAAGGGCAAGTACACAGAGGTTTTAACAGGTCATGTGTGTAAAATACAAAGAAAGAAAAAGTATTGGATTATCATGTCTATCTATGCCAATCCTACATGGCCTTGGGTGTTTTCCTTTTCTGTGCAGGGCTCCGCGGCTTGGCGTACTGTGCGCCAGCCTGATTGAAGTGACGACCCAAAATTAGCAAACGGAAAATGGTTTCAAAGCACTTTGCCTACGTACCACGGTTCTATTATTCCAATATAACACCATTTGTAGCGCGATAACGGCATTCAACCCGGTGGCGACCAAAGCCGAAGTGAGCAATACTGGATCGTCCACTTCCTGAATGGTAGTGAAAACTCTGGCAGCGGATCCAGCACCTTGCAAAAAGACTGTAATAGCGGATAGCTGTCCAGTCGACTTTGCTCTCAGGTTGTTCCAAATTTGGGGCAGCTTGCTTGCTACGCCGATGAGGACTGTGCTCCATTGCAGTGTGGTCAACAGGTCAGCGCTGACTAGGGTAGGATCAAAGAGAGCTATTGATGTTGCCGCAAACACAACAAGGAACGAGAAGAGGCCGAGGATGTTCTTGCCGTACGCGAGTATGAGAAGCAGAATGACGACATTTTGAACAGTAATAAAGGCCACTGTTTTGCGTAATGGACAAGACTGTAAGTGCGCAGTGGTTGTGCATAAGCTCAAAGCAAAAGGAAAACTCACTTTCTCCATAAGTTGAGAAGGGGTTACCACTCCGCGCATTGTAAGCCAATGAAATGGTATACGCGGCTGTTTCCAATAAATAACTCGCAAAGCTGATCCCGGTGGTGCTTCCCGAAGCCACAATTTTCAAGATCTGGGGCACTTTAAGAATAGTTCCGCCCAAGATGATCCCGATTCCCAAGAGTTTTGACACAAGGAGCTTGATGCATGCGGTGTGCGAAAAGTTCAAGCTGATGAGTTCGTGTGCGCATTTTGGTCCTATCAAAGGTGCCAAAACCGTCTTTTCGGTGTAGGCGATCGCTTGGGGGAGTGACATGATGCCCGAGTGCGGTGGAGGAAACCTTTGCAGATGGTGGTGCCGCGCTGGCAAAGAATACCTTTGAAAGATACCAAATCACGTGGCTACATGCTTGTCAAGAATCTTGAAAAGCCAAATGTGCAAGCGATATACTCAATATATTTCAGCTCATGCGAAAATAACAAAGAAGACAAAACAAACAGAACCTGGATACAGGCCAAACTGTCATACACTCAAAATCAAATCAATACCAACAGCCAACAGCAACGTCATTCCGCTTAATCTACTGTTTCCCGTGTTCTCCAACTCTCCAGTCGAAAATAGAGTACTCTCGCAAGAACTTGTCCAGATCCATTCCCGTGTATCCTGCAATGTATTGAGCCCAAGCACAATACAAATACCCATCATTGTTGGAAATTGCTCGGCTCCAATGATCAAAGATTTCCTGGCAGTGCACATAGGCATCATGGAGGATCTTCAAGTAGCGAGGTGCGAGAGCTGGAGTGTACGAGACTGGGCTGAGCATGGAGAGGATATTGTCCTTATCGCTGCAGATTTCCCTGAAAGATGTGTTATATGGCCACTCGTACGGGTTGCAGACGAATTCGTGAAGGTACTGGTAGACGTTCACAAAATATAGCGATCGAGAAGCAGACTTGATGAGGGCACGGAGGGCTTGCGTTCTAGGGTACATTAAATTATTCAATAAGTAAGCCAAAGGCAGCATAAAGGCACATACAACGTACTCAGGATTCTCCTCCTCCTCATCTGAAAATTCAGATGTCGATTGAGCCTGCGGTGGAGGGGGACGGTCAGCAAATCCTTGAACTTCCGATATGTGAACTTCTTTTGGCGCTTCATTTTCGCCCATCGTTTTTGCATTGTATCTCCCCAAAACGTCAATCACAGCATCTGAATCATGGCTCTGAACATCCGCAACTTTCGCATCATGACCGTAGACGCTTGTGATTGATCCCGCAGCCAAGTTTGGAGGTACGAGGAGGAAATTGTTGAATCGGGTGATAAGATGTGGATTGTCTTTGAGTAAGGATACAACTTGCGAGTATGTCTATTTAAGCAAGGTACATGCAGTCAGCGGCGAAATTGTGGATTGCGAAACCAAAACTTACGGTCTGAAACGCAGTGTGCTTGAAGACGTAATTGTGAAAGATATGGAGGAGATCTTCCAACACAGAGGGATCATGTGCATATGTTTTCTAAGAAGTGCGAACTTTCAATACATTATTAGGGCAAGCGATATTTGGGCAGGCACGTCACCTTCACATCGTGAAAAAACTCTTGGGCATCCGCAATATCTTCAGTAGGAGATTTCAAGGTCTGCGTATTTATACCTTCGTCCTCAGATTTGACTGGATGGTTGTTTTGGAACGTTTCGGCTTCTTTTGCATTGACCATGTCGCTTTGCCGTGGAAATGCCTGCAACACATCCGAGTTATCCTTTTCGGTTACAGGCATTAATCTCCTTACCTTTGCTGTGGGACCATAGTCAAGAAACCCGTTAGACCTCTTACCCCTCCTCTCAACTTTTGCCAAACTTTTCTCCCATATGAACCTTCTTTGTTCTGCGTCACCAAAGGAAAATGGAAACGAGATATCACCCTCCAAGTTAGTGTCAATTTTACGTACACCTTCAAACCGGATGCGATCAAGCACATAGTACAACAGCGTTGTGTCCAAGCGATGAGGCTTCCCACGAAACAAGGCATCTGGCCTCGTTAGCATGAGAATTTTACGGTGTGCATGGTAGATGAATATTTCTGGCCATGTTGCTGCGAGCTGGCGAAACAATATATGAGCACCTCTCCGGTGGCAGGGAAACCGGCCAGTTTGGAAATCTGCGCAGGTGATATGGCCTTTCACAGTGCAAAGGATTCCAGCAGCGATACCATCGACGTGGACTTGAGACTTAATGCGAAAAGCGCTGTGTAGGGTGGGGACTTGCATGCTGGCTATCGACATGCGATGAGGCGCAACAAAAATGAAAAGACGAAGGAAAAGAATTGGATTCTGCAATAACACTTCTGAAATGCTCGGGTTGAGTAAAGGCAGATAAATTTGTGGACTGGAATAGGGGACAAGACGACAGCAAAGATGGTAAGAGTAGCAGCAAGCCTTACTCCCGAGATTTGAAATGAACTGTTCGAAAGCTTCCAATTGTAGATTCCTTAAAAAAGCTTCCTTGTACCAAGAAATTAGCGATCAACCACATCCCTAAAATGGCGAATGCAAAGCTTCCCTGGACCCAAACCTACGCATATTCAGGCGCCGAGGCTGGGTATAGTTCAAAACAAGCTTGTCGACCAAAAGGTATAGCGGAATGATTACGTGATGCAGTTCTCGGGTGTGACTCATGGTTGACAGTTGGCGTGGTCTGCTGCGCTTTGGGCCGCGGTTGGAGGAGCAGCATTACCGCTCGTTCACAGCAGAATTAAAAGTCGTCTAGCAATTACGGTCAACAGGGCTGGAAGCTTTTCTGCCTGAATATTGTTTCGGATTGTTTAGGCATGGACGATGAACGCCTACTGGCTGCCGTTAAGGCATGGCAAGGTACTGTCGCGACAGGATTCTATGGGGCTGAGGTCACACCCTACTATTCATCCATGTGTTTCCCTGCTTGAGTGATTTCGCGTTCTCATTATTGCATTCCCTTGGTGCTACTCTAGATATCAACCTTCCTACATTACAACTTTCTCTGGACGCGCAAGGACTAGAAATAGTTGAAAACCAAAAAGAAGGGCTACAGAGCCGGAAGAGACTTGCAGAGCAGACTAAAGGTGGAGTGACGTCCGGTAGATCATGTCTCAAGAGGGGAGGATTCACCGTTAGGCCATAGAGTTCAAGAAGATACCAGATGGGGAAAAGATAAAGGAGCTGAAGGGCCTTTTAAAAGGTATGCAACAACTTCAGCCTTTAGTTTGAGCTGGCGACTTTGAAAACCTTTACTTACTTACCTCACCTTTCTTGAAAAGCCTATCAGTCTGAAATCGATGTTATTACACGACGATCAAAGACAGCCGAGACTGCTTTTTTGAATCTATACAAGCTATTAGCAGAGGCACCCGATCCTGCTTCTCTTTTCGAAACTGTCTCTGTACGTAGGCATCTTCAATTGCGTTTTGCCCTCATTTGCAGGTTTCTTACTGATAAACTGTAAATCATATATCTTGCCCCTCGACACAGGCGCAGACTGCCCAACTTACCGAGCTCCACTCCCTTCAACTTGCAAATCAACAACTTCGCGATGAACTGTCCCAAACGAAAGAGCAGCTTGCAGGAATGAAGAAGGAAGAGGGAGGAATGGCAACTCTGAAGGCACGCTTGACGAGATACGAAGCAATGGTAACATAATCATGATACTATCCGTGTCTTACTGCAGCCATAGTTAACTTCGTTGACAGCTGGATGATATGGTCAATGAAAAAGTCGCGCAGAAAGAGGCTGAAATGAAGGTGGCGATGGACGAGAAAATCCGGATCTATAAGGAGACGTTCGTATTGACGATTGCTTTTGTGGAAAAAAAAACGCACTCTAATATGCGATTGCGTCCTTAGAGAGTATTCCCTACAGCGCCAACTGAGCCAAATGAAAGATCAGATGACATCCTTGCAGACGACGCATGAGGTAACTCAAGCTCGGTTGGTGGACCACAGTCAAAAGTATGGTAAGATTTCATTCGTTTGGGACACCATCTTGCAGTCCAGGAGTCCGGACCAACAATACTCTTCCGAATACAGACGAAGAAGTCGCAGCAAAACTTGGAGAACTGGAAATTGTCATGGTGGACCTTGATCGTGCGAATCTAAAGATTGCACAATTGGAGAGGGACAATGTGTGTGCTTCGATCTATTTCAGATTCTTTTGCGAATCGTACTTATTATGTCAAACGTGGTAGGACATTCTAAAGGCAGACTTGTCAAAGTATCGGGGCGACGATGTTAATGGAGTCGAGTGGCAAGAGTATGTATTTGCGGCGTGGTTAGGGAACTGCCATCTTATCTAACTATCTGGGTTCCATTCTACCAATTCAGTCCAACGGTATTGTCGAAGAAGATTCAATCCCTCGAGGTAATTCAATGGCATACCGTCTGCAAATGTTGTCTCGCACTAACAGTACTACTATAACTGAAGGCAGATCTATCCAACCATATATCCGAGGCTGAAAAGCTGCAAGCAACAATAAGGACGAAGGAGGCAGATTACGTGAAACGGCTCAGTGAAATGGAGAGGGATTTAGCAAGAAAAACTCTGGAGGTCGCTGAGTACGAGACAAAGATGGTCATGTACGAAGATTATGACGAAATCAAAAGAGAATTAGATATCGTCAAGGTATGAGTGTTTCGCCCGTCCCAACCTGAAGATGTTCACCAATATCGGTTATACCCAATTTAGTCAATCGAGTTTGATGGGCTCGAACTTGATGATAACACAGATCCTCTCGGCACTCCCACGTCTCCTGATCTGCACTCCGCCACGCCAATAGACACCACATCTTCCCACTCGAATTCCCTGGAACGTCTCCTTCTTTCCAAGAACAAAAAGCTACAATCCATGTTGACAGCAGCGAAGTTGTCCCTCACTAATACGCAAACCGAGCTGAGTGATGTTTCGAAACGGCTGGAGGATGCTCAGCGCGAGGCAGAAAACTCTAAAGCACTGGTTAGGAAACTAGAGGAGGATCTAGCGAAGATAGAGAGGTTTGGTGGATCAGCGAGAAGTAGCGTTGGAGTAATCCATGGCGATGGATTATCTGCGCTAGTATCTGGGGCAACGCTGTCTCCGGTGGTGATGCCGCGATCAGCTGAAGTGAGCGAAAGTTCGATTGTCCCCATCCTGACCAGCCAAAGAGATCGGTATCGGCAGAGAAACGCGGAATTGGAAGAGGTATATTCCCTCGATCGATCCTTCAAAGACCGAAGTATGCTAACCAATTTTTTCCTTCCAGCAATTGCGTTCACACATGGCCACGATATCAGATTTGCGTAATGAAGTAGAGCGGCTCAAAGCCGATAATGTGAAGTTATATGAACGGATGCGTTATGCGCAGACATTTTCTTCGCCGGACGATGACAACGGAGGCTCCTCCAATCGGCGATCCCGTACGAGTAATCATACCTCGATAGATATGGCGGCCTATCCATCGGGGAGCACTGGGGATGTTGCAAACAAGTACCGTGCTGCATATGAGACCTCCTTGGACCCCTTTGCGCAGTTCCATACTCAGGAGAAGGCCCGAAGAGTACGAGACTTGAATCCTGCGGACCGGGCTGCTTTTGTTTTTACCAGAATGGTACTGAGTCATCGTGGAATGCGATGGGGATTTGTGATTTACTGTGTTGGATTGCATTTGCTAGTATGGTGGGTTGCTTTTGGGGGAGTTATAACGGGAGATGTCAAATACGGTGAAGGTCTTGAAGCGAAAGACCAGGCACCAAATTAGTTTTGCATATATCAAAGACGATTCATGTATTTGTGGCTCGAAACGCAAGCGTTGTGGGTCGAACTCGTGACATCATTACCATGCCAACAGCGTAATACACGCCACATCCACACCCATCTGAAGCTTCAACAAAGGATAGTGTTTGGTGCAGAGCCGACGAGCGCTTCATCTTCCCACCCAGCTTTACCTTGCACTGACCACACCAAACGTGCCGAATACGTTTCCTTATTTACGGTGAGTTGCGAGGTGTTTCGTGAGAAAATGGCGATGCTGTGGGTCCATTCGTTGGATGACCCATCCGCAACTGTATCGACCTGGATCTCAACGGTGTCTCGCACAGGAATCGCTCTTACGCGCGTTCGAGAGTCTAGCTAGAACAAGGTGGGTAAGCTGTCCGGAGGTCAAACCTTGTTGGATACTGGTTGGTGGTTGGGAAGTATGTGATACGGTTGCGGCCAGCTGGTCTGCTGTTTCGCATTTGTGCACATGGTAGTCCCGAGTGGGAAGAAAGTCCTTGTTGTAGATCGATTCAGCATCCGAATGCTATTTATGGGGCCGGGAGTGGCGAGGGAGATGGAAGGTAGACGAGGAAGTGGACACGTTGTTACTTTAATTCATAGATCTACAGACACAACGGTTTCTAAATTTTCTACCGTATCATTTCTTGATTTAGTTGCAGCGTCAAAAGGCGTTGGAACAAATATAGAGGACATATAAGGCAAAGCAGCCGTCAAGAAGAAAAACGAAGCAAGAAGGTTGGATCGATAGCGTTATGGCAGATTTTCCAGCGTTGGGAAACTCTTCTATAAGAGATGGTGCCAATGGCCCGTCACTCTTGTCTTTTTCTACGATAGCTGGCGGACGAGGTCCGGCAGGACCGGACGGCCTAAGAAGCGGAAACGGTACGAACCCACAATCAGCGGATTTCACAATCGACGACTTTCCAGCATTGACACCAACTGCGTCCGCAAACCAACCACATCACCCGCAAATATTGAATCGAACAGGCAGCATCCCGGGTGCAGGGCGCGATATGTCAGCATCAAATGGTATCGCTCCTAATGGAGGTATGGGAATGGCAATGGGACCTGTTACTGGATTTGGACCATCATCGGTTATTGGGATGCCTGCGAATGCAGGAGTAACCCCAAGAGTTCCTCCACCACCCGGTACCGCTCCAATAAAACGACCTATTGGTGCTGGATCCAATTACGCATCCAAAGCGCAACAGCCACAGGGTGGTGAAATCGTTGGCACCAGAGCATCGACACCAGCAGACCCACCAGCATCCGGCTCAACGCCGATTCCCCCAGCTGGAACCACAGATAAATATGGATTGTACGGTCTCATCGACGTGATACGAATGACAGATCCAGATATGAACATGCTGTCTCTTGGATGCGATTTGACTGGGTTGGGCCTTAACCTTAACTCAAATGACGCTCTTTATTCTACATTTATGTCACCCTTCTCCGAGCACCCGACGTTAGGATCCGAGCCCCAGTTTGCATTACCACCGTGCTACAATCTTCTTCAATCTCCACCTCCATCCATGACGAAAATAGGTAGCTTCTCCGATGAGACACTGTTCTATATTTTCTACGCCATGCCCCGCGAGTCACTTCAGGAGGCGTCCGCACAAGAGCTGTATAACCGTAACTGGCGATTCCACAAAGAGTTGAAATTATGGCTGAGTAAAGACGCTACTCTGGAAACTGTGAAGGGAGCTGGATTTGAGCGGGGAATTTTTGTCTTTTTCGACCCAACAAGTTGGATGCGAGTTAAGAAGGAGTGGATTGTGTATTATGATCAGTTGGAGGAGCGCGGACCTCTTGCCGGAGACATTCGAGTGGCAAGGCCTGGAGGAGTAAATCTGGTTACTAGTGGCGGCCCACCACCAGGGGTAGCGTTGGAATTTGGTAGCCTCGGGCCGGCAGGGTTCAGCGGTGACCGAGCGACTGGCGGAGGAAGTATAGATCCAAATACGGCTAGTGGTGCAACGACTGCTGCATTACCCGGATGGCCGAACACGTCGATGCAACAACAGCAGTCAGCCGCGAACTTTTTCGGAGGGCTCGCATCTTCATCACAGGGCAGTACACTACAAGTGGATCAGGGTGGTGGGCCGCTGGGGTCGAACAGCGGCAACGGGGGCGTTCAGGGATCAACTCCTGGGGTGATTGTTGCAGCAGGACGATGAGAGGACGACGTTCTGGCAGTGATCTGATTCTGTGCGCCTGGATGGCGCCGCTCTGGTTTTGTATGCAAACTGTGCGTCCAAATGAATTAATGTTGATGCTACATTCTGCTTTCAAAATCTTGCAAAGTTGAGCATTTTATATATTGGTATGGTCAATGTTACACTACAGTCGGTTGCAGGCGAACAGAACAACCGCACGCTGTCCTTGCACTTTTACTACGCCCCATCTCGGTTCTTTCTCGCTTCGGTAACTCTCTCTGGTTCCACAATGCCCAGTTTGTTTTCTGGAGTTGCTGTCGATTGTGGCTGATTACCTTGTTCAGCGGCCCTAACATAATCCGACACTGCACTCCCCATCAGATCGTGGCCTCTCATGTCCCTTTCATGCGTTTCTTGCTGTCGTTGAGCGTGGATTTCATCTGGAGTCTGATTTCTCTGAGGTTGATTCGACTAGTCATCCACAAAATCGTTAGAATTCATGCCGTATTCTGTTTATCCATCCTATGCTGGAGGAAACCAACTTACTCTCTCCCAGTTGGGGAAATCATGGTAATGCTCAGGAGGAACTTCCCGTTCTCGCTTTGGGGTGACACCAGGATACGCTACGTCTTCAGGTGCAGGCGGATTCTTGAACGTGTCTGTTTCCGGAATTTGTGTAAAAGTCTGGAGGAGTTTGCCGAGAGGATTTGATGCTGGTTCGCCACGGTTCTTGGACATTGTGGTTACGATTTTTTTGCAAAAGAGTGAGAGTACTGTTGGATATCCTTCAAAATCTGTAACTTTTCTGATTTATAGGATGTGGAAGAGCAAGTTTGGGCTTGTGTGTTTTTGCGAGCTTTCACTTGGAGTATTTTGTATTTAAACAAAGGAAAATGAACATTACATCATTCATGCGTTGATGGCTTGAAAAAGACTTTTTGTCAGGTCTTTATTCGTTGCGTCGATGAGGTAGGAAACGAGTGGCGTGCTATCCTTCCACGTTTTGTAATAAGAAGGGTTGGAAGGTGGAATATGACATACTAGTACGTAGTCTCGTAGTTTTTAGCGACGTTTGCGGTGCGTGTCGCCCGGGGATCTTCGTTCGTGCAATAAATAGAATTGAAATAACAATATCTTTTGTCGCAAATACAAAGTTGGAACACTTATATCCTGTATTGGTTCATGTTGTCATCAAATTGTGTGATGAAATACCTTGGGAGGTGATAGAAGATATTGAATATTATGACCATTTCTGGCCATCGGTTTATAGCTCTCTTAGCTCAGTTGGTTAGAGCGTGGTGCTAATAACGCCAAGGTCACAGGTTCGACCCCTGTAGGGAGCACTACGCAGGATAGAATGATCTTTTGGTTTTGATCAGTTTTCCAATTAAGCATTTTGCTTTTTTCAACGACTTCCGATACCCTGAAGACTTGACAATAGTCGACATTAAGAGATGACTCTGGATATTCTCCTGTCACCTTTGGCCTTGTTTTGTTTTTCGGTGTTTTCCCCACCACCACCCTCAACTATCCTCGATTTTCACGTTTACTCTTGTTTACGTAAACGTGCCCAGTGGATGTTAACAGCAACCTGCAAGAACAGTTTTCCCTAGATTGTTGACGAGGACATGGCAGACGTTCGTTGGAAACCCTTCTTATTAGGATAAACATTAGGGGGCACACCTATACATAGAGTATTTTATTTGAGCATATTCCAGTCCGTGCCAGCATCGTCGTCGACCCATGGCTGCTCCACCACCAGTTCAACCACCCGCTCCTTTGCGTTTTGCCGACTTTTTCTTTCAATGTGGGTTGAACCCCGATGCCAAGCTAGCTGACAGACGAGTTTTGGATGATGGCTCTGTGGCGGGTGAGGTCGCGCAGAGAAATGCAGAGGAGGAGCGACGGAGAGCACCCTCGGATGGTGTCACGCCGAGCACGCCTATGCCATTACCCCAAGGTGTGTTCAAACCATCGCCTTGACTAGCATGGACTGTTGGGGGTAAAGGTTGTGTACAAATTTCAAGAACTGATCTGGCCTCTTCTTCGGTGTTTCAGCGAAATTGAAGAAGAAGCATCACCCACTTGAATGGAGATATGCCCCTGAAATCCTGTGTCGGTACCCAAAGACGGACTATTCCGAAAAGGAGCGATTTCCTGCGTACCTTCCGATGGTATAATTTGCTGGCGGTCTTCTCGAAAAGCGTGTACGTTTACATGCTTATCATCTGCATTAATTAGTTTTGCTTTCCGAACAACATCCAACTTCACTTGGAAGACAATGGGCCGCCGCCGGAAAAGTATCATTCATTTGTACGTATCCATTACCAGGGAAACCTCCTCGTTACATTGGCGTACGTATCTCTTGGGCCGTGCTCATTTTTACGTACAACAGATCATAACTGAGGAGACTGGAGCAAAGTGTTACGGTGTTTGTGTCACTGTTTACGAAAGGCTGCAATCCCAACATGCAGCTGAATTAGAACAGATAACACAGGAACTTCGTTCTGGCAGTTTGGTAAGTATTGAAGTGGTTGTTTAAAGCGATGCAGTTACATTTGCGTTTATATCAGGATCATATGGACTCCCTGTTGACTAAATTCTGTACTTCAATTTGTCTGGAAAGGGATCTAGCGACCTGGAGTACATTCAGCATATTCAATCGCAGCTTGCGGAAAATCAGGAGGCCCTTCTTCACGCGCGTCTTGGCATCACAGGCATCACAGAGCAACGCACATCTATCACTTCGGGATCCGCTTCCAAGCCGGCCGCAACGCCCTCTACTCCTGACAGCGACAGTGTTACCACCGAACACACCATTCAAGATGCCGAAGAGAAGGTGAAGTTATACCGGGATTTGCTAGCGCCACTCAACACTCTCCTGGCGGATGCAGAGAACGTATATATACCGCGGACAATTGGCGTTCTAAGTCATTGGCCCTGGCATGATTTCTTGAAGGATTGGCTTTGCGAGGTGCTGAGAGTTGTTCGAGGAGAGTATGACGAATGTCCGCACAGCAAGGCAGTGGCGCCATTGGAGAGGTTGGTTTCGTTGCCAAATATCTGGTGGTGGAAACAGCTAAATCGTGTATGTTGAAAGATTTGTAGTGAACCTGATACATGAGATACCCTTACCCCCTCCTGGAAAGTTGGAACTCTCGATCCATGTCGGGCAGCTCCATCTGTTTTGCTCGCGACCCCCCGTGAACACAATATCTGTCCTCAAGAATGTAATTATACGATGCTATCTTGATTTAGCTTGTGCTTGACAGAACGAAACTTACGCATCATGGCCTCCGACAGTTTTCCCTGTATCCCATGTTTCGCGCCCTCTCCGTCGCCAACATCATTACTATCTTTGAACTCGCCCTCGCTGAGCGAAAAATCATCTTTCTCTCATCCCACTTGTCCATGCTAACGCTCGCCGCGGAAACTCTATGCCTATTCTTTTTCCCGCTGTTTTGGCAGCACATTTTGATTCCGATTCTTCCAGCGCGCTTGTTGAGTTACCTTCAGGCGCCGATGCCGTATATTGTTGGCGTTCAAAGGGAGTACTTTACACCCGATGTACAGGATGAATGGAAACCACCAGATGTAGGTATTGGACATTTTGGATGCAGGATAATATGGAATATTCATGAGGGACTCATACCTACTTCCAGGCCCATGTGATTGACCTGGACAACGACATTGTGACTGTGGCAGATCCACCACCCAGTCTTCCCGCACGCGAGCGCAAGAAATTAACAATGCGACTGGAAAAAGCTACCGGCACCTTTCAACCTATTTCGCCACATCATAAGCCACCACTTGCCGAAAGATCCCCACGGGCCGATCGTGGCGTCCCTCTTACCGTCCAGTACGCTCTCCCCCTTGGGAAACACGTTCCCACTTCTTGTGAATCCGCTCGCCGACGTCAAGAGGTGCCGGATGGTTCGTCTCGGACCCGCGCAGCTTCCGAAACTTTGACATCTACCCGGAATCGAGGAACGTCCTTTCAATTTCCACACTCCCCATCCAACAACGGAATCACTGGTGCATGGCTGGAGAAGCTGAATCGACACTTTAGTGCCACGTCGGGCTTGACTGCTGGGCAGTTTGCAACATCTAATTTTTCCCTCTCGAGTGGCTCGTCGACTGATGAGCGGCTTACCGGCGGCGGCGGATCATGGTGGCATCTGGGCCGAGAGGAGAGTTCCGCTGGGCTTGGGGACGAGAAAAGAAGATCAGTGGATGTTGACAGTTTGTATTTGAGGGCAAGTTCAACAAGATCGTCAACAGATGAGGTAGGTTCCAACGCTGCGGTGCTATATTTTTGCATCATACTAACTGTGAAATGTACCAGCATGACGGGAGTTCAGCAGGAAGTCCTGAGAGGCCTTCGCCAACGTCATCTGATGCGGGGGCGCTGCCGCGATTGCGAGCACCATTCTTTGCAAGATCGGGCTCCAGGCCTGATGACAAGGTATGTATAAGAATGTGACATTACGCCGTTTGCACAACGTTACTCATGTCATATTTCAATTCTATTTTACGTTGACCACCTCCTCTTGGCAGCCACTGAAACAGGTCCCTTCAAGTAGTAGCATTTCTTCCATGTTCAGCAGCTTCGCGCATGCCACTCCTGCTCGCAAGACCCCACGTCCCTCGACAGGAGGTCACCCACACCGGCTCTCGTTGTCTGCATCTTCAACCACATCAACCGCCACTACCAGCTCTGCCTATTTTGCGCAATACATGCCACCGGCCATGGAAGATGTTGCACCGACAAAGCAGGGGATAAATTTGCGACGAAAGGAAGGCCACCTATTTTACGCAGTCACCGTTATATCGCCGTGGTCGGGAAGAGATGTTGATGATATTGTTGGTAGTAACGATGTCCTCCACAGTCAATCCAGCACATCTATTCGTGATGAGAACGATGATGAGGATGACGACCGACCTCTTTCGACATACACTGCTTCCGCGCCAAACCCTCCATCTTCAAAAGTTGCAGGACTAGGACGCAAGGGATCCGAACTAAAGCGTCCTTCGCGTCGGTTTTCTTTGAAGCGAGGTGCGAGTCGATCAAAGAGTGTGGATATGATGAACGGTGAGCAGCCATCACTAGAACACCAGGCAGGTACTGGAAGTCGGCGACGATCATCGGGATCCACCGGGATCGATCCATCTCTCCCCGTTGTCACATTGGAGCTGGGTGCAGTGTGTAGATGCTGCCGCGAAGACTTGGTGGATCAGGAGGATGCAACCGTTCTTCAATGTGATGGTAGGGCACATAGAATTGATCCTTCATCTGCTACAGACATTAAGCTCGTCTTCATACCCTAGTTTGCAATACACGAATACATACAGGATGTCTCCCACTCACTGAATCACACCCCTGCTCTGCCACCTTCGATGAACGCAAGATTCAACTTGCATTTCTCAAAGTCTTCACGTCCCTTCTACGAAATTATCGACAGCATCTAGCCTCCGCGGAAGAGCTACGAGGAAATGTGACACCATTGAGCGGTGCTAGTCGTAGTGCTAGCCAAGAAAGCTTCAAGGCGTTAGATATGGAGATGCTGCAGGAGCAATGGTTTCGGAAGGACGAGTTTCTGGCGACATGTGACAAGGAAGCAAAGGTACCTCTTTGGAACCCGATCATATCTGCCAAAAATTTCAATCGATTGACACTTTGTTAGCCTTTCATGACTCAGTTTGTGGAAACTCAAGCTTTTGCCCAGTTCACCCTGGACCGGGTGGAACGTCCCGAAAGCGATTATGAAGTGCTATTCTTCGATGAGTGCATTAAAGAAAAGCGTAATCGATCAAAATTGCGAATCGGAAAGGAGAGCACTCCTTTCTTGACGGAGACCGCCTACGATATTCGCACCACGATTACTTGTTTTGGAGTTTCAATAGACGGGCTGGAATCTCGTGAGTTGGCGACAGCATGAATGAACATTTCAAAATGACACATTAATGGTAACGCCTGTATCATTCTAGGGAAATCCTTCTCCTCAAATACTATACCAATACATCTTGACGAAAAGCTCCTGGGCACCCCACGCCATGTTCAGCCGCTAATTACTCAGTCCGATCACAAAATGATGCGATCGATGACCAACGAACTGGTGCAAAGAGCTAGAATAGCTACCACGATGGTAATTGCATGACGGTGCCATGTTGCTCATTAATGAGCTCAATAATTACTTAAATGATTCTTTTGATGTATAGCGCCGAAAGCAGGACTTTAGCAAATGGATGCGGACAAAGTGGAAGCACTTCCAAAAAATGGGAGGTGGTGAGGTGGTGTCACTAGGGTTCCTCCCTGACGAGCAGAGACGGTAAGTGTCTTTTATCAAATTTCTTTATGAAACGTTGGGACTTTTTGGTACAGCCGTCTGACCTTCCAAATTACTAGTGAACTTTTTGAAGAGCGCATGCATCAAGTGACATCTGTCATTGATCGCTTCGAGCAACGTCATCTGTCTAGCCAGACGCCTTCTCAAGTTCACCAAGCGCTTGAGGAGCTTCATGCTCAAAACTTGGTCCTCATGCGTGCCGCCGATGAAGAGCAGCTAGTGGACGCAGAAGACCAAGAGGACCTCCAGGGTGTTTATGGGCGCCTGTTCAGGGTGATCACCATTTACGAAGACTTTTTGGCAACGTTAGGGAGCGCCGCAGCCAATGGCACGACGGAAGTTCCGGGGACAGAGGTACAGGACGGAAAGTACAAACTTCGAGTTTCTATTGGTCCCGAATTTGGAAGTGTATCCGACTGGTTGGCCACCACGGTAATCGGATATGAGGGCGAAGGTGAAGGGAACACGGTAGATAGAGACCATGAAAATGACCAAGTTGCTGGATACCGACAAGAGGCGGGGGTGGATGCGAAGCAGTCAAACGATACTATCAATCGTGAAGCGTTTCAGCCAGCCAATGTGGATAAACCTCACGCACTGGTGGATGGGCCTGCTGCAGAAACCAAATCCCTCAATACCGAAACGGGGACGGAAGCATCTCTTGCGGAAAGCAATTATCCAGGGCGGCTTGCGCCTAGCCGAAAATCTGATGCCTCAATGTGATGACTACTGTATTGGTGTTTAGTGTTTTATATTTGGGATTGTAAAATATATATGTGATTGCAAAATCCGCTGTTACCAGTATACATTATATACACTTGCAACCTGCCCTTCCATGAGTTTCACGATCAATTCTTTTAACGCAGCAAGGCAGGGCTACAAAAAGCGGCGGTTATTTCTCCTTTTGCCTTCTCGTGTTTACTTTCTCCATACTGGGAACATCCTCTTCGTCGCCTAACACGGCTACCTCGCTGGATTTCTTCAACACTGGGGTTGGATTTTTTTGGCCTGGACGTTCAATAAGAAGCGCCGGATTGTCGGGTGAGCCATTTCTAGTGATATGCTTCCCTATTGCGAGCCAGAATGACTTTAGTGCTAGTACAGCAGAACATACATATGAACGATATACCTTTAATATCTTTTTCCAGCTTTCCCTCTGAAACTTCTGCAACTTGCCCCTCAGCGTGCCCACGACCCCAGTTCCAGGCGACATGCGAGCCTTTGCAGACTTTGTTGCCACTCGCATCTGTCATGATCACTTGATATGGACGTTTCTTTTGATATAAACTTTCTTCTTTTGATTAACCGGAATTCAAAGTTTCAACCTTGTGTTGAAGCAAGCAATCGAACAGGCGATTGTCCACAAACGAAATATTTCTCTCTACGCTGGAAATCCGCGACAGGCAACAGAAACCTGAATCGCTATTTGTTGAGGCAAGATATACAGATGCGAATTCATCCGCATGTTATTTTCCACCGTTGATTGCATCATCCTGGGGCTGACGCGCAGCTAAACCACCCCTTATGGCCAGCAGGTCTGTCAGTTGCGCGATAACTGCAGTACCTCAAGACCATCCTGCACTAAACACCAATGTTTTCGGCCAGACTGCACTGCTACGAGAACTCTGAAACCGCCCACAAGCTGCATTTGAACGTACTCAACTCTGTATCAGACGAGGTGCCTCGGAGAGCGCGCCTCGTGGCCTTTTTGCCCACGACAGGCTAGTGCTTTTGCAACGGTTTTTGACAGTGGGGTGCGAAGCCGAGAATGGTTATAAGGTATTTACAAGGTACATACACATTTTCTGATGCTAACGTTAGTACCAGAAAGTAATGTTAAAATCTTCTATTTTACTAGTAAGCGGCAACCCGCAACGGACTTGGTCGCCCGCGCTTAAGGGCGGCACGGAGCAGCGGAACCAGTAGTACAAGTACTAGTAACAAGTAACATTGTAATGTACCTACCCTGCGCAGCTAGTTGTTTATGTGATGAGAATTTCTCGCATTCAAAATTGGCGAGTTCCGAGTACACCAAGGGAGACAAACCATGGAAAAGTAGGTGATAAGAGTTGACGGCACTTTCAACGCGTTCACGAACCATTTGGGAGAGACACTATCACCATCGCAGGCAGCTCGACATGAAGGGACATTTCGTTTATGTCTGGTCCCTGTTGGCGGTAGCTGGCCTATATAACTTGATATGCTGCCTGCTATTTCGATTATCAGAAACTGAAAAGATAGCTCTTATCGTGGTGGACGTTCAAAATGACTTTCTTCCACCTTCCGGTGCCCTGCCCGTTCCAGGGGGACGAGAAATTGTGCCGGTGGTCGAGAGGCTGCTCGAGAGGTGTGAGTGGGATCTAGTTGTGGCGACGCAGGTGTGAAATTTACGCTTTATCGGGCTCGTTTCACTGCTGACCTTATTTATGAAGGATTGGCATCCTCCAAATCATGCCTCATTTGCGTCCAGATGGGGCGTAGAACCGATGTCCGTCGTGGAATACGATTATATGGGAAGGCGAATTGACCAGATAGCATGGCCAGATCACTGCCTGGTGAGTGAGCTATGAGTAACAAAAAGATACCTAGAATCAAGCAAAACCAACATTGTGTTTGATCGGTGAGGTTGAAACACCCGGAGCAGCCCTTGCATTTCGATCAGCAGCTGGGACGATAGATCACTACGTCCGAAAAGTATAGATCATAACCAGGTTGCAGAGCGCCATGACGACGTTGACCTGTCCAACTTCTGTAGGGCATCATTACAGATCTGGACGCTTATTCTGCATTTGCTTATAGGGATTATATCGCGTACACTGATCTTGCGAGAAAGCTCTGGGAAAAGCGTATCTCCCACGCATATGTAGTGGGCCTCGCAGCGGATGTATGCGTTGTATCGACCGCAATAGATTCGATTGCCTTTGGGTAGGTCGACCTTTATTACGTGATAGTGTACTGCTCAATTCCCCTTGTACAACCCATTGATCGACTCATCAAAATTACTGGGCAGATTCCATACTACTGTTATCACCAATGCCACACGAGCTATCAGAGGCAAAGAAGGCATGGAAGACATGAGGAGGCGTATCGAAGCATTTGGTGGTCGGGTCGCGTCTTTAGAAGATGAGCAGTTTCGAAGGTTTTGCCCCAGGTATTGATAGATACGGGGGTGATAAACAAAGATTTCGGCTTTGATTCTTCGTTTGAACCTGCGAGGTTTTATTGAATTCACATTATATATACATCGTATTTACTCTATCTATGGTCATCCAGAGGCCGCCAGTCCATGCTCACCATGGCGCTTGGCCGTGGGGCGTCTATGGCCGCTGCAAATAAATTCAAATTATGTTTTCCGCATACGCGCCTCAGTATTGTGAGCTCCCATTGACACTCGCAGGCGATCAGCACCCGCTCCGCCCACTGTACGTTGAGAATGTGGTGAAGTGGAATTACCTCGCTTGGAGAGAGGATGAATGAGCACGTTGAGGGTAGGGGGTACGGCACAATCTTGGAACGCCCCGAATTGATGCGACATGTTAAAGACAATCTTGCGGCATCCAGATCTGAAGTGGATCTCTTTCCGGTAGTGTCCCAACTTCCAGGGATCCCAAATGCTCGCTCCAGCCTCGTCAATCGGGCTATGAGCATAGCCGCATAAAAGGACGTCAAGGCCCCATTAAGTCGGTGTACAGCGATACATCTCTTCCACATATGTGCACATTTATAGGCATCTCCGTGCTGGAGTAGGACCTGAAGACCTTTTGCGCAGTGAGCGGTAAAATCGTTCAGTGTACAAGTTCTGTTTTTTGATGTCTGCCGGATAATATGGCGCACTAACTTAGTGATTGCGAGAAGTTCGCGATTTGCTGAAGATCGAGGATGTTCGTTGATGGCGACCTCCTTTAAATGAAGCGCCCAGGAACTGATTATATAGAATATGTTCAGATGAATGGTGTGCATTGAAGGCTTTTCACAATTGTCGTGTTTAGAATGGTGAAGTGCACGTATATAAGCGGTCAATCAAGGTGTTAAGTCGAGAAAGTCGATCTTCTGGCAAAGCTGCTTACCATTTTGACGGGTATTTTCTCCGCGCACTGGATGAGAAAACCGCAAGTCTCGAGTGCTGCCTGGACCCATACCTCCAATTCTTCTTGATTCGCTGATTGTATTTGTATGACTTCCACCGCCAACATTAGCATGAGATCAGTATATCGGTAGTGGGGTGTGAACGCCTCCGCATGCTAGTGGCACCCAATGCAGCTCGAGGTCAGTAATCAGAGCAAATTAAAGAACATGGATGCAAGGCCTACCGAAGCATCCAATACTTGCTCCTGGGCAATCCTATACCAATTCAGCATTTCCACCTTTTCTACTGCCTGGGACATAGCAGCGGCAATAGAGCAGGCTGGATGGTGCCCCAGCCCACCGGTTACATCACATTCACTCAGGGTCTTGTACATCTTGATGAGCACGTCTGTGTACTCTTGTCTCCTTCCCAGAGTATGTAGGCAACTGCTGAAAATTGTCGCATTCAGATGGGCCAAAGGACTACCCTGCATGTTTTGTGCTTCATATAACGCATTGACCTCTCGCGCAAACTTCTCGCATAGAGACCAATTACCGACGGCATATAAATATCTGACATACGTCTGTCGCGCGAAGAGAGTATCGGCCGAATTGGGGCATCGTTCAAGATATTCAGCGCCAAGCGCAATATATTTGGATGAAAGCTTAAACTTGCACCGATTGAGGAGCCCAAAGCCAAGTGCCATTGAGTAGAACGCAAGGTACGCGGGCTTACTGGTGGCAAGGGCACTTGAAAATGTCAGCCCCGTCAGGCATAAGAAAGCGTTGTAATCAGGTCGACCCATCAAACTGAGTTGAGTAAGCATGGTACGATATATTTCTAGCACCTCGGTGATGTGCCGGATCCTCTCCGGCACGGCGTGCTCTTCATTGTCATTTGAAACAGGTGTGATCTTCTTGAATTTGCCAGCTTCTGACTCGAATGCAGCAAGTCCGAGTTGTTCCCTGCGAGCATCGTCTTTTGCATTCAAGATGCGGTATTGGACGAGCATTTGACGGAGCAGTTTCAATTTGTGACCGATAGATCCTGGAGTCGGTAGCTTAACATTTAAGATAGCTAGTGCTGCTTTGCATTCCATCACGCCAGCTGTATAATCCCTGCAAAATGTACAAGGCCCAATTAATGTAATCTGCCTTTGAAATGGAGATCACACAACCTCCGCTGTCCGTACCAATTCTGCTCATACAATTGCGCCAGTCGTCGATGATGCCTTGCTAATTGAATCTTATCAAATGGTACATCCTCAGGATAATCTTCCAGAAGCTTTATCAGCCGATCGTATGCTGCTAATCCCAACTCTGCATGCCGCGATTCTTCCGCATAAAACACGAATGCCATCTCTGCATACTTTATCTTTCTGGCACCGTTTCCAGAACAATGATCCAAATGGAAAACCAGCATGGGTAGCGCATCTTTCTTGTTTAATGGGGTCAACAACGCGGTATAGTAGTTCGCGAAAGAGTTATGCAAGTCTTCGCGCCTATCCGGCGGAAGAGAGGCGTAGATACACCTGGCAATTGCGCTGTTAGCGACTCTCCTCAGCTAATGAGCAGCAAAGGTTGCTTACTGTTTAAGAACTATGTGGCGGAAACCCATGGCTGTGTAGGGTGAGGTATCGTCACCGATCATCAAACCTGGTAAATCGGTCGCTGGGACCAACATGTTCAGAGTGTCCACTTTGCTAATGTAGTCATACAAAGAGCTAATGCTCGTCCAAGGAAGAGGGTTGTCTGTACTCTTGTGTGTTTCGCAAAGAACATGTGCGACCTCCCCCAACGTGAAATATTGCCCTATTCAAAACACTTAAATTAGTGAAAAGGCGTGTGGGCTCAAGCTTTTTCAGATGCTTACCAGCTACTGAAGCCACACGGAGAATGCGCTTCAATGCCGCCGGTACCCTGTCTACTCTAAAATGCTAACGTATTTAGAGATTCTCCGTGTAAACATTAAACGAAAGAAACTTACTGCGAAATTATGGCAGAGCGCACATCTACAGGCATCGGGATTTCCCTTTTCAGCTCGAAAGCTCTTATTCGGGGCATTGTGTTATTCACATCGCTCTCTCGTCCGGACTTTGCGCTGCTAGAGCCACGTGGATGGTTCGCATTCGGCAAAGGCAATTGAGAAGTCACTCGCAACGATTCACAGATGAGCTCGATGATCATTGGGTTGCCCTGGCTTCTTTGCCAGATCAGGTCTAAGAGACGAGGGTCGGTGGTTTCGGACTGCAGAACACTTTGTGCTAATGCCATGCTTTTTGGTCGATTCAGTGGCTGAAGCTCAATATGGCTAGTAAACTCAGAAGTCACAAGCCCAGTGAAGTTTGCTGCCTGGATATCATTGGTATACTCCTAAGATCCCAAACATCTTAGTAAGTTCCAGATCATCGCATCATGCCTTGTGTTAATTACCTGAATGGGACGAGACGTGGTATAAAAGAAGACTTTTGGGCATCGCTTTACAAGATCTACTAGAATCGCATATCCGGCCGCATCGCTAACAACAGTATCTTGTTAACCAGGAAGCAAGCTGCTTACTGTCTAGTTTACTGCGTGCAAGACCTACTGCCATTGGAGATCTTCGCAAAGAATCATCACCTAAAAATGAACTCTGCGTAAGTAAATGACTTCCAGGTATTTCTGAGTCCTTGTATGCACCTTTATTCGGAGATGCATTGTTAACTTGTTTAGAAGTCGGGAAACTACAGCGACAATCTCCGAACTGAAATTAGCTGCTAAAAGCGGACTTGAAGACCTTAAGCGCTCTTGGTTGAAGCCAAGAAGATCATTGAGCTATGAAAAGAAAGCGGAGCATGAATGGACATGATTGCCCAACATTAGAAGTAGAAATACCACACACCACATCCAAGGATCTACCGCTCTCTCGGAGGAGAGTCATTATACTCGATACCTTCTTCCGCAAATGAGATCGCCCAAGCTGCCGAAGACTGCTCGATCGTGACACTAGCCGCATGTCACGAGCTACCGTACCAATGTGTGCAGCACTGCTACTTGTTGAGGATCGAGCAATGGTGACCGTTTCGAGCTTTTCTGATTCTGCTTCATGAACGCGGTACTCAAGTATCCCGGTCTCGACATACTGTGCGTACACACGGTCAAATAGGCAGGTGAGAAATACGCGGATAGAGTAGAAAGGCGATAGTTTGTGGGTTTCGCTGGAGCGACTCTCACTGGGAGTCAACGTCAGATGTGAGTAACCGTGACAAGCACCGGTACACAACCGATTCGACGACTGATTCTTTTACCATATTACTGCATCCGGTATTGCTGCTGCCTGTTGCTTGATATACGCGCTTAATGCAGTCTTCCCGAGACCGGTTGCACCGCTGATCACTAGCCGAACCTACTCCAGCCATGAGCAGCAGCTTCAAATTACTCAGAGGCTGAAGACCTCCGACGGATTCCCATACCGGAGTTATATCTTACCATCAAATCGTCCTTCCAGCGATCAAGAACCGTACCAATAAATGTCAACTCGTGTTCGCGCCCAACGAGTGATGTGTATGTCGAGAAGCTTTGAGGCTCTGGCTGTTGCTTCCCGCGAAGGGGTAGGTAAACAGGAATAGGAGCATCGCAACCTAGAGCATTCTCCCGGATAATTAAGCTCGAGGGCGTGCATTCGAGAAAAACTAACCTGGTCAGCTAACCTTTGACCATGATCACACGCATGGAAGGATCAAACTCTACAGCTTCCGCACCTTCCATATACAGCGGTTCTGTACATAAGATGCCTCCTTGTGACAGCGGCTCTGTCATCAGTCGTGCTGCTTCGTTAACGGCTACTCCGAGTACCGTGCCGTCCCTTCGAGCCTCGTTACCCTTGTGACAAAATGGGTCGCAAGTCATTCCTGATCTTTGCGAGAAGAACATTTTCAATGTTGAGCCTCACCATAATGCCAGAAAAGCTGTTCACCACCAGAGAAGGAACAAAATGAGCGTCTGCAGGTCTACCAGTATAACCTTAGACTGTGACGTGGTTCACTCACACAATGCCTTCGGAAACCCCTATACATGACTGTAGTCAGCCAGGTTTAGCCATACTACCAACCTCTGAGGTCAAAAATCGTACCTATAGCAAAGTCATTGCCCACCATGCCCCGTAGTTCGTCGCGAATTTCCATGGCCGCGTAGAGAGCGAACACAGCATCACCCCGCTCATGGGTAAAGCCTTCAACACCCCATACAAGAAGCTGTACATCGAAAAATCAGGTACTTCGCTTTGAAGAGTAAAAGCGAACACCCAAATAGCTACCGCAGTTGCACCTTTGTCGTCCACATTGAACTGACGAATGGTGCCCTCATATCGATGGATAGCTTCAAGGATGACAATCATGACACTCTGCGCTGTTAAGCTTGATGTAAAGTTCTATTAGCGAGAAGCTCTACGGGATCATAATGTAACCAGCGTTTGTCTCTCACAGCATTTCCATAGGATCATCAGTCGCTCCAAGTTTTGGCAGCCTGACGAACACAGCACAGATGTTTCGCAGCTCATTATGCATAACCTCAACATCTTCTTCGTTCTCCAAGTCTTGTAATATTCGCGATAAGCTTTCGTGTATATAGTCGTTATATCTTACAGAACCTTTTCCCTCGTTCTGCGAGGGCGTCGCATTTGGGTCCATCATAGCCGCCGTCCCTTCCTGTTCATTCTTCAACACATCAGGAAGTGATGCCAGATCGACAGCATCCTCCTTGATGATGAAACATCCACGTCCATCACCATCGAGGTATGATTCATTGAGCGTTATTTCTCTTTCGTTTCGGATCACGGTGTTCGTGAGCAAGTTCCAGCAGGCAGCAGACATGCCGACTTCGCCAGATCGTGTGAATGGAAGAATGGCCATGGCATCCTCCACTGTATTATGTGGCTGTTAAACTAGCGAAGCATCATACAGGTGACATATACGCACACAACGTACCAGATGGCCCTGCAACAAAGTATTCCACACGTTCCCCCGCCCGTCCAACGTGCAATGCGCTGAACTCCCCACATCCTAAACCCATATGAATCTTCAAGGCAAACGGGACATATTTCTCTCTTCTTTCTCTCCTGAAGCCTGGTTCATGGTAGGGAGATTCTCGTCCAGTATGCGAGGAAAAAGTGGACAAAAGAGAGGCTTCTGACTTTGCTCGGTCTTCAGGAAAGTGCTCAGGAATTCTGATGGTGTAGCCCCGGAAAGTTTGCAGAATTTCGCAACAACATAAAATAGCAGAAAGGGTTGCTTTCGCGCAAGCATCCGGCATATTAGTGATTGTATCAACCTGACTGCCAGTTCGGGCCATGGCATGCTCTGCAGCCGGTTTGATGAGATTCTCGGGCGAGGGACTTTCGGCAGCCCTTGAGGATGGCAATGAATGAGCAAAGAATGTTGGATGGGACATTCTAGAGCATTGTTTTCCATGCTTTACTTGCCAGCAACAGATCAATGCATCCCCAACAAATTTCACCACAGATCCATTATGTCGGTGCACGCAATCGATGAGTCCCGAGAATACTGGGTTGATGATATTCCGAATTTTAGCTCCTCCACCACTCCCAAATCTCTGCGCCAACGTCGTAGTCAACGTAGTAAATCCCTGTGTATTCAATGAGCCCACCGATTGCATTCTACTCAGATATTTGTCTCTTACCGATATGTCTATCACACCCACAGCTCCGGTATGACGAAAACCAAAAGGCAGCGGAGGAAGCCATTCCTGCCCGCTATCTGTGCTTTGCAATCGACAAACCTTTTGCACATTTAAGGGCACAAATTTCTCCAAGTACTTTTCAAGTTTAGTTGGTGGTACTGCTATGGATTTGGATGGTATTGGGCCTAAGGATGGGGAGGCCATCCTTGGATTTGCCGGCACACAAACAAAGCAGATGATGGACACGGCGGCTGTATGTCAGCGTAACGGAGATAAACCCTGCATGATGATTGTCCTCGATGGATCAGACCCTTAAAATCTTAGGGTATGTTATATAACATGAAGCGATTTGATTGATGGTAGGTTCGACCTTGCTGCAATAAAAGGTGCGCATAATTACTGTTCGATTTATATGGACCCTAAAGCTACCCCTACGGGATGACGATGTCTGGGCTAATCCAGTCTTCTGTGATAGTTTCCATTTCCGCCGAACTGTCTCGTTCAAATCTTACCCGGATCAGATAAGTACCCGCCCCGGCTGGTCCCGCACCTTGCATTGTGCCAGCCTCCTCAGTATTCCCTCCTTCCCATTCCCCAACATTCCCATCTCCACCATCATCGTTCAACAGCTCTCCTCGCCACAATAATTTGTAGACCAGCCGATTTCCTCCGTTTCGCCCTACCCAATTGAGGCGTCCTATTAGTCCCACACTGTCACCACCATTCAAGAGTTCGACCTGGACTTTGCGCGCAGGAAGCTGAAGCGAGAAGACAAGGGCTAGGACTTCGTCAGCCGGATTAAACGGAACGGGAGCTGAGGTGGTATTAGTAGCAAATGTGGTGTTATCCGGATACCGCAGGATATATGGGTAACTTCCGTTGGGTGGAAGCAGTGGAATATCCAGATACGATCCGAGCAAACCCAGATAGGTTGCATGAAGAGCTGTAGGCACAATAGAGTTTGTCGGAACAGCATTGATAACGCCACTAAATAGCCACTGTTCCGTAGCTGAAATGTTGGGCGGATATATGTGGACAGAAAGCTGCGTAGTTCCCAGGGCAGGAACGATGAGCGTAGATGTGTCGAACTCAGTGGTGGCAGGATAGTTGTTTGACTCTGCAGGAGGCACAATCATTGGGTCCGTCACATTAATCGACGACGCAGACGTGTGCGAGACCGAATATGCCACATCTTCTGATCCCGTATTATTGAATTGCAAGGTAACAGTGAAGGGTAACGAAACGTTCGAACTTTGGCCCAGCCGAATCTTACTCGGTGTTAGTCTGACGGTGGTGTTGATAGCCGCCTGAAGATTGATTAGGCCTGTCCCTTGGGATGGGATACTCACGACCGTATTGGACAGAGTAGGATGGACTATTGGTATAGCGGTAGTTTGGAGAAGATTGACGGCTTCTATGTTGGTGAGATTTGGACCAAATTTCTGGCGAAGGATGGCCATACATCCTGCAAGGTATGGGCTGGCCATAGAAGTTCCCGACAGCTACAATAAGAAAGATTATCTGCGGAAGAAGGATTCTAAGCGCCGCTAGACACCTACGGGATAGTAAGACCCTTTGAATACAGGGTAGGTTGAATAAACAATGCTTCCTGGTGCCGTAATATCCGGCTTCAACTCTAATGAAGGTGCCGGACCCCACTACATCACTAGGCATTAGTCCTGCTCCACTACCAGAAGAGCGGCGACACATACACTCGAGTAATCTGCAATCCGTCCACCGTTTGGATTGTCCAGAACCTTTAATTCACCATCCAGCAGCAGCGTAACGTCCCCTTGCTGGCTTTCAATAATCCCTCGAATCCACTCCCCTTCAGCCTGCTCAATACTGAAAACAACCAACTCGGTCAAGGGCCTTTCCAGAGCAAAGCGATATAGGCCCTCCCGGTCATTCCATACAATCATTGCAATACCTCCCACGTCCCGGATGTTCACGGCTTTGCGATTAAACGTACATCCTCCGCGTTTCACCAACACTATAGATGAGTTAAAGCTTGCCGAGGATGGAAGCGGCGTACATGCGTCAGTAGGTGCGACACGGAGAGGAACATTGGTAGGCAACATGGTGATATTGCTAGTGCTTGCATACGTGACATTGTGACTAGCATTGGTGCTGAGAGTAAAAAATCCGCCAAGAAAGTACGTATTCTCGCACGACGCTACTGCCAGAGTTGGTGGAGAAACGGCTGGAGCAGGAGCCGACCAGAGTCCCTGTACACCGTAGTTTCCCTGTGCAGCGACGACAATCACACCGAGACGTGCCAGGCTTGTTGCAGAAACTGCCTCGGGGGTATCAGGCCATCCACCACTCGTTCCAATGCTCAGATTGACGATGTCCACCGCATCGGCGTACGCTTGTTCCAGTGCTTTCAGAATTAGTTCGCTATTTGTTCCACCTTCACATCCAAATACCTGGTGCAAACAAGTGGACAAGGATTCTGGGGCGAATGCGTGTGATCAAAATAAACAAAGCGATAAATACCTTGTAGGCGGCCAGAGTTACATTTGGAGCCACGCCAGCAACGCGATCATCTAATCCCGCTATAATGCCAGCTTTACATGTGGCTTAAAGGTTGTACCCCCGTGCATGTAGTTCCGCATGCAACCTACCGACGTGCGTTCCATGCCCAGTACTGTTATAAACCCGCATCAGCAATGGTAGCGCACGGTCAGAGGGCAACGCATAGCAAGCGGCTCACCAATCCATGGGATCACTGTCAGGAACCGGGTCCGGCCCATTCTCGCCCCGAAAGCCATCTCCTGCAAAGTCATATCCATGCGCAATTCTGCAACCTTCCCCGAAGCATCCACCCAGTGCCGGATGAGTGTAGTCAACTCCTGTAGCAGCAACATTAGTCCACAGCAATTCTTTACTGGCAGCTGAATACCATTGGGAAGATTACCTGAATCCACTATGGCGACTTTAACACCTGTCCCGTCAAACTGACCGATTACTCCTTCAACGCCAGTCATTCGATGGGTGAGGTGCATCAAAGGAGATGAAAGATGTGGATACACCCCAGAGATGTCTGGTGGGATCGGCGCTAATGGATACGGTCCTGCATAGTTCTCCTGGGTGCTGCCAAGTAATTATCAAAATCGAGATCGGCTTCCTGGATCCGTCGACTTACCACAGGCCAGATTCGTTCAACTGCATCAGTCTCATTGAAGTTGACTTTGTTCCTCTCGAGTAATTCGACGGAAAGTCCCCCAAAGACCTCTGGATACAGACTTCGCACTTTAATGAAGCCGCCTATTTCATACTGTGCACGAAACTTTGCCAAAGCCATTGAAAACGATATGGATTCATTCAGTCGTAGCTTAATGATGAGATTCTTTGATGTAGCTGGTCCAGCTATGATGGCAAGTTGACGCAGGACCATGAAGATGAGGAAACCTATGAGCTTGCTCTGTACAACGAGCATTTTACAAAGTGACCCGGAAGAAAAGAAGAGAAAATCGAGTGGTCAAAGAAAGGCGAGAGGTCTGTGGCATTCCTGAACAGTGCCATTTAACTTGCTGTATGTATTGTGGAGTGGGATAGAATCCTGAAACATTGTCTTCCAGAATCACAGCCAAGAAGACCACTTTGGTTCATGCATGCATCTGTGCAATCAACCCGAAAGTATCCGTACGCTAATAACCAAGTGATGTGAGAGTAAAACTGTTGATATAATACCCTGAGACTCCAGCCTTTGAATGTCATTTACAGCAGGGAATACACCGTGGAATTCTCAGTTCCTGCTGCCTCAAGACTTGTGCCCTTGGTTGTCGTAATATCCAACCATCATATGGGAAGAGACATCTTTCCAAAAGGGCAACCAAAACGATCAACCCGTAAAAAAAGTTTGCTGGCTTGCATCCGATGCTCCCTACAGGGGTCGAACCTGTGACCTTGGCGTTATTAGCACCACGCTCTAACCAACTGAGCTAAGAGAGCTGTTGTTTTGTTTGTTTTGGCAATACATAATCATCCTATATTATAATGTCCCAACTGACAACCAGAACGAACGAGATGGCAATGAGGGACTGCGTGCGCATGAAAGCAATTTGTAGCCTCGTCAAATCCCCATCCTAAAACTCTGTCACTCACTTTTACAGCTCATCCAGCTGATACGTGCAGGCCGAGCAAGAGCAATTCCGTCCAGTGACCTCCCATACGCGCTTTAGAGTTCTAGTGTTGTACTGTAGCATTCTGGTGCCTTTGCCAAGTTGATCTGTTTGCACCATCTGCCTGTCCGTTTCCTTTCACAATGTCTGCCACTGCGTTCATGAATCGTACAGCTGGCCGCGCAGTGCGCTCTCATCTTCAGCTCAACCCTGCATCTACTGCCTTCCTGGTTTGTGATATTCAGGAACGGTTCCGGGGTCTCATTTGGAACTACCCTCATGTCATTAACACAGCGTCAAAGATGGTACCTAACCAGCTTCTTCTAGTCAATTTGAGTGTCCCAGGTTTACTAATGGGTTCTCATGTCTCTGCAGCTGGACGCTGCAAAGCTGCTGAACGTTCCGGTCTTGGTAACGGAGCAACATCCCAAAGCACTTGGCCACACTGTACAAGAACTAGACATCAAACAAGCTCGCGTGATTGCAGCGAAGACAAAGTTCTCCATGTTTGTTCCGGAAGTCCAAGAGTTTATGAAAAAAAATCTTGGAGAATCACCGTCCGCGGTGCTATTCGGAATCGAGGTGGGTTGTAGTTTGTTTTCTCTATGCCGCACGCCTACTGACATCGATTGTTGCGCGCAAGTCGCATGTCTGCGTGATGCAAACGGCTTTGGAGTTGCTGGATCATGATGTTAATGTTATTGTCTTGGCTGATGGTGTCTCGTCAATGAATCCTGGCGAAGTAAAGATTGCGATCAACGTGAGTTTAGGAAACTTTCTTTCGCCAAATGTCATAGCCTTGGATTCTGATAGATACGTATAGCGATTGCGAGCTGCTGGTGCCACGGTAGCCAGCTCAGAGTCGGTGTTGTTCCAGCTTATGGGCGACGCTTCCCATGAAAAGTTTAAGGAGGTGTCCAAGCTGGTCAAAGAGTATAAGGACAAGACCACAGGAGCTTTGGATGCGCTCGTGTCAGCAAACTTGTAAATAGGTCCTCCATAGAGGATTACAATCGTTGTTTGTAGTCACTATCGCGTTTGATAGGCAGGTTTCTGATTTCAGTATCACAACGGCCATAGGATCCAGAAAAAACACATTTTGAAGTATTCACATTGCCTGACTTTGTGCAGGGTTTCTTTAATCTAATATGTACCGTAAAAGTGAAGAGAAGGGGAACCTATGAAAACGTTTACGTTGACAGACTGCGTGATTGTCGCGATTGGCGTCATACGGGTATCACACATGGAAGATTACCTCAATGGGTGATGGTTTTCAGAGGTGTTCCACCGATAAACTGAAGTGAAGATGCTCATGCAGTGATATCCAACACACTGCTAGTTTCACCATGCACCTCCTTCTCAATTCTCAATAGGGCCAGCATGAATCCGAGGTTGGGGCTGACCCCCGGCCGCGCTTGCTTCACTTTATCGTAGGCTTCGCGGAGAGTCATTCGCTGGTGGATCACTAAATAAGCTATCACTGTGGTTGCAGAGCGCGACCGACCCGCCTTGCAGTGGACAAATACAATGTTCCTCGGTGAGGCGTGGTGTGCTTGGTCTACCGGTCCCAAAAAGGGTGGAAGATAAGAGTTCTGTATCATCATGACAAGAGTAGAGATTACTTGTGCTGCACTCACCGATCCACTCCACAGCTTCCTTTACGGCATGTTCAATCTCATGCTCTGCGTGGTCCTCTGCCAAACACCATTTGACATCAAATTGCCCACTTTCGTCCACCTTCTTATTCTCTACTTCCTGTGCCATATTGAGTACATGGGTGACGCCCAGCGACTTTAGCTGCTCTACACCGTCCATAGATTGAGGGATCGCATCTGATCCCAGGAGAAGGTACGGCAATACCTCGGAGACGGGCTCAACGGGAGTGGGAAGGGTTGACGGGCCGGGGGAGATAGCTTGCAGGGTACTGGTATGAGGAGAAGAATTGGTCGTGCCTGTGCTGGAGGTGCGAGATTCGGAAATCGATCGACGATGCGTTCCAAAGTAGTTCTGGTTGGAGGCAGGATGTGCGGTGGTAGGTGGGGTCACTTCCTCATGTATGGGAACTCCATGCTGTATGATTTCCGGCAGCTGGAAAGGTTTGGCGGTCGGCAGGGCACTTGCCGGTGGTCCATCCATTGCTGTCGATTTCTCGGCACCGAGACGTCCGTTCGAAACAAGTGACTCCATTGATAATGAAGACAGCCGCTTTTGAGCGGTAACTGATTGTCCTCTTGCTCTGTTCTGAGGTACGAGTTTGGTTGTATTAATGGAGAAGGCAGACTTCTTACGTTGTCGAGAAGCCTCTCCCAAAAGTGCATTGGTCCGCTCGCCACGAGGCGTTCCTGGTTCGGGGGTCAGGCATGGGCTATTGGAGGATGAACTCGGAGAACCTAGGCGTTGATGGTTTCCCGCAACAGCCGAACGGATGTTGAGCGGAGTTAATGGAGGCGCCTGAGTGGTGGGAGTGCCCTTTACTGATGGAGTGGCAGACGGAGGTCGATGGGAAGGATTGATCAGATATGGGGTTTGAGACGAAGACAAACCTTCCTTGTCGTGAGTATCGGTCCCCGTCGTCGACAAAAGACTATCAGCTCCTGCCGCTTCTTGGAACGCTCTAAAGCCGCCGCGGAGATATGTAATTATTGTTCGGCCGGAATATGGTAGTGCGGGTAACTGTCCCGATGGGTCTGTCACAGATTTACGAACCCCAGCATACAGCACATCTTCTGCCAAACCTTTTGCAAGGATGTTGATCAAAGCCCAAGCTTCAGTATCTCTATTGCCCTCCCCCATCTCATCGTCATATATAACGAGTACGCGATCCGAGGACGCCGGTTGCACCGAAGCTGCTATGTCAGGGTTCGTCATTTGTTGCGCGCCATTATCCCTCTTCCAATTCTCGTAGAGCTCCTTGGACTCAGCGCCAGTCAAAAAGTTGGACATCTGAAAACTTGAGACACTCCCGCGCCGGAATCGTTTTAGCATCAGCACTGGCAAATTAACGTTAACAGAACCCTTGATGTGGCATCGTGAAAAGTCGGCCACATAACGGAGATCTATCGGTAGGATTGGAGCACCCAGTGGAATAGGTGATTGGAACGTGCCATTGGTGCTGAGATCGCTGTGATTGTCGCGTCGTCGCTGCAACGCATCAATCAATTCTTGTGCTGTCATTCCCGTTACTCCGTACATTGTAATATCCATCAAATCTGGTGGAAAAGGTGATTCTGGTCGACTCCCATCAGACTCTCCCAATGAAAGCGTAGGCGTATCAGGCCGTGACCGGTCTCCCCCCAATAATCTCAAATCAGCCAAAGCATCTTCAACCATCGACACCGTAGGTGAACACTTTACACTTGACATGTGTCCAATAGGCGCATTATCGTCCCTCTGGTGACATCCAATCCCTTCCGGTGTTCCCAGTCCATGTCGAGAGGACGCCAAAACAGTACTTTGCTGCATCGTATTGTTTAGGCCTCCTCCGGATGAGGAGGACAACGGCCCCTCCGAGGACGGCGCACGTTTTACTGGGCCCTGGTCGTCTATCGACGATGACGCGCTGCGTTTTATACTGGTTGCGAGTGGTGCGTTGCTTGAATTGGACCGCGTGTTAGTGAAGGGAAACGAAGCGGGAAGTTCTCGCATAGTCTTGGGGAAGCTGGCGTAAGGGGTTTTGACTAGTCCAAATAGGGAAAGAATGTTAAGCGTATTGTGCGGGGGATATCAGTTAATCTTGGGGATTGTTGTTTGGGTCGGGCGGTAAATGTAGCTTTCCTTATTTCAGGCACGAGTGAAGTTAAGAATCTGGTTGCAAAGCGATCATGCACTTTCAAAGCAATCTCTTGCGTCAACGGAACTGCCACCGGTGGGTATGCCAGTAGACACAAGGCTACAATGTGAAGTAACAAAGAGCTAGCTCTCCCCTTTCCCTCGAACTCGCCGAAGCATGACCAGGGCGAAACGCCATTGACCGTCACAACAGTGGGGGTTTAGAAGGATCTTTGGTGCATCGTATATTTCTTTGATGGCTATTATTAGCTGCGCATCCTCAGAAAGGTTGCTCTGTGGCGATTACGTAATAAAGAGGACGCGTCCGAGAGTTGAACTTTTTGAGCACAACGGGCATACATCCCAGGTATTTAACTTTGCAGCAATGTTCATATCCTTCCGAATGTTGAGTCGTTCTGGTCGCTAAAGAATGTCAAAGTGCTTCACAATTGTCTCAACGAACCATCATTCTCCATGATTGCGCAGATCGTACATGTCTTGCGCCTTCCACTTGTGTTTCGTGCTCTTGCAAATAGTCTGTGAATCGTGCAATCTTAGCAAAAAACGTCAAGCCCAAGGGTTCGGCGGCGGCCCACTCTTATATTTTTCGTCTGTCACCGCATGAACTTGGTTGCTGTTCACCTTCAAGGGATGAGAGGGGTCGACCGATCGCCAATGACACGCGACCTGGCATGTTTACCTTGCGTGTGACGTATAACGTCACTCTAGGGATCTCCGCAGCTGCCTTGACCCGAGCAGGGCTCCAGGCGGGGATGGGCATATATAAACCCCATGCAATTGAACCCCGACAGTAAGTGACTTCCAAAAATGGCCACCAGAACAGAGCAAGTCCTCTCTCGCAAAGCGTCCATTGAAGCAGAAAAAGTCGGAAAGACATGCGCTCATCTTGAAAAAGATCACACTCAAGCCCCAGAGCTCGCCTTCCAGCACGCGCGCGAGAGGGCCGCGCATGCTGCTGCGATGTCGGCTCACGCAGCCGAAAATTTACACCGCAAGGAAGTTCAAGATGCGGCAAAAATCAACGCTACCCTTGAGAATCTGCGGTCTCGCTCGGAGCATGCTCTGGATGTAGCTGAGCATCACAAGGCAGAGGTATCGCAGCACGCCGCTGAAACCGCCGTGCATCCAGCGAGTTTAGAAGGTGTTGTAAGAAAGGAACAGGAGAACGAGTTGAGGCGAATGGAATTACAGGAGGAGCTGCAACGAAAAGCTGAACAAAGCGAGAGATTGAGGAGGGACAAGTTGGAAGAGGTGAAAGAGAAAGCGAGGGCGTTTGAAAGGCCCTTTGAACATTGAATTCCCGATAACGTTTGGGAGGATGGGAAAGGTGTGAAAAACATTTTAGACAGGACTATACCATTACCCACAAATTGTACAGAAATAAAATACTGAAATTGACGAACCCATTTCTTTGTGAATAGCACTAGCCTAATAGCTTAGCCCTTCTTTAAGCGCAAGGGTGAAATCAATGGTGCAACCGCTACCTTTACAAGCACGAAATCCCAAGCGTACAGCCGAATAATAGCAACCTTCTTCATACACTTGACTGACCCATCTCTATATTCAACCACACATCATCAATCAACTCCTTGTCTAACTCAGCTGTACCAAACAGCGCAATAAGCGTCGCTTTGAAGTGAGGTAAATCTTCCACCTTGACATGCGTTGGTGATTGGGACAAACCGCTTGCATGTTTCCTCTTGAACAACGGCGGTATGGAAGCTGCAAAACGCTTGATAAGAGGAAGAACTGTCTCGCGGTCTCTCGTTCCCCTGTTTGGGGGAATCGGTTCTTGCCCGTGTTCTTCTTTTGAATGATCGTTTTGGACATCCACGATACCGTCCAAAGTATGATACCCCTGTTGGCTTTGCATAGTGCTTTGTGGTTGGATTGTCGATTCCTGTTCACGTCCTTCTCGTTCGCTGCTAGAAACCCTCACATCGGCTGCGGGGACATTTGCATCCACACTGCGGGTCCAGCTTTTTGCATTCTTAGTGGTGCTCTTGTCCGCCGTGTTTACCGACGCAGTGCTCAAGACGTATTGCTCCTTTCCTTCCCGGCCATACCACTGGTTGTCCGGTATGGCCCAGGGTCGATGGATATGCGGTTTTCCCTGCTGGGCGGGCTTTGTACTAACTGAGCGTGGGGACGACCGTACGGGTGATCTAGACTGCAGTTCTGTAAGAGAATATGGAGAACAAGTCGTCTGGAAGTGTCAGTTCATAGTGCCAGAAAGCAAGCTAGCACAGTCCGACGTACTTTTCCACACAATCGCATAAGCTTCTCCAATCTCCTTAAAGACCCTTTCTGCCTCTTCTTTTCTGTGCAAATTTCTATCGGGATGCCATTCCAAAGCTCTCCGGCGGAAACTGGAGGTAAAGAAGTAAGACTTGCGCCTTTTTAAACAGCGACGCCAATGACGGTAAATCACATTGCCTTACGCTTGATTAACTTCTTCAAGGGTAGCCGTTGGCAGAATACCCAGTACCTCGTAAGGCGACATTATCTTACTTGACAAACAAGTATCGCCTTAGATCAATGTGTTTACATGGAATGGCAACCGCATGGGCACCAAATGCAGTTGTAACTGCGGCCTCTGGGGCTTGAGCATCATTTTGAGCCATCCATTGGCGGAGCAGAACCCCGTTTTTGATCAAGGCCTTATCCTAACTGACTATCTGACCTCGTTACATCATTGAATACAAACAAAACGGGGTTCATAGAGAAGATTGGCCATCATCTGTTAAAGCTGTGTTTCGACATCTATCCACTTGGAACCGCTGTTCGCTGCCTCTTTGGTATGTCTGTCCATTCTCTATTGCTCACCTGTCACCAACTGGCTGCCTCCTAGCCTGATGATAAAAGAGCTTGAAGTCTCATTTCAGCTGGTTTTATAACGGCCCACCTCCATCACATCTCTAACCTAAAAGCATATACTTCTCCATAAACATTTTGATCATCATCATTTGCGGAATGGCAATTGAAGCCGCCCAGTGCATTATGAATCCTACTGGCAATGTTCTTCCATAAGCACATGCAAACATATGTGTGTTAAGGGAAACCATGAAAACTCAAAGACAGCCAAGTAAGCAAAGGAACTTGGACAACTTGTTCGGATTCTGATGCGTGGGGGACAATATGTTGATCTGTTTGAGTATGCCTCCCGAAACAAACTACTCTTATTCGCAGATGTACGAAATCCATCACTTTTGAGAGATAATCACGCACACTTTACTCCGACCTGTTAAAATCCAGCTCAATAAACAATAACCGATCACATTGGGATCAGGACGTTTAGTGTCGATTCGGCCAGCATTCTCTGGTAGTTTGAAGTTATTATCCAGCATTCAGCTAATGACTCTATCGTATATTTAACCCTCCTGGATTAACAGATATCATCACATATTGCAAATTCATTGGAAACGCCGATCGAAAGCTCAAGTAGTCATCGTGTGAACACAGCGCGCCGATCTAGTTGTCACGCTAGTGGCACAGCTCCAGTTGCTATAAAGTTGAAGGACGAGTTCATTCCGCGCATTCCCAATCCCTCTTGTACGCTGAACAACGATTTGCCGTAAGTAATTCAGCAACGGTTCGCGCTCGCCAAAATGGTCAAGACAATTTCCACCATATCCGAATTCAATGAAGTCATTAAGACTGGCAACACTGTCATTGGTAAGCCAGTTCATCTTGAGATTGTGCGGTATAGGGTTTCATATTTGCGCTCACGAAGAAGCAGGGATGACTGACTTACGCTCATGACTTTACCCTTTTTATGCCATTCCACATATATTCCAGTTGGTGTGTATTATTACCCGTTGACGAGCACGTCGTCGAGCTTATTTTTCTGATACGCAACCCACCTATCAGACTTTTATGCCACTTGGTGCGGTCCTTGTAAGATGATATCCCCAAAATTCGAAGCTTTTGCGCAAAAGTATACCAAGGCCACATTCATCAAGGTGGATGTCGACGAAGTACCAGAAGTTGCAGAACAAGCTAGTATTCGCGCTATGCCTACCTTTCATATTTACCAGAACGGAGAAAAAATTATAGAGATCGTGGGTGCGGACCCTTCTCGTCTTGAAGCTGAAATCAAGAAACACGCTGCATGAAATGATCTGGAGGTCGTTAGATATTAGATACCTCTTATATGAACCGGCTTTGAACACACTGAAACAAGTTGGTGTCAGTATCGAATACCACTCGCTACCGGTTCATACTTGCTTAATGGAGTTGAGTCACATATTTGCACTGCCGTTGATGTCGCTCTTCCGTGCTGGGGTCGGAGCTTGCTTCAATGTGGTAAAAAGAACCGCTGAGGTGGAAACACGATATTACCCCATCGTACTATATTCAAGAAGGTACAGCAAGTGCCGAGCCTAGGCGTCTCAAAGAAAAAGATGAAAGGCGAGCATGGCGCAACCAGTGGCAATAATAATACAATACTGCCGCGCGCCCGTATCTTTTTAGTGGCCAGACTTCCGCCTGTAATCTTCAGGAGAACGTGATCGTCTTCTGTCACGCTCTTCCTTTGACCCTCTGCGATCTCTGTCGTAGTCCCTATCGTAGCGCGAACCGCGTCGACCGCTGAAAGTAAAGGGGATTAATGGAAATTCCCTGTCGCGACATCCATCCTCCAAACATACCCGTCGTAACCACGGTCATAACCTCCACGCGGCTCGTAGCCACGGCGTTCATAGCCTCGATCATGGCCGCCGCCACCACCTCCACCACGCCGGTCGCGGTCGTAACTGCCTCGATCATATCCCCCTCTATCATACCCTCCCCGCCTGTCACCATAGCCATAACCCCCGCGATGTCCACCGCGTTCCCCAAATCCTTCCTTTTTCATTTCGTCCACCTTATCTCTAATTTTTACAAATCCAAGATGCATCTGAGAAGCAATGAAGATCACGTTAGACTTTCACATGCAGAACACGCCCAGAGATATCTGCATACCTTCCCTCCAAAATGATCGGCTAAGCGTCGATCACTATCAAAAATCGACAAGTACGCTGAGCATACTTCGCACACTCGGAGCTTTTGCTGTTGTGAGTTTCCTTCGCTACCCGTAATTTGTTTAAGCTCCCGCTGTTGACAAGTTTAGCATATTGCTGGCAATGAGATAAAAACACATAGTAGTCTCACCTCCTTGTCGGCTTTCAGCTTTTGGAGGTCTTCCACCTTGTTCATGACTTCCATCGACTCTGCAACTTTCCCCTCTTCGCCTAGAGGTGAGTGAAAAATACTCGAGTCAGCTGGATATATGTCATATAGCAACACACACTGCTCACCTAACGTTTCCACCTGTCCCGTTAATGTAGCAATCTCGTTTGTGAGGTCACCAACTTCTCGCATCTAAAAGCACACATATAGACACTGAGTCAAGATTTCGGGAATTGGCCGCGACCTTTTAAGCGCAACTGACCAGCTGGACTGCTCTGGCATCCTCAGGTGTTTTGTCTAGCCTTCTTTGAGCAGCTTGCACCTTACGGTCACAATCACCGACAAACTCTGAGAGGTTATGGAACCACTCTTCTTCATATCCCGGGTGACCTTCTTTCCTAGCCTTCTTGTATTCTTCCAATAGTTTTTCAGAATGGGATTTGGTACACGGGCCGATATCCATTTTTGTATTTGTGAATAGGTCGTGTGGACCTAGGATAGAATATACTCGTCAGTGAACATGTGGACACACGCTGATCTAAAAACCCGTCATCATACATAGTCCACACAAAAAGTTTCTGCACACGGTTGTATCAGTGAATTTGACATTATCTGGAGTGCCGCCAAGGGCCTCCTTTCCCATGAGAGCTTCAAGAAGCTTCCGTTGTTCTGCTGCAGACATGGCGCTGACGATGGGAATTGGGAGAGAATATTGTAAAAAGTGCGAAGTTGGACAAAGTGTAGCCTGCGCTTGGTTTTCGCTGTTGCTTGGTAACCGCAATGGTTATTAGCTTACCAGCCTCCCGTACTTGGGACCGCGACTTTGGGCTTTAAGTATCTGGGAGTAATGGAACCTCCGATAACATACTATACAAAAGCAGAGTACATTGAGACGGTAGGGCTTTCTTGTTGGTGTGTGGTTGAGTGTTTGATGGCCAGTGCGTACGCGCAAACAGGGGATGGGAGTTATGGATGAGCAATTTGAGACGGTAGTCGACGAGACTGACTCGACGATTGGTTCAATAAACAGGACACTGGAAACAAAGTCAGTCGAAAGTCAGTCATCTGCGGAAGTCAGAATATTGTTCTAGGAGGCAAGGTATGCGTACAATTATGTATTTATCGCTCTTCCAATTTCCTAAACCTTATCATTTAGACCATTATCCAAACGGAATGCATTGTTCGCGGTGACTTGCGCCGAACGGGAGGGGGACACGCTGTTGTCATTGCTATTGGGCGATACTGTCTGTTAAGCCAACGATGTATCTTGCGGCCTCCCTATAAAACCTACAAAGGGTATATACGGACGCATCTGTTTCAAGGGACTTCCAGCTAACCTCGTAATGGTATAGAGTCTTCAACTACTACCCAATGAAGATAGGTGACCACGTTGTTATTGGGGAAGATAGCGTTGTAGAAGCCGCTCAAATAGGATCACATGTACATATCGGCAAAGACTGCGTAATCGTAAGTGGGCGAGGACAATCCCAGCACTTGCATATATCTGACGGTCAAAATACGCACAGGGACGATTTGTAATCATTAAAGACTGCTGTAAAATACTTGATGGAACTGTTATTCCACCTAACACAGTTATCCCATCGTTTTCAGTATACGGCGGAAATCCAGGTAAGTTGCTAGAGGTTTGCTCATCGCATAGGATACGCGCCTAACGTGCTAACTTAGGGAGGCTTGTTGACGAGCTCCCCGAATCCACGCAAGAATTGTACGAAGCCCGAACGAAACAATTCTATTACGAAAAATTCATAGCCGAGCACGCATAGTGAACGTTGTGATACCCATTTCAGAGTTGCGATTGTACATATATTGTATTTAAAACGGGTTGGTAAACCCATTGTTTGATGTCGTGAATGTGGCGATTGTCCCTTTATCCAACCTCTCCATTCTCGGGTGACATCGAATCCACGGCACTTTGTATGCCGTGAGGAACGTAAACTACCTATATTACATGTTCTTGCTGCCCGCTGAAACTCCCACGCTTTATACAAGTCCATCATACAGATTCAGCGCTTGCACAATTGTTGGGTCTTTTTGAGACCCTTTTCTAAACTCCTCCATGTCCAGTTTCCCGTCCTCGTTCTGGATCAACGACGAAACGGCGCATGAATATGACGATGGACACCAGGGATCGAAATAAAGCACCAAGCACTTACCGTATCCATCAAGGTAAAAATCTTCTCTACCCGTTTGTCTGGTGTATCTTCATCTGGCGGGAGTTTGACCATATTTCCCACCATTTTGTAGATTGCTTGCACGATCTTGAGCATTTCCTCCCGTGTAATGTATCCATCATTATTTATATCATACAGCTTGAATGACCCTGCGCGGAGAAAAAAACAAAACAAATTAGATTCGTTTGCCATGCGCGCGAGACTGACCAACGACTCAACGTCACGTACAAACTAGCTTCTGATCCAAATTGCCGCGCGACGTCACCGACAATGCCGATATGAATTCCTCGAAATCAATCGACCCATTCTTGTTTTCGTCAAAAACGTTGAAAACGTGGTCCGCAAACGCCGAGGAATCGCCGAAAGGAAAGAACTGTTTGTAGATTTTTTGGAATTCGGTTCGGTCTAGGGCCCCTGACGGGCAGTCTTTCATAAAGCCCTTGTACCTACAATAGAGATTGGCAGCCGATGAATGATGGATATCATACAGATCGTCACCTGTCTGTCCAAGGAACTTACCACTGCTGCAGCTCTTTCTTGTCAACTTGTCAATGATGCAACATGTCAATCACCATTCCGTATTTCCCAATCATCACAATATCTAAAGCAACAAGAGGCACTCACAGTTGGTACACCGTTGCAGCTCTTTGAGCTGCTCCTGACTCAGTTTACTGTGCGATTTTCCCATGTGCTTTTGGTTCCAGCTCTGGAGCTGCTCCTAACTCTTGTACGCTGCTTTTTATACTGTCCGTCTTTGCTAGTCACAATCTCTAGCGTCCCAAAAATACAACGAGATCGTATGGAAATATCTCTTTTGGATATCCGGCCGACAGTTGAGATGCCTTCGTTTAAAAGAAAGGCCAAGCCCAAAAGCGGGGAGTCAAAAACAACGCGTGCTTAGCAGGTGAGTAATCCTCAAACGCACGGATTACCAACCGTTGTCATTAGCGTTTTTAAGATATTTGTCAAGTCGATTTCCGTTGACGATTCTTGTAGCATCGAACAGCATCAATGTGTAGAATAATGCTGGTGCTTATTGTTTTAAACATCATCTCCGCAGTCCAGCGCCGTCATCCTTCGATGGGCTTGCCAGTCTGAGATAATAAAATCTCAACATTGTACTCGTCGGATATAGTTCAGCATCTCTTTTATCCTCACAGCAGTGATTGCTACCGCAATACATAAAGTGCAAGTAGACGAGTAAATGTCCATTGCAATGCTTGTCTGATAGCAAAAGGCAAGCAAAAAAGCTGTGTCGTCGCCGAGCTTGCATCTGTCACGTGTCATCACGCGGCTGTTAATCCAAGATCTTCCCGTTCATCCCTTTCGGCTTGGTCGTCACACCCGGCGGCAATCTTTTTCTGCGTGTGGTCGTTGGCGGGGGGCAAGTCAAATACCCTAGACAGACCTGACCAAACCCTTTCGAACAAACGGTATCAAAAGATGGCGGCTTCATCCTGTGTATCAAACTACTTTTTGAGCCGCGATTTGGGTCATCCCAATCTGGCGACCCTGTGCGCGTTCGTTGGTACACTCTACCTGTCCAAGCTTGCCATTTCTTTTCTCTGCCTTTTGTACCGTCTTATTCTCCGTCCCGCAACCAATCTCCGGAAATATGGGGCCAAAAAGGGTGCTTGGGCCGTCGTTACGGGCGCGTCAGATGGGATTGGAAAAGAGTTTGCCCTTCAGTTGGGGAAAGCAGGTTTCAACGTGTTTTTGATGGCCCGCACAAAAGCAAAGTTGGATACGGTTGCCAATGAAGCGAAATCAAAGTATGGAGTTGATGCTGTTGTTTATCCTTTTGATTTTGCGGCGGCCGGAGATGCAGAGTATGAGGCCTTGCGGAAGCAGTTCCAAACCCTTGAGGATGTGGGCGTGTTGGTCAACAATGTTGCTGTGAATCACGAGATGCCTACTCCATTTGCGCAAGAAAGCGAAGCATTGCTTTCGGCTATTGTGGAGGTGGATGTTGCCGCTCAAGTGCGCTTGACAAGGATGATTCTCCCTGGAATGACCACTCGTAAACGTGGTCTGATTCTCAACGTTGGATCCGTTGCCGGTCTCATTCCGTCGGCCTATCTTGCTACCTACTCTGGTGCCAAAGCGTTTTTGCGTACGTGGTCCCGCGCTCTCGCTGTAGAATGCAGACCTCACAATGTCCATGTGGAGCATGTGAAAACCTACTTTGTCACGACTGCCATGAGTAAGATCCGCAGATCCACCATCTTGGCACCCACCCCCCGCGATTACGTTCGCAGCGTGCTACAGAGTGCGGGCAAGGATACCGATGCTGCCCCGTACCCAAGTCACGCTGTCTTGACCTGGGTTTTGGAGAAGCTGCCTGAAGGCCTTGCGATTAAGAAGAGTGCGGATATGCACATCGACATTAGAAGGCGTGCCTTGAAAAAGAGGGAGCGGGAGGCTAAGAAAGCGTAATTTTTTGTGTCATTTACTTGGGATGGGCATTATGATTTGTGCATTATGACATTTATCGGACGTAATATATACGGAATCTATCCTCTAAAAATCCTGTAATTTTTTCTCACGTAAACATGAATACCTCTTTTTGCCCATCAGACATGCGTGCAACCCGTTTACTCCCGACCACACGTTCCAGTTTCAACCGGTCGTACCGCGTAAACAGCACAGTACATGTAATGTCTGCTGATTGTTGATCAAGCATGTTGATCATTTCGGCGTAGTAGCTGCCGTATTCGGGTAACCCATAAAACACAATGTGACGGATTCCTCGGATTTGATATCTAAAGAAGGTCGCAGGAAATGTTATCAAAAGGAGCATAAATCCTTAACACAAGATCATAACTTGCCTCCGAAAAAAGTGAAACCGCTCTGTGTAAAGCATGTAACTGGACTTGCCATGGAAAAAGTCCCCACGAGCCCGTGATACATCGGGAGTTGGCGTATACCTGTGCGGTGCATTGGTCACTACCTTGCCCAACCGACCGCCGGATACAAAAAGAAAGCAAAACAAAGATCACTCACTCGCATAGCTGGACAAAATCATAATGATGCTCATCCAAGTAGTTTCTCAATCGCACGAAATCAAAATACGACGGCACAAAAATCATGGAATGCTTTTGTTGTACCACGCTTTGGCGGAGGGTAGGAAGGATTTTTTCAATGAAATATTTGAAACGAGTGTCGTCAGCCTCGGATGGCGATGTGCAGGGAATTCTGTGGAATATCTTTGCAATCGACGAATATCAGCAACCTGAAACAGCACTTTAAATGGAGGGTAAATGTACCTGTGGAACTTGGACCACCACATCACATATCGATCCCGAACACTGTTCTCGGGTTTTTATCTTTCCCCCCGAGTTCTTGCAGGATTTGTTGAACAGGGCATTCATTTCGGGAACGAGCATGTGGGAAAAGATTAATGTCTGACGCACGTATTTCGCTCTATAGGATCAGTAACAAAATTCTTGTCAGTTGGCTGAAATATATCATGACATGCAATAACAAAACCAAAGATGTTTACCGTCCATCCAAGTAATAGGCACGGACACGAGAAAAGTCGCATCCATGCGCTTCTTTTGGTATCAGATTCAAATGATCAAATATATGTTGAACATGATCCCAGTTTTGCATTAGAAACACATCCGTTTGATCCAGGATGACCACTTCAATAGCAGAAAGAAAGTCAAAGTCCCGCTTCTTGTCCCTGTCAATATGATCGGAGACGTTTTCAGTATATAGCACATTGTGTGTGAACCTGGAGTTCCTGCTCACCCTTCAGCACCAATCACCATCCTCAATCCCAAAGGCGAGGCTAGGATGACATCTGACGAGTAAAACGGGGCAAACAGCTTCAATTGCTTTCGTGCAAATTTGATACCGACACGGAAACAGTCATCAATGTTGCCAGCGAACGTTTGTTTATGATCCTCTATGATATAGTCAATAAAGATGTAAGATACAAAGATTTATGAGACTGCATCTCGATGCCTACCTGGCTTTCTTGGGTCCATTCGATCATCTTCTGGCGCTATACCAAACTCATCAAAAAAGCGCTTTTTATTGTCCTATGCAAGCGAGTCAGCACGACCGCCTAATATTCTTTTCCGTACATACTGTAACTCACTTGCTGCGTGGTACCCGAAAGCGCAATCAACATCTTCACAACCTCCATAGCGGTATTCCGAAAAGGAGTCAAAATCAATACTTTTGGTCTCGTAAATCCTTGATCCCGTATCTCAGTGTCCACAGTCTCTGCCTTGAGTCTGGCATTATTTTTCAGTACTCTATCCCGCGTTTTGTAGACATGGTTTATCGTATGGAGCGCGTACAAGTGTCGCAGTTGCTTGGAATTTGGGTGGGATTGTGAGGTGAACATAATGTCTTTGTATGCATTCATAAAAGTAAAGAGATTTTGCTGGAGCGGGGTGAAGGGAGTTTTAGGATCTTTTGTTGATGTCACCGAACTATTGAGCTGTTTCCATGGATCATGGAGGCGCTGCTTGACTTTACAATCCTCGAGACTCGTTTTGGTATGGGACGCTGACGAGGATTCCAAAGTGTCCCCTTTTAATCTGTACTGAACAACAGTGTGCAACTCCGGGTCCTCCTCTACCGTGGTCTCCCATTCGTTTGTCTCCACGGCAGCGCCTTTGAAAGCAAGATTGTCTGAAATGTGATCCCCAAAATGTTTCTCCCATGGGTCGGTAGACTCTAATCCAACTTGTTCAGTCTCATCTTGGTCGTCCTCGTCCCCACTCTCTTGTGTCGACTCTTCCCCCTCGCTATCCTCTGCCAAGACATCCTCTTCCTCCTCAATTTCAGAGAGATCCTCCACAGATCCATCAATCTTTGATGGAAACTCCTCCTCCTCCTCGACAATAGGTCGTAATTTGGGTGCTTCACTGTCCAAGGTCTGTTCGATCAGTTTTGCCCTCTTTCTCGCTAAAAGGACATGAGGCCATTTTTAATAAGGTAGAGCGAAAGGGCTGCAGGCATCTAGTTGAAACATACAATTGTCTTTTACAGCAGTCTTTGATTTCTCTTTGGCCAGTGTCCCTCTGCCGAGCCGCTTTGAAGATTTCTTTAGTCCCTTCAATAACTTGTTGAATGAAGATGGGCTCTCCCAATCGTTCGATCCGTTTTGGTCGCCGAGCTTTCGCTTGGCCATCTTGTCGTGTGTGTGGTATGTGAGGCAACCAATGAGCAAACGGTTGGGCTTGTCGGAGTGCTCAATACAGTTGGCTTGATGGGACAAAAAGAAATACAATTAACCCTTTTTTGGATGCATGGCGCAGTCATTGAAACACATGAGTGGCACAGTCATCTGTGTTCGTGACCAAGGATTCAAACATCCCGCACAGTGCAAATGTTGGTAAAGCGGGGCACCATCACCAAAAGTCGCGAGTGCCAAAGCAAAGCAGACTGCATTGCGCAAACGGATAGCGTGACCAACAAAGTACAAGCTTTTATTGCGTGCGCATCTAGTCGGAAGCCAAGTGGGTAAACACAAATCTGTGCAAGAGCCCGTGCCACTAGTTTCTTGTCACATTATTCATTTGTACTAGTATACAGCTGTTATTAATGAGATATCACGCATCCCATCAATAATGTATCTAAAACACATTGCACATGCAGGCACGGCATATTACCGGAGAGGCGAGAGACGCAAGAGTACAACGCTACAACGCGAGTCATGGAAAAAACATTTGTGAATGGTTGAATGAAATACAAAACTGTAGGCGATCAATGGAGATAAATGGAACACACCGGCACCATTGTCATGCTAATCACAATACTTGTTATTCTACTGCTCTCGTATTGGGGGGCTATCCAAAACGCAACAAAATGCCTCGTGTGCGAGACTGACCTTTCCGCTCAGTTCCCCCCAAGCCGCCAACTGTTGACAAGATGTTACATCGGCCCACATTGCTGGGTTGCGGATACAAATCCCCGAGTTTCCGCGGGCGCAGGCGATCGAAAACTTTTTTTGTTCACGGCGGTGGACAATACCAATCGGCGGAATTTTTAACACGTTTTTTTTGTTGCATCAGGCTTTGACGCGTTTGCTGGATGCAGTAATGCATTGTAATGGAATGGAATGATTCAACAAACCACGCGGTAACTCCTTGGAATGATATGACATGTCATACAATGCACTATAATCCCCTACAACCACCCTGAAATCCTTATCGCTGCTCCAATGGGTTCCGATGGCCCCACTTGGCAAGTTGCTATTTGAATGGGCAATAGCAAGTTACCCGTTGGGCGACACGTCTCCCCCCGCATTTCGCCCTTTGTCAACGGTGTTCGCATTCCGATATTAAGAACGGTTCCGTTCGTTTTGTAAAAGGTATTGTTTGCCCACAATCCTTTCAACCCAAGCCTTCATTGTACCCGGGGCGGGCACAAAAAAACGTCAAACTGTCCTTTTGTTGCAACAAACAACGGACCAAAACAACACATCCACACACACAGCGACATTGCCCTCCTTTTTAGCAAGCCGTGGTCTCCTCGATTTTTTGTCTCTCGCATCACTTTTTTTTTGTAAGATTGATAACTAGTGAGCAAAAACGGTTGTATATTTTATTTTTTGGGGCAAGTTGGGCGACTTTTACGACTTTTCAACTTTTTGCAACCGCCGCGAACAACCCACACCCTTTTTGACACGTCTCCCTCTCTCGACATTCCCTGTCGCTGGTCTGACGCATCATGTCTACGCCATTCCTACCAATGTCCGCGAACGCGCAGCCGCTTCCCGGTCCATCACACTCTTACCTGCCGCCTCCACCCAATGCGCATCCTAGCCTGCTCCCACTGCAAAACTCTTCCCTTCCCTCCAACGACACGCCTTCTGGTGCACCGATAACAATCTCGTCAAAGCTCAAACAAGAAGAACAACGGATAGACTTGAAAGTTTTGCATCACTTGAATCGCGATGACCACCGCAAAAAGCAAAAGCGATTCAAAAGAACTGTCATGGCTGTTCACGCGATTGTTTCTCACAAGTTGTACAAAAGCAAAGCGTCCAGCTTGGAAGCTTATTTTAGGGACGCCTGGAAAATATCTCGAGCCCAAGTGTATAGATTTTTGGATTGTGCTGTAGTTTTAAAGGTAAAGCGTGTCGTTCTCAACGTGGTCAAAATCATCGTGGTCTGTGGATTTGACGCTTTTTGTTTTTGTTTGAAATTTTCTTTTAGCAATTGGAAGGCTTTACAGAACAACCTTGCCGTGAGCGGCTTTGTCGTTCTCTCAAACGCCTAGCCAAAAACCGCACAGATATTCAAAAGCTCTGGGAAACAGTATTAACAAGAGTCAACAACGACCACGAAGCCGTGACCAGCACCATCATCAACACTGTGTGGCGCGAACTCTTGGAGCTAGGAACCGTCACAGGAAGGCCAGCCATGAGCAATGAGCACATTGAAGTTGAGGCAGACGTTGGTGCTTTGAGTGACATTGAGATGGGAGCCGCTGCGATGGATGACGATTGCGACTCTGACGGCCGTAATGATCGAACTGGGAGCCAACCGGGAAGACCTGATAGTGCACAACAACGCGGAACACTCGGCGACCGAACCCCAGCGACTCCACTCGATGCCAGACCTAATCAATACGCACGACCGTATCCGGGCGAAAATGCCGACATGTCTGGTACAGCAATGGGATCGTCGACCAATGCTCAGAATTATATTTCTGATTCACAAGGTATGAGAAGGGACCACGATTGGCGCAATCAGGATGTCTCCTGGCGTTCAAACCGCGATGTGCCCGCCGACTTGAACTATCAAGAATCGCTCAACTCTGACGTTGCTGCGTGCACCTCTCTTCTGGATTCGGTCGGTCGCAAAGGCTATGCGCTGCAACCTTATCTCAACGGTCGCTGGGTCAAGGAACCAATCAGTCATTGGCGCTTCGCACCACACTATCCCCCAAGTAGCGGACGGTCGGAAGCATACGTGTTCGATGTCGCCCATCCTGGAGCACCTTATGGCACTCAGTACAGTCGACCCGCCTGGTATTCCAGTGATGACAAGCTCTGCTATCCAAGTCCGTCAGATGCTGTGCCTAGATCTGCCACTGTGTATGGGCAGTCTAATACTCCATCATCGCGTCCACTGTACGAACCAACCTCGGCAACATCACCTTATGAAAATCATTCAGGTTGGGACCATCGTCGCCACAGCTTACCATTGAATGACGCACAGAGTGGAACCTATGATCGCTTTGCAGGTCCCGTAGCATCCACGAAATATTCCCCTTTGCAATCTTCTGACGCAACCCATGAAACCTGGAGCAGCCAGTACACTTCTCATGGCCGACCCGTTGAATCTGTTCCAGACAATATGGGATATCGCCATCAACAGCCTGTGATATACGATCAAACCCGCAATGCCGGATTTGATCCAACATACAACCGTCCTATGCATAGTGAGGCCGAATCTGTCAGATACCCTTCCGGGCGGAATCCAGTGCCTCCTTCCTACGCTCCAATCACGGCTCCGCCGCAACCGACTCAGCACGCTCACACCCTCCCGCCACCCACACCGTCCTCGTACCCAACCCTCCCACTTCCCCATAGTCTGAGTACAACTTCATCCACACCTACTCGTGGGCACCCGCTGGAACCGCGGCCCAATGGTGATTCCCGGAGCTCTGCAAACTATTTCATGTCGAGTGGGTCACAGTATGGGTACGGATCGACTGCTTCCTTGCCGCCCATTATGGGAACGGCTGTTGGAGGAACTGGAGCTCAGCCATCCGGTAACCCAATGAACGGGTCCCGCGACGCATATGACCATTCTGAGGCACAGGCTGCTGCTATTTTAACCGGAGTAGCTTCTGGGGGACGGAGAACCCCTTTGGACGCTGGTCAAGCGGCCATGTAATCCGTAAGATAGGGTAGTTGGATTCCCTTGAGGTTATGAGCTGTTCTATCTGGGTGGGATTTGCTCAAGTTGATCCAGTCTTGCAATTTATTCATTCTAGATTGGGTAGGCCGTTGTAACATTTGAAACCCGGGTTTTAATAAACGTATATAAGTTGTTTGAATTCATGCAATGATTCTATTCAGTAAATATAATACAATTTAAAAAAGAAAACCAAATGGACAAGGGAAACACAGCGCCTCTAGAGGCAAAGAAATCCCTTGTACATTCAAAAACTAGAAACTGGATCTCCCCTCCATTCCTCGCATTCCGCCTACGTCTGACCGACTCTCTACACAGTTGTAATCAACTTTTGATTCAGTTCCTTCACCTCGGATGCAATCTCGTCGTAGTACTTTCCATACTCCCCCCCGCCTGTAGTCTTTTCTACAACCAAAACACAACTTGTTGCCCGCTTGGTGGCACCAGCGCTACCAAGTTCTTCTTTGGATGGTACGTAAATGTACGATACGTTTGCTTCTTCACAGAGGATGGGAACGTGGGTGATGACATCCACGGGGGAGATGTCACCAGCAATGACAACGACGCCTTTTGCTCCCTTTCGGAGGGCTTTGACGACTTCTTTGACTCCCCTTCGGACCTGCTTTTCTTTGGCGGCTGTTTTTTTTTTTTTTTTTTTTTTTTTGGAATTCTCATGAGCTAACAGTTTTATTGGAATTGAGGAATACAAGGTACTGAGGAGTCTTACCTTTCTTGACAGTCTTCAAAACCTTCTTTGTCAATTTTTTGCTTGCCAGTGGGTGTGCAATGGCATTGCATGCCTTCACCCTTGTCTCGTACGATACAGAACTAGACTCTTCGTCCCCTGCTGACGGCGTAGTTGGCTCAACCTGTTTCTTTTCCTTGGATGGTGTCGCTGGCGACTTGTCTTTCTTTTCTTTGGCCATAGTTTATAGGTTTTCTTGTTACAAGTTGATGCAGAATCACAAAAAAAAAAAAACACACACACTGGATCCTAGTTCCGTTGCAAGCTTCTAACAAAACAAAATATGGGAATTCACGTGTGGCGGATGGGGCGCGGTGATTGCGCCGGTGTGGCGTGGTCGTCGGTTCTTGGGTAGCGTTGGTCTTCTTCACTTTTGCATTTGCAGACTTGCAAAGTAATAGGAATAAACAAGCATGAGTGGCTTATCGAAAGCACTTGTTGGGTCTGCACAATTGGACAAGGACCTTGACGCTCTATTTGGGAAGGCCGCTGTACCTTCAAACTCTAGCATATTGTCACAACCCGCAACCAATGCGACTTTAAGTAAGCGGAAGAAGGATAATGAGGATCTGTCCAAGAAAAAGAAGGCAAAGAAGGTATACAATATGCATTAGCCGAATCAATGCTCCTCGGGATTGTGTCTCACCATTAGATTTGCAAAAGGAGGCGAAGAATGAACATGTTAACGGAGATCCACAACAAAAAGCGGGCAGGGGAAAGCTTCAGAAGAAAGAGCAGGATGTGGTAGAGAAGGGGAAAGGGAACAAAACATCAAAGCGGGAGGAAAGCGCTTCCGGTACGAGGAAGCAGAAAAAGTCACAAAAGGTCGCCGCTGAACCAACTGAAACGGAGATCAAACCAACCGAAAAGACAGAAAGTAAGAAGACTGGAGGCAAGAAATCTGCAAAGCAGGAAGTAAAGGGATCTGTAGAAGCTCAGGATGGTGCTAAAGTTAGTGCCGACAAAGACACTGAAGATCCTACGGAGTCATTGGATGGAGATGTTGAATCTGAATCTGAGAGTGGTGAGGATCAAGATGACGTGGAAGATGACAAGGAGACAAATCCGACAGGAAAGACAAGACGTCAAGTAAAGGCAGAGAAACTCGAGAAGGAGGAACGAACGATATTTGTCGGTAATCTGCCACTGTCAGTAACTGAGAAGGTTCGGATTTCTTTTTATTGGCCTTTTTCAAGTATTGTACTAATCAGTCTTTCTAGGCGGGAGTCAAAGAGCTGAAGAAACTGTTTTCCCAATACGGCAACCTTAAGAGCATCCGATTCCGCTCAATAGCACGACTGGAAAACATGCCTCGTAAAGCGGCATTCATTACCAAAAACTTTCACCCCGGTCGAGATACTCTGAACGCCTACATTGTGTACGGAGAAAAGGAGTCCGTTGAGAAAGCATTGGTTGAAAATGGAAAGTTATTCATGGGAAAGCATATACGGGTGGATAGGTCGGTAAAGGATAACAAGGTGTGTTGCCAGAGAACGTCCCCATTCAAATTTGGTTTCTGATTATTCTGGGTGCAGCACGATGTAAAACGTTCCGTGTTCGTTGGAGCATTACCGTTTGATATCAACGAGGAGGCGGTTAGGGCGCACTTTAGCCAATGTGGCGACATTGGTGAGTGTAAATAACGTCTTTATTTTCCCAACACTATATAGCTAACATACTGTTTTCTTCCGTTACAACAGAATATGTTCGCTTGATTCGTGACAAGTAAGTTGATGCACACGTGGTTGGACTAAAACGAACGGTAAACTCATCTGTAACATGCACAGAACAACAAACGTTGGCAAGGGCATCGGATATGTTCAATTCGCAGATAGAGCCGCTGTGGGTCTGGCCATGAAGCTTCATCAATCTGAACTGGAGGGACGAAAAATTCGAGTAAACCGGTGCAAGGATGTATCACCAGAGGCGAAAAAGAAGAGATTAATTGTAGGTGTTGCACTCTGTTGGATCTGTTTGGTGCATGCTGATGTGGTCCTCTCTTGCAGGCGACGGAGGGCACTCGGGCAAAGAAGGGTGCGGCGACGGGAGCGGGCAAAATTCGGTCAAGACCGAACAAGGCGAAGGCGGCAACAAAGGGGAAACCTTACACAAAGCCGAAGCGCAGTGTAGCCAAAAAGTAGCGGGGTTGCAGCTCTCCGTCAGGAGACGGGATGGTATCGACATGCGTATGGACCATTGCAAATATTTACATGTATTTAACAATAATTACAAACATGATATCCATGTCACATCTCCTCGTATAGCACCTGGTTTACCAATGTAATCGGAATGTCTTCAATTTCGGGGATAGAGTCCTCGCTGAACAATTTGCGCAATTTATTTGGGTCAAGGGGAATAGAGAGTGCATTGGCGCAATCATCTAATCACATCCCATTTTGAATTCCACTGCTCAAGCGCTTTATTATCAATTTACGTGTGAACTCACCAGTCACAGTATCAAACGACGTCAGAGGTGGTGTTCGCCGGAGATTGATGCCAGTAAACATGAGGATGGTAAAAGGGATAAGTCCCAAGATGTACACAGGAAAAACTATTGCCCACCATCTTCAATGATATAACATGTGGGTGAGGTTGTCAAGGCGGTATGGCGTATATTGAAACGTACCGGGTTGGGTAATAGTATATGCCTAAAGCGTGCAGGATTTCATCTGGTAAAAGCGCCCATGCTAGATATGTTCCTTTTTATAATAAGCGAGTCTTTAATTTGTGACTAGTATCCAATGACACCCCGTCTACGCACATTGGAGCAAACGACAAAAGGGACTGTACCCTTGCAGTAACTTACCAAAGGCGACAAAGGAAGAGAGGTAGAGGACGAACCCGTAGTATTCTCTTTTTTCGGATGCCCTGTGCTGTGTCGATGGGGCTGTTGGTGATCTTGGTGATGTTGGAGAAGGTAGGTGACCGCTGGACATGAAGCAAATATGTGAACCGAGGACAAAAAGCGAAACGAAATGTTGAGCTTTGGCAATGCTTGAAAGCAGAGGTGAGGCTTATTTTGGACGCGACAGGACGCGATCAAATCCTCCAGCGGATCTTAACAACCAGCTATCAACCAGCTGTCAAAAAGTTGCATTTTCGCACGAGCGATGCCGAAATAACCATGGCACTGAAACCCTCCTTTAGCATCTTTCTCCGACTCAGCAAATGTACATATAATGCACGACATTCAAACTCTCTTGCCTCCATCCGCTTATATGCTACTCATGCAAAGCACGACAACACCCACGTATCTGTGGACAAGATCCGCAATATTGGCATAGTAGCACACATCGACGCTGGGAAAACAACAACCACAGAGCGTATGCTCTACTATGTTGGGTACACGAACCGAATAGGAGGTAGGAAACGCTGACAATTCAAACTAGATCTTTGTTGACAGCTGTAATGTCCATAGAGGTCGACGAAGGCAACACAGTCACCGACTTTCTCAAACCCGAACGTGAACGAGGCATCACGATCACCTCAGCATGTATTCCCTTCTCATGGCGATCTCACCGTATAAATCTCATTGACACACCTGGGCACGTCGACTTTACAATAGAGGTCGAGCGAAGTATGCGGGTTTTAGATGGAGCGGTTTGTGTCCTGGACGCCGTAGCAGGTGTTGAAGCCCAAACGGAGACTGTGTGGCGCCAGGCAAATCGGTACGCTGTCCCACGGATTGCGTTTGTGAATAAAATGGATAGGGACGGGGCGGGCTTAGGACGAACCGTGGCCGCCATGGCAAAGAGGCTCACGGGATGGGGACAACCGTTGATATGTCAGTGGCCGGTTGTCAAGGATGGGACAGCTCATATTAGCGGTCCTGGATCAGGTGGACCTGGGTTTGAAGGCGTTGTGGATCTTGTGACAATGGAGATTTTGGATTGGAAGCATGAGCCAAAGACTGGAAGTGTAGTAACGCGCAAACAACTGAGTGACAGTAGCCACGAGGTAGATGGGAAGCGGTTATACGAGGAGGTGGTGGCCGGTCGAACCTCGCTGGTGGAGAAACTGTCAGAGCTCGATGATGGGATCGTCGACACATTTTTGGAACACGAAGGTGACCATATGAAAGTTCCTGCAAAGGATATTCATGCCGCTTTGAGGAGGGTCACTCTGAGCGGCAAAGGCGTTCCAGTGTTCTGTGGGGCATCGTTCAAGAACATTGGCGTACAGCCGGTTCTAGATGCCGTAGTGGATTATTTACCCTCTCCCAAAGAGCGATCTCCTCCTGAAGGAGTTACGGGAGATGGGACCAAAGTTCAAGTATCACTTGGGGACAGTGAATTATGTGCTTTGGCCTTCAAAATTACCCAGGACCCAAGGCGCGGTCCACTAGTATTTGTCCGTGTCTATTCAGGTAGCAACTGTACAAGGATCATGTAGAGGGATCGCTTTCGAACGACTAACAACTTTTTTGTTACTAGGTGTTTTGGAGCGTGGAGAGACCCTCTTGAATTCGAGCCAGAACAAAAAGGAGCGCGCGGCAAAAGTTCTTCAAATGTACGCTGATGACTATGAGGAAATTCCCAATGTCACAGCTGGTAACATTGCTGCCATAGCTGGGTTGAAAGATACACGCACGGGTGACACACTCCTATCCTCTCGCAGCAAGCGCAGACTTTGTCTCGACACTATCACGATACCCCCTCCTGTTTTCGTTCGTTCCTGCGAACCCGCTACTTCGGCAGATGAACGGGCACTGGAACAGGCATTAAAAGCCCTTGTGAGAGAGGATCCCTCTGTTCATGTTTCGTTTGATGAGGAGACTGGGCAGACGCTTTTGAGCGGTATGGGCGAGCTACATTTGGAGATTACTGCGGATAGATTGAAGGAAGTGCATCGTGTCAATTGCCATATGGGCAAAGTGCAGATTAGCTACAGAGAAACGATCTCGTCTGAAGGACTGTCTCCTGATGGCACGATTGAAGAAACATTCCTTCATGATCGGGAATCATTTGGAAAGAGAGCCAAAGCAGAGGTTTCGTTTTCCCTGGAACCAATTGTCGATCCCCAGGCTACTGACGAGGAGTTGATTGACACCAGAGGCCCGACGGGTGGAAACGAGATCAACTGTAAGCTTAAATCAAAGCAAATTCAAAGTGCTTTGGATGACGCACAAGGGCCTGTACCTGGTCAAAGGGGATATGCACCTCTTTTAGAGATGGAGGCAGCGTTACGCGCCGGAATCGAAGGTGCATTAGGTCGAGGACCGTTGTTAGGATTTCCACTGACGAATCTCCGGATCACCTGCACTGGCATTCGAGTGTTTGGTCCTGAGCTCTCCACACCGTCCGCCATTCGTGCAGCGGCACATCGAGGTTTACATGCAGCTATTCGGGCAGCGGGAGGATCACGCCTGCTGGAGCCTATTATGGAAGTATCGGTCCGCGTGCCAGAGCGTTACGTAGGCGTGGTCGCAAAGGATATCTCCGGCATCCGTCGTGGACAGATCTTGTCTCTTGGCGCAGATAATGATGTAGCAGACGATGGGAACAGCGATTATGCGTATCGTAATGTGGAAGCCTTAGTGCCGCTTGCTCAACTGGTCGGATATGCAAGTAGTTTGAGGGGATTAACAGCCGGCACTGGAGATTTTACAATGGTGTTGCAGGGATATGGCGTAATGCAGGGCGATAGGGAAAAGGAAGTTTTGAAAGAGATTCGGGGCTATTAATTCACCAAATGCCGGGCGAGTTGAACGTGCACGATCAACTATCATTTGCAAATCTTATCCGCATTCTACATTTCCTATACATCAACATTCAATATAATTCTTGGCTTGCGCAGCTAATGCCAACGCTTGCCGTTATGTACATAAATCTTTTCCCGTACTTTCCTCCTCTCACAGACCCAACGCCCTCAGAGTATTGGCCCGTACAACCTCGTCAAATTTCTTGCGATCCTCTCTCCACATTTTTGAAGCCTCCACATTGGCCCCACTCTCGTCATTCGGCTCAGCAAGCATACTGACAACGCTTAGCAAGATCTTTTCGACACTTTGTACGGGGCTCCATCGTTCAGATGCGTGCTCGTACATGTTTGGGTCGTCGCCCGGCGGATGAAGGATCGAGATGCAGACTGTGCCATCAGCATATACTGCAAAACAGGGTCAATATTAACATCAAGCACACAAAGCCAGACTTTTATATACCATTTGGATGAAACATGGGACAAGTAAACTTCATAACGGGGGGTGAGAGAGGATAATCTTTAGGAAAGGTAAGTGTAGCTGAAAAGACACCACCCTCATAGGGTGTATCATCGGGACCTCTAACAACGCAACCCGCCCATCAGAAACGTCGTCCCTAAGGCATGTTATCAAGAATACATACGGAATAAGTGCTTCCCAAGTGAAGAAATCGTCCTCTGTTATCGGGCCAGCGGTAATACCCTCTGGTGGATTTGTTGTGAGTTCTGTTTTGATGCGGTACATGTAAGCTGGGAGATGAGTGCCTTTACAAATATTATGCATCTTACCCTTGTATTCTGTCATGAGCCGCTTTAGAGCGGTGGACCCTATTCTGCGGTTCATTGCACGCAATTCTCGCACGTCCAGACAAATGCTTGATTGCAGTCTCAGCTAGCACAACGCCCGATCATGTCATCTTGGGGCTAACGATCACGTGCACATATGACTTGATTGGGTTCCAATGTCTTTCAGCCAACTTGTTCGTCGTTGTTGGTTTGAACAGAGCCATGGGACAGCAAAATGTTCTTACCGTGGCTCGACAGACTGAGCCATGGTAACTTGTGTGGAAATAAAAAGCTTTTTGATGTCCAGGTTTCCGTTTCCGTCTCCCCAAGTGGTGTCTGCGTGGTAAGTTGCGGCATAAATTGAGCCTTGGGACGGTCCCTGGAGACGTTGTCTTTGGGATTTGAATTTGAATTTTGAAGGAAGGCTTGGTCCAAACAAATGATGGAGCAGTTGGGTGTGTTTTTGGTCATGCCTTGCAGATTCCTACTGTTTTAAAAGTGACCAACCTCTCCCAAATGGGCGATAATCCCAGGTACATCTGTGGCATTTCTACTTGGACTGAGTGCCCCGCCAAGCAACTCTCCAAAGGTTTCATATCTCAATCGTACGTATTCAACGTTAAAATTACAAACAGCTCTATATGACAAAAACACCACCATTTTAATAGTTACATCTTAATCGCGCATTCTCCTCTCGTAATTGCTGTAATTCTGCCATCAGCGCTTGATTGGGAGAGTACTGGCGTACCAGGTCCTCGATCTCACTCTAATTTCCACATGGCATACATCAAATTACAGCACAATCTGATTTAATTAGGGTAGCACCCACCTTTTGAATCCAAAATTGTCTCAGTATATCCAAATGCATGTTCTGGACATCTGCGCGCAATTGGGAACGAAACTCTTCCAGACAATCATTTACAACATTTTGCAGGACTTGATATTGGAAGGTCGATGGCTGCCGTCCGTGATGCATACCACCGTCCGCCGCTGAGACCAGATCAGATGCTGAATCCGTTAGAGTGTCCCCCACCATTCCTCCAGGTCCTGAACTTTTGGTGCCTCCTATACTGCTTCGACCTGCAGAGTCATCCGGTATCGAAGCCCATTTTCTCACTTCACCAACAATCCGATCGCTTAAGCCAGTCATGTCCACATGTTTGACCACATCAGATGTGGATGAGGTGGTGGTCTTTGTCTGTGCGCTGTTGGCAGGCACTTCCGCAACAGCTTGCGATGCAGGCGAAGCTCGTCTTGAGGATGTGACAGCCTCTCTGTGCGAAATGGTGGATAAAGCTGGTGCTGACACTCGTTTCGTAACGGCAGAAGGTACACGCTGTCGACCGTTCAGACTTGCGCTCCCATTTTCTTCAACCCATTTGTTCACCTTGAGGGACGGTTTTGTGCTGTGATCGTCAATGACAGCGCCCATATCGGTCACATGCGAGTGAGATCGTTCCGCGGTTGTTTCCTTGCCGATGGTCGCTTGTGGTTTGCTACCAGCTGCGGTGATCCGTTCCCAGAAAGACGCTGGCTTCGCCGATGAGTTCGTAGGCTCTTGGTCCCCATCATTCGTGCCAGGACCATCTTCTGGTGGAGACACTGTTGCGACCGGTGATGCATGACGAACACGTGTGGCGAGAGGTGAGAACATGCTATTGACTTTATCATGCCCCTATTAGCTCTTCTCGTCGTTTCGGATAAGCCACAGGGTGCAAGTATACCTGGATCATGAAGCGAAGCCATCTGCGAGTGCTGGGATACAGCTTGTTCCATCGGTTGGATCGTGGGGGGATTCAGTGTTTGGGACGCTCGTCTCTGTACAGCAGTGGAAACGTTCTCGAACGTGGGTTTACTCGTCTTTCGCTCTACTTCGTTCCGTATCCGGGAGAGATGGCTTTCATTTGATACTGCCGAGATGGATGTAGTCTTTGCGGATAATTCTTCTGTGCTACGGGATGTTGACTAGAAACGTGACATGCATTAGCATTGCGGGTCTCCAAGTGAGGATTCCATTCACGAACCTTGTGTAGCGATGTTTTGGAGATGGGTCGGTCAGGTGCATCTGTTTTTGCTAATGAGAAATGTTAGCTCATATGAAGAACACGCGATATCACGCGAGCCACGAGATTCCAACACGAACCTCCGCCTTTGATCGGACTAAACATGCCCATAAACTCGCTTCCTTGGACTGCATTGACTCGACTCTTCTCAACTCGCATGGGACCTGAAATAGAACGAGATCCAGTTATCACAGGCTTTGCCTGCACATCCACGGAACTTTTCAAAGTCCCTCCTCGTGCTACAGGAACATCAGACCCTGCTATGTTGGACACCGACTGAAACATTGTGAACTAAAATTCTTGTAATTGAATGCATGCAACGGTAAGTTACCTTGGCTGTTTGAAATGCCACCGCAGTAACAGGACCGTTGTCAGTCGCACTGTGCAAGGTTGCTACCACGGCCTTAGACCTCATATCGTACAGCAAAGTTGATGCTGAACGACGCGGGATTGTCAATGTACAAGTCAATGCAATGGCCGCACAGCCAGTCCGTCTCACACACCTTGTGAGGTTCCCATCGCAATCATATAGTCCCCATTCATACTACACGACATCAAGGGAACTTGTGCATCGAACGTTTGTACCACACTGTTTTCACCAGAAAAAGAAGGGTTTGAACAAAATTCGCTTGAACCAAACAAGTTGAATGTTACTGACCTGTTCGTGGCCGCATCGTAACAATGAAGTGCTTTATCCAGCCCAACAGTACAGAATAAATGCTTGTCGGTGGGAGCAAAACTGATGCCTTTCACAGGTGCCATGTGCGCGTCTTTGAACAGTCGCACGGGATCCCGCTTACTACTGTCCACATCCCAAAGGGCGACGCATCCTTCATCGCTTACTCCACAAAGTATTGACTTGCGGAGAGCGGAAAAGGCCACTTTGTTAACTGCCTGCAAAAAAATCGTCAATATGGGAGCGCGAACAAGTCAAAGGCGGCCGTCCCTTGGTCAACACCTGCCTGTTTGAATGGCGCTACCAAGGCTGTTACGGCACCATGTTTGAGTGAGTGCACCAAGAGTTTTCCAAGAGCAGAACCAGATGCACAACGGTGGTCATCATCTGAGCATGCCAGAGCCGTGATTGCCGCTGTATGTCCCTATTTACATTCTTAAGCTTGCAACGTCATTCTCCCTTTTCTCGGGGCTTTTTGGTGGACGTGGATACTACCTTCAAGAACCCAACAGCCTTTCTATCTTTCACATCCCATATTTTGACTGTCTTTCCTGCACCACCGTAGAATACATATCGTGCAGACGCAATACCTGCCGCGACTGCCTGAAGATCTTCATTAGGTCCCCCAGGAACTGCCTCGATCGTACGTCCGTTTTTGTCGAGAAGGTACATGAACGATTTTGTCACCGCGGCAAGATACTTGCCATCTGCACTCCAGGTCAAGTCCTGTACTTGAGCGCCGTTTTCTGGTAGCGCCATTGCTACTATGCGGGACGGGTAAGGACCAGAATGCGGGGTGGCAGGGATGTCTGTCTGCCATACTCTGACCCCGTGGCAGGCCGATGCGAGTAGACAAGGAGTATCAGACATGGTTGATAGCCTCCACTCGTGAGCGATATGGAACTAGCAGTTTGCAGCGACAATCCGGATTGCCGAAGGACATTTGCCAAAACCAAGATCAAGCTAGGGTTCGCGTACCTTGCTGCTTTCAAAGGTTACGTACTGGCATGTCCGGAGGGACCGGACAGGAACACTAGTATCTACCAAACTTATGAAACAATGAATTCAAAAAAGTAATGTACTGGGAATTGCCTGCGTCTGTTGCAGATCATAGGAGAAATTGGCGCCAGCATTTTTGCAGCGACATGGAAATAGGCTTAACCACCTTCTTGCTGTGACTACCTGTGACAAGACATATACTGCCACCTGACGACGGCCAAAGATTGGACAACCCTCCAAGTTCTGTGATTGTGATGTTGCATGACGAACTTTCTTATTACATGTACTCTTCTTATCCTGGAAACCATGAGTGTGTGCTCCCCAAGAAACCAGCAAACGACGACAAAAAGCAAGATACTCGCAACCTTTGGCATCACGTAATCTCCAAGCACAGTCACTAACCATCCATCGCGTTAGGTCAGAAAGCTGTCGTTTACGAAAACCCAACCGTTGACAAGGCGGCTCAAGATGGGATGGGCGGGCGCCGAGCCACAGCATGAAGTTATCGAGATAAATGAGCTGAGGACCAGTCCCTCTTTGGAAGCGACTCATACCGTTGTAGAGGAGCGGTTCCTTGCATATCATCACTTGTCGGCGGACGAGGCTCACAGGTGGTGCTACCTGCCATGCTCACAGTAGATAAAGCGACACTAATGGAAGTGCTGTTTATAAATGTTAGGCGGCTTTTGACTGCGGCTGATGAAGTAGTATCAGAATACCGCGCTAAGGCCTCCAACCAACAATGTAAGACAGGGGCGCCTTGTTGCTCAATGTCCAACTCTTTAACATAGGCTTGTTTGTCGTTTCCTAGCCATCACTGCCCCCATTTTCAAACAAAGCACAATCGTCAGCGCGCTGTCAGCACTCGGACTGATTGCCTTCTTTGTTTACGCCCGATTAGAAAGCTCACCCTACCAATGGCGCGCCACCGCTGCACTTGTGGAAGCAGGGCTCCTTCTTGCTGCTCTGGTGTGGAATGTATGGCTTCAGATGCGGGAGTGGAGGCTTACATCTATGGAAATGAGCATGCGGATTCAGTCAATTGTGGACCCATTGCGTAAATACGGTCTTAGTCGGAAGCCGGTACGTATTTTGTAGTGGTGTGGATGGTTGGGGGCCCTGCACTAACCGCATGTGATCAGGATCTAAAGTTTCCCACCTCGATTCCAACCGTGTCTATCAGCCGAGTAATACGAGACCAATCTGTTTATACCCTACCATTCAATTTGATCGTTGAAGATGATATTGTTCAAATGGCGTACGGTGACATTGCTCCTTGTCGGATCAAATACGTCAGCAGCCATTTCGATAATGCCCCTGGAACAGAGGACCAAGAATATATTCTGGAAAAGGGACAATTGTTTAAGCCAAGCCTTTTTGCTTCTCCTAATCCAACCCTGATGCGACGAGCAGCTTTAAACGAAGGACAGTTTCATTTCAGAGCGATGGAAACACCACTGAGGGATACACTCAAGAAAGCGCTCAACTTCCAACGGCCAGAGACAGTCATTGCCCGTCAATTCGTCGTAATACGCGATTATTACTTTACTCGGCTTTTTTGGGTCGTGCTGGGTGCAGCACTGTTGATCAATGTTCTCCGATACAGCATCAAAGCTGCCGTTCATTCAGAGTTCCGGGACCAAAGCGTGGAAATGCTTGTCGTTCTGCAAATATATACTATCCTTCCAATTTTACCTCTGGTTGTCCCAACGTTGTTTGTCATTATGAGGAGTTACGGAAATGCCCAGATTTTATCGCTTTTCGATGCGCTTCAGACGTCCAAAACGGAATTTGAAGATCAGGAGGATGTGGATGAGTTCGATGCTGCACCGCCACCCACAAAGGATTTGGTGTTGGATTGGGGTACGATCTTGAGCGTTGAACGGTCTTTTGTGGATTGCCAACTAATTTACCTGGTGATGCAGGCCTAGTGTGGAAACGCTTTTTGGATCAGTTTACCAATGTCGATGTTACCTTCCTTGCGCGAACCACTGGGTTAGTCGCGTCACTCGCTAATACGACCGTGATCTGCGCCATCGATCGTGAGGGCACGATTTCATTGGTAAACGAACCTTGTCGAAAACTTCCAGCCTGCTACTCGTACCAATGTTGTGTATCCTGTAGCCCACACCATCGGTAGAGCAACTTTTCTTCTTTGACGAGTCTGGTGACCCTGTCGTGCTTGACGTTGCGGAAGACAGCTCTGATCATGTTGTGAGGTTTCACGATAAGAATTGGCAAGAGTATATTTCGTAGGTATCTCGCTTTTGCATCTGTTACATAATGCATCCGACTTGACAAATTGCTGTAGCTCTTTGAAACCGCTTGGACTCAATCTACTCTTGAACACGGATTGCGGCGCTTCTCTTGGCCGGATTCGATTGGACCATCATCGAAAGTCCAATGGAATGCATTTGCATGGCCGGGTCAAATCAGCTCGGCAAGGTAACTGGCTTTCATAGTTTCCCCGTGTGAGTGAAAAGGTTTAATGCTTTTTCTTTATCCCATCAGCGTGCCTATGCCAAGTTGGTCGACAAATAGGCTTCTCTTCTGATGCTTTGAAGTCCTTTGTTTCCCAAAAGGCTATTCACGCCTTTGCGCCTTATCAAGCAAATTTGAGCAACGGACCGGAATACCATTTTGAGATTCCGAGTTTCTTTGCACAAGTCTTCAAAGAAGCAGCTTCTGGTATGTGTCGTTGGCATTCTTGTGTGGCAAAGGCGGCGGCGGTTTTGATGGAGCTCACTCATGGGTAGTTTTTGGGCGGTAGAGACGTATCAACTTTTTTCCGAGGGGAATGTGGATTTGATTATGGAGTCCTGTAGTGATTATTGGAATGGGAGGGGATTGGGGACCATGGACGAAGCGGTAAGTGTAATCCATGTTGGTTACTTAAATGTCAGGAAAACTCAACTCGTCTTACCCTCCCAAAAAAACAGGCCGAAAAGAAAATCTTTGAATTCTACCAAAATGCTATCATAAGCGATGCCCAAATCGTTGCGTACTCCTACCGCCCCATCCAGCACCCTACCACTCTAATCTCGAAAACCACCCACCCACCAATTCGGCCCTACGTCGACTCAATCTATTTAGAACTCGACAATCCCGTCGAAACCATTTCGAAATCCAGTTCTCTGAACAAGCTTTCAGACACGGAAAAGTCTCCCTCTGGGCGTCCGAGATCCAAAGGAAATCGCAAGCGATATTTGAGCAACATTGACCGGCTGCAGACACCGGGGGAAGGGAAGAAACAGGTTTATCATGAGATTGTCAAGGGGCAGACGTTCTTGAGTATGGCTTCTTTAGCGTTTTTGCCCAAGGCGGTGAGTTGAGCGTATTGCCGTTGATGGGTTGAGTGCCAAAACTTATAGAATGCTGTAGAATGTCATTGACTTTATTGAGGATTTGGGGTTGGCTGGTATCCGGTTTGTTTATTTTTCCTCTGCACCGGAACGTGAAAGTAAAGGTACGCTCCTTCCACAAACAGTTTTCGTCAGTCGTATCACACCAAACTGATTTCATAAAAACAGCCTACGCCGAACGCCTTGGCCTCGAAATCGATTGGAACAGCTGCATTCTCCTATCACCCGACAATGGGTCCACACCAGGGTACCTTGAGCTTCATGACATGAAAGCCAGACTACCACGTGGTGTCGACAAAATCCGGGACCATATTGAGAATGTTGATGACGTCCCGTTGCATGTCTCGCTTTTTGCAGAGTGTAATTCATACTCTGTTCGTGAGATGGTTCGGATTTTTCAGGAGCATGGGGAAGTTGTTTGTTGTGTTGGGAGTTCATTGAATGAGATGAATGTCGAGTGTTTTGCGTTGGTATGGTTTCTTTTCAATTTCGATGGGGTTTGGAGTTGGTTGTTTGGCTCATGTATTTTTTTTGTTTTTTGTGGTGCAGGCAGATATTAGTATCGCCATTGACCCTCTTAGTGTCCTCAAAGCTCGTAATCATGCTTCAACGGGTCCGTTATCCCCGTTGAATGTGGGAGCAGGGTTCACGTCTCTCCCATGTGCGTTCTCGTTACATAACGATACGAGTATATACAGTTTGAGCCAGATTATTAGGGAGGCGAGGACTATTGCTGATCATGGGCGACAGGTACGGAGTTTTCCGTTTGCTGTTATTTGATGAATCAGGGTTTTTTGATACTTTTTTTCTAGGCAGTTGTCTTTTACCTCTCATCCCAAACCAGTTTATGTCTTATCATGATCCTGTCTTATTGTCTCCTCTTTCCCCCCATCTTCACTGGATACCAACTCTTTTGGTTGTTGTGGATCATTCTCCCGCCTTTATCTTTGTCGTTTTTGTTTTCTCCGCATGACCCGCGGGTGATGACTACGATGCCTGGTATGTGGGTTTTGACAGTAGTGTTGGTATCTCGAATCAATTGGAGGCTGAATGATGAAAAACAGTCAAGAATACACATCACCTGAAAGACCGGTGGAGATTTGCCGTATATTTTTTGATTCGGTTTTCCGTACCGGTTGTACTTTGTGTTGCTGTTTTCGCCATGTACGTCTTTTGTGCATTTACCTCAACTGTCGACTTGGTAATCGCTGATTTTACTATCACAGATCCTTGTCGGTATTTAAACCTGATCAGCCCTCCGATTCAGTCTTTGGCGATTTTGGAATTTCGTCTTGGATGCATTGGAGTGATGGTGAGCAGTGGGCCTTACTGTATGCCCAAAACTGCACGCTTTTTGTGTGGGTGTTTTTAATGGGTGCGTTTCGTGTGGTTTGATTTATTACGCTTTTTGGATACGCCATCCTGAGTGAGGGGTTATAGTGTGTATATCGGCAACATGTTTGCATCGTATCGCGCATCTCAAATCATTCCCCCCGTATCGGAATCGGGTGTGGGTTGGCAGTGCGGTTACGAGGTTTGTTGGTCCTTACCAAAGTCGCATGCTAGTAACTCACACTTCATTGTAGTCTTGTACTGCAAACTGCCTTTTTCGCCATTTCCATCGCTCCACGCGGCCCGTACTCTCTCTCCCTTCTCCCCTGGTGGCTGTTTGTCATTGTGTTTGTGGGAGGACCAGTGCTGGCCGTGGGAGTGCAGGAAGCTGTCAAGATTCATGATCGCAGAGAGTGGGAGAGGTTCCAAAAGAGGAGTAAACTGGAGTTTAATACAAAGCTGTGAGTAATTTATGGATTTCGGTCTTTGGGTGTGCGGCGTTGATGATTATTTTCGTTGAATTATTAGGGGGATGCACTCGCCATTATGAGCGTCGCTGGCTGCTTACTTCTGGAGCAACGAAACTAAATAAGGAGATACGGAACGGGAATGCACTGGTCCTTCCAAGTTATCGAAAAGTTGACCAACGCAAGATCAGGTCCCATTGTAATAGAACAAACCAAATAAAAGGGATGCAAATAATGTTATGAGAAAACTTCTACAGAGAATCTAGAGCGCTGATAAAATACGAAATAAAAAAATGCTATCTACCGTGCTACGTTACCCAACCGGGTCTCATCATTTAGGTCCAATCATCTGTTCGGGCCTGACATACTTGTCAAACTCTTCCGGAGTCAACAGACCCAAGGACACAGTAGCCTGTTTCAAAGTAGTGCCCTCCTTGTGAGCCTTCTTTGCCGCCTTGGCTGCATTGTCGTAACCAATGTACGGGTTCAACGCCGTAACCAACATGAGGGATTCGTGGAGGAGGGAGGAAATGCGGGCTTCGTTGGCTTCAATGCCAGTGACACACTTGTCGGTGAAGGACACGGAGGCGTCAGCGACGAGGCGGACAGAGTGGAGGAGGTTGCGGATGAGAACGGGTTTGAAGACGTTGAGCTGTTATAAGGGAATATGAGTTTTGCATCTCATCAGGTTCCGTGAACGCGACGATTAGAATACGTACCTCAAAATGACCTTGAGCTCCTGCGACAGTGACAGCAGTGTGGTTGCCAATCACCTGAGCGCACACCATTGTCATGGCCTCGCATTGCGTGGGGTTGACCTGTTGTTCAGAAGCTTAAGGATACTGTGGGTCATACAAAACTATGGAAAGGCACTTGTACCTTTCCGGGCATGATGGATGAACCAGGCTCATTTTCGGGAAGACGGAGTTCGCCAAGACCGCAACGAGGACCCGATCCTGCACCCGACCGGGCGCATTAGACATTATTCTTCAACAATGGACGAGCAGTTCATCTTACCAAGCAATCGGATATCGTTGGCAATCTTGTTTAGTGATACGGCAATAGTGTTGAGGGCACCACTGGCCTCCACAATGGCATCGTGGGCAGCAAGGGCTTCAAACTGGGAATCGAACAAAAAAATCAGAAAATGCTGATGCTTGCGCGACTGATTATATGCGCACCTTGTTAGGGGCCGTCTTGAAGGGCAAGCCGGTATCCTTTGCAATCTGCTCAGCCACCTTGGCGTCGAAACCAGCCTTCGTGTTGAGACCCGTGCCGACGGCGGTACCTCCTTGAGCAAGGTTGTAGAGACGGGGAAGGGCACTCTTGACACGCTCGATACCATACGTGACCTGTTGAGCGTAACCAGAGAACTCTTGGCCAAGGGTCAAGGGAGTTGCGTCCTGCAAGTGGGTACGGCCAATCTTGATAATGTCCTTGAATTCGGCCACCTTGGCTTGGAGGGCCTTTTCAAGTTTCTCCAAGGCGGGGATCAATCGCTCGTGAATCTCAATAACGGCGGCGACGTGCATGGCGGTGGGGAAGCTGTTTTTATCGATATGAGCGCAATCCGCAAGATTATATGCCAAGACTCCACTTACGTGTCGTTGGAGGATTGACCATTGTTGACGTGGTCGTTGGGGTGAACCGGCTTTTTGCTACCGAGCTCGCCACCCAAGATCTCAATCGCACGGTTGGAGAGGACTTCGTTCACATTCATGTTGGTCTGGGTACCGGAACCCGTTTGCCAGACAACAAGAGGAAAGTGGTCCTTGTGCTTCCCAGCAATGACTTCGTCTGCGGCTTGAACGATTGCCTCTGCAATCTTTTTGTCCAAGTGCGTTTCGGAATTCACTTTTGCAGCAGCCTTTTTGACGATGGCAAAGGCTTTGATGACGGGGTACGGCATGCGTTCGGTTTCACCTCCAATGTCAAAGTTTTGAAGGGATCTAATAAAGAAAAAGGTCTAAGGAACTTTTTTTTCCCACAACCAACGTAAACGTTCAGCGCAATCACGTACCGCTGCGTTTGAGCACCCCAGTAGCGGTCCGCAGGAACTTGGAGCTCACCCATAGTGTCCTTCTCGACCCTGTACTGTTGCTAATCAAGGTATAAGCTGACTTGGCCATTGCAAGATTTGAGATTACGAGACACTTGCCAACAGAGACGAAGCAGTTGAAAATGTGCGAGGGTGCACTGGGCGCACACCAGCCCGGACAGAGAGCGTTGTCGCGATGCGGAACATTGCTGTCGTCGTCGACACGATGGTGAGCAACTCGCTCGTTCTTTACGTTTACAATTCCAACTCACCTGCTGCCAAATCTGTTGCTCAAAACCTTTTTTTTGGGAATTGCCCAAACTTTTGTCAAAGTCATTTTGGCAATTCATCGATTATTCTAGTCACGTGATGGCCTTCCGTGCTTACCCGAATTCCGAATGAGGATCCGCGCGACTAAGCCGACGACCGGGTGCGGTACGACCCGTCGATTTCCGAAGAGTCCAAACTGCTCACAAAGCATTTGGATAAAACCATTGGTAAACGATGCATGCACCCAGTGATGCACCCAGTGAACACCAAGGATTGTATTCAGTAATGTGTGTCAGTTCTCAGTAGAGTCTCGACATATGACAAGCTCATGGCACCACAGAGTCAAAGGATATATCATGCATCTTTTGGAACATTCTCTGCCAGATAACTTGCAAAAAATCGAATGACTCGAAAAGCGTCACACCTTCTCCGCCCGACAACAACAAAAGTACATCCATGTGCCCGCAGGAGGAGAAAATTGCGCAGACAGCAAGGCCAGTAGAAAGCTGAATGGAAAAAGTGAAAACACCTACGAGGACCATGCGGGGAGCTTCCAAATTCTACACAAAGAATGTGGAAATCGTATTAATGCAAGGGTAAAAATAAAAGCCATTCCGCACAGCAGCAGCTTCTGGCGCAACAAGCAAGAAGCAAACACGTTCTGTTGGGTGATCAGCCAACTCCCCTCGTGCAAATGTCCTTCCAATCAACGAAGGAAACCCATCAAAAGACCCAATGGAAAGAGAATTGATCACACACAACAACAACACTTCCAATCGGGACGTCATGCGATCACGTGGAGTAGCATTCACGTGACAATGACATGAACCCGATCGTTGATGACATCATGCCATTTTGGAAAAGACTCCGACTTTTAAACTCTGAAATTTTCTTTTTAAGTTGGGGACGATGCTGTTTTCCTTCCATTTGCTTTCCTTGTTTTTTGACTTGCTTTTTGATTCTCGCTGCATCACACGCTGCTACTGGATAGGCACCTTTCTTCTCCCGCCTCTCTTGTCGCTTGTCTATTCCTTGTCTTCTCCTCCTCCTCCTCCTTTATTGGCAACACACAAACGTTACATGTCACCTAGGTCTATTCCAGACGTTATCCCACGAGCCGCAGGCCCCGACGACGCTTCTTCTGAAGAGTACTCAGGGCCCAAAACAACCGACCCGCGCATTCACCCAGAACCGCACGTCACTCCACTTAAAAACCACATTGACGGCACACCCGACATTGGCAAACCATCCAATGGATGTAAGGGCCAGGAACAACAACGCGTTCAGGACGAGGAACTCAACAGAATTCTCAATTCACCACCCATAGTAACTTTTGAGTCTCCACGGAGGTCTTCGGACGACCAAAAACAACGCCAGCGCCATGGCCCGATCCTAAACCAAGACATTCTCGTTCAAGGCGCACAGCCCAACGGTGACATTGGGTCCCAAATCGACCACCCGGAAGCTCTCACTGTCGAGCCAGGCAAGACCCACACAGAAACTCTCGTCGTCATCCCAACACACTACGTATTCATCTTTTCCAACCCGCGCTCGGGCAACCAACAAGGCTTGCCCCTCGTTCAAATGAACATTCAACACTACCGCATGCGCGACCAGCCTCATGTCCAGGTCCAATTGTACGACTTTCTTGATGCCGAAGATCGTACGGCAGGCTTGAAATATCTCCACCTCATTGTCGCAAAACAAAAGAGTCTCAAACAGATCCATGTTTGGAGCGCCGGTGGTGATGGAACTCTCATGGGCGTTGTGGAGGGAATGCTCGACATGGGAATCGATGTCAACGACCCTCGCATTCTCTTTAGTGTCATCCCGTTTGGTACCGGGAATGATTTGAGTCAGGTTCTCGGTTGGGGGCGCTATGTCCCTGGAACGGATGTCGCGGGTACCCATCTGGAAGGCTTGAACCAGCTAGTCATGGCGAGGTTACAGGGGCATGTTACACTCTTGGACATTTGGGAAGTGGAACTCGAAACAGAGGAAGGGGGATGGGTGGAGGAAGCGGGAAGTGGGGATAGGCACCGCTACATCAAGCGCAAAATGGTACGCTGTTTTTTGGTTCATTTTATCAAAGGTATACCTTTGCTGATCGCTTGGCACAGTCCAACTACTCGTCTCTCGGACTTCAAGGCCGCGTGGGAGTCGGTTTCGAAAAGCACCGTCGTGGTTCGCGTCTTTTAAACGCATGGGAATACACTAAGCAATCCCTCAGCGTCGTTGCCCACGGTGCTCCCCATGTCACAGATGCTGTTCGTGCTCTTGAAGCTGAAGGCATGCTGTTTGAGTTGGACGGAGACAAATCGCTGCGCGTATCACATGAGCCTATCGAATTCATTATCCAAAACATTCCAGGGTAGGTCACGCTTTATTTATTGTCGTCCAATGCGCGTGCTAACTGATACGTTGACAGCATGTGGGGCCGACACGTTGACCTCTGGGGCGTCACCGAAATGTCTCGCAGCATCATCAAAGACCAACGTGGCCCAACCGACATGACACACTGGACTCCTCATGCAGCTTACGATGGCAAACTCGAAGTATTCGGCATCGGCACTCTCCGTTCTTACTTCCACAAGCAATTCCCCTGGGGCCGCAAGCACCTCCAACGCGTCGGCCAATTCCCGTCCCCATTCACCGTGCACTTTCACCCCCACTCCCACGTCCACGCAATGATTGATGGCGAATTCTACGAAATCCGCGGCGCAAAGAAATTAACCTATAAACGCATCATGCAGATTCGCATGGTGGGCAGTGCGCCCGAGAAGAGCCGATTGGTCCGTGATCTGGTCGAACACAGGGCAGAATTGCCTGGCCCCACTGGCGAAGGTGTGGAACCTGGAGTGGATTTCGAGGTGGGCAAGACAGAATACGGTGAAGAATCCAAGGAAGATAAGAGGGAGCGACATTTGAGTGAACATAAAAGTCGACATGGGACCCCTGATAGAAGGAGTCGGGAGGCAAGTGCAGAGCGACCGGTGATGAGTGAGACAACCCGATAGACGGAACAAAACTATTTCTTTTGCTTTAATCTTTTTTCGTTTTTTTTTTTTTTTGGTTTTTGGAATTCATCCCGTCCCCATACGCCCATGATCCCTATCTGAATTGCCCCCTGATACTTTTTTTTTTTTTGAGTCCCCTTGCTTTTAATTCACCATGCAAATTGATAAATATATAATACATACATTAGAATCCGTCATCGCATCCCTATTTTTCACTGCTACGCCATTAATGTGTCAGCCATGTAAAATTGTATCATCTACTTGTTCTCTGATTTTGATAACAAGGCACCCAGTATCAGCCCTACGACCAACCCCACCTTTACTACCGGGTATGCATTGACCCAGATTGTCAACATCCCCAAAAAGGGAAAAAATCCCCAAACTCGCCCAACAACTTCATGTCTCTCAACCCATATTTTTCCAATAGGATAAATCTCTCCTCCTCGATCATCCTCCCTATTATTATCTCCCTTGGTCAATACAAGGTCATGTGTCGCGTTCTGATGAAGTTGAATGACACGGTGCACGATTGGTATCGGTTTAGAATCAATCTTAAAGACCACTATATCGCCAATGTGTATTGGATGGGGGTTGGTGAGGAGGAGGATGTCTCCGCGATTAAATGCCGGATGCATGCTTTCACTGAATAGATTTTGTTTTTGATCAGATCAGAATGACTGGATTTATATGAACAGGATCGTACGTACGTCAAAACAACAACAACAGGCGATTCCGTCTGTGTCAACAATACCAATCCCTTCCAAATCATCATGGCGGTGGATAAAATCAAAAGTACAGATAGCACCTGATGTGTCGTCTGTCAAATTTGTTTAAACACATGGATGGCCACTTTGAGACCCAAAGGTGATGTACCTGACGAATCGGTAGAGCACGTATCTTGCCTCGAACGTCCATCCTCGATATGATATTTCCAGCACTCATGATTAACGGTCAAGTAGGCCGAACCTGTAGGTAAAGTGTAAACGCGCTACGTGGCAGATCAACTTGGAGGGTCGACTGCGCCACGTGCTGACTCAGCGTATGTTTGTGTTGTTTGCTCGTTGGATCTACGGCGGTCGCGGAGGTAGAGGCCAATATGAGAAGAAGCGTTTGAATGTACGTGTGTGCCTTACATGTTGCTTTGTGTGGTGGGGATGAGGAATCGTTTGCTGTTGAGCATTACAAGATACGATTAATGTCACATGGAATGTCGGTTCTTTTGGCATGGCAATGGAACTCTGGGGAAACGAGGTCTTGACTGCCGAGACTTCATCGCAAGACATTTCGGACGCTCTAAAATACCTCCTCGAATGGCCTGCTATGGCCTGCACAGCAACCCATAGCTCTACTGCCAAGTAAAACTGCTAGCTGTCCCAACACCACGTGACACACGCCTTGATCTTTCATGTGGCCTCCAATTCAAACTCCCACCTTGCCCATGCACAGAGACCCAGCATTTCCCACACACTCCAAAAGCAATGAACCTCATACTTGCTACAATCCTAGCCGCCATCATCGCCTACTTTTGGTTATCAACTACGAGCACCGCACCAGCTGAATCCTCCTTACCCATCAAGGCATCCACAGCAAAGAAACGCAAAAAGACCAAAAAGCCAAAAGATGCCAAATCCAGCGAACAAAAACAAAAGGATCCCGAAAAGACTATAGTTGCCTCACTAGTACCTACCCCACCTGCACCTACACCCACACCGGTAACCACACCACACACACCCGATATGCCCCAAGACACTGATGAACCCATACCCACTTCCCGCGTTCTCCTCGTCAAACGATCTGACCCAGATCTGGTGGCTTCAGAAGTGGAAGAGGGGTGGGAAATGGTGGCTGTTCCATCAAAGAGTACGTATAAACACTTCATACTCTACCAACGCTCACAAAAAGAACTAATGTAATTGCAAAATTTAGAAAAAGCAAGTAAAACAGAGAATCACGTACCCATCGCGTCCCAAGATCCAACAAAACTGACCAAAAAGCAGCGGGAAAATCTTCGCAAGGCGGCTCGGATCAAAGAGTCCAAGCAAGCGCTCCAGGAAGAGCAAGAGTCTCGGTTGAAGGGGTATCGGAGGGAACAGGAGAATGCGTGGCTTAAGCGGGAGATTGCAAAAGATCAGCAGAAACGGAGTAAACAAGTACGAACAGAGTGGGAGGGGCAGGGGATTTGGTAGTAGTCGGATGAGCGTGGATTGTGAAATGGGTGAAAAGTGTGTTTTGTATATATGGTATCTGTTTCTATTCGCACTATTTTGAATATTCAACTGCGGCGTTGCTCAATTTGGAAAAACAAAACATGATGCGATTGGAATCTTTTATAAATGGGCAAGGAAAACAAGTAGACCAACGGGAAATTAACACAAATAAAGCAGTAAAATGATCTGGGTATCTACAATTAAATGCCACACCCACGCACGTTTGAAGAAAACGTCAAATGTCACTAAAATAAAATCTATCCAAAATGCATCAACACCGTTTTACCCTTCTTCCCCTTTCGTCCCCTCTCCTCATTTTTCTCCCCACTCTGTCCATCCTCGGATTCAGATCCCCACGCCTGACCCCCAATACGTCCATTGATGGGTCGAGAAAGTGCAGGTCGAGGGGCTCGTGTAGGTAATCCCGGAAACTCGTCCTTGTTCGCAATACGAGCTCCGACTCCCCCGACTGCTCTCGAATGGGGTCGATTGGGTTGAGAGGCAGTCGTGGCAAAGGATGGACGGGGTGGTGGGGCAATAGAGGGTTTAGATTCGGAATCGGACGAAGAGCCTTGTTGTTGTTGTTGTCCGCCTGAAGCGAGGTGTGCAAAGGTGACAGGCGTCTGCTTTTCAGCGTCATCAAGCAAATTCGATCCGGCCGCTTGATCCCGCTCATGGATGTTCCGCGCCACTCGTTCCCAGACCGTTTCCTGTTTTTCGGTAGGATTGCGGAGAGAGTTCGATCCCCATCCGCCTCGGCTAAAGCGTTGTTTGCTCGCATTGTTTTTGATGACGAGCACACGGGCTGATGAGGGTGCTGAGGTTCGGGTGTCAGGGAGGACAGAGGATGGTGTGGCCGCGGATGAGGCATATGAAGGTGTGGAGGGTTTGCTCGGAGCGGGAACGTCGTTCGCCTGTAGAGCAGACGGGATTTGAGTGAATCCAATGTCGGACCACTTGGAAGGGAGAAGATTTCCTTTTACCTTGACTTTCCAATCATTCCATGCCCTCAACATTTCGTTCCGCTTCTCGTTCTGTGCAGTGACCCTATCGTCGGACCGGTCCCTTTCGTTTTCCCTTGCTCTTGTTGTACGCCGCTAGTGACCAAGTCGACCTCATCGGGTACCGTGTCGGGACCGATTCGCTACGCGCATGCTTTGCGGCCTCGTCTCGCATCTAGCACTTTGCAGTTTTCTGC